ATTTGATAATGCTATGCTATGCTGGGTCTAGAACTATTATTTTCAAACGATAGTAGTGATGTTCGTGCGGCTCTGCGAAATTTCTATATGCAGCTCTTGCTGAATGAAGGAAGGATCGTCCATTTGAGTTGCGACGCACCCACTCGCTTCTTTTAACATTTTAGTTCGCCATTCTGAAGGTACAGTAGACACCTCAGTTGAGTACTTGATTGAGGCTTGACGTGAAGTTTCTCTTCTTACAAGGTACCAACCCATGACGGGAAATCACATGGTCGCGCGACCGTGAGGTAGATAAGGTATGATAGAACATTTACGGGGATGTTTATACTCCCGTTTGGGGCACGGAATTATTGAACGAACAATGTGGGCAAATATGAGCAAAATATTTTTCTAGCCCTATTCGACTCAATCGTAATGCATTCAATACAATACATTCAAGATTTCGAGTTGTACGGTAATCAGCCGAGCACAAATAAAATAGCTCAAGACATTCACATTCCAACTGGAACATGCAGGCGAGACATCCCACTTAGCTGTTCTAGCATCTGAGCTGATATAAGCTCACAAGTCTTCAGGTAAACTCATGGCCCCGCATGACAAGATGTCTAGAATATTTAGAACCGTATTCAATGTCCCACTGCAGTATGTGCACCAAAATCTCACCATTAACCCTCGAATCAGCATCATCCCCCACTAAAGGAAAATTACCCGTCACAGCCCCCAACAAAAGCCAACGCTAAAAAACGATGCGCCAAATCGCTTCGCTGCAATGCAATGCACGGCGCCGCCTGCACGATGGGACCTACATCTAGATTCCGATCCTGCCTTCTGTAAGGCGCCTAGTCTCGGAGCGTATCGACGGTGTATCTCACCCGTCCCTTCCCGTTCTGAAGCTAACTACCTTGGCATACCCTCGGGCCTAGAGCCACAAGAACAAAAGTACATTGCACCTGCATCTACGATGCACCTAGAGTACGCCCTCACCGCAAAGTCACATTAGTTGGGAACTAGACCACCCGGCTGGGCGCAGCCGCCCCTCGCATCTTTACAGTTTACAGTACGGGAGCAGCTCTGCCCTACAGTATAAGCCCACGAGCCGGACAAATACGAACGTATAACATCCGAGGTACGGGGGCCGGAAATTAACTGCGTCAGCTTAGCTGTGCTCCCGCTAGAGCTATTTTTTTTCGAGTTAATTGTCAGCTTTCAGTTCAATTGGCACTGGCTCATCTTATTAGGGCCGAGTTGGATGTGGAGTAAATAGAGTGTTGCCCCCAATGGCATGGATGGTAGAGAAGGCGAGGGGCAGCGAAGCGAAGTGGCGAGGGTTGGAGTAATGCTGCGCAAGACGGATACTACCGTAATCAATTTGATCTTGGATGTTGTGCCACCAACCTATCTTGTTAATGATTGATAGAGAGGTGCGCTTTACGAATCAATGACTACTGGTACAATATAGGTTAGCTGGAAAGGTACGGTCTTTACAATACTTCGGGACGCGTCGCGGGGGTCTTAGACGCGGAGGAAGGGGATGTTTTGCGTGAGGAGTAGCGAGTTGAAAACAATTTGATTGTACTATTAAGCTATGGTAACTGTGAGCTAAGAGAAGCTAGAGAAGCTAGAGAAGCTAAGAGCAAGCAATCGATGTAATCGACAAGGCATTGAGGTGATGAGAAGAAAGAAAGGAAAAAACCGAGAACAACACTAGAATGCTCTTAATGCACATCATCGTTTTCTTCATAATCTGATTACTTACATATCCTTAATTCACCATTGCCATTCTCCTTCGATTGTCATAGAGCAGGCCTGACTTTCAATTAGTCTGAAGTGAAAGAAGTATTGTGCCGTGGCTCCCTTGTCTATTATTACAATAATCTGCCTATGACGATGCTACTATCAGCCTGCTATACTCTTCTCGCTACTTGCCTGTCATTGTGCTTTACATATGTGCCGAATAATGTATGGCATCTCTTGCTTTACATTTTCGTTCGAGTGTATGGGACTTGGCATAATGCGCCAGCTCTATGTGAATAATTGCTTTGACAGATAGCATGATGGTCTGAGCCTGACACAGCTCCGTTTCACACCTCCTCAAGCGCCGCATCATACACAATGCCGGCCATCTCCCTAGCACGGTCCATCCATCCGATCACTCTTCCACTCTCCTCCTCGCCAATAACCTCGCCCCTGCCCTGAGAACCCTCCTTTCTTTTCGCAACTCTCTCCGCAATAACATCGGCCTGATACCAGATGCCCCAACCCTTCTCCACGGGTATTTTGACCACCTCTTCCGTCTCCAGACCATTTTCATCCAGATGCTCCTCGCCATACCACTGAACATGTAGTTCCTGAGGTCTGATAGGAGGGAAGGGAATAGAAACCGACGCCTTGGTGGCTTCGATACGTACAGCCGGTGCTGCTTTCGTGGCCTGTAGCCGTTGGTAGAAAGCCGGCTTGCTGGAGCCAGGAAGAGTCATGCTCGTCGTGACTATAGCGACTGCCTCCTGTTGCTTGCTGCCGCTCTCATTGATTTTGAATTTGTTGAGTATGACGGTGTTGATATCGTCCACATCCCCAGACACACCCGGAACCGGCATGGAATGCGCATGCACGACTTCAGTCTGCGTGCTATCTTCACTGGATGCAAGGCCATTGAGCGCGAGATCAGCCCACGTCAATGCATAGACGCCCTGATCCAACAAACTTCCCGCTCCGGCCGCTTTATCGAGGAACCGGCTTTCATGGCTCAAGTCCGGGGACACGATGGGGAAACTGAACTCGGCGTACACGCGTTTCACATCGCCAATGCGCGGAAGTAGCTCATTCTGGAAGTAAATCGTAGCAGGGAGATAGCGCGTCCACATCGCTTCCATGAGCACGATATCTCCTTCTTTGGCCAGCTTGCACAGTTGAGTGAATTGCGCGCGATTCATCGTTGCTGGTTTCTCGACGAGCACATTGCGTTTGCACTTCAGGGCCTTTTGCACGTGCGCGTAGTGCAGGGGGTGTGGCGTGGAGATGTATACGACGTCAAAGTCTCCTTTTTCCAGCATCTCTTCCCAGGAGTGGTAGACGGTGATGGACTCGGCATTGGGGATTTTGTTCTGTTTCAGCCAATCGGCTGCACGAGAGGCGCCGCCGGTCGTACTGACTGAGACGAGCTCATGTTTGATAGACGCAGAAGCTTCCCGGGGGAGGAGCAGGTCTGGTAGAAAGACGGAGGCAATGTTGGAGAGGGAGAGTGCAGCCCAGCGGCAGGTGATTTGGTTCTGCGCCATTGTGGGCTACGTGTATATCGTAGTATTGTGCTGGAAGACTTTCGGACGGTGACTTGGGGTCTGGGATTGATTGGCCCTCCTTCCAAAAGAATTCAACTTGTGGCTGCCTCCAGACGTGTGTATTCAGAGAGGCTATCGGAGGTTGAGTATCATCCTAAATAGGGAGGAAGTTGAGCTTACCCCATATCTTGTTCTATACTATTCCCCGGACACTTAAAGCCGAGAGCTAGTTCCGCCACCCATTTAGCCGTTTGTTCAACCATTTAGCCGTCCGCTCAAGCGTTTTACCGACGTATAAGCTCGAAGATTGCTAAGCCAACTAAAATGCCGATGTAGAGCAGGTAATAGCCTATTACAATGTACACCAGATCATCTGTATGGATAGCGATACTGGCGATGCGGGGATATTGGGGCCCCATCAGATTCCTCTGCGGAGATTTTTGCCCCTCCCATTCTATAGCGGCCCCGACATCCTTCAAGCCGCCTGACTTTTTCTTATAAGGGCATAGGTCGTTGGTACAACATTTAAGCCTCTTCTCCAGACTCAGTCCGGTAATTTTTTTTGTTCGCCCAATAGAACTTTTATACAAAACAAGTCTTCATTATGGCAACTGACTTGGTAAGTAACTGGCAACGCAATTTACTATATACCTAGCTTTTGCTAATACTCTACAGTTCACGCTCAAAGGCAAGACCGCCGTTATCACCGGCGCAGCACGCGGCCTAGGTCTCACGTTTGCCACCGCACTGGCGAGCGCAAACTGTAACCTGGCCGTGCTAGATATCCTCGAAGAGCCTTCCCCCAGTCTTCTCGCCCTGCGAGACCAGCATAACATCAAATTGGAGTATTACCGCGCGGACATCACCTCGCGTTCCGAGATCACTGCCGCAATTGAGAAGATCGAAGCGCAGTTTGGACGAATCGATATCAATGTCAATGCCGCGGGCGTGGTCACGGACGAGCCCTTCCTCAAGACGACCGATAAGAACATCGAGCGCACGTTCGCCGTCAACTTTACCGGTTCCTTCCTCGTGGCTCAGGCTTGTGCAAACAGCATGGTCGCTCGGTACAGATCTGCCCACGGCGATGAGCCAGCAACGCAGCCTACGACTGGCACAATCATCTTTGTTGCCAGTATCGCGACGCACATTGCCTCCAGCGCGCAGCAGATCAGTTGCTATACTGCCTCCAAGGCGGCTGTGAAGGGACTGGTGAAACCCATGGCCATGGAACTTGCGCCGTATGGAATTCGAGTCAATTCCTTGAGTCCAGGGTATATGATGACGGATATGATGCGAGGGTTGCAAGAACAGCAACCTCAGCTGGTGGACCAGTTTGAGAAGGAGACTTTGTTTGGGCGGATTGGGATGCCGGACGAATTGAAGGGTGCTATCTTGTACTTGTGCTGTGATGGCGCAAGTGGATGGTACACAGGACAGGATCTGTTGGTTGATGGTGGAGCGAGTACTTGGAAGCATCCAGCTGTTTTAGCATCAAACTAAGAAGGGTGGCAGAGAACGCATTCTGCAACTCTGTGTAAGTTTTGACCATAAATAGAACAATGTACTGAAAATGACCATTACACAACACGACAATTCTTTATATCGCAAAGAGATAGACACCTACTGGGTTTCTTTTACCCCTTTCTCAGCGAGAATTAGGCCCACTACCACGGAGTATTTACCTCTTAAACGCCAAATCGGAACCTTGGAACTTCAAAACTCTCACATACGTATTATATAGGGTAAGAAATGTCAAAACGAAATATCAGTTTCGTATATAACATAGCATACAAGCACGACTTGAACCGAACCAGTTCTGGAATGCCCAACAAACAGCACTCTTCTCATTTCGGTCGATTGATCCCCAATGCGCCAGAGCATCTTCATTAGACTTTGTTTGGTGACGCTTCTACATGATTGAATCCGTTCTTCTCGCTCTCCGCCACAAGTCCCTCCGCCGCAAGCACCCTTCTTGGATCGAGATCCGTAGTGCCATCAACCTCGTCCAAAAGCCTGCGCGAGGCTACGGCAATATTACCACCGGCCTCATTAACGCGTCGGTGATACTCTGCCATGTTCTTGCTCACAAGCAGACTCTCGCTCGTGAACAGCAGGTTGATCTCTTCGAGTGATTTGCCGGCAACCTCGGGATAGAAGAACCAAACGAGGGGCATGGCGACGATGTTCATACAGCCAAAGAAGATGAAGGTGGCCCATCCCAAGTGGTCTAGCATGATGGGGATCACGAAAGTGTTCATTCCGCACCCGATCGCCCAGCCGAGGATAGTGAAGGAGTAACCTTTCGCGCGCACTTCTTGTGGCCAAATTTCCGTGCCATAAATCCAGCATGGGACGATGTTGAACATGGTGAAGAACCAGAGGAAGACGAAAACGAACGCGGCTGCGGCGGTACCAAGGCTGGATGCCATGGCGGGATCGGTGGCTTGGTGATTCTCACTCGCCTTGATCAGCCCGGCGACAAGGAATAAGGCGATACCCTGCGTGACGAAAGACACCATGAGGGATTTAATCCGGCCCATGCGGTCGATCACTAGTGATGCGGCGGCGGTGCCCAGGATACCAAAGGTGTTGACCAGACCGGCCAGCCAGGCTGACTTGTTGGCATCGAACCCAGCAAGGCTGAACAGCGTGCCAGCCCAGGTGGCAATAGCGAGGATACCGGTCCATTGCTGGATCTGCTGGAGGGCCAGACCCATGACAACGCGTCGACCCAGATGCAGTTTCCCCGAGAAGCGCCCGCCGAGGGCGAGATTGAGAAAATTGTTTCGTTTGTGGTGCGATGCTTCGACAATTGCTTCGAGCTGCTCAACTTCGGCAAGAAGCTTAGGGTCACGGGGATCCAAGTCGCCACGGATCTTGCGCAGGATTTCGATAGCTTCGTCGGGGCGATTGTTGGACATCAGCCATCTCGGCGACTCGGGCAGAAAGAAGACAGTAAGAATAACAATCAAGACAGGGACTGCCATGAATGCCAGGGGGAAACGCCATTGGAATTCCGGGTTGGACGACCTGATACCGAAATTGAGCCAGTATGCAATCACAATGCCAGCATAGTTCGCAACGAAGACGAGCGAGAAGTTGGAGCCGCGGTCGTGTGCTTCAGAGAGCTCGCTCACCCACGGCGGAACGATAGCGTTGATGAACCCGATACCGATCCCTGCGATGATACGCGCGCAGATGAACATGTTACTGTTTACACTGCCGGCCATGAGCGCCGCGCCGAGCAAGCAGAAGAGTGAGCCGATCCAGACGCCCTTTTTCCGGCCGAGCTTGTCTCCTACCCACCCTGTTACCAGTCATCAGTATTTCAAAGCGCAATTATCACAGAACAAGGGATTTTGAAGTGATTTGTTCGTACCTCCAACGAAACATGCCCACATGGCACCAAAATAGTACGCTGCGAGCAGACCACCCTGCTTGGTGCTGTCGGTCACGACACCATTGGACCCGATGCCAGCCATGTCTATGAAGCCTGGCGTCGTACTGACGGTGCCCAGAACTCCTTGGTTGTAGCCTTCGAAGATGAGCGCAATAGCGGTGAAGAGGTTGAGGAGAAACATAAGTGCCTTTCCGGGCAAATGTTTCCAGAGTTGGACGGCCATGATGAGGGCACGTATGTCGGACTGCCTCTGCGATCTGTGAAACTGAATGAGGTCGATGGGAGCGAAGGCAGACCAGGGATGATAGAGTGCTCAGGTGAAATCACATCGCAGGGCATTTGGATGTTTATATGGATGGTCATTCTGACGACAAGGAGCACACGCCACCCTATCGGCTCTAGACCCCAGACCCCAGACTCCCGACCCATTCACTCACGGGGAAAGCTGGGCCGATGCTGCCGTAAATCTGCCCCGAGCCGCAGGTCCGAAGCCTTTCAGCAGTTTAGCCTCCCTTCTCCCCGTATTGTTCCCTTGGCTTGACCGTCCAAGCCGTTTAGCCGTTTAGGCATTTAGCCATAACCCTTCGAATAGGATTCCGGGGCCGACCAATCAGGAGTTGGTCATGATTTAAGCTCTGTACCCCAGAAGTATATCCCTAAAGACCCCATAGACCCCAGAGAGCCGGCAAAAACAAAACCATTGTAGCGGTAATTCCATGCAGGCCGACCATTTCACCCACATTGTCGTTGGCGCCGGTTCGGCGGGCTGCATTGTGGCCCGTCGGGTGGCCGAGAACCGGGCCTTTAACGTCCTGCTGATCGAAGCCGGGCCCGACGTTGACACATCTCCAGCCAATGCTTCTTCCATGCCCCTTGGTGTGCATGATGCCCGTCGGGTCCCCATGGCAGGTCAATCCGCGACCTTTGACCCCAAGATCGACTGGAATCTTGAAGTCGACGTGCCTGGCGGAGGGCAGATGATTGTCCCCCAGGGAAAGGTTATGGGCGGAGGGAGCAGTATCAATGGAGGCACTTTCTTGCGACATACAGAAGCCGATGCGCGGGAGTGGGTTGCATTGGGAAATGATGGATGGGATTTTGAGAGTTCAGTCTCTGTATACGAAAGACTCGAAGGTGACCCCCTTCGAGGCACACGCGGACCGCATCCCATTGCCCGAGCGAGTATGGACGAAGCAGGCAAGATTCAGGCTGCCTTCGTCGACGGTGCTATATCTTGCGGTTTCCAATTTACCCCGGATGTCAAGGCCACGGGAGCAGAGGGTGTCGGTCCGGCGCCCGTCTGTCGTCGTGGCTCCACTCGGGTCAGTGCAGCGGACACTTTTATCGGCCCGGCCCGAAGCTTCACCAATCTTACCATCCTGACCGATTCGTCCGTGGATCGAGTGCTCTTCCATGATCAGGACTGCAAGGCCGAGACGGTGGTGCTTGCCAACGGCCGCAAGATACACGCAACCCACGAAATCATCCTTTGTGCGGGCGCCGTATTCTCGCCGGCTATCTTGCAACGCTCGGGTGTCGGCCCAAGGGAGCTACTTCAACGGCATGGAATCAAGCCTGTCGTTGAGCTGCCGGTGGGAATGAATCTCAGCGACCATCCATGTATCCCACTGGTCGCGAGGCCACGATCCGGAGCCTACACGGACACGGATTATTCCTTGCAGATGCAAGCTCGATGGTCGTCGTCGCTAAATCCCGGTGCGGTCGACTTGCAGATAATTTGTTTCTCATATCTCTTCGCCCAGCCGGCGGATCCGTCCTCACCCCAAGGAGGCCAGTCGCGCAGGAGCTTGGGGGGCACAGAGACCGGTCATGTTGCGGGAATAGGATGTAATATCAATAAGCCCACTTCACTCGGCATAGTGGAGATCCGCTCCAAGGACCCGAACCAGATGCCGCGAGTACGTCCTAATTATCTGAGCACCCCGCACGACCGAGCTCTGGCGCGAGAAGTGGTGCGCACTGCGTATACCGTGCTCACGTCGCCCGCCATGCAAAACGTACTCGCGGCGCCGTTGGGCATCACTTCGCAAGTTGTCGCCGACGATGTGATGTTGGATGGTTATATACAAGCTCAATATTCGACGACTTACCATTTCTGCGGCTCGTGTCGAATGGCTGATCGCGAGAAAGGCGGTGTTGTGGATCAGAGCGGACGGGTGTATGGCGTGAGAGGGCTGAGGGTGGCAGATGCGAGTGTGCTACCCACTGTACCGGCGGCAAATACGATGGGGAGTTGCATGTTGGTAGGGGAGATGGTGGGAAAGAGCATCTGTGATGGTCGAAGTGTTCAGAAGGCAGTCAGATCTCACATATAGGTAGTACCTGGAAGCGGGTCGTGCCGCCGAGTGTTCTGAACCTAAATCTGTGTATCATCATGGAGAAGTGTGAAGTGTCGACGTGGAAAATTCCCATCGCATTGTGTCTCTAAAGCTACTCAGACTAGAAGATGGTCCTACTAATACTAATCACTCTTCTCCAAGATCAAAACTGGATGCCTGCCTTTGACAGTCAATATCTTCTCGCCCACTTCGAGAGCCATCTTCCAATCTAAGTCGTATGTTCGTTTGACATTATAAGTGACAAATGTTGGTGCTTCATGAAGCTTGAACTGATCTTGCTGGAGTTTTAGATCGAGCAGACGTCCTAGGTCTAGGGCACTCGAGTTGTCGTCAACCGGTAACCTCAAACGACTGCCAAAGGATGATGCATGCTTGTCGGAAGGATTCGCTCCAAATTGGGCTTCGCATTGGACTCCATCATTCCTCTGTTTTGTTCTCTTTGATTTTGGATATTCTGACTGAATCATTCTCATCTTGAAGTGATTTTCGCGCACAACTGCTCCGCCACCCATCATCCCGTTTGCGAACGCTATAGAACTTGATGTCGAATGAATAGCAAGAGCAAAACTAGTTATTCCAATATTCTGGGCCACATTCGCAATGCATTTGCTCGTGTCTGCCCATTGGGGTATAGCTCGTATCTCAAAAGGAATGGGATATGGACTGTCTTTTTGAAGAACCGAAGCTACGCTGATTTCTAAGCAGAAAGTAAGATGCGGATTTCCAGAAACACCTAGGACCTTGGCGATCTGTTGTCTTTTGGAAATTCTGGCAGTGTCCCCAACAGGAGCTAGGTGAGGAGAGGTGACTGTGTAATACTGTCGGGAATGTAACTTGACATCGAAGTCAGTTATCGGGAAAGGGGAAGATTCACATCGAAGCCGAACTGGCAACCGAGCCACGGCAAACTTAGAGGCGTCAGACGTCGTTATTGTAGCTTCCAGATAGTACTCAACAACTGCAGAGTCGCGACTTGAACCAGCAGTACTGTTGGTAAGATCAAATGACGGTGGAAGAGCATGCAAATTGGCGGAGGATAGGGGCAGGTATGACGCCTTCCCAAATGGATGGAACCTCAAACAGCTTTGATCAGGATGTTCAGGTATATCGATTTCAAATGGCCAGCTCTTTTTATCTGGACAGGATCTTTGAATATGTAAGGCACCATCGAAAAGCTCACTTTGAAATCCATCCTGCCCAAACAGGGCCAGGCTGCTGCAACATGAAGAATCACGGTTGAAGAATTCAGTGCTGCACCTGCCATGGAGATTGATCATAACTCTTGTTTCAGTGCTGGCCCAAGGCGAGATCCGAGAAACATAGCCGGTAATTCGTTGACCAGGGAGGAATGATTCGGCTGAGTCCAGGTGGATTGAAAGATCAGAACCGTTACAAGCCAGAACTCTTGCCATTACTTCGTAACTGTTCAATTTCGGTGGCCTGCTGATCTGGGTGCTCATGAGATCGGACGAAGGTTTTGATAATGTGATGATCATCCAAGAGTATGTTAGATCATGCAGAGTAGATGGTAGTAAGAGACATAGACGACTGGATAATGAACACTCGAGGGGGTAGGATAATCTTTATACGAAAAGAGTAGTCGATTGCACAAGAATGAAGTTAGATGTCCCGTATACGAATACAATAGACCGAAACACATATGACAAAGCAGAGTATGCTAACGTAGTTGTTATTTGAGAAGCCTGAGTTCTACATTTGTGGGGCTATTTCCATATCACCGCTTGATTTCATTGCAGTCGACCGGTTTAGAAGCGGTACTTCGGAATAAGACAAAGTAAAAAGATGCATAGTATATTTGATGGATATATCTGAAAGACAGACATACTTCCGAGGTATCGGAGTTGATATATCGCGAGCCGTAATTGATACGTACTGTTCTGAGATTGACAGGCAGCTGGTCGGATATATACCTAGGTTGACATTGATGACACGACAGAAATGTTCATGACACGATAAGGCTAGTCCTAATGAGGAGCGTTACCCCGTCAACTACATTCGAGGTTTACAAAACACCAGTAGAGTCCTTATGAATATATAAGCCTATATCTTAGAAAAGATATAGAAAAGATGATAGTAGGAAGGGGAGTAGAATAATGACTTAGTCTGTTATAGGGATAAATAGATAGAGGTCGCGTATACAGTCGCTAAAGATATTAACGAGAAGTATCGATATGTATTATAAATAATGACTCGGTATGTATTGGGTGAATTTCGAATGTAGCATTCTGTATTGAAAAGGGGGAGGGGGGTGGTTTCCTCATTTCCTCATCAGGATTAGCCTCGTCATGCCGTGAAACTTTCTGTCGTGTCGTTAATACCATCTGTCCTTTGCCTAGGACTGTCACTATGGCTGATTGATTGAATAAAATGCAGTGTATTGGGACTATAATTAGTCGAAGTTCGCGCATACCTGGCCGGAGTAAATAAGCACTTGGTCGGAATGAATATGCACCTGGTCGGAATGAATATGCACCTGGTCGGAATGAATATGCACCTGGTCGGAATGAATATGCACCTGGTCGGAATAAATATGCACCTGGTCCGAATAGATGCGAAAGGGATTATTTTTGTGATTTATAGCCAGTTATGATACGCGAGACATCGGATACTTTGACTACCACATGTCACGTGTCAACCCAATTTATACCGTAATCCTTAATCGAGCCGTGAAGCCCAAGATCCTAGTGCTTGGGTTAAATTGCAACTCTACCTTTATAAATGAGCCTCCTCTATGTTGGAAACCAATTTCAAGACACATCCATTACTTTTCTTGGGTTGATAGTGAGAACTTACTTAACCCACTAGCTTTGATACGGCGTGAAATCGCAAAAGAAGCTTTGTGAGAGCTGAATTGCCAGATATTCTCGTTTTTGAAAGAAGAAGTACCTTCTATGCCTTGTAGAAAGCTACAGGCTTACAGATATCCATTTTATCTGATATCGTGATAATGTACCGTGGGACTGAGCTTGGTAACGATGTTGGCCTTCCATCGGACCTCACCATATAATTCAAGACTCTTAAATGAAATGCTTTACCAATAAGACCTGCAGAAAACGACTGGCTGTGGCGAATGACCCGCCACCCCTTCTTAACTCGCCATTATCCAAGTACACTATCACAGTCATAATGAAGACGGGATGATGTCTCTGACGATGCTTCTGTTTGACAAACCTCTTGCGGCCATCCTGAATCATGGTAAAGCTTTGATATCCATCATGGCCACTAATCTCGTCAGTGATAGCGGCCAGCCCTGACCTGAGGAAGTGTCTTGCAGGCGAGGGACAGCCTATAAGCTTGCTTCTGTGCTATAGTATCCAATCCTGGCCATCAATGTTCTCCAGCCAAAGCCTGAATGCATGATCTGGACCTGAAACAGGCGCACTCATTCCATGACTGAAATCATCCGTCATCAAGTAGCCATCTGACCCATATGCGTTGTAAATCGTATTGTTAGTGAAAACGCTGGTGTCGAGCTGCTGTATTGGTGCAGAAGAACCATGACAATTTCGATCCACAGTTTTCGGAAGGCTCAGGATCTTGTCAAGGACCCGAGAAATTAATTTTCGGCCCTTTTCGCAAAGTTCTTTATCTCCAAACATTGGATCCAAGTCACTCAGCTTATCTGTGAAGATACATAGATCTTGGATTGTCCTGCTTCGAGGCAGAAGCGGCTCGTTGAGATAAACTGGGAGTTGTTCCTGCTTTAAGAGTTCCACCGCCAGTATAACCGCACTGCGAAGTCCATGTACTGCTAAGAAGTAGATGAATGACGTTGCTGCAGACATTTCGACACGTTTGTACAGTCGCATCACATCACTCAGGATTGTCTGTGCCGTGATAATTAATCCCACGGGGCCCGTACCCGCTTTGTGCATGAGTACGCGGTGCAGTAGAAGTGAATTCACCTGCGGACCTTGGCGAAAGACGTTTTGAAAGTGTAGCTCGATGACCTTTTGGGTCTCGAGCCCGAATTCCCCACCTTTTAAATTCAATAGAACTTGGGGAAGAGCTCCCCAATGTGCCTCCGTTTTGCGTTGAATAATGTCTGCATTTTCCCGCACCTCGTCTGAAGTGAAGTTCCCTAATGAAAGCTCCAGGATGTCCTCTCTCCTTGTCATAAAACCGATTGAAGACTTTATCCAAGAGACATGGCCAATATCTCCATCTCGATTAAATCCCTGCTCGTCCAGATGAGCAATGGCGACCGCTAGCTCCTGTGGATCTTCCGAAAACAATTGCGGGTCCGTCAAATCTAGCGGCGGATCTAAGTTCATATAACGATGCGACAGTCGTGGTGGACGGCCCAGAAACGTAGCTATACTGATCTCCGCTATGTAAATCATTGCTCGAAGTCGTTTGCGCAGTTCAGCGAGGAAAAATGGAACTTGGCCATCTGCTTTGATCTCCTGGTGAAGACCCATCGCAATGAGGGCGCTATTCACTTCGGCACCGATACAGTACGTCGTATAACAAGCTTCTCCCTTGGTATATTTGGTAATGTTGTAGTGCTCGAGAAGGGCACAGATGAATATATCATCCAAAGCTCCGCTTTCTCGACAAAATCTGAGAGATACGTCTGAAACTTCGGTCATATCATCCAACAGTGATTTGCGATCCACGTTGAACTCCTGGAAAAATGGATCTGATGAATTTGTTACCATGGCATATGTTGCCAAGTAGTTGGCGATCATGGCGATCACTCCCCAGCGTATGTGTTCGCCCGTGGCAGAGCAAATCCACTGACTTGCAGTGGTTCTGCCATCAAACACTTGTGGTGTCGCCGTGTTCTCACAGAGCAAATGGCTTAGCCGCCGTATCTGCTCGGGGTTCTGATTTAACAAAACTTCGCCATGAGCAAACCACATTTGTGATAGCCACTGTCTCACAATGAACTCGCCACAATGAATATGGATACATTCGATAGATTGGAAAAACAAGTCGATGCCACGATCTATCATTGCCCTGTTATGCAGGAAAGAGAGAGCCCGACAACCACTGGCGATTCTTTCGCATGGAATGGGTTTCTTGTGGACAGCCGTGGCTGGTTCAAGGCCGCTGGAAGTTATACCGAGTCGTGTCAACTCCTCTATCATGATGGATGTGTGGGAGGTAAAGCCAAGGAACCCGTGCTTGCCCGGCCAAGTTTCCGAAAAATCAGATAATGGCGGTGCTGACCCTGCACGATGTGGTAGTGCGAAACTCGCCCTGTGGTTGTACCATTGCGAAAAGGTAACAATCTCGGTTTCATCGCCTCCGCGATCTTGCCCATTCGAGAAGCGAGAGACAGCGCTACTCGGCTGTGGTGGCGTCAGGACGTTTGGTATCGCAGTCGCAGTTGTAGTGGCTTCTTGACGGTGCTGGTGAGACAGTCTTATGTTAGGAGAATCTATGAGAAGCTGTATTCCTACACACAGTGTGGGAATGGAATGTCTGTTTGCTTACACGTGTAAGAGGGTTCGGGTGATAGTGGCATTCGTCAACACATCGCCTCCTTATACATCTTCCGCAAGGAATTCTGTGATCGCACGCAACTTTCGACTTTCGGCATGGTTCGCAGGACTGCATTTTATGATTTCGACGGTATCTAGCAATGAGGACTTGATCCGTACGTTGCACTCGTCCCGACCGCCTGCTAGACCCCATGTCGACGGGACGGATAGGGAAAAGGGGGGTTAATGAACAACCTTGACAAGGTGCTACAGAAGTAACGCCAAAGATAGAGAGCGAGCGAGTCTAGAATGAATTTTCTCACACATCAAATGATGCCAAAGTGGAAACAGTGTGATTCATAATCATATCAAAAGAGTCCCGTCTGCTCTTAGGAAGGGAATACATGAACTTCTAGGATGGATGGAAAAGAACGTTCTCATGCGACCGTAAGCAGGCTAACCACAAGCTGCGCTCAATGGAACCTCAAAAAGGCCTGGTGTCTGTGCCTTGGCAGAGTGCCCACATGATTTCAGCGTGCGTCCATTGCCAAAGACACAGACACCACGCAGACTGAGTGGGGCTGAGAGGCCAATTTCTTAGTACTATAGTAATATATAGATTGAGCTTAGACCAAGAGATTAAGATCGACCTCGCTTTTACCAAGCGGCTGCGGCAGGAAGAGATCAGTATATAGAGGAATGAGCTGAGCCACAAGCGCCAGAGCGATGTTCATGACCATTTTGCGGGTGATTAGGGGGTTGCTGGATACAACAAATTTAGTATATAACGATTTGGGTAGCTGCAAACAATAGTTTGTTCTAGCCAGGTTTTTCTACATAGTTCGTTATAGCTGGGTTTTACTGCAACGGTTCGGCTGAGCCGAAAGGCACGGATAGTTGTGGCGACCTGGAGTCGATGCCTTCTGGCTCGTGTGCCCGCTATCTCTGTCATCTGTCGGATGAGCCCCACCACCACTCCGCTACATCCGCATCTTAAAATAACCAATGCTTCCTCGGGCACCCGGATTGAAGCTACGATATAGCCCCGAGCCCCGTTCAATTTACAAAGATCAGGTGATATAAAAGTCAACCTCAAGCTCAGTCCATCAAAAGTCACTATCAGCCAAACGCCATCAGCCACAGCAACGTGTCAGATCTCAATTTCAGCAATTCAAAAACACACTTCAAAATCACAAGCCAAAATCCTTTCAAGATGCCATCTCCCTTCGAATCGGCTCCACGTGGCATCATGGTCCTGAACAACTTTCTCTTCGCAAGTGCAGCCTACTTCGCCGACTGCAGCGAGTCACATCTTTTCAATCCCCGGTGGCCACCACATGCCAGGTTTCACAATGGCCAGAGTATGTCCTTTGGCGCGCTGGCTGCAGGATTGGCCATCTACCTTCTCTGCCGCCGTAGTCTTTCGCTTGAGGCTGCCAAAGACAATCTTTTCTCTGCCGCCTGTGTTGGTTCTTTGACTACGATCGCGGGTCTTTCTGCGATCTTTTACCCTGGGACTGCGTGGGTTGATCCTGAATTCGCCAATGGAGCTCGGATAGCGCCCCAGGTATACGTTTTTTGGGGCCAGCTGTTGATTAATTGGTGCGCGTATGTATTGGAGAAGGGGAGACTGGACAAGCTTGAGAAGCCGAAGAGAAGCATTTGAATTCGGCGTGACTTGCTTCTTTTTCAGGGCTATCTAGTTTATGTGTGACTAGACTCTTGGGCGTTATATTTCATCTGTTGCTTAAAATCTCTATACCCTGCTGGTGTGGGATGAATTATATGCCGTGCTCGGCAATTTGGTGGTGACAATATTGGATATATGCCAGCAAAACTGCTCCCAGGCCTACACGAATATGGAAGGTGAAGGTTACTATATGAGCTGTACATAATAGACACGATGCACGGAAAGGTAGAAGAATGGAAATCATCGGTAGGGATCAACACTTAGACAACACTACTAAGCCGAGAGATAATTTCCTTAAAGGCCATCGACAAGGTGTACCGGATAAGAGTTACAATAAACGGGGACAGGATCTCTCCAAGTATCAGAAAAGTAGACTGATATCAGAAAAGTAGACTGAAGTATTTACCGTTACATAGTTTTGTTGTGCAATGTAAAAAGAGGGCTTTAAAAGATTCTTGCCAACGCCAGAGGTATGTAAAAAAACAAGGATAGAAGTAGAAAGAAATCACGGAGAGATTTACTCTCGAGAATGGAAGACAATGGCCAATCCCAGTCTTAACAAACTCAATCCTCCTCCATATTCTCACCGAAAAGTTCATCATCGTCGCCCTCCTCGGCAGCGGCAGCAGCGGGGGCAGCCCTTTCAACAACCTCTTCTTCCTCCTCGTCGTCATCATCATCCTCAATCCGACGAGAAGCCTTCTCCCGTCTGCGCGGTGCAGCTTCCTCCTCCTGACCACCCTCCTCCTCATCCACACCACCGAAAAGATCCTCATCATCATCATCCTTCGGCGACGCAGGGACACCCTCCTCCTCCTCGTCGTCCTCATCCGAATCAACCACAACCTCCGAACTCTTAAACTTGCTCGACGCCTTCGCGCCACTCCTCCTTTCCAGACGACGCTTCTTCTTCGGCACGGCCTCGCTCTCACTCAATCCCGCGTCACTGCCACCACCGGAACCGGCCTCCTCGTCGTCCGCCGCGACAAAGTCGTCCTTCTTCTTGCGCTTGCCAATCTTCTTCTTCCGCTTGACGCGCTCCCCATCGCTCCCCTCGGTCAACTCGGCTTCTTCACGGACCCGTTCTCGCTCCGCGCGCTGTGCGGCATGGCGTTGTGCTTCTTCGACCATTTGGGCGCGTTCGGCGGCAATCTTGCGCTTGCGCTCGGCCTCGACTTCTTGTGCTTTACGGACTTGTTCCTCGCGGGCGGCGATGGCCGCGGCGCGGGCTTCGCGTGCTTCCCGCAGTTTGGTCGCGTTCTTCTCTTCGTATTCTTTCTGGCTTTGCAGGGCACGGTCGAGTTGCTTGGCGATTGTGCGGCCCATGTTGGCGCGCTGTTCGAGAGCGCTGGCCGGGTAGGGTGGGCTCTTTTCCTTGGACAGACGGTCAAAGGTGTCGATGGCTTCTTTGAGACCTTCGGCAGCTTCTTCGACGTCTTGAAGGGTCTTTTGGGTCGGGGCGAGACCGTATGCTAGCGAGGCGATTTGGTTCTGCACAAAGGCGACGTTGAATTGGAGGTGGAGGGCGTCTGGGGAGACGGCGTGGGCACGCTGAGCGTATTCCAGGGCGGTTTTCATAGCTTGCAGGCTACCTTCTTGTTTGGCTTTTAGTTGCCAGACTCGACCAAGGCAGGCTAGAATTTGCACATCGCGGGCGCGGTCCTTTGCCAGCGCGGCTTCGTAGTGCTCGATCGAGCGCGAGTATTGACGTAGCTCGGCGTAGACGTGGCCGAGGTTCAGATAAACGCTGGGATCCTTGATGGTGTCACGGACACGAGCGAGAATCTGCACAGCGCTGCTGTGATCTTTCTTGTCGTCGATCAGGGCAATGGCCACACCCTGGGCGGCGTAGGCATTCTTCGGATCCAGCTGTAGGGCCTTGTCGAAGAATTCGACGGCACGTTGGTACATCTTGCGGCGCTTCTCCTTCTCTTGGTCGGTGTCGCGGCGCATATCACGAGCCACGAGGAGGTGAACATTACCCATACCTGTCAACGCGTACCGGTCGTGCTTGTCGTGATATTGCAGGGTGTGCTTGTAGTGGCGCTGTTCGTGGTCTTCATTGATGTTGGATACCCGCTTCTTCGACTTGCTGAGGTACCAACCGAAGAGAGACCGGACCTCCAGGTTCGACGAGTCACTTTCGTACAGCTTGGCAATCTTCTTGGGGCCCTCATCAGTGGGACTCTGACGCAGGGCAATATATGTCAGACGGGCGCTGGCTTCGGTGTAATCGCTGTGGCGCTCGAGCAGACCCTCGTAGACCTTCTTGGCCTCATCCCACATATCAGCAGCCTCATATGTCCGACCCAAATTATAGCTAATCGTCGTAACGAGTGCGTCATTATCGGTACCGTCAGCCCGCTCTGAAGACTGTACACAAGCGTTCAAAGCAGACTGGAACATGCCACGAGCCAAAGCGATCTTCTCACTCTGGTACAAGAAGCAACCCATGTTGTTGAGAAGCTGAGGGGGTAGACTCTCCCGCAGAGTAGACTTCAACTGATCGTCATCCTCAATATCCGGCCGCTCACTCTCGGGAATGCTGGCAATCTGCAACTCCTCTAGCTGCGTCAGGCACTGCATGCTCTTTTCCGGCGCCGAGCTCTCATAAAGCCGGGCCAGATAGACCAGCACTGATTCATCCGGTGTGAGCATTTGCTTCTCGTCCTTCCACATCGAACGCACGGACTCGAGGAGCGTGATAGCCCGCTTGCTTTCACTCGACTTGTCTTCCTTGCTACCAGAGCGTTGCGCGGCGAAGACTTCTTCCGCATGGAGAGCGCCCAGCAACATCATCGCCTCGGCGTTCTTGGAGCTCTGTACAATCTTCTCCAGCTTGAACTTGGCACCGTCCAAGTCCTTGTTGGTGACCTGCATCTGCACCGCGCCAAATTTGGCCGGAAGATAGCCCTTATCGCCGCCACCGCGAGCCTGGTCAGAGCGGTTGTAGAACTCTGTTGCGCGTGCGATATCCCCCTCGTAGTGAGATTTCCGCCCGAGGAGGTACCAGCCATCACTAGCAATGGGCATGACGTCCGTCTGCTCAATAGCCTTGCGAGCCAAAGTCTCGACTGTGGGGTATGCCTTGCGGAGGAGGAAGTAGCCGCCGAACAGGGCGCAGGTCATAGGGTATTCCTTATCCAGCTTGAAGGCTTTCTGTGTGTATTGCGTCATGGCCATTTTATACAAAGATCCGAACTTGGGATCGGCGGTCGAGCGACGGGAGCTGTCGTGGAGGTAGTAAACAGCGAGGAGGACGTTGGCAACCTTGGAGTCGGGGTTCTACCGTGAATAGGTACGGTTAGCATAGAAACACATGAGAGGAAAAAACTATAACACACCAGAGCCAGCGAACGCTCCCAGGCAACCTTGGCCTGATCCTTGAAGCCCAGCTGCCACAAGCAGCAACCCAGGCCGATTCGGGGGTCGGGATCCGTCAAGTTCGGCACCTGCATCAGGACCTTCTGGTAATCAGCTAGGGCATCCGCATATCGCCCCAGCATGTACAGCGCACGAGCGCGACCCAGGATGGCCATAATGTTCCGCCCACCGAAAGCCTTGGAAGACTCATCGAAACATTTCAGCGCCTGTCGTAGCGATTCCACACGATCAGACGTGTCGACCGTACCGGGGCGCACCGCACGAGGCGGATGCAACGATGCCCGGAGAAGACACAAAACACCGCGAGCGAGGAAGAGAGGCGGGTAAGCCGGGTTCAGGCGAGAGGCCTCGTTGAGAATTGACGTGGCCTGCTGCAGGTAGAAATCTTTCGTCTTTGCTTCGGTGTACAGCTCGCCCTCCGGCGCGACACGCGGCGCCTGTCGACTCTTCAGCATGAGCAGCCAGCAGATCCATCCCAGGAGTCCGAGCTTCTCCTTTGTCGCGCCGTGGGCGACGGAGGAGAGACCCTTTTGTAGGATATCGAGCGCATGGTCGAGTTGTTTTCGCTTGGCGTAGGCCAGGGCAATAATAACCCAGAAGTTCTTGGCAGCGCGCTCGTTCTCGAGCAGTGTGCACAGTTCGGTCGGATCTTCTGGGAGGTCGAGGAGACTGACTTCGACTTCGCTGTCGAAACTGGAGGCCGGGATATCGATGGCGTCGGGGATGTCGGAGAAGCGGAGGGAGGAATTGGTGGTGGTGGTGGTGGTGGTGGTGGTAGTCTCGCCGTTCAAGCCATTGGAATGGCCATTTTCGAGGGGTGCCATGGCGGCGATGATAGTGCGCCGGACAGACTGTTTGCAGGAAGTGGGAAGAAGAAGGGCGAGGAGAGGTGGTTCGTCTCTCTTTCTCGAGGATGCGGGATTGCGACTGGGAGGATTGAAAGGGTTGTAGATGGAGGGACGATCCCTTAACTCATGGTCAAGTGAGAGGGGCCCTTTAGCGACGAAATTGAAGGGATGATGTCTTGCGCCGGTTCACTTAGGAGTTGAATGGCGGGTTGCCGGAATCAACGCGCAAGTGAATCGGGTGAGCTTCGGTTCAAGGTGCTGGTCAGTTGAGAATTGGAGGCTCGGAGGGTGGCTGGTGCGGGCCACACCGCCACAGTGCCACACCAAGGTCAATACTGTAGCTTCAATCAGGACTGCGCCTAGGTACTGGTTGAGTGTAGTTATCTGAAAGAGTCTGAATAATCACAGGGAAAAAGCAGGCATTTTGGATAGTTGTCAAAGAGGATGATCATAATTTATGTATTTCGTTCAATATTCATGTAGGAAGCTATACGTCAAGCTATTATCCACGTTTTATCATCATATCATGCCCGACCCAACCGAAGACGAAAGAGGAGTCGGTGTCCACACTCCGAATCCTTTGAAAAGACTATTGACACCACGTGCAGAAAACCCTGCATAGGAATGCAAGACCAAGCAGAACAATAAAGATCTGGATCAGTTCAGCCCAGTGATGCAACCGGACATAGGACTCTACATAACCACCAGAGATGGCTACTTTCTGCTCCTCGGTAGCATTCTTAGCCTCGATGGAGCCGGCCAGGTCGGAGGGAAATCGACCAGTTTCAAAGTAGTGATCCATAAGCTCGTCCTTTTCGGCCCAGCGAGCCCGCAGCCATTCATCAAATGCCTTCTGGTCGTCGAGGGGGATATCTGCGACGGCAAAACGTCGCCAGTGCATGTTGACAGAGGTTGGTGGCCGGCCTCGCACGTACGTGGAGCGGAGGGTGAAGTATTTGTCCGGGTAGCTGCCCTTTCTGTATATAGAACGAGTTCAAGTCAGTGGTCCAAAGAGCGGAATGTAAGGAGCTTTTTTGGGGAGGTAGGCAACGTACGGTGGGCCCTCATAGGCAATGGTGCTGTCGTACACGTACTCCACAGTTCCACGTAACTGCTGCAGACAGAAGAACAGACCCGTCGAGCGAGGCAAAATCATATGATTAAATGACGGATACCCTTGCTTCAAACCAAACTCATCACTCCGGCGCTTGGTATTCAAGGACAAATTTGTCCCCTCGGGAAAGATCAACAGCCACATAGGGTCAAACTGCGACTTGCCAGATTTGGAACCTGAGAGCTTCGTCTTCAATTTCTCCAAGCGATGTTGAAGTCGGGGTTTATCAGACTGCCATTTCCGCGCCATGAAAATAAACCCATAGAACATCATGCCTTGACCCATGACGGGGATATACTTGAGCGATTCTTTCAGAATGATAAAGATCCGGCCGTGCATCACATTCGTATAAGCGATCCACCATAGATATACCCAATCAGTATATACTTGGTGGTTAGCGATCAAGACCAACCGCTCCGGGAATCGTGTCTGCAGCATCCCATCGTCGGATAGATGCAACTGACCCCGGACACTCTCGTCTCCACTGACCCGGAGCAGAGTTGGACAGCCATACTCTGTCAGAGCGGCGATTACCAGACCAAAGTTCTGTTTCGTGTAGGCCATGTACGTGTAGTACCAGTCCTTGTTGATCAGGTACAAGGGGGCACCGACGAGCTGGGTGACGAAGATGAGGACGCAACAGCAGTCGAACCAGGTGGCCATTGCCAGGGAGCGGGCGATTTGCATCGGGATGCCATGTTTCAGGCGTGGCTCGACGGGGGGTTTCGTGGAGTGTTTTTGGAGCTCACTGGTATCCTGGCGGGGAAGAGGCTTGCGCTGGCGAACCTCGGCTTCACTCATCATGGGTGGAATGACAATGAGAGAAGGGAGGAAGGGAGAGGGTCGGTCGCCGGTAGGTCTGAGGTTAAGAGGGAGCTGGACTAAGTACAGACAAGAGAGCCGGAGAGCTAAGGAGCAACTCCAGGGAGCTGCAGAGTCCAGTCCACCAGGGTTTGTGTCTTTGATCCTTCGCGGGATGCGGCGGATGATCGACGGAGTGGGCGGTGACTGGCTCTGTTCCGGATGATATGACGAGCGGTCGCAAAGATAGGACAAACAAGGGAGGAAGGGCGAGAGAGAGAGATGGGAGATAGATTTAAAATCAGTGGTTATTGAAGCTCCATAGTCTTTGGGAAAAAAAAAAAAAAAAAAAAAAGGTCTGGGACTGGAGAGTGGGATGAGCTGGACTGAGCGAGTCTCGTGAACGAACCGTCCGCGGGCAGCTCATAACGTCAGAGTCGGAGCTCATTGTGGGGCTTGGCCTGGCCGAGCCCCAGTTTGCTTCATCCTCGTATCTGTCAACACGCGTACTTGGTTGGGCGCCTAGCGAGGGTACATGGCTACTGTAGTAACTTATGATATCTTGATAACGGTCGACCTCAGCTTCGCGGAACCTGGAGTGCAATCCGATGCTCATGTCTCGAGATCCCCTGCCCGTTCCTATCTCCTCCCCCGCATCACAAGATCCGCTTAGCACGGGCTCAATCCCCGATCGCTTATCGCTTGTACCAAGGTAAACGCGCCAATTCTTTGCCGGGTCAAAGTACTAGGAAAATTCTTAATCCTGAGGGTGGGGAGTGACTTTGAGAGGGAATGATAAATGCTCCGTGGCGTACTTAAAACCCCTGCTCGGGCTGAGAGGACGTCAAAAAGGACTATACTGATTTTAGGTAGAGACAAAGCTTACCCTCTCGCCAAGGGCTGATACTTGGCATGGACGGTATATGATTCAGTGATAGGAAAAGTCGACCAATTGATTTGATTATCCTTTGAGGGTCCATTCTCATGAGAATTTGGGAGTTTGAACACCAGGGAAGTCTGTTGATCAGGGTCGGAAATCAGCCCGTTTGGCATGATGATGAAGTTCGGCACCAGGAGCCAGGGTGGAATGATGGGCTGTATCGAAGCGACTTGAAACTTTTGACTTCTGCTCTCTATTACTGCGTCGTTCGCGTAGAAACCAGCATATATAGAGAAGTGGCCAGCTCACAATGTACAGCGAAACCGGTTTCCGAAATTGTCACTCTTGTTCGAGAATCATGCACGGGGTATATACTACCGGGAAGCTTTTGTCGAGAGTATAGTTCCCCCGAGTGCTCGTCTATGGCGAGTCCCGTAATTTCTCCCTCTCTCCTTCAATTGATCTCCCTCTCTCGACTGCCTTGGGAGAATAGATCCATCGGACTGTCGCAGACCATCGTGAGGTTCGACCTTTCTATTCTAGTCCAGGCCTTCCAGAACGCTACACGAGCCGTGGATCCCGCACCCCCTCCATTCAACGCGAGCCCGTTGATTGGCTGAACCTCGTTTTCCATAGATTGAATCTCTCGGGCCCAGGGTCGCGAACGTTGGAAAGCCAAATCATGTTCGGGATCCAGGGGTTGTGGTAGTATCAGTTATTGATGTCGAGAAATGGACAATAGTCATTCTATTTTAGCGGACAATAAAGACCGAGTTCGAGTTCGACCTCCGGAGAGATCTGCTTTTCCCCGCTTCAAAAGTCCCATTCCTCTCGTCTTTCCATTCTTTTTCCACCACTTCCATTCTCCAAGTCACCGCCATACACTCTTCCAACTCACCACTGCCCCCCCTTTAATCCCCTGCTTTTTCTTTCCCCCACCAACCCATCTCAATTATCTCCAAACCTCTCTTTCTCCCTTGAATTTCTGAATTCATTGGCCTTTGTCGCAGTATTCCGTTGAGCAAATCCTCGCAGTGCGAGGACGGCACTCCTTTTCATCGCTCTGGTCGCTCTGCCACCGAACAGGAACAGGTAAGCGACTTCCGCCCCGTCTCCCCGTCCCGCCCCTCCCTCCTCCATCGCCTCGATCTCTCGCCCTCGTGTCTCCTGGCGGATCAACACCTTTTGACTATCCTGCCACGTTCTGGCTCTTCTCAAGTCCTCGGTACGAAATAGTTCTGAAACGGCCAACTGACTCTTTTTCCTTTCGTTGTGGAAACAGGAGCCACTAGCTTCGAGGGAGCCTCAGGAGGTCTCGGCGCGCCCAATCCACTTTCCTCGCTCTTTCGCGTCCCTAATTCCTGAAAGATGGCCTCGTACGGCAAGTAAGTGATTGATCTCTCCCCCGTCTGTGCCCACCTCCAATCGCCAACTCCCCCATTTTGAAACAAATTCGACTCTTGCTATTCATCTGATGAAGTCTATACTAATCATTCCTCCTTGCGCCTCTCTAGTGGCACCATGTACTCACCGGACCAGTTTATGAACCCGGGGCCGGCTCCCCGCCCCCCGACTGATCGTCCCAAGTTGACGCTCCCCACCAACAACAATGTCGCGACTTCGTTCGGCCAGATGTCGATTAATTCTCCTAGTACGCCGGGCCCCGGCGGCAATCTCTCCTTGTTCCCCAATACCAGCACCCCCAGTTTGGCCCGCGCCCAGACGGGCGGTAGCGGTGGCCTCCAAATCATCAAAGAAGGCTACGTGCGTTGCAAGGAAGACAAATTTTTGGCCACCTGGAATCAGCGCTACCTAGTCCTGCGCGACTTCAAGATTGATTTCTTAAAGAGCGAGTCTGGCAAAGTGGTTTTGTCATTCCCCCTCGCGACCGTCACCGCCGTCGCAAGATCCGAGGAATCGAAAATGGCCTTCGAGGTCACACGCCTGGCCAACCCTAAGGACGCCGCTTCCAAGACTGCGATGATAACCCGGGATGTTCCCACCAAGACCATTACCTGCGAGGTAAAATCCGACGATGAGATCTATGAGTGGATTGATAAGATCTATGAGCGCTGCCCTGGCATGGGCGGTGTCAGCAACCCGACCAATTTCAGCCACCGCGTCCATGTCGGCTTTGATCCGCAGACTGGCGCGTTCGTGGGCTTGCCTCCAGAATGGGAGAAGCTGCTGACCGCCTCTGCAATCACCAAGGAGGATTACAAGAAGAATCCCCAGGCCGTGATCGAGGTCCTCGAGTTCTACTCGGATATCAAGATGCGGGAACAAAACCCGCAATACTATGCTGGTATGAGTGGTCCTGGAGGAGCGCAGCCGAAGCCCCTGGGTAGCAACGCAGTGGGCAACTCGATTGCCCCTCCGCGCCCTCCACCTCCGGGCCCCCTGCAGCGTCTCGACAGCGGCCAATCAAAGGGCTCCATGGATAGCTCGATGCGTTCTGCTACATCTTCCCCCGGCCAGCTAGGTCCGGAGTCTGACCGTGCGGCCGAACAGCAGCAGCAATTGGAGCGGATGAAGCAGTTGGCAGAGCAAGAGCGTCGTCGTGTAGAAGAAGAGCAGCGCCGTAAGGAAGATGCTGCGTACAACGCATCCATCCCTCAGACCCGCGTTCCATTGGCCAAGCAGGAGATTGGTGGCTACGGCGGTTCGGATCCCTCGATGAACAGCCGTTACCAGCCCAGTCGTCCGGCTCCCCAGGCACCCGGCTCGGGGGCTCGTGCCCCCGGAGGTCAACCACTTACGGCTCAACGACCTGCGCCCGCTCCTCCTTCGCAGAGTCCCTATGGGCAAGGCTCTACCCGTACTCCTGCCGGCGGCAGCTCTCGCGACGATACTCAAGGCTCCCCCTCCCGCTATGCTCCCAATGACCCTCGCGCACAGACATCATCCAGTCGTCAGCCCCAAGCCAATGGCAGCAAGGGCCAGCAAGGGCCTCCACCGAGCCGCCTGCCTGCTCCGGTCCAGGCTGTGAAGCCACTCAACATTGCCAACAAGCAGCCCGGCACGAAGCAGCAGGCTGTTCCGGATGGTGTTCGCCAGGCCGAGGCCGCTCTCACCAAGAAGCCCGAGCCGAGCAGCAAGAAGGAGGTTCGCATGTCGGCCATGAGTGAGAATGAGGTGATGGATCGTCTGCGGTCAGTGGTGTCCAAGGACAACCCCAACGAATCGTACAGCAAGCAGCGTAAGATTGGTCAGGGTGCCTCCGGATCCGTGTACGTGGCTCGGGTTAAGGAGGGTGCGACATCGCCCGTCGCGCACGAGCTGTACCGCCAGTACGGCCCTCGATGCCAGGTGGCTATTAAGCAGATGGATCTGCGGAGCCAGCCTCGCAAGGAGCTGATTGTGAATGAAATTATTGTGATGAAGGATAGTCAACATGCCAATATTGTCAACTTTTTGGATTCATTCTTGCAGGAGTCGAGCAATGAGCTCTGGGTTGTGATGGAGTTTATGGAGGGTGGTGCTTTGACGGACGTCATCGATAACAACCAGGTGATTACTGAGAACCAGATTGCGACTATCTGCCATGAGGTATGACATTCTCTGACGCTAAATGAATTGTTTAATGAGTTGACTGACTAACGCTCCTGCAGACTTGCAAGGGACTGGCGCATCTCCACAGCCAGAATATCATTCACCGCGACATTAAGAGTGACAACGTCTTGCTCGACCGGGTCGGCCACGTTAAGATCACCGACTTTGGTTTCTGTGCCAAGTTGACCGAGTCAAAGAGCAAGCGTGCCACTATGGTTGGCACCCCCTACTGGATGGCGCCCGAGGTGGTCAAGCAAAAGGAATATGGACCCAAGGTCGACTGTTGGTCTTTGGGTATCATGGCCATTGAGATGATCGAGTCCGAGCCTCCATATCTCAACGAGGAGCCTCTCAAGGCTCTGTACTTGATTGCCACCAACGGCACGCCCCGATTGAAGAAGCCGGAGAAGTTGAGCAAGGAGCTCAAGGCCTTCCTCAGCGTGTGTCTTTGCGTAGACGTCCGCAGCCGTGCTACTGCCGACGAGCTGTTGGCTCACGAGTTCCTCCAGACTGGTTGCAGCCTTGCCAGTCTGGCCGAGCTACTGCGTTGGAAAAAGGCCAACGGTCAATAAACGAGAGGACGAGCCACTTTCTGCCCGTTTCATCCGATGACCCTAGGATCCCTCCCCTTGCTCTCTCTATGCTGGATCTAGTCAGCTGCCTATGATGTGAAACTCACCATGTTAGATTTCATGTCGATATTATCTTGAGCTGAAGGTTTCTTCTTTTCTGTCTGTTCTTAGCTTGTACATAGATGATATCCCCCTCTCTACCCCGAGGAGAGAATTGCACGTACTGCCTTGCCAATGTGAGGCTGCCCTTGACTTTAAGCTTAATATTTCTTATTCTTGTAATGATCGACGCTAGAATCGTAACTAAGAGTGGTAGAGTATAACGGGCATCTTTAAAATGATCATTATGGTTCACCTTCAATGATGACCTTAATTACACTCTGCTTCTAGGTCAGTTTGGTAGGTATAATCGGCGTCTATACTACTAGTGCCTCGCGCATGAGGCAACGCTCACGATACACCCTGGACACAATTTATCAATCTGCAACCTGGAAGTCAGCCTTCATGCATGGTAGGTTTGGGGACTAACGGCCTCTATCTTCATTGGAACAATGCGTGCAAACTGGAAAAGATGAGAATTCTCGCTAATGTCTAGTTCCCATTCGATGTCCGATCTATGTGATATAATTTTCTGAATACATATGATAGCCCAATCCTTAGACAACCCTTTTTCATACCTAATGTAAGTGTCTTTGATCAAACTGCCATTCTGATGTAATGCGTTTATAGGTCTCTAGTGCTAGTAAACAGTTCATATATATGGCCAACCTACCACATGGGATTCTTAAAGGGAGCGAGATGATCGGGTCATAGACTAAATTCGGTGCACAAAAGGTAGTAGAGTACCATACTCATTTTAAGAAGCAGGGAATGGGCCCTACCAGGCTTGCGGGTGTGTTTAAACACTTAGTATTCAGATCTAGGAGATACCAGAAGACGTTCAAGCTTGACTTTATCTTATACCCCAATCTTTCCGAACTTGAATTAATTCGATGCAATATTTTAGTAAAGCGTACAACAAATTCCCAAGATTCATATATCATGCAGCAATATATAGAACAATTCATATACTCAAAGACAGCATCAAAGCATCAATTTCCCCCACCGGATCTCAGATCCATGTTAGATCCATGTTATCTTCCAGCGACAAAGAAATCAAGACAACCCCTGCGCAACGGCATGTTGCAACTGCCCACAAGCCTCGCCAAATAAGACTCCCTTCAACACGGTCTCGCCCTCGCTGGCAGCCCAACGACCGGCATCGGTCAGTCTCCGTTTCCAGGCAATCTGGTCTTCACCGCTAAGATCGGCCCAGGTGCGGAATTTTGCTGCCTCGCTGGCTTCGTGGTCGTGATGCGAAGCTAATGTCTCGATGAGGACGCTTTCCTCGGCGGTGTGGCCATCGTGGCAGCGTAGGATGACTGATAGAGCGTGTGGGCTGACGGTATCGAGGTCAATGGGCGCGGCGCCGGCGCTGTGGACCCGATCGAGGATGTCTTTCAAGCTCTCGATTTGGCTTTCCGTGACGACGTTCGCCACGGGGGGCGTGGCGTGGCTCTTGCGTGAGAGGAGGGAATCGATGTATGAGCCCTTTCCTGGTGCAGGTGGAGTGTACTCGTTTACAATCGCACTGCGCCATGACGGAGGCAGCCACTGTGCAGCACCGAGAATTGGTGGCGTGCCTCCGCGGATCTCGGCAAAGGCAAGCATAGATCCTGCAATGAGGACGAGAGAGAAAAGTAGGACCACGATAAAGTACAAGCCTTCCCAGAGCTCGGTGGAGCCCGGCAAGGCGAGGACATAGCGCGGTGTGCGGGAGGAGGCAGGGAAGGGGGAGAGTGGGAGGGTATGAACGACGATGGTGTTGCCCATGCTGATAGAGGCGAGTTTGACATTCTGGGGGAGCACGTCGGGGGTTACTGGATGGGCGGGAGCTATGAATGGGGAGAAAACGATTTTTGTCATGGAGAATGGGTGCACATCGCGCAGGGTTGTGTAATGCTTGATCGCGCCATAGCCTTTGCTGGGGCCGAAATCTACCGTCCACAGGGGGATGGAGTTGTCGCTGCCGCTGACGGCGATAATAGTCTGCTGCTGGCCGGCCGGGTTGGTGCCTAAGGGGCAGATGTCCAGGCCCAGACCAATCTGAACACTTCGGGGCAGCTTGCGACGGCGGAGGATAGTTGCCGTACCGGTTTTCGTTTCAGGCAGGCGGAGGATGACCAGCTCGCTACCACCGCGATTGGGTGCATTTTGGAGGAGGAGTAGTGCCGTTGAAGAGAGGAAGCGTAGGGCGCGGAACTTGGGACGAGCAGCACGGGCGCCACTGCTGGGGACAGGAATCGTGTAAACACAGCTGACATCAGGAGCAGCGTTGGAGCGAGTAGATGAAGAGATTTCGCCGACCATCACATCGGCGCCGTTGGTGTATGCAACACGGTATCTACCACGGGCATCTCCCGTCTGCTCGGGGTCATTCTCAAGGCTGGCAAAGTCCACATCCTCGGCTTCTTCGTTACTGTCAAGACGGATACGGCCGATGACATCCGACTCGGTGGGACCCTTTGTGACCGAGAAGAAGACAATCTCACCAGACTGCGCCATGCCGGTCGCAATAGCGCCGACCCTGGTATCCTGACCAGTCTTCTCCGAGCCATCAGCCGGCTTCTTCCAAGGTGACAGCCTCAAGACTCGTTGGTAGGTATCACCCGACTCGGGTCCCTTTGTGCGGAAGATCGAAGCACGCGACAAAGCCTCCGACTTCCCAGGTATCACTTCCTCAATTGTTTTATCCTTCTTAGCTTTCGTGTCTTTGGAATCCTCCGCATCGTCCTGCGAGCTGGTCGGGATCTGAGTTTTCTTCTTCTGGGGCGCTTCGAATCGGAAGGACCGCATGTGCTGATTGTTGTTGTTCTTCTGGTCTGCGAGAGAGCTATTGATTCCAGCCAGTACGACCAGCGAGCCCTCGTCATCGCCAACCTGCGGCGCAGCAGCTAGCGACGTCACCGAGTCCTCGTCGCGCGACAAATTGATTTCCACAGCCTCGGTAATCTCATCTCGACGTGACGTATCAATCAAAGACTAAATGAACACCAGTCAGAACTACAGAGGCCCAGAACGCGAAGCTAAAGCACGCGCCACTTACGATCTTATTCCCGACTCCGCTGCGGCTTTCGCCGCCTCCGCCGCCAACGAGCAGTCGCCCGTTATTGCGCGGGTCGAAATCTGCTGCGAAAAGCGGACAGGAGAGTGTGAGCTTGGCGGAGTGAATTGTAGGCGCCATGGGTTCTGCGTTGTGACTTGCTCTCTCTCTCCGAGAAAGAGGAAGAGGACAGATGGAAGATGCGGCGAGGTTGCCCCGGATTCTTGGCGCGGTAGACCGGATTAGGGAGCGGAGCTTAACTGCAATCAAGCATGCGCTATTGGCTTTAAACAAGCGACCACGGACGCTATGTAATGAAGAAATGTAAATATAAGACAAGCTTCGTCAAACTTATATTTACGATAGCACCTTATGAGAAAAAAAAAATTGAAATAGTGTATATTTTTGGAATGCCAAATGAAAGCCTTCCACTCTACTTGTCTTTGCTCAGCTCTACACTTTACTCGATCTCCTGGCCAGTGAACTCGGGCAGACGCTTGACAATATCGGCCCAGGTCTCGTCGCCGTCAACGAGCGACTTGACGGCCTGCAGAATTTCATCCTCACTGGCGCGCACCTGCTTGGTTGTGTCGCGGTCACGCAGGGTGATAGTCTCGTCCTTGACGGACTGGAAGTCGACGGTGATACCGAAGGGTGTACCCAGCTCGTCGTTACGGGCATAGCGCTTGCCAATGCTAGCGGAAGAGTCGTCCACGCGGCTGGAAATACCCAGACGGCGCAGCTTCGCGCTCAGGTTCTGAGTCAGGGGCTTGAAGGCGGCATTGGTGGAGAGGGGCACCAGCAAGACCTTGGTCGGGGCGATAGAAGGGGGGAAAGAGAGGACCTAGAAAGGGTTCATTAGTATGCCAAATGAATACAAGGACTTGACAAATAGAAAGCTGTGACTTACACCGCGGGCCTCATCACCAGCACGAGACCAGTAGACGTGCTCGATCATGCTGTACATGATACGACCAATACCGAAGGACGGCTCAATAACGTTGGGTGTGTACTCGCGGACGTTCTCCACACGAGTGCGCTTCTCGATCTTGATCAGGTCCTTCTCAATCTCAACCTTGCCAGAGCCAACACCCTCGATTTCGACCTCAATCTTGCCCTGCTGCTCAAGATCGAGAGCCAGCTTCTCACGAAGTTCCTGCGAGAGAGCATCAATGGCGGCCTCGACGGTCTTGGCGTCCTTCTTGAAGCGAGGACCGAACTTCTTCTTCTCAAGATCGACCTGCCACTCCTCGATGCGCAGGGGCTCGGAGCGAGTCTCACGAACCACCAGAGGGGCGCCAGTCTTGTTCTTGTGCACGTTCAAATCGTAAGCGCTGCGATCGGCACAGCCGACACACTCAATCCAGCCGTAGCTGGTCTGCAACTCGGCGTCCCAGCAGTCAGCGGCGTAGTGGGCCATCTCGTTGGCCATGTGCTGACGGAAGCGCAGCTTGTTGTAGTCAATACCAAGCTTCAGGAGGAAGGACTGGATGCGGGCAAGGAAGTAACCCAAGGTCTCGTTGTCAACCAGACCAGTCTCGACAGCCTGGCCAATGGTCATCTTAGTGGTCTTGGTGCTGCCAGACAGCTGTACATTACGGTCGAGCAGAGACAGCTCGACATCCTTGACCTCAACGAAGCGAGGGTGCTTCTTACCACCCTCGGGATCGACGTAGTGCTCAATTTCGGCCATGAGGAACTCACGCACACGGAGAAGACCAGCACGGGGAGAAATCTCGTTACGGAAGGATTTGCCAATGGAGGCAGAGGCGAAGGGCATGCCCTGCTGGTTGAATTCGAGCAGCTTTGCGAAGTTCAGGAACTGACCCTGGGCGGTTTCGGGCCGGAGGTAGCCAGGCATGTTGCTGCTGGGACCAATGGAGGTTTGGAACATGAGGTTGAAAGCGACGGGAGGCTCGACCTTGCCGTCTGTAGCGGGGTTGCGAATATCGTACTTCTCGATAAGCTTCTCAAGAGCGGGGCCATCAAAGTTGTCGATCTGCGCAAGAGTCTCCTCGTACTCCTTGACGAGAGCGTCGTCCAGCTTGACAGCCTTGGCCTCGCCCTTGGACTTCTTCTTTTTCTTGGCCTCCTTCTCGGCGTCAACCTCGACCTTCTGGCCACGAGCCTCCTTGTCACCCTTCAACCGGCTCTCCAAAACCTCCTCAACCAGGTGATCGGCACGGAAGATCTCGCCAGTCTTAGGGTCCTTGCACATCCAGTCGGCGAACTTGTCCACGTGCCCACTGGTCTTGAGGATGTCGTGAGGGGTCAACATGGTGCAGTCGACCTCTAGCATATCCTCCTCGAGCACAAAGTGCTTGCGCCACAAATCAGTCATGTTGGCGACCAGAGCGGTACCGGGTGGGCCATAGTCATACAGACCAGACACGCCACCATAGATCTCGAAGGAGGGGGTGTAGAACATGCGGCGGCGGAGCATCGAGTCGAGGACCAGGCGATCGACCGACTGGCCGGTCTTGGTGGTGACGGTGGCCATCTTGGGGTTGCGATTGGACTTCTTCTGGAGCGCGGTCGAGCAGGTGAAAGTCCTGAATTGAATGGACGGAGGGGAAAGAAAAGAGCGGGGGAGGAAAAGGCGCGGCAGCAATTGAGTCATCCACCGTAGAAGTCCACCTTATCGGACTTCGTACACACCACAGAATAAAACACAAAAGTTCTAGAAATACAAGGCCTGAGAAGAAGAGAAAAAAACGAATGGATGTGTTCTTTACTCACTCTTTTTCCCCTTCTTTTCAATCCCCCTTATGCGATCAACATCAATAAAAAAAGATGTGGCCGGCCCAGCCCGGAAGAATAATTCTCCGAGATAATTTATTTTATCGGCGGAGATTAATTTGAAGCTTCGTCAAGTCGCTCACCAGAAATTCTCGTTGCCCTTCAGCAAAATTCTAACTCACCATGGGTATGAAAGGCCAATCGCGACCTCCGCCCAATGCTGGCACGGAGGTCAAAACCAAGAACAAGCTGCGCCGGAAGATGCTGCACATCAAGCGCAAGAGAACCAAGGATGCGGAGCGGCGCGAGGAGCGCTATGCTTTCAAGAAGGAAGAAGCCAAGAACCCTAAGCTGAGGGAAGAGCGTTTGCGTCGCAACATCCCTCTGACCCTGGAGCGAAAGCGTGTCTGGGATGAAGCCGATAATGATGCCGAGGAGGATGGCCTGGGATTGAGTGTCGACATTGAGCGTATCAAGCGAGCCAAGAAGGAAGAAGAGGACGAGTTGAATCGGCCATTGGAAGAGGGCGAGGACGACAGCGATGCTGCGGATTCCGATAACGAGTCTATTGACAGTATGATCGCAACGAGCGACGAGGATGACGATGAGGACGATGAGGACGACGACGAAGCGGAAGACTCGAGCCGTGGACGGAAAAAGTCATCGCTACCCACTGCCACCGAACGTGCGACCAGTCCTTCACAATCCACTCGCAGTACAAATTTGAGCCTTGCCCCAGAAGCTTTGGCCGCCAAATTCCCCTCGCTCTTCTCAACCGAAACTCCTCCCGCTCCCAAAATCCTCATCACGACTGCTATCAACTCAACCCTCCACGATGAAGCCGATATCCTCACAGACCTGTTCCCGAACAGTGTATACATCCGCCGCACGGCACACCGCTACTCGCACAAGTTCTCCATTCGTGAGATCTCCAAGTTCGCCGCGAACCGCAACTTCACTACCGTGGTAGTCCTGCAAGAGGACCAGAAGAAGCCAAGCGGCTTGGTCGTCGTGCACCTGCCCATTGGTCCGACCTTCCACTTCAGCATCAGCAACTGGGTTGAGGGCAAGAGACTTCCCGGCCACGGTCGAGCAACTGGCCACTGGCCCGAGTTGATCCTGAACAACTTCCGCACGCCGCTGGGTCTCCTCACTGCACGCATGTTCCAGCAGTGCTTCCCGCCCCAGCCAGACTTTGAGGGTCGGCAGGTCGTCACCCTGCACAACCAGCGTGATTATATTTTCGTGCGCCGTCATCGATATGTCTTCCGTGAGAAGCGAGAGACGGAAAAGGCGGTTGTTGGTGCGGATGGCAAAGAGATGGAGGGTGCAGAGGGTATTCGGACTGGTCTGCAGGAGCTAGGCCCCCGATTTACCTTGAAGCTGCGCCGTGTGGATAAGGGTATTCAACGAGCCAGCGGGCAGGAGTGGGAATGGAAGGGTGGAATGGAGAAGGAGCGGACCAAGTTCCAGCTGTAAGCAGCTATGGGGCTTGCGGTCTTCTGCATTTCTTTCTTTCTGGATCATTTTTGTTTCCTTTCGCATGGGGTTTGGGGAGTATCCAAAAGCATGGTTTTTGTTATTATTTGCTGGCATATACCCTACATATGCCGAATGAATATAGATACCTCGCTCGAGGTTTGATTCTTTTGTCAATCGTGGCTTGGATATATAATACTCTGTCAATTGAAGATAAGATTTCCAGCTTGGAACATCATGCGCAAGTCTTAATCTCAGCTCGATGCATCTTTTCGAGTCTGGTTTTACTATGTCGAGGCGCCTACAATTACGGCCTCATCGTGCCCGACTACGTCTTTCTAGTCATAATGCTAGTCTAAAGTGTATTATTACCTCAGAACCCAATCATCTGATCAGATAGATCAGCTTCCTGAATGACCCTTATCATACCATTCCACCTAATCCTCTCTGAATCAATAAGAGTCACGCAATAGTTATCTCTGATGACTTTTTCGGAAGTTCATACTGGAGCAGCGATACCATCACTTTCCATCTATGGTTGCGCCCCACAGCTAAAAACGGCTCTGATTGGTGCACTTGTGATCGAGGAAGGTGATCTTGGATCCACTCGATCTATCTGGGAAAGTAATTAGCTTCAATTCGTGCAGACCTCGCATTATTGGACATTACCTTCTTAATGTGACTATCGCCGCATTGAGATGTACTATGTCATGTCTGAAACGTCATGGTCTATAAATCGGCCCCGTTTTTCTCCCATTTGCCCTCATCCTACCACTAGCGTAACACATCAACCAAGGCAGAATTTCTTGTCGTAAAACCTCCTTTCCATTCAAGTCACAATGTCCAAGGCTCTCGATATTTCCTTGCTAAAGAGAGCTAAATGGTAGCCCTTCACAACAAAGCCGAGAACAAATTCCGCATCCTCCAATACCCAGAGATCCCTGCATCAGAACTAGCCGATGGCACCGCAACACGCATAGCTAAGCACACGGACGTTGGATACATCACGGTGTTATTCTAGCATTTGGTTGGCGGCTGGCAAGTTGGAAAATAACAAGATCCAGATGGTTTCCGTGGAAGCGAGTCTACAGACAGAACGGAGATCATCTTGAACTTGAATATTACCGACTCGATGCAGCGATTGGCCAATGATACTTTCCGTGCGGCGTCACCGAGTCACTTGCCCACCTTCGGCAAAGGTTGGCCGGAGACGGTTGGGTACTCGATAGCATACTTTGTGAAGCTGAACCGTACGGCGTCGTTGTTCCCGTTCAAGGAGTTTATGAAGCCGTCGACGCCTTACCGGCACGACGATGTCAATGCGTGGGATTTCCAAAATCGTCGCATTTCGAGATTTTTCAATTGAAAATTATACTAGATCCACACAATGAATGAAATATGAAGTGTTTACAATATCAGTCTAGGTCCACTTACTGCTTGGGCACGACAAACGCGACAAAGTCAGGATACCCTCTGCTTTATTCTCTGTATTGATAGACCTAATCTATACTCTGGAGCTCCTCGTTAGACCAAGCCAGATCTTTCTTCATCCAAGCTATACATGTGAACTGATTACTCAAGCAATTCGACTAACCAACCCTTTAGATGATTTCATCCTCCTTCAACAGTTCTAGAATTATCTCTCGGGATGTCTTTGGGGTATGATCAACAAAGATTTTTTTGAGATTCGGTAACAACTTACGGGTATAGTAATCTGTTTATGGTTCCCGATTTTATGTACAGCCCCCATAAACGCTAAAACTCTTTTAAACTCCTATATATCATACCCCAACCATACCTCAGCTATTCACACCCCCCTCCTCCCCCCTTTCTACCTCCTCCTGTACAATTTTCGCCCTCGCCATAACCTTCGCGAGTAAATCCACCCTCTTCTGCGCAAAAGAAACAGGCTTCCTCCCTGTGACAATTCTCACTTTCGTCGTCAACCCCTCAACCCCCAAAAGCTCTCCCCTCACAGCCTCACACAACTCCCTCACCCCGTCAACAGTATACCCCCCATGCACAGTTAACGGCCGCAATGCATGACCCTCTAGCCCCTCCAACAGCGCAATAAGCGTCATCTTGCCGAGAGTTTTCTCCGCGACGTCCTCCGGCCATAGACCGATTGGTATCGTCCGTTCTAGGACACGCACGTCCACGAATCCCGACGCGGCCAATGCGTCCGTGTTGAGATGTGCCAGATCGCGCGGGTATCCTGCAGCTTCGGCCGCGGCACGCAGTGCGGCGGTGTATTTGTGCAGCGCGGGTACTTCGGCTTCACTACCGGGGCGGTTTAATGGGGAGAAAGCAATCGTGTCTGCCGCTGGATCGGCGTCTGCGATTTCGATGTATCCACCCGGTTTGCAATGCGTAAAGGCTTGTGCATATATCGCGTTCCAATCTTGGAATGCGCCTGATAGCCCGCGGAGATGGATTAGATCGAATGGTTGGTGGTATGTCCATTCTGTGCGCGCGTCGGCGAGTTGGAAGTCCACGTTTGGGAGGGCGAGGTGGCCGAGTCCGGAGTCGAAGACTGTTAGGTCGGAGGCGATTATTGTGGCTGTTGGGTAAGCGGCGCTCATTTCAATGGCCCAGTCGCCTGGGCCGGTGCCGATGTCTAGGATGCGTGCTGGAGTTGGTGACGGGGGGAGGGGCGCGGCTGTCAGAGCGTTGTCGAGAAGTATTAGGTAGATCTGGTGGACGATGTTGAGGCGGGTTAATTCTGGTTCGTCGTTAGGCATGAAGTAGGCTTCGTTGGCGTAGCGCCGGCCATTTTCTTGGATGTGTTGGAGGGTGAGGGAGGCGTAGGAGCGGGTGGACTTTCTGGTTGCGGGTCGATGTTAGGGCTTGGTATATTTCGGAGTGTTATACTCGTAGAGTATGGCAATTGAATTCGAGTGTGAGGCTCGTGTGACGAGTTCTCAAATACGTACATGGATGCAGCGTTCAAGGATTCAGTATCGAAATCAGACTCGGGGTCTGAATTTGGATATGCGTGCTCTGTCTGGTTCTCGTCCGGGGCCAGTTCATCGTCCGCTGGCTGAATGGGTTTGTCGTCCATGACATGACGGTGTCAAAGCGACTAATTCGAGGCACGCGAAAGAATTGGAATTGAGATCATGGAAAGAATATCGCTAATCTGTCGACTGAGTGAACGCGACTTGATATATGGTGGTGGACAGAACGAGTCTAATGAGCCGAATAACGAGAAGACTATAAATCGCAAGATGGCAAGGACAGAGCCCTATCAAGTATGGCGTTGTCGAAAGAAAGGACCTTTTCCTAAACAATTGCTGCAGAGGGGAAGTATATGTATCGAGAAGAAGAAAATGGATGAGAGAAGAGTAGACAACAAGCCCAAAAAAAGTAGAAGAAGGGGAAGGAGAAAGTGAAAGTAAAGTTCAAGGTGGTCCAAAAAATAAAGTGGAGATGGTAACGACAGGGGGAACGGACTAGCAAAGAAAGAAGATTACTATACTCCATATTGCCGGCCCGAATAAAGGCGAGCTCGACAATAAAACCGACAGATTTAGTAAACTACAACTGTAATCTTTTTTTGGGCCTTTAATTTAGGGTTTTTTGGCCCTCCCGGAAATAAACCGTGGAGCATCGCTATTAGCGGGTGAATTGGGGGCTATGACCCGACAGTCTGGGCCCGCGAGACGTCACTGCATACTCCGGCAGCCCTAGATGCACAAGCCTGTACGGCTAAAATTCCATATATGAAGTAGTACGTACTAGGAAGTAGGACGAAGAAATTAGGATTTACAGTACTGTACTCGCTAGCTAGAGGAAGAATCGAAGTCCATTGTCGATAGGATATCATAGGAGCGGGCAAAGTAATAAAATAAGGAGGAATGATATCCAATTTTCCACCCGATCAGATGAAAAGACTGTGTTGATAGATGAGATATTGCCGACCCGACAGTTTGGGTCGGATAGAAAAAAAGCAATAAAGGAAACACTCGGTAATCACCGTAAGTTAATCAGGCTACGTTAAACAATACTGACTCAAGTGGTAATACATACAACCAGACATACAAAGTTCTCACTGTCACTTATTTATGGTTCCAGATACACCTAGTCCATTACGACCTGGCTACGATCGCCTTAATTGTGACCACAGTAGTACAGTGTATTGTAGATTTTCTACGTATGTAATTGCCTCCCAAGCTCCTAACAACGTCCAGAGTTAGACCCCCATTCCCGTAGCCCAGTGGAGCCTCCTAGCCAGCGGGGACGTTCGTAAAACTCTGGGAAATTGCTCCCTGGCCACTTGGGACGGACATGATACCCCTTACCAGTGAACACCCTCCCTTCGGTCCTATATCTACTCAACCTTTGCATACTAGTATAAGCCATGCACTACATATCTTTTACACTGGAGGGCTTTAGTCTGACAAGGATAATCTCGCTTCCCAAACAGCCCTTTTGACTAATTTGTTAGCTCAACGCATGTGCTATCCTTCTCCTCGGGATGGGCGGCGGGGAAAGATTCCGACAGCTGAAGTGGGGCCGAGGGCTCTGATCGGGCCAGTGACAGTGCACGTTTTAGACGACCCGGTAGACTGGGTTTGGTGGACACTGGACAGGGGTCAGGTACGGAAGGCAAAATGTGGATTTTAACTCCGTATCTTGGAGGTGAATACGTGGGCAAGTGAGGATTGTATGTCGATAGATGCGTAGAGACTATTATGATACTAACACTTAGAAAATGAGTATGTTCGAGGGCGAGCACTTGAATAGTATAAATTGTTGTTGGATGGAGAGTGCCCAGTGCTTTAGAGCGGCGTACACACTATCGGGTTCTCCGGCTACGGAAAAGAGAGTGAATCCAGGTTACTTGCGACAATAATCAAGAATCCCATCCTAGTTGGACAGGGAGTATATTACCTATACAGCGGAGTTTCTTGCCTTCATCCGCCTTCCACCCAGCCAGATCAATTATTTCGCTGGGTCCTACTGAAATGTCTCGTGTTAAGTGGTACGATCAGGGGATGATGACGGAGAGATTCCGTGGTGTCCGTCTACTGGTGGATCATTCTAGCGACTGTTGTACCGGATTTTCTTCTAAGCATAATTAAAGCCCTACCAGTTACTACTCTGTCGCTATCTCTTTTGTCTACAGTAAGTACATCTAGCCATGGGCGCACTTAGCTGACTAGTGACTACTGCCTAAAGCAGAGCTAGCTTATACTACTAGTTTGGCTGTCTAACCTAAAAGTCTGGATCCCTACTGTTTGTATATCGCCGACCCCTGTCAGCTTACCCCGGCGGGCGATACTACTATACAATATGTAGTGTATATACTTGGGATACCGTCTGCCCTACTTCGTCGGTAGTATGGCTATATATGTAAGGTAGGAAGGGTGTGGTACAGTGGCCAATGCAAGTATACCTACTTAGCACTGGAACCAGGCAACGGGCAGCTACTATAGTAATCTTGCACTACCTCTAGCTGGATGCATTGCGTGTTTTTGCCGAGACGAAGTAATTTTCAGACAACGGCATAGTGACCTTGCCCCAACGGATGATTAACATAGTTGTAGTACAAAACAAGTGCTTAGATTCAAGTCCTCATCCGCATAGAGAAAGGAATGAATTAAATAAACCACACAATTACTAGCAAGACAACTCCAGCTAAGAATAAAATCCAGAATATCGCGCCTTTCCTCAGATTCAGGCCAACAAAACCTCGTTTATAGTAACGTACTTACAAACTCTAAAGCCATACCCCTGTGCCCGTGGCAAAGGTACTGTGTTCATCCGTGCGCAGACCCGACAGTTTGGTCGCGAGTCCTGCACGGAGCCCGAGAGTCTTTCCTAAACGGGTAAGGCACCGACGGCGCTCCCGACCCAAGAAATTACCAAAGTCACGAGACGATCTCCCGTTCCTGATCCAGACATTCGGAGATCCTGGAAAAAATTATTGACTTCTCTAGCAATACTATCATCCTACAGTACGGTGTGCAGTACAATACAGTACATACGGAGACATAATACTGTTATTCTTTCTCCATCTTCCACTCCAGTCCCAGCAACTCGGAACCATCCGCTCTCCCGTCTACATCGCACCGCGCCCTCGGGTTGAACCCGTGCATTGTACTACCACCACACTCCGACCACAGCGCACCTACTGCATGACAAAGTCAACAACACCACAGCCACACCACACCTCTCCCGCTGCTGCTGCTGCTCCCCTCAGCGCATCCCACCTTCCACAACCACCGCCAACAATGGCCCTCCCCCGCCCCCCACAACGCCTGCTCTACATAGCCTCAATAGGCAATCCAGCACCCTATCGCACAACCCGCCATAGCGCCGGCCATATCCTGCTTGACGCAATCACTCCCTCCCTCCACACACGCCTAGGACCCTCTCTCTACACAACCTTCTACAGCCCCTCCCTAATGAACATCTCCGGACCAAAGCTAGTCAAAAATATGACGAAGTGGCTCTCAACCCGCGATCGCATCGCGCTAGATCTCCCCGGCGGACCGCTACCTGTCGGCGCGAGTAACGGATACCCAGCCACACTGGTGATCTTGCATGATGAGCTCGAGGCGCCGTTGGGCAAGGTCCGGGTGAAGAGGGGTGGGCCGGAGAGTGCGAGTTTGAGAGGGCATAGAGGGTTGATTAGCGTGCTGGAGACGTTGAGGGGGAAGGGTTTGTTCCCTTCAAAGGTGAAGCATGGCTCAGGCCAAGGGGTAAAGCGTGGGAAAGGGGAGGAGGGGTTACCGAGGCATTTGGATGTTTTGAGAGTTGGGGTTGGGATTGGGAGGCCGGCTGGGAGGGAGAAGGATGCTGTTGCGGATTATGTGTTGACGAAGATGGAGGGCAGGGAGTTGGAGGCGGTTTCGAGGGCGGCGGAGAGTGTCGTGGATGTTTTGGAGGAAGAGATGTGTCGGGTTGCGTCTTGAGGAAGGGAGCTCTATCCTTGTCCTGGAGCTAGGGCATGTGTATATGGGGTTTGTGGGTTGATGATTGTATTATATTACCTATAGAGCGGCCCGCAGCCCATGTACGATGTACGACATGAGTCCCATTTGACCATCTGAATATGATACCCCGTCTGCGATTGAAAGCATCAATTCCATTTTACCCTGGAGAATTGAGAAGAAGGTAGCAGGGGAGTCAATAGGCCCCAGGTTAGATAGAAAGACACCGCCTTCATGTACAGGATAGCTGTAAGATGAGAAGGTGGAACACGAAGAAACAAACAAAATCACGTAGTCTTCGTCAGGTTGCGAGGAGCACAAAATAAACAGGCAAAGGTAAAAGACAGCCAACATAAAGATGAGAAAGCACATAACCCCAATATGCGAACAGTTAGTACTCCATTATTATCAAACCCCCACCACCATCATTCCTCAAACGGTCCCTGCTATACTCAACTCCCGAATCTCCTGCAGCACCTCCTCAACCCGATTATCCAAATCACCCCGCGCGTACTGATCTCTTGTCTCCGCATCCAAGTACTGCTGCACCTGAGCCATACGCGAGTACGCCTCTGCGCAAAAGCGCAGCTGAATCTTGACCAGCGCCTCGAAACTGGGGTCAAGGTACGGCACGCGCAGGTCGATGAGCTGGGGGAGTTCGGTAAAGAGTTGCTCGTTGAGTTGCTCGTAGGCTTGCTTGGCCATTTCGGTCTCGCGCTCGGTGCGGGGAAGCTTGGTGGCGTCCTTATCGGGCTTTTCGACTAGCTTCTTGACTTTGGCGCGCATGGCGTCATAGTCGAGGAGTTTGTGGTTGCGCTTTTTGATGCATTCATTGACGTCCGGGAAGTAGGCGCAGAAGCGAGAGATTGGTTCGAGGACGGTGGTTCTAGATTTTGACTTTATTAAAGTTCTGGCTGGCGGCTGGAGTTTGACGTTGGGTTTCTTACCGGTATGGCCCGTCAAGAGCCTTGATGGTCTCAGCGTCGAGGTCCTCTACGGCCTGCTTATAGCTTCGGCTTACACCGTCGCGAGTACCGGCGTCACCGTAGAAAGCGTCGATGGTCTCTGCAATTCGCATCTGAGAGGCGGTCATGGCTACAAGGATATTCGTTAGTCGTTACTCTTGCTGTGTCTGTGAGGACAGCGACAACCCACCTCGCAATGAATCCAAATACCCCTTGGCCTCCTTTTGCAGCCGGTTCGCCGCGGCCTCCATTGTCCGGTAACGCCTATAATTCCATCAGTGCTCATGTCCATCGCGGACCTGGAAGATCATCCATTGTAATAACGTACCGCTCCTCAATCTCATAGTCTCGGTCATTTGTCCGCTCGACATGACCTATCCAGTATCGAGTATTAGCCAGCCACTCGGGAAATCCTAGTGCAATCCCAGTCTCTCGCGTAGGAACTCCACCATCCTGCAAAGCCTCGTTGCGGGGTAGCATTCCATAAACTCACCAGTCTTCATCATAACCTGCGTCGTAGCGCGGTTGACATTTTTCTTGAAACCTGCCCAAAAGTCTCGTCAGCAACCTCGCATACTCAAATCGTGAAGAGCTCTGGCCGTAGTGGCGACGACGTACCTGCCCACGACATGGTGGCAGCCTGCGATGTGCTCTTTGTGACGTGGTTCTCGGGTGTGAGGATCGGTCGATTGCGACAGGAAGGGAGTCCGGATCGTGAGTGAAGCTCGTTGTGGTGTTAGAGCGAACGCGACAGCAGCAGGAGAAGCAGAACAGGTCGTAGAGAGTGCTGTTCGCCAAGTTTACCACCGGAGTCAGTTCGGCCCCAACGTGCTTGTCTGCCTTACGCTGGGCTGTGGCGGTGCTGTTTTGCTTAGTCAGAGATTTCCGGATGCGGTTACGTCATTAGGGCTGAGGGAATGGCCGGAATTTCTATTTTAAGCCGAGAGTCCTTGGCTTTGGGGAAATTATTGAGATGTTATCGCTACCATTTGAATGAATTAATTCTGAGATCTGACATGGTATATAGCAATACAATGCTACAGAGAGGTCGATGGTTTGTGTCAAAGTAAAGAAAGGGACCGGGTATCGTGGCCTCGTTCTGTGCTCCCGCGCCTTCAAAGAACACAGGTGCCTGGAAGTTTCCTGATTGACACCATCAATGGAGGGGTAAGTAAACATGGCCAAAATCAGTATACCTTGTGGGATATGACTGCTCTTCTAATTATATAGCACAAAACTCATAGACAACGATGATTATCAACAATTCATACTTTGAGTGCATATTTATCAAGCATAGATAACTCAACCATAGACTAGGCAGCTACATCTCGCAAAGTAATTATAGCACTAGGTACAAAATAGCCCAAATCAACTTTAGACTGATCCAGCAGCTTAATAGTCATCCGAGCGCTTCTGCTCACGTCGCTCCTGGCCACGCTCCTGCAGAGAGTTGCTGTTCAACAGGTCACCAGCCTTCTCCAGGACCTTTCCAAAGGTGCTGTCGCCGCCGCTGCGGTTGGACGATCCATAGGAGTCGTTACCGGAAGACCCGTAGGAGTCCTTGTTGGACGAGCCGTAGGAATCGTTGTTGCCAGATCCATACGAGTCGGTGTTACGGCCGGACGAGCCATAGGAGTCGTTGTTTGAAGATCCATAGGAGTCCTTATTGGAAGACCCGTAGGAGTCCTTGTTGGAAGAGCCGTAGGAATCGTTGTTGCCAGATCCATACGAGTCGGTGTTGCGGCCGGACGAGCCGTACGAGTTGTCATTGTCGTTGTCACGACCCGAAGAGCCGTAGGAGGAAGTGTTACCATCGCGGCCAGAGGAGCCATACGAATCGCTGTTGCCAGACGATCCATAGGTGTCGGTCTTACGGTTGGAAGAACCGAAGGAGTCGTCATTGTCACGGCCGGACGATCCGTAAGAATCGTTACCGCTGCGGTTGGAGGAACCGTAGGAATCAGTGTTGGAAGAGCCGTACGAATCCTTGTTGCTAGAGCCGTAGGAGTCGTTACCGCTGCGGTTGGAGGATCCGTAGGAGTCAGTGTTAGAAGAACCGTACGAATCCTTGTTGCTAGAGCCGTAGGAGTCATTGTCGCCACGGTTGGACGAGCCATATGAATCATTGTTGCTCGATCCGTAGGAGTCGTTGCCGCCACGGTTGGAGGATCCGAAGGAGTTGTCATTGTCGCGGTCAGACGAACCGTAGGAGTCGGTGTTGCGGTTGGAGGAGCCGTAGGAGTCGCTACCTCCAGAGCCGTAAGAGCGCTAAGGTAGTGTGTTAGCAATGGATGAATGGCACAAGAGGCGTTTGTATATCATAGTAAAACGAGGTGGATGGAACGACCGATTGCTGGCCAGCATCACCCCCACTTCAGGTAGATAAACAAAGATCATCTCAACTTACGTCGTTATCGTTGTAAGACATGTTTGCAGAAGATTGAACTTGAATTCAAATATAAACAAAAAGAGAACTAGAACGATTAAGAGCTCGCAAACTCGGGGGGACAGCTATTTAACATATTTACGCCACGGGCTCCTCGGGAAGGGGAGGGGAAGGTAGGAGAGCGAAATGACGTGCTGGAGTAAGTACCCTCGGCCACCATGTAGATTCTCGATCAGGAGGGACCCTTGTGGGGAGCTGAGGTGTGGAGTAATTTTCCCAACCCATCTGATCTCGATCTGACCTGTTCTAGTGGCAGAGGGGGGTGAATGAGGGGCAATGGATAAGCGCTAGCTGTGCTATCCGGCCCTCTATGGCGCCAAGTTTTGCAGCTATTGAATTTGAAAGTTAATTAGTGATTTTCCTATTCCTAAAAGATGATACAATAAGCACACTAAATACTTCTATTGCCACCCTTGCGATCGCTTCGTGATGTTTCTTCTGTCTTCGGCACGAAGAGGGAGGGAGGGGGGAAAGGTGGGGGAGGGTGTCGAGGGCAACGTCGTGCCCATGAAAGCTTAGTCCGCTGCTAATACGAGTCAGGTCCGGATCGACATGGAACCCATGTGTACACCACTCACGTGGAAAAACAAGTTCCGGTTTTCAATGGTAGCTACACTATGCGTTCCATGAATCATTGTGGCGTTCGCGACCAATGCGCGAAATAGTTCCAGCCACGTTGGCGTGATGGATTGCGCTACTCGTCTTGCTGTGGGAAGGGGCAGTGTTTCGTTGGATGCACATCTGGATTGTCGACATCATTCTAGGATCGCCACCACAGCAGAGGACAATCTCTCGACAGGGATATCGGTACACATGCAATGCATGGGCCCTCAATTGGTATGAGCACACCCATATATAGCAGTACCCCGCTATGTACGTGATTGTCTTCTACGTGTGCAAAGTCTTGGGCCATGCTCGTTCCTCCATACATGATGATTTCGCCATCTCTCGGCTGTTTTGCCCTTGTATGCATAATCATGCAGAGATAACCATGCGGGAATAATGATCGACATGAGAACTGTCTAAGGATGTATCGGCTGAAGCTATACCAGCTCGGTTGACGCCTCGTATGGTGGAATTAACATCCACCTAAAAGTGGCGGAGCAGGGTTGGTGGATACTCGGAGTCGGAGAAGGGAAAATACTAAATAACTAGGTCAGTTAGGTCCCCGCCAGGATTAGTCAGGTTTAGTTATGACCACTTCAATTTTCAGACAAGGGCTCAATAGTAATCCAAACTCAGTATGATTTCTATTGGTGCATCTACGAGACTTACTCGTCTGTGTCCCTATAAGGTAAATAGCTCACTATTAAATCCGGTCCTTTAGTTCGGCACTCCGAAGAGATCCGAAATGGCGTACAGACCCACAATGATCAGGTCGGTCGAAGGAAGCCTGTATTCCCTGCATTAACTCCTATGAAAAGACGTGATTAAGAGATCAATTACCACAGAAGGTGAGAGCAATTGACACTTACAAAAGCGAAGAAGCCTCCAGCGATGTTAGTGTAAACCCCCGTAAGAGTCCTACGCAAAGGAGGGAAAAAAAGAAATCCAAACTCTGGAAGGGAGCTATGACTTATGTTAAATCTATTTCGTTATCCTTCTAACACTCTTCCAGAATAAACCTAGAAGAGAAGCGGGCAAAAGTTAATTTCTCTTCTAAACACAGGCTTGTCGACTCAGAGTCCTCCCACCGGTGGGTTGAAAAGTAGCTTGGAGTAATGCAATATTGAGCCCGGATGAAGAGATATCAGAGAGCCATCGACCTTGTCTTCTTCAGCCATGTGAGGATTTCTCGCTAGTATCCGCGCGGGATGTGTGCCTTTTGGCATCACAGAGCTGTATTTCTCTGTCTAGAGCATTTGGATGAACCGTGAAATGTCCTCTGGGACCCGTCCCAGTGAGTAGCCCACGATGCTATGACCAACAGATCTGGCAGGGCCGAGATAAACGAACTGTTCATGCATATCGACCGCAGTGACAGGTTGGTAGAATTCCCGGGTTTCTCACCACTTTGCCTGAGAATATGTGTTGCTTCGACCGGTTATATAAAAAGCGGGAGGCAAAAGGACATGTTGAAACCTATGGCATAGATGATTTTGTCCATAACAAATTGTTCCCCAGAGGCAGAAATTTAGCGGGATCTGCAAAAAGATTCAATATCACCCCGGACAGCTTCAAGTTAAGTTGAGCACAATGCTTCCGGGTATCTATTTTCGGGAGTGGTGTGGCGATATCTGTCAAAATAGAAAGCTCAGAAAACGTCAACGTAATCAAGGTGAAGTTATCCTACCCAACAGAGAAATCTGGGATAAGCCATTTCTGCACTTCCAGCCTGGAAGCTAGCTTCTTATCCATCTAGGGTACAAATCACCCCCATGTTTTTTACCCCTCTAGTTCTCGACTAGGCATAGCTGGTCATTTCTACACGTTAAAGTAGCGTGTTGTGTTGATGAAATTCCCGTACTTCGTTGAATGGTTCGTTCCCCTCGCCACCCTTATTGACATCCCGGTTAATGACCATAACAGGGCGTCCATCTGTGCGGACAACAGTGACGCACCACTTCTGCCTGGCTTTTAATCATTTCGCACAGATTATTTGGTGGCAAACTTTGAGGGATTGGCGGAGCTGGGATTGATCTGCCATGCCATACATATAATGGTGAAAATCTGGTCCTTTCGCATAGTACATTGTGAAATCGGGATAGGGCCTCCATTAATACTGGAGAAGAAGGCAGAAGACTCACTAGCGGGCAATTTGTGAAGTCGTAGACTGAATCATCAGTACCTAGTGGTTTTGAACTGGGATATCGCAGCTGGGATAATTTCTCCAAGGGGTTTGCCGAAAAGATAGAGTCCTTATGCGCATCTATGTAAAAGCAAGTTAGGTCAATCTATAGTTAGGTCAATCACTAAGGGTGTCGCTACACCCATACCGTTGATATCTATTCTCAAATCAAGTCTCTCCACCAGACGAATTTTCTCGTATATGTGCAATGCGCATTCGGAATCCGCCGTGTTGCAACCTCTTCATCCTTCCACGCAGATGTCAGTCAACTGAGCGCGGTGTTAACGACGTTGAGTTTCATGGGGCGAGCGGTCCCAAGGGGAAGGAAGTCTCGGCAGAGACCAGGCGTTGTCATCTACTTTCTTATAAGGTTCTGTTGCTATACCTGGTGCAGGTTTCGTAGGAAAAGCATGTTCGAAAAGCCTCCACGGCCTCTCGGTGACCGAGGTCAGTGGTATTTAGTTGCTGCGTAATGATTCTAAATGGTGAACTTAGAGCCACTGGTCCTCGTCTTAGTCTGCGGGATAACCTTTGGTACGAGATAACGTTGGCGCCCGAATACATATATAAGAGACACCGATCAGTGGAGAGCGATTACAATTTGGCCAGTATCAACGTTATAACAATCTGCGTGATTATCCTAATGGAGACTCCCACATTGGGTGGGTTTAATTCCAGGAATCCGTAAGATAATATGCCCCAACAGCTGGGAATTGAGCCAGAGCTTCTGCTGCTTTCGTAGAAGGGAAAATATTGCATAGTCGTGAATTTTCTAATCAACTCTTTGATGGCATTCTAACGCAAGAATAATTCATAATACATTTTATCAGAAAAGCTGCCTGATTCGGCTATTCAGATATGGGGCTTTGTGGATCGTATTCCTGCCCGGCAGCCTCGGATGTCGTTTGCCAAAGGCCAGTCAATGATGACGACCCATCCTGCGTGGCGTGCATGTTAGCATCGCTTTCTACGATATGAAGCGACAGTATCTCATGATCGTAATACCCATAGTCACCAAGGATTCTAGCCGGGGACAAGGCATTTTGGAGGGCCTCGCAGACCCAAGAAGCGCCCGCAGGCGTCCTTTGGCCGCCGGGCCGACCAGTCCTGGGACACCAAAGCGGACCGAAGGCTCACATTCTTCTCGCACCTTCTGTCTTATATTACTGCTTCCAATGTAATTGCACGGTCGCGCCAATTTAGCTTGGACCATAGTTTAGTTGGCTTGGCGGTAGTAACTCAATTCCATGAATTAGACTTCCAGGACTTGCTCCCCAGAAAGCTTAGCCTAAGAGATAATGGCTTACAGCCGGAAAAGAGCTTTCCCCGATGCAGTGCGCACGCAGGATTTGGGAATTGTGTCTAGTCAATTGATCCGGTTAAGTGCATCACTGGCACCTTGTGGACTACTGTCACGGATATCACATCCTCGCATTATACAGCGAAAACTGAGTATTAGCTTTACTAATGCATCATCACCTACTGCGTATAAACCATATCTTTAGCTTGCCGAGTTTCCATCTTGTACGGAGTACATGCCAATCTTATGCCAATGAAATTGAGCATAGTGATAGGAGTGGGTCTCGATTAAGGCTGGATAGTGGATTATGAAGGTAATGATCTTCGTCAATCCCACCGATGGGCCTCATGTAGTCCAGATCGGGAGAGAAACGCATTGATGTCACATCCCGATTAAAACCCGCTTGGTGATCAAGCAAAACAAACGATAGTTATAGAAAGCTGGATTCCCCAACCAGAAAATTGTCGAGTATCTCTTTCTCCTTTCAACGTACCTGAAATATCTTTTACCAAAGTCTTCCTACAAGAGTCTTCATAACAAGGAAAGCCATGGAGCCCACGGGAAGAAGACTTCTGTCGAGAGTTGTGGATTATGCCGCCCAGCATGAGCCGGAGAGACTGTTTGCAGTCATTCCACGGGGCCTGAACGTATCTGATGGCTTCCAGAATCTAACGATGAAGGAATTGGCTCATGCCGTCAATTCTCTTTGCTGGTGGATTGAAAAGACCATTGGACCGGCAATCTCCCGGGAGAGGCTGGCTTATATCGGGATGAACGATGTCCGATACTGCGTGTTCGTCCTTGCGTGTCAGAAGTTGGGCTACGAGGTGTGTAAGAGGTTGAGTAAATACTGATGGCAACCTGGTTGACTGGTCGCACATGTAGGCATTTTTACCTTCCACCCGAAACTCGGATGACGCTCATGTTCACCTGCTCAAAGCAGCCGACTGCACCAAGATTTTCTTCAGCGAAGAGCGACGCACTCGAGTCCTCGAAATTCAAGGGCTTTGTCCGAATGTAGAGATTTTCCAAATTCCCACACTCCGGCAGATGCTCGCGGATGCAAATGGCCGACGATCTTATATCTACCAACAAGCTTATGATGACGTGGAAAGTCACACTATCTGCATTATCCACAGCTCTGGAACTACAGGTGAATAGATGCCGCAAAGTACTAAACTCAACTGTTATTGACTGACATTCTCCAAAATAATTAGGCATGCCCAAGCTTGTACCCTTGACCAACGGATTCTTCAAGTGTCAAGATGAGTGCTCGCGACTACCCTGGCCCGAGTCTCGCCAACCAGCGACGTTCTGCAACTATAGTCAGGAGGAGATCGTCCTTGCAACAACCCCCTTCTTCCATTTGATGGGCCTGTTCTCGTTTATCATGTCGATCTTCCACAATGTCCCTGTCTTGATTGGCCCTGAGAAGCCACTCTCAGTGGATTATTTGGTTGAACTCATCGATAAGACTAGGCCCACGGCTGGGTTTTTCCCGCCGTCAGTCTTGGAGGACATGAGCCACTCAGAAAAGGCGCTTAAATCTCTCGGGACACTCCATAGCGTGTTCTTTGGGGGGGCGCCATTGGCGCTTGATTCGGGTCGTCGCCTGCGCCAGCATGTACAGGTTGTCTCTGTCATCGGGTCTTCAGAAATGGGTTGGCTTCCAGCATTGATACCAGAAAGCAAAGAGGATTGGGCCTATTTCGAATGGAACCCATTTTATGGAATTGAAATGCAAGCTCGAGGAGACGACTTATTTGAGATGGTTATCCCTCGCAGGGAAGACTCGCGCAATGTGCACGCCATTTTTCATACCTTCCCCGACCGAGATGTGTACAAAACCAACGATCTGTACACGAGACATCCCACGAATTCTCAATTATGGAAATTCCATGGAAGGTTTGACGATGTGATCGTTCTCAGCAATGGAGAGAAATTCAACCCAGTGAACATGGAGAAAACCATCGAGGGCCATCCTCTCGTCTCAAGAGCCGTGGTGGTCGGTCAATCTAGGTTTGAGGCTGGCTTACTTATTCAACCAACTACCGACGCTTCGCAAATGTCTCACAATAGTATCATCGAGGAAGTCTGGCCGACAGTTCAAGAAGCCAATCGAGCTGCCGCCGCCCATGGGCGAATCCTGAAAGAAAGGATCGGACTTGCCTCAAACACCAAGCCCTTCAAAACGACTGCAAAGGGTACAGTGCAGCGGCAAGCTGTACTCCGGGACTATGAGCAGGAGATTAATGCCATTTATGATGCTGATCTGGCTTTTGACCTGGACGTGCCCTTCCCTGAAACCACGGATCTCTCGAGCATTGTGGAATTTGTTCGTCAAATAGTTTCTCGGGCATCTGGTAAATCTTGTTTCCTCGACAATCAGAATATTCACGATGCTGGACTCGATTCTCTCACGACGATTCAAATTGCCAAACTCTTGCAGAGAGGAATTCAACAGCATCGGCCGGAGACGAAAGAGGGGACAATTACCTCCCAAGTCGTCTACGCAAACCCGACGGTAGAGGGCCTGGCTCGGTTCATACTTGGAATACTGGACGGCGAGATTGGTGATGACATCCCTTGCAAAGAAAAGATCCATCAGTTGATCCAAAAATACACCACAAGACTCACTGCAAACAGCGACAAACAACTATCAAGCCAACCTAAAACCCCCTCTGTCGTGGTTTTGACTGGTTCTACTGGTTCTCTGGGAACATACCTTCTGCATGACCTTATCAAGACTCCAACAATCGCAAAAGTCTACTGTCTCAACCGCTCAGATGCCGAAACTCGCCAAAAGAATTCTTTCAGCGAGAAGGGTCTTGGTGTATCGCCGGATGAGTGGACTAAAATCGAGTTTCTCCAAGCGTCGCTGGGCGAGCCCCAGTTCAATCTGGAACGGGCGAAATACGAGGAGATGTCCAGTCTAGTAGATACCGTGATCCACAACGCCTGGAAAGTTGATTTTAATCAATCAGTGGAATCTTTCGAAACACACATCAAAGGAGTGCGCGTTTTCATCGATTTCAGTCTGCAAAGCCGGCATAATGCGCATATCCACTTCGTATCCTCCGTGAGCACGGTTGGGGCATGGACGAGACAGATGGGATCGCTTGTGCCGGAGGAACCAATCGAAGATTCCGACGTTGCCTTGCAACAGGGTTACGGCGAGTCTAAGTATGTTGCGGAGCGTATCTGCTTAGAGGCCTCTCGACGGTGTCATGTCCCGACGACGGTGTACCGCGTGGGACAAATTGCAGGCCCTACCCTTCCAAATGGGCAGTGGAATCGCCAGGAATGGCTGCCAACCATTATCGCTTCTTCCAAGGCTATGGGGAAGATTCCCAGTGGATTGGGTTCGATGGCTGTTGACTGGGTGCCGGTGGTAAGTAACACATCATCAAGTACCAAGATAATATTTCCTGCGCGAGCCGCGAATCTGATATGAGTTTAGGATACCTTATCATCGATATTGACCGAGATTCTCCACACACGTCACGGGCAGGTTTCGAAGGAGTCCCATGCATGCTTCCATCTCACAAACTGGAACACAACCTCATGGTCCTCTTTGATCCCGGTTATCCGGGAAACTTTCAATGTAGAGCCAGTCGGGCTTAGAGAATGGGTCGCAGAGCTTGAGCATATCGAAAATCCGAGCAGTTCTGACATTGCCGACAAGCCAGCTCTGAAATTGCTGTCCTTTTATCGCGCACTGGTTGATGAAGACAATGCAGCGATGTCTGTGGCCCTGGACGTGTCAAGAGCCAAAGCCGCAAGCGGAACAATGCGAGCCCTTGAACCGATTTCTCCAGCTTTGATGAAAAACTGGTTGTCTCAATGGCGCTTCTAGATATCGCATCGGCTGGGGTAGAGACTCTGGTGATGAGGCATCCGTGGAGGGAAACTCAATATTGAAATGTGATTTTTATTAAGACCTTTTGACAAGGTGGCTTTCTCCATTTCGTTTTGTGTAGACTTTTCCAATCAGTGAAACAGTTCAAAGTTCCTCCCTTGAAACTGGGATTTTGTCACGGGCAGTCAGCTTTACTGTTACCTCTGGTGTCTCCAGTTGAAGGATAGATACTACGATTGCCTGGGAGGAAGATGCAGGGATCCAATTATCATGGAGTCAATTCTGGAATCTCGATAGTTCTTAGCGAGAACAGCTCCGTGACTACTTTCGCCGGTTTTATAAGTAAAAACATGCCTTGTTAACTACGACGATAGATAGATGCCCGTACTTAGTCTAGCGGACTACCCAAGAAGTGATCATGTGGGTGGAACAGTCATTCAAAATATATTTCGAGACAGATATGGAAATGGGTTATTCAATCTACTATCAGTAACCAGCAAAAGGATCAGCGCACTCACCACAAAGAGCAGCTTCAATGCTACAAAGGTCCAAATAGAGCATAATCTGCTAAATCAGGAGTCGGCCAAGCTATCAAACAAACCTTTCGGAAAATCTCTGACTCCATCTGAAGACGCCCCAAACGGGATGAAGTTCTGTGCCGCAATTTCAGCTTGAGCAACATTGATCCCAAGCGGCTCAAGCACACCCTCAAGACTGGGGTGTTGCTTGAGCGCACGGCCAACATCCACAGGATGAATCTTGTGCTTTCTCACCTTAATCTCAGTAGTGTATCGCTGCACTAACCAACGGATATCAACAGAATCAAGAAAATTGGACCGAGCATCCGCCGCGCGAAGTGCAGCCTTGAACAAGTAAAAAGGCTCATGGAAACTTACCACGCCGATACCAAAGACATCACCCTTTACTTCATGCAGCTCGAACCGGAATAGAGCCGAGGGAAATCGAGCACCGGGATACTCTGAGCAGAAAATGTGAATCAGTACGGCATCACTGTGATCTGGTCTGTCCGACCATGAGATGCCGACGTAGTCGTCGCGGTCTTGCGAGACTACGGTGAGTCCGGCGTATGTATCGAGTGAGTTGATGATCTGCTGCTTGGAGGCATTTGCAATGCAGTCGATGTCCTTGGTCTGTCGGTTGCCGCCGAAATGGGTGATGGCGTAGCCTCCTATCACTGCGTATTTGATCTTGCTGTCATCAAGAGAGAGATGCAGGATGATGGCTGCGTCGTTGAGTCTGCCGGTAAGCATGACGGTGGAGATGGATTGGGAGTTGGAAAAATAACTTGCAAACTCGAGAACCAAATGGTTGGGAATGTAGAGTGCTGGTTTTGGAAGTAATAGTAGGTGATGTCGTTCCTCTTATAACTACCCGAATAGTCATCGCTAACTAAGCCATTATCCCAATGCCATTTTGCGAGTCTATCAATTTCTATTGAAAATTTTTTTGAAGACCCAATTTGGGCTTGATGACTTAGGGATTGTTCCGCTCAATCACGCATGGTTCTTTCTTTCACCGGGATGCTGTTTTACACCACGGCGCTGTATTGTCCACGATTTCTATTTCCGACCTGATGGGCTAACTACAAAATTCGGTGATGTCTTTGTGTCTCAGTGATGAAATTCTTTGTTACTGCTTTCTGAAATAGAGTATCCATATGAACGTGTCAGCCACCACTAGTCATATGGACAACCCTACATGAGCAAATGGAGTGATAGACACCTGGTCTAAGCCAGCTCCTATAGGCCCGTAGATCATGAATGAAAGTTCCACACCTATACACCCTAACCCGCCTGAATCAAGCCAACAGACGATTCAAATGAAGATATCAGATAATACAATCTTATCTGATCCCCCTAAGTCTAGTATACACAGTCTTCAAACTAACGCCAAAAGGGGTATGACTCATCCGCCTCTCCATCAACCCCTAACTAGCACGCATCTTATCAGCAACAGCATCATACCTATCCTCCAATAAAGCCTCCAACCCTCTCCATTTCCATGAAGCAATATGCTTATCAAACTCGATGACCTCTCCACCGAGGCGATCCGCACCCTCTTAACCCTCCATTTCACCGAGCTCCAAAGCAAAACACCCTCCGAATCCTGCTACGTCCTCGACCTCACTGCCCTCCAAGACCCATCTATATCCGTCTATTCTGCATGGGAGGGCGAGAATCTATTAGGATGCGGCGCTCTTAAACAACTTTCCCCGTCTACGGGCGAAATTAAGTCTATGAGGACGGCTACGGAACATCTTCGGAAGGGAGTTGGGCGTGCTATCGTGCAGCACATCATTAGCGAGGCGCAGAGGAGGGGGTATGCGTCTTTGAGTTTAGAGACGGGGACTGATGAGTCGTTTGCGAGAGCGAGGGAGTTTTATGCTGGCCTTGGGTTTGGGTTTTGTGAGGCTTTTGGGAGTTATGTTCCGAGTGAGGATAATTGTTTTATGGCTTTGAGGTTGTCTTGATGAGAATGGGATGGGAGCAGTATGGATTGATATGGAGATTATAGAAATTGTTATAGAATTCTGGCGCAGAAGGAAAGTTATCGTACAGATTCGAAATAATCAAGCATGTACAACTACCCGCTTAGCTAACGTTGAACTCTACGCCATCGACCCCCTGAGTGTATGTAGGACTCGATTGATGCATGGTATCTCTATTCCGTAATCATAGCCCAGCACTTTCCTCTTCATTCAGGTCTATATCATAAGATAATTCCCTCATATTCAATACTCCTTCTTCCGGTGCCAGGTATTCGTAAAACAACATACGCACATCCCCCCCCCATACAACCATCGAATTCCATTACTGTCCCCTTCTTACCGGCACCGACTTCCCTCCGTCCAGCCACAATCAACCTATAAGGCTGAAGGCTAAGGGCTTCAGCCTAGCGGTGGAGTGTACCATGGCGGGGCTTGGCACAGGACCAAGACAGATCCTCCGTCCTATTCAAGCAGAGTACAAGTGGAAATTCCAATTGGACTTTGCGATTGTCTACTCCGTACATCCGCTATTCCATGGCATAGGCACCAGGCTGATTTAGCATGTCGCTCAGTGGCTGTGACTCCTTTCTTGAAGAGTTTACATTGCCGTTTGCGGACGCCGAGGCTGGAAATGTAGGTGCCTAGAGGCTGGTTTGACGGGGTGGGCTGTTGTGGGAGGAGCGGTGATGCGCCAAGACTGTTAGTTTATGGGGCGGTGCTGGATTCTGAATGTCATGTTTGGGTTCTTGTTTTACAGATTCTTATTTCGTGGGTATTGAATCTATAGTCTGAGTGTCTGGTGGGTTGGGTTGAGGCGGGGAGTGGGGAGTGGGGTGTGTAAGTAGGTATTCTTTGGTGTAATGCATGTATGGCGCGAGCATCGGTGAAGTGGCTAGTGTTGGGTTGAGCATGCATAAGAAAGTGCATATACTTAGTCCTACCTACTGATAATGTAAATCCTGTAGAAGTCTGGGGCTTATCTTGTTCGCCGATTTCTGTTATTGTATGGCATCGTGGTAATATCCATCTGATCTCCTGTCCGACAAGTATCGGGTCAATCTAGATTATCAGGTAATTTTAATCTGTAAGGGACGAACACCCCAGAGGCTACTTTATGATAAAAATGTATGTCTTACGCGAAGGGTCCAAAGTTAGGAACGGTATGAGAAGTAAACATTTCGAAAACACCCGGTTCAGCGCTAATTATCCATACAGCACAGTAGAATCTAAAACCTGTGCGTTGGCTAGTGCGTCTGCTGTGGGACCTAGTGGCACAACCTAGGCTGATGTCATACAGTACAGTCCGATTCTGCGAATGTACGCTGTGTCGTGGGCAGGTTAGGTCAGGGTATCGAGGATCCTGCATTGGAAATAGTGTATATTGGGTCCATCGTTGTGTTGTATATCAGGTTGGATTGTGCTGGCTAATGCTATACAAACTTTAACGGCGAAGGTTGTAGCGGTCAATTTGAGAATCCAATCTGATATTGAGCCTATATACAATATGCATCATGATATGTAAATGCCCGATATCTCGAATCAAATGAGTGAAAATGAAAAGTGTCCGTCTTATACAGTCGCTATCGTCCCAGGCAAGACGTAAATGATCTGTTACAGAGTCAATGGTTCACGTAAGCAGGTGATGAAGCAGGACTTGGAACGCAATGATGACTATACTGTATCATCCATCATTCTCAGCTCCGACACCCATCGCCGTTACTGGCCATATTCAGTTGAGTAGTCATGACCCATGTCATCATAAAGGTGAGGTTGAACCACAACGACGACGAAACATCCCGAAGCAGAATATACCACTCAACGCCTAACGAATCAATCCAACCCGCCCTGGCAATAAACAAAACCCACTAGTACCGAAAGATAGGTAGAGAGGAGAGAGATAAAGAAAAAGTCATGAGTCTTCGTTGCATTGGCGTAGAAATCCATGGCAAGTCGCAAATTGTCCCAAACAGATGATACAACCCAGCTAAGCGATGAAACAATGATTGAAAGGGTTGATAACCAATATACGCCGGAACAAATGACCATAAACAATGGACGTTAATCTGGGACGGAGAAAAGAGACGAGGAAAGGACGAGACCAGAAGGGGGGTGGATAGGATCGGGAGGAGATAAAGAAACACGTCAAGTCAAAAAGAGCCTCCCTGTTCTATCAGGAGTATAGTAAAAGGTTCAGAGTTCCTCCCTCCGTGGTCTTCCATAAGAAACAACAGGTAGGTGACAAATATCCATGAAAGAAAGACGTGTCCAAATAGCCTTCCTTTAATTTGTCCAGGGAATACAAGAAAGAATAAGGGGGAACCAATCTCAACCTGTCCTCATTCTACTCTGGCATTTTTGCTCGATCCTCGGAATCTCCGAGTGGAATGACTTAATACGGCAATGCTGTTTTTCTTGCCGTTTCGTTCGTCAGCCCGCCTATTCAAAGTGCAGGCCGATGGATCAAAACCCTTCTTCACCGGCCTTGCACAACTTAATCTGTCGTACCCATTCAGACTTGAGGACTTGAGAGGCATTGATACGGCGGGATGGATTCGGATCGAGGATAGAGTAGATCACGTTGCGGCAACGGGCCTGAACAGTACATGTGGAGTCAGTCTGATGTCCTGCATTGCATGAATGACCTGCAGCGGCAGTAGTAATGCTTACCCGATGCAGCGTCTCAATTGGCGCATATCCATCTTCGTGTTTCCGACCCTCCAAATAGCGCTGGTAGAACTCGTCTTCGTCCTTACGCGCCACGCGCCAGAGATGACGGCCCGTTCGCATTGCCATATAAATCACGCCGGTGGCCCACAGATCTACGGCGCGAGGGTCAAATTCCTTCTCAATGTACTCCTCCGGAGCAATGTAGGGCGCAGATCCGCAGAGACCGGCGGTCATGTGTGCTTCCTTTTCCCAAGCCATCCTGAAGCACTCGCCGTTGCCGAAGTCGGTAATCTTCAGGGCGCCATGGGTGGTCAGCAGCAGGTTCTCGGGTTTCAAGTCGCGGTGGGCGACACCCATTTCGTGCATATACTCGACGCCTCGCATCAATTGTTTGAAGAAGCAATCGGCCTCGGCGACTTCTAGTTTGCCTGCTGCCAGGACAAGGGTGTAGAGATCACCGCCAGCGCAGTACTCCATGACCTCGCAATAATCGCCTTTGGCATCTTGCAGCAGATCGAGAGTATGGATAACGTTGGGGTGGCGAAGGGAGGAGGAAATGCAGAATTCGGAGGTCAATCGCTTTTGGTACCTCTTGGCGGTTTCCTGAGGTCGGCGGCGGAACTCCTTGACAGCATAGAGTTGCTCGCACTTGGAGTCTGCAGGATCCACCTTGTGGGAGATACGGACAATACCGAATGCACCACGGCCAACGATCTCCTGGCATTTGCCATATTTGTCCACCAAGGTGGCAGTCGCGTTGGGCCCACCCTTCTTATCGGCGGCCATCTTATCGCGCTCAGTTTTGAATTGGTCGATCCAGGTCGACATGAGGGACAACTGCTGCTCATCGGGCTGGTCGTCACCCTTTTTCCTTCCACCGCCTAACATGTCTCGGAGGAGGTCGGTGAGCTTCTCCTGTCGTCGGGCGCTTCGAAGGTGATGGACGTGAGTGCCAGTGCCCTCGGGAAGGATCTCGAAGCGCTTGTGGGTCGGGGCGCAATCCTTTTGGTCCTTTGAATTGACCGGCTTCTTCTTCTGGTTGTCGAGGGGCTCATTTTTGAGCGAGGGTTGTCGGGAGGGGGCGCGAGAGGAGGGTCTCGAGTTTGCGCGAGACGAGGTCTTCGAGTTGGACACTTCCTTGCCATTTAGTGGCTGAACGCTCTCCATACTGCTATCTGACAGCTCGCGGTGGGCAACATCGTGATCGCGAGTCGGGGTTTGCTTCCCCGAGCTCGAGAACATGCGGGAAAGTCGAGAGGCCATGTTGCCTTTAGTGGTAGGCTTCGTGGCCGGTGAGTGCGGCGGAGGGAGGGTGTCTCCGTTCGGCGCGGACAGATTCATGCCCGCCAGGGCTCGTGTTACCGAAGGGTCTCCATCCCGGTGGTCATGTGAATATTGAGAATTTGCGGCGGAGGAGACTGCGGACGGAACAGGTGAGGGAGAAAGCGGAGTCATGTGCGGTGGATCTTTTGGGGGGGGGAGAAGGGAGAAGAGGAGGATAGCGAGTGCGAGACCGGAGGTAGAGGAGATTCAGTCGATTCCCCGGTGGGATATGAGAAGGAGAAGGCGAGCGTAGCTCGCACGAAGCCCAAAGCTGCGGAACTGCAACCGATGCGCTCGTAAGAACTCGCTGATTTCTATTTTGAAAAGACGACGTGGGATTGAGGTCGGCGGCGAAAAAAAGTGTGGTGCGTGGTAGCCGTAATGTTGCCTCAGGCAGCAAGGTGTGCGCAGGTGACGACGGTGACTTTGCAAGCTGCGGAAATGTGCGCGAGGGTTCAAATGGAACTTGGTACGCTAAGTACGGTCATGGGCAAGCAAGAAGAAAATAAATATCATATACAGGGCAGTAAATTCGAGAGCATACGCCCCGAGGGGTATGTCTGATATAATATATGCTGCACGAGGTAAAAGAAAAAAAAAAAGAAAGAAAGAAGAGGAGAAAGTGGCAGATGAGAGGGATAAAAATTGGCGATACTACGGGAGGAGCAGGGAGGGTTGAAATACCACGGGGAAACGAACTTCGTATGGGGGGGTAACGAAGAGGAGTAGTAATTTACGGGGGGTCGTCGTCCCGAGGAGCGATGGATCTTTCTGGTGAGATTATTAAAGCTGAGGAAAGCAAGAAAAAAAGGAAAAAAAGGAATACGGGGGAGTACAAAGTACATCGAGTGCTTCGCATTGAAGTGGATTGATGCAGTACTTGGTACAAAGTAACCCTACAAAGCATTACAAGTCAGTCCGAGCCAAACGGCCCGAGAGAAATGTGGACACTGCGCGAGAGAATCCGGGAAACGCGTATGGACTTGGTAATAGATTACTTACCACACCGTCTTTACGCCTAGAATACTCTCTCCGTTCTCCGTACTCGGGTCGATTCCCACTTCCACCTCCGGCCAGAGAGACCCGATTATTAATTGTCAGCTTTCTCACCCTCAGCTTTCAGCCTTTGGCCCAGTCCCTCGACGACCAGATGATATCTCACTTTAGGTTAATAATTGCCACGGGCATTGTTCCAGGGGATTCTGTGAGGCGCCCACTCGAAAGTAACAATATACATACTGTACAGTACGTGCTGATCATGCAATCATGATGAGCATACGGAATCCATTGAGATTAATATGACGACTAATAAATCATTTTATACAAGAATTCTACTACAATATGATTGGATTTCCCCTTTCACATTTGCTCGTATTCTACCTCTGACTGCTCTTTCTTCCAGTGCCTCCCAATATGTAGTCCATTGTCCGTGTGGTAACATTGCTCATTTCCTCGTTACCGAGTGGCGCATGCCCTCCTGCCCTAGTGGTGCGGGCACAATGGAAATATCCATCCACCAACTCCAGAAAGTTGCCAAAGAGGGGGCCCCGTAACCAGGCACGCTACAAATACTGGAGACGGTTCCAATGAGAAAGGGTAAAAAAAAGTAAAACCAGGTAATTAGCACGCGAACGACGACATCCGGCTCCCGAGGGCCCCATACTGTGCAGTACCGAGTACTAGCATTATGGAGACTCTCTTCTGGTGAGTGATTTAATCTTCCTGTTAGAAACATCCATCCGCAACATTGATAGTGATGTACGAGTCCAATGGGTGGCATCGCTCTGCATGGGCATAGTCGTATGGAAATCTGTCCTCGATTCGTACCGGAAGATCCCTGGTACCGACGCTGGGGTCTGTTCCTTTTCCGTCGCCCGTAGCTTAGAAAGATTAAGCACTGCGCAGACCCATTCCGAAATTACAGGACGATCCCCTGATGACGTCCCCCCCCGTTTCGGTCCAACTGGTCCTGATAACCGAGTCTTGACTGGTCGTGTCAGTTGTAGGACAGTTCGACCCAGTTAAAGATGAGGGCCATGTTCTGTTCCTGATCCTGTTCCCCTCCCCAGTGACGTCGTCAACCCCGGAAATGATTGGACGCATTAGTAATTCCAGATGACAGAATCACCCAATTCCTCTCTTACCTAGATGAATATTATACTTCCGCCACGCGCATCCTCCGAGCGCATGGCCCCGACGCGAGTGAGGCTGTGCACGTCGAGTGCTTTGTCCAGCAGGCCCCGTTATGATTCGATCGTCTCCCCGCACCAGTAGTAAGAGCCCGATGCGCTGGGTGCGTCGTGTGGCGCTAGCATGGCCACTTGTCCTCAGTCCATCTAGGGGGACCCGATGTGGATGCCACTGATGGTGGTGATGAGGAACCGTGAACGAGGGGCTGATGGACGATGATGATCTTGATAATCATAGCTCGGTGGAGCCCATCGGCATCACTGTCACCTACGAGGGCCAGTAAAGATCGGGCGTGAACCTTCTGAGATAGCGCATGATGGGGTAATATGTTCAATTTGGTGACTTTAGTGTTTCCTGTGCATGTCGATTGTGCCGTTGATAAACGGCCTACTATGTTTCCCTCGGCTTGCATATCCTCGCAAGTGCCTTGGTTCCACTTGGTCTAGCAGATATAGCGTGTCTGGCGAAACGACAACGAACAGTGGAGAATCACAACACGCCGCTCTATCTGGTAAAATCTACGCTTCTATATCTAAGTTGATAGGTGGTTAACTAGTGTGAATATCTAACAAATTAAACACGGGGCTAATCACCACCAAACAAGTATGAAACAACGCACCTGGCTCGGAGGGCGACTACTCTCGGAAACCTTTCTCCTGCCCACAACTCCGACCAATTCTTACCCGCCATCAACATGCCGACCCCACCCCGGAAAACGAATCACGCCGTGAAAGAGACGGTGAAGCTCATGCGAAGAACCCCCTCAACCACCTCCCGCGCATATTCCCAGTTCTCATTGACCCTGATAGGCCCCCCTATATTCCTCAACCGATTACATTATTATAAGAGTAACCATACGGTCAATCTGCCAACTCAAGTCAGCCCATCGACAATAGACAATGCACTCATTAGCTTTGTTACAAGAAAGTATGCCATCTTCCAAAAGGAAAAAGAGAGTAACAAAGCGAAACGGCCATAGTCAGAGCAATAGCTACAGTAGGGCCATGGCCCTCCGTGCTCCGCGGCCAGCTGAGTCTTCCGTCGACGCAATGACGGATAACCATTGGTCAGCATTCTATCAGCCCATTCATTCCACCCGCATCAACTTCCTCGAGAATGCCGTCATCTGGCTAGGATGCCGCTAAATGGGCTGAACATGATTCCTCCCGCTAGCTATGACCTCGTATATCAACGCTCATCCTTTGCTAGCGTAAGCTTTGGCGTAAGTCTATCGCACAGAGTGATGATGACGCTAGGAGTTGACTGGCTCGATGGGGAGATGTGCATAGTGGCTATTCTCGGCTCTTCGTTGGTCATCGGCCAGAGGACAGCGTGAGTGGGACACTCTGTGTGGTTCTTTTGCCGGGATAGGCTCGTTGTGGCGATCAGATTGCATAATAACGTCGCTGGCACTATACGCTTGGAAAGGGCGTACCCGTACGGCTGTTCTTCTTCGGGAAGGTAGAGAAGATCTGTCCATTATTGAATAGATCATATGCTATCTAGGTAAATTATGTAGTCGAGTAGGCTATGAGTGACCAGCCTAGGAGTCTTTTCCATATTTCCAACGTTTTAGTTAACTATGAGGGGGCGGTACACGGCTATGATCAATGACTAGTGGGGAGGAGGGTTTCCCTCGTGTCGGGGAGTAACCTCACCCAAAGAACGTACGGACATCAATAATCGACTGGGCATCCGTACCCCGTACTAGGGCAAGCTCAAAGCATGCCGGTTTTAACTTCCGACCTGAGGCGACACACAGATTACCCCGGATTATTGTCGTCTGACTCGTGGATTTACTCGGCGGGTTAAGCCCACAGTTTTTGTCCGCACGATCGATGGGCACGAGCGTTTCAAAATGAGGCCATCACTAGCGAGGGTCTTCTCTTTGTGTCAAAAGAAATTATAGAGTCCTCTATTGATAGTATGATTACTACCGCACAATCAAAATTGGCAGAAGCCAGCCACAGCAATATTAATCCGGGGCAACCTCGGCATCCGTGGCTCCATGGTTTCCCAACCGGAGCACATGCGCCAAAAAGGTAAACCAGAGGAGAAACCCCTCAGAGGACAACGGAGTACATACACGAGAAGAAAAAGAAACGATGACTGGTTGACCATACAACACATTTGAGTGACAGTGTGCTCCGTTTCATTGTTCAACAGCATCCTCGACATCTCCGTTCTTCATTACAATTAAACTACGAGGCATTTGTTCCTCGCCAATCAGCGCTTACAGACGTTGAAGAGGCGGCTTGCTCTGTTTCGATTATGAATACACCAGATTGGTATGTAGACGCGATATCGTGTGCCATGCAGATGCAATGCAGATTTGCTTTTGCTTTTGCTTTTGTTGATGGAACAGTTTCTTTTCTTTTTTGCTGTTTGCTGTTGTAGCAGCTTGGGGTTTTCTTGGCTTCGATGGAACCAAACGTTGAGTGCTCGATACCAGTTTCACATACCGAGTAAGAGTGTATGCGTATTCTGATTCTATACCCGTGTGGAGTACATTTACCTGTTTCTGTTTCTAGCGGAAAGAAATTGTGGAAGAATACAAAGCGTCTGCGTACCACCAGCTCCTGTACCTAGTCTGATATGGCAGGTATTCGCACACCCCAAGTACTAGTAATACTCCATAGGCCCACCCGCCCTGTCAGCTTTGAAGATCCCGTCCACACAAGTCCGAACGTCTCAAGTCTTGCTCTTTGCCCCTCTTCACCACAAAGGAACGCTTACCCCACTATTGACCATCCAAGCGCGTGCCACCCAGTGCCACGGGCACGGACGGGAACGTTAACTCTACACAATACTTGCTCACCATTCAAATATACTGACCACGATGCGCGATGTAGCATGTAGCATGTACAAAGTACTCGGTACTATGTACCAGGTTCGAGAGGGGGAAATCCCAGAACAAAGCCTCCCACTGGACCGACGGAGCGGTCGAGTCCAACGGTGTCTTGCTGACCGCCATTTTACATCGGGGATGAGTATTCCGGGACACACTTGCCTTCGGACTATCCTGCCTGTGTGTGTGAGATACGGGAGGGGGTATTTGTCAGATGAGGTCGTAGAGCCCAGTGTACCCAATTTGCGATCTACCATTGGGGGAATCCATCCTTAGAGGGGGGTTGTACAAGCCAATACAGTGGGAGCGACCCAAGGACGAGCTTGAGATAAGCTGTGGCCGAGCTGAGCTTCGGCATCTGCAAGGAGCTTGGATGTTTATGCTGGAGTGGCTGGTACAGTGCTGATTGGTATGTTTGGGTGTGGTGGTAGGTACTGTATCCATCTTCGAGATGTGGTACCACCGTGCCTCCGTACCTTGACGCAACCCACTTTTGCCTCTGTATACAATCAATGCAGTGCTTGACAGACTCCTAAATGCCATCACATCCTAACCATATTCAGTGTCTTATTCTTGTTAGCTGCCGGCATCTCCGTTCCCCCGAAGCTGATATCCAGCCTCCGGTATACGACATCCCTATATCAGGCCAAGCTATAGCCCAACTCTGCATCGTGCGTCGAATCAGCGGTCCATGCCCTACACCAAGATGCACCGCATACGCCCAGTCTTGGCGAGAATCGGCCTTCCAGCCTCGGGAAACTACTATGCAGAAGAAACCTATTATGCCGCGGAGATCTTCCAGTGGGTTGCGGTAGCCAAAGCCCCGTATAGAGGCCATTCTATGTGCCAGTGTGGAATGTGTGCCGGAGCGTTGTCTTCCTATATGGACTTGACACCGGATGGAGCGTATGAGAGCTAGGGTTGGTGACTCGGTCCGGTCCTGTGCATGCTTAATATGTGGCTCTTATATGATAGAGATTTTGTATTTGAGTAGTCGTGTGGGTTTCAAAATATCAGGATTATGAAATAAGCAGTCGTATGAAATGGGCAGTCCAGAATCGTGAAGCCTTGTGGATGTGATCTTCCAATTGAAATGCTAGGTCTGGTCAAAATAGCCTGTCTGATCTCACCGAGCTTTCCTACAGAATGCGGTGCATGTGTGCTTGTACTTTGATAACTATGGCCACGGCGGAACATACATAAGCCACGGCGGAACATACATAAGCCACGGCAGAGAAATCCCTCGGGAGTGTGAGTTTGTCTGCCCTTGACAGGGTCGCGTCATGGATTCTCTCCAAGTAGTATGGCTTTATCTCACTTGCAGTCTACCTTAGTCTGACGATCGCTATGATACGAGTGGATACGGATGGGAGCCACAAGAGACGAGGGACTGGACAAAGAAACAGGATATTGCACCGTTATATGACGGCACGACAACGTTCTTCTTGGGAATTCATTCAGACACGCTACTTCAGATGCAATGACGTGAGAAGCTTGTTAATGCCGAAATTGCTGCCCTATCCTCCAGCTGTCCGGAATCACCCGCTCTCAATTGCGACCTCGGTCCTTGTTCCTGGCTGATAGTGGAGAGCGCTGTATGCAGGGATGGATGCGTCCGAGAACCCGCTTATCGAGTGCCGGTACCCCGCCACGTGGGATATCTGCCACATTGACTGGCACCTTAATCTGATCTGAAAAAGGCGGTATAGGGCGCGGGTATTGGGTCTGCAGGGCGGTGGGAAAGAAGAAACTGCGGCGTGTTACATCTTGTCTCTCCGTTTGCTCCATCTCAGGCTGCTTAGGACGTGATGTGTGGAGATTTGTTGGGTTTAGGAAGCCGGCTGGCAGTGGGAGAGGTTTCCAATCGCCAGCTTCAAGCCCTCGTGGTAGGGCCGACGGTACCAATTGACTGGTAGAAAGTCTACTGCGAATCAAGATAGAACACGAGTCTGCTACTATATCAGAATAAATGGTCCATAATAATGGAAAGTGGACAACATACCACGAACTGCTCTAATGACTCCTCAAACAGCTCATTGTTGACGCCCACGCCGCTTGGGTGTTCCGCGGGAGAGAGGGGGTTCTTCACAACTATTGTGTATAAGATCAGTAGTTGATCGATTGATATCTCCTAGGCCAGAACGAACCGTATTCCACATAGAGGTTGATGTAGATCTGCTGTAGAGCAATGCGCATGCTGGGGCTCTTGGTATCCGTCAACATCACGAACTTGATATTGGTCGGTGTCTCGTAGTAATGTAGCTTATATTGGCTGGTATTGAAGGACACGAAGCTAGATGAGGAGTCCAAGTATTAGTCTCACGATTGTAATCCGATGCGTCCATTGAAAAGTCTCACTTGTCCTCATCACCACCCAGCTTGCGGACCATGTTCCGGAGCGAGAACACCGTACCGAACACCAATTTTGAGTCATCGTCCGTAGTGCGCATCGTCTGGCCAGTTCCCGCGGTGCCAGACTGGGCTGGGCTCTCGTTGCGCGATGATTTCCCCACGATGGACACCGGGCGTGGGAGCCAGCGGCGCTTGTAGATACATTCCGCTTTTAGATAGCCGTAAAAGTCAGTCAAGAGGATCCTCGCTAGATTCAGAATCAACCTACCGTGGCGGTCAAAGATATAGAACGAGTAGACAGTCATTGCTGGAAGTTCAATATGGGGGAAAGCTTAACGGTAGGTGTGATTTGTTGATGTTCAGGGGAGGAGGGCGGTGAGCGGGCGGTATCGATAACCTAATCACTTTCTATCGATAAAATGGAGAAAAGCCGTTGCCTGCACAGTCCAATCTAGTCCCAGGAGAGAAGCCCCCCAGTGTCTAAATTTCTATTTGCTAATTTTGGAAATTTTGAATTTTCCTTGTCTCTCCGTTTGATCTTAATTGCAGGAAGATCAAGAATCTACTTCCATTCGCCTCGTAAGGCTGACAACCTGCACTTTACCCGTTATCTGCTGTTCCGCCCCGCCGCCCTCACCTTCCTCGACCCTCGCTACCCCACACCTACCTAGTCGTAATCCAACCGGTCGTGAGGGAAACATTCCTTCTCTACTGCACCATTCCCCCGTTTCCATGGACGACACCGTTGGGACTCCTCTGTCCGATGTCTCCGCGGCGCCCTCGATTGACTCTCTCGAGGGGGCCGGACTACCGCCGCAGCCAAGCCGAGTCACGTAAGATTTCCCTTCTCCAGCAACGAGACCCCACGAGCTCTACTGGCATTCCATTTGATCTGAATTGGACGAATAGCTAATGGATACACCTATTTTGTTATTCTTAGTTCATCAGGATCGTTCGATAGTCTTCCAAGACACCGCCAACGAAATCCCCGAGCTCGGCGTCCGGTGAAGGTTGGTAGCCGTTTTGTACCGCGCGCGCGAGAGAGATTTCAGCAAGAGACTGATTCGTGTCTCATGAGCGCATAGGAAACGCTGGACGCCCGCTCCGAATATAGGACGAGCCAAGACGACGGCACGGCAGAGCATCGTATCAACCAATATATCATCAAGCAGGAGATTGGCCGAGGGTCATTTGGCGCCGTCCACTTGGCTGCTGATCAATATGGTAATGAATATGTATGGATATGCTTCCTAGTCTGGCTGTTGAGGGCGATGAAGATACGAGGCCGAGGACGATAATGAGGGTGTGGTGCTGACAGAGGCCCATTACCAGGCAGTGAAAGAGTTCTCCAAATCGCGCCTCAGAAAGCGTGCACAATCACACCTATTACGGCGACCGCGTGGACCTCGACGACCCGGTACCGGATTCAATTCGCCCTTACATCGCCATCCATCTCAAGACGACGATGAAAACGCCAAAAATCCGCTCTACTTGATCAAGGAGGAAATTGCCATCATGAAGAAGCTGAATCACAACAATCTGGTCTCGCTTATCGAGGTGCTGGATGATCCAACTGAAGATTCACTTTACATGGTCATGGAGATGTGCAAGAAAGGTGTGGTCATGAAGGTTGGCTTGGAAGAACGAGCCGATCCCTATGATGACGAGCACTGCCGCTGCTGGTTTCGTGATCTGATTTTGGGAATTGAGTACCTTCATGCACAGGGGATCGTCCATCGAGACATCAAGCCTGACAATTGTCTTGTGACCAATGACGACGTGCTGAAAGTGGTTGACTTTGGTGTTTCGGAGATGTTTGAAAAGGACTCTGATATGTTCACTGCCAAGTCAGCGGGATCTCCGGCTTTCCTCCCGCCCGAGCTCTGTGTAGTGAAGCATGGTGATGTATCTGGCAAAGCAACGGATATTTGGTCGATGGGAGTCACCCTATATTGTCTGAGATACGGCAAGCTTCCATTCGAGAAGCAGAGTATATTCGAGCTATACGAAAGCATTCGGACCGACACTGTGGACTTTGAGGACGAGCAGGATGATATGTTTAAGGATATGATGACTCGTATTCTGGAAAAGGACCCGGCGAAGCGTATTAAGATGCGGGATTTGAGGGTGAGTGACACACAGATGACGGAGATGTTGAGTATTCACTGACATTGGGCTCCAAGGAACACCCTTGGGTGACGGCAAACGGGGCTGATCCTCTGCTATCCTATGAAGACAACACGGCACAGCTCATCGAGCCACCCACGGAGGAGGAGATGAACCTAGCTATCACCAAGAACCTGGGTCATTTGATAACAGTTGTATGTACTCAACACCCGGAATTGGCATTGGCAACTCACGGAATTCCCTGCTAATTGTGGACGGTCGCAGATGAAAGCAGTGAAAGGCTTCAAGCGGTTAGTGGATCCGTCTAAAGCAGGGTCAGCCTTACAAAGTATCTTGGGTAGTGAGCACGATGCTCACTTTGTTGCGCCACCTATGGAAATGGATGAGAGTGATGATTTCCCAACCGTTGGGCTGGATCCCAACGCCGACCGCGCTGGTCGTCATGGCTTCACTGGTGGTATCAAGAGGGCCTTTGGGCGGCACCCTAAGCTAGCAAGGTTACATGGTCGAGATGAAACAAGCACAGAGAGACCTTCGGAGGGAACTCCATTGAGCGGTGCGTCTGGTGCAGAGGATAGTACAGCCAGCAGCGGACGATCTAGAGGCGCCTTTGAACCTCCAGGGCGAAAAGACTCGGGCTCAATACGGAGTGGGAGATCCATTGGGAAAGCGGATGTGACTAGGATTCATTCTCAGTCGGCATCGCCTCATCCCGCACTCTCACGAGCTAGCTCTTCAACCACCAAACGCAGTGTCGAGGGAACGAGAGGCCATGCACGAGATCCGCTTGAAGAAGACTTCCCTTATCTCTTCATTGGCCCTTCGACCTACACTGGCACGTCACCTCAGGAACCCAGCGGGTTCAATATTGGCAATGATCTGATTCAGCCCATCTTCGCCGAGCCTGACAGCACCGAGGATGGAATTGATCCTGCCTTGGATACAGCCATGTCAGATGAGCCGATGCTGATCGTCAGTGAATCCCCCGGTGCAGCAGAATTTGACATTTACGAGACGGCGTACCGCAACGAACTTGAGCGCATCGAGGCTAAAACCTCCACCTTCCCTGGCGCCGGCGTCAGCCCCAAGGTGTATCTTACACGTCGTGTTGAGGGCAAGCACGAGGTGATGAAATTTGTCAAAGATAAGGCTCTCGATGTGCAAATCGGTATGAAAACACCCATTGCGTCGGCTGGCAGGTCCGCGTCGGCGTTTGGGGCGGCAGTGAGTTTGTTACGGAATCAAATGGAGCAGCAGAAGGAGGCCGACCAGAGGGAAATGGATGCTCCAGCGGTGGAGGGGTCGAATCCGGGGCAAGATACTATGGAAAATCAGCAGAGTCCTTCCCGTGAGCGCAGGCAATCCCATCCGCCCTCCTCATCACTGTCGTCACAGTCCATTCCTGGTCCCGAAGCATCGCCCTTGGAGGCAACTGGCGTTCCAGCTTCGGGCTCAAACGCCAGTGCAGAAGACTCAACCACGCAGCTGCGTCGCCTTCTCGCTCGTGTTCGTGACAAGACTGAAGAGTAACCCGAGATTTGCCTTGTTAGAGGGAAAGGCAGAACTTTCATGTAAATAGAGGAGGGTGTCAGTCGTAACAGACCGGTTGGCGAGAGGATATATACGAATAGCAAACAACACTACCTCACACTCCCCTTTCTATAATAGACAACAATATAGTTGACTAGCATTCCCCTTTCCTTCCTCAAATCGATGACTCCAGAGCTTTCATCCCCTTGCATATGACAGTACCCTGACCTTGAATTTCAGTCTCGGATGCATGAGCGTACTCCCACAATGAAACGCAGTCTGGTAATCGTAATCCAGTCAATCAGTCAAGCACACTCTTTCCAAAAATCCGCATGCGTACATACAAGCTTTTCAAATTTACCTAGTTGTCCTTTTTTCTTTGAGGTGAAGTGTCAACCCTCTCTATATGGGAATCGTGATGGTCCAGTGAGCCAAAATCCGGGAAATTGCTCTCGTCGCATATGGGCATGCCGGGATGGGTTACACAAGACGTCTTCCCCCTCGACTTAGATCAACTAGGATCGACATGACACATGACAGGGCTGGAGTTACGGTGTAGAACGGCCGTGGTTTTTGCATGGCATGGGTGTGGCGTGACAGGGAAGATGTCTGGTAGATAGCTTGATGTAATTAAGTTGGCTAACGTTAACCCTACCTGTGTCATGTAGGTCTAGTACCTAAATATCAAGTCGATGGCTTGTAGTCAAGATTTATGCGCGGTTGATGTTGTACTTCTACATCACAGCATATGATGCTAGTGCACCCGGTAGAGTATGATGCCGAAGCGTTTCTATACGGTGAATCTTGTAGTCGAGACTATACGAGGTAAAAGAGGTATATCGCCACGTCGTACATCTACCTTAGAGACGAGTATGAATGGAGAGTGTAGGTCACGAAGTAATCCACAGCCTAGCTAGAGGTACCTACGGCAACGGCAAGGGCAAGGTAGGGGCGGAAGAGCAATTATGCGCTGTATATTATAAAGCAATCCATAATCTTACATGCGTGACAACTCAGTAAAGAAGAAGAAGATCAGCGAAACATGACGGATAGAAAAACAAGTGCAAAAAAAGGTTGATCTGGTGCGCAGTCAGGTCATCATTATGCTTGTGTATATGATAGGCGAGAAGTCGTAAGTGATGAAGGAGACGTGTCTCGTGGAAACGAGCCGAAAGCAAAGTAAAAAGCAAAAGGCGTTGAGGACGGGCCGGTTGATCTGGGAAGGACAGAATCTGCAAATGATGGACGTCTCGGGAAGGAATGGGGCATCAAAAAATACAAAGGCATCCCAGATCATGTATGGGCGCGCCGGGGTGAAAGTGGAGCTCCATCGTGGAAGGAGACAAGACAAAGTAGACCGCCCGGAGGAAGAAGAGTTGCTGTTGCCATGCTGTTGGGATTGTACTGAAGACGTCGTGATGGAGGGAGTGTATGTCATGGCACGTCATGGGAGATAGACAGCAGACAGCAGACAGCAGACAGACAGAAACCAGAAAGGCAAAACGGCACAAATAGTAGAAGCATTGTAAAGAGGCAGAGCAAAGCAAGGCTGATCAAGTTAAACAATCAATACAAGACAAACAGAAGACAAGACAGTTTAACGTTTAACGTTTAACGTCAAGTAAACATTGAACATAGAGCATTGGTTCATAAAGATAAGCTTGAACTCGGTAAAGAAATTGGAGATCGGAAGGCTGGTTTCTTCCATATTTTTGTCGAGTAGCCATCGTGGACACATCAGAGCCGTATTCCAGATGCTGGGCAGCAGTGAGCGGAAGTCGCGAAGGTAAAAACGAGATCATCGGTGATAGTGACTGGACTGTGTCATTTGAAGACGTGTAATCGGGAATAGGCCGTTCAGGACGAAATCATTGCAAGACATGGTGCATAAATTATGCGAATCGCGAAAAGCAAAGAAGGTCGAAACGAACCAAGGTCGAGAAGCGAAAGTATCAAAAGTAACAAGATTATCAAACAGAAGGGAAATCAGATGTAAAAGCAAGAATCGAGGGATTGGCAAGCGGGATGCATGATCCCAAGTGAAAAAAACATAAACAATAAACGCAACTCGAAACACTGTCTATTGTTCGTCAAGAGTTCGTTTCATGAATTCGAGGTCGTCGTGAGACATAGCTGCAACAAAGCAGCAAAGAAGGTGAAAGAGAAAAATGTAGGTGGGAGTGTTTCCAAGAAGAAAGAAAAGAGAAAAGGTCAGAAGCACCGTCAGCAAGGGGATGGAGAGAGTCAAGCAGGTCAGGAATACCCTCTACCTTCAACAGGCAAGAGGCCACAGCATATTGATCATACTCATGGCACGACCTTGCGAATGTATAAAATCCCGTCACAAGAGCAAATCCAATCCAAGCTCGAACCCATACCCAGAGACAAGACAATTAAATGCCAAATTTGACATTCATTATCTCAACGGCTTCTCACCGGGCGTCGTACTACTCCTCGCCTCAGCATACGATGCCAGCTCCTCCCGTTCCCGCTCGCGTTCACCCCGACTAGCAGCCGAGTCTCTGCGTCCACTATCCGGCGGCGAAAAGCGATCCGGCGGAATAGCACCATAAGCACTCCTTTCGCCAGGATTACTATTCAACCTCGGGAAGGGGTCCGGAGGCCCCAATTGCAAGGTTCCTAGTTGCAGGGCATGCGGGGAGGGTAATGGATGGCCCATCTCCGTTGGCCGGGGCAGTTCACGCATATTAGGGCCCATGCTGCGGGTTGGTATATCGCGGCGTTCGCTTGGATTTGGGTTGGAGCTTGGCGTTGAACTTCTGCCTGGAATAGACGATGCTGGGGCGAGGGGTCTGGGGCCGGGGACGTCGTATGGAATTAAGCCCGCGTTAGGCCCGTGAACGGGATGTGGTATTGTAGCTGGGCCTGGCGCTTTCGGTGTTGAAAACGCTGCGATGGGTGGACCTGCTGGACTCGTTGGTGAAGGTGGGATCTTCATGCGGTTTGGGTTTGCGCGACGAGGGGGTGGATAGGTCTCGCCGCGAGCTTCGGCGGCGGCTTTGCGTCGTTCGGTCTCGGCTTTGCTGGGTCGGCCGCGTTTGCGGGGTGGTTCGCCCGTTGACGTTGTGTCGAGCCGTGGGGATAGTTGGGCGGAGCTTTCGCTGCTGTAGGAGGCTGTGCTTGCTGGGGGACGGGGTTGGATTGCGCGTGGAGCGAGCGGTTTTTCGGCGGGATAGAGAGGTCGTTTGCGAAGGTTTGCGTCTATGCTGGAGGGTGTTCCCGGGGCTTCTAGACGGGAACTTGGGACTATTGTTGGCGGAGCAGTTGGTGGTGGGGGATGTGGCGGATGTTGATATTGGTGTTGATGTTGATGATGATGTTGAGCTTGAGCTGGAGCTGGAGCTGGAGCTTGAGCCTGAGGTTGCTGTGAATGAGACTGGAATGGTGATTGCGATTGCGCTTGGGCTTGCGGATGTGGTTGTGACGGTGTTTGCGATTTCAATTGCAATTGCATGTTTTCAAAGGCCAATCTGCATTGACTGAGCGAGCGGCCTATTATTTCATCCGATTTGATAGTGGTTAGTGATCAATGGCTAGAGGCGCAAGGCACGGGTCGTATAGTTGATAGTCTTAAGATTACCTTGAGGCAAGGGAATGTGCTCCCAGTCGGGGCTGATACGGAACTCATTGATTATGCGAAGGAGATAACTGGACGGAATACCCGCCTTCTTGAGGATTTCGCTGAGCAGAGTGTTCTATCCTGGTATTAGCATAGTTCGATATCATTTCAGAGTCCTGGATCTTACCTTCTCCTCCTCGGTCCATGGCGTATCAGATGAATTCGACATATCCAGACCATCCAAGCCAGGCACCAGAGACGTTCTCCTAGATCGTGTGGACACACGGATGATAGTAGGATTTGACAGAACCGACGAATCAATAGGTCAATAGAGGACAGCTACCGTCTTCACACCCTCGCCGTCACGACCAAAAGTAACAATAAACAAGCAAAGACAGCCTCCCAAGACAAGATATTAAATCGGAAGCGAATGGCAGCAGATCGGTAAAGAAAGTCGTGTATACGCGTCCACAAACACGCCCAGGGTGGACGAACTTGAACCCTCGAGAACAAGGAGAGTAAGAAGGGAAAACAAGAAAATCAAATCAAAAACACGCAAAAGGAAAAGATTTATGTGCCCATCCTCTTTCCACCGAGGCAAAAAAGGCAAAGGTCGAGAAAAGAAAAAAAGATAGAAAAGAAATAGGATTATTTCTCAAACGGGGAATCGTCAGGAATGCCTCGATTGCCAACGGAAGACTGGGCAAAAGGAAGAGGCGAGAAGCGAAAGCGACAAGCGAGAAAACAAAAAAGAGAGAGGGAGAGGATAGGAAGAAAAGAAAACACCCTAAAAAAAAATAGAAAGGAGAGCGACGTTCAATTGAGGGCTTCACAGCCACAGGAAATAGAGGTGCAGCAAAACAAAACGCGGTCCATGAATTCCCGGCTGGAAAAGATTGGCCAAAACGGACTTGAGCAGCCGGGATCGCGCAGGAGGGACCGCGGCGCGTTGGACCGGAGGGAAAGCTGCAGGGTCTAAGTCGGGTTTAGGAGGGGTTGGTTAGAAATGGGTGGCGAGGAGGGGGGAGTTGATGGCGGAGGATAGGTGGTGAGATAGAGAAAGATAGAAAAGATAGAAAAGATAGAAAAGATAGAAAAGATAGAAGGGAAAAGAGGCAGAAAGCAGACGCCGACACGGACGCAGGAGAAGCAGTAGCAACAAAGTAGTAGCGATAGGTGCGGAGTGTACGGAATACTGTAAGTCGATCGTCGAAGTAATGCAGTAATAGCAGTACACAGTAGCAGTCGAGACCAGGAAATGATTTACAGTACGCGAAGAGAAGGAGAAGGAGAAAAGCAGTCCAAAAAAAAATAGAAATAAAAATAGAGAACCCCCACAAGAGGATAAGGAAACAGCACAAGAAGCTGTAGAGCCCACAATTAATCCGTGGCAGGGGAGAGAGAGAGATGGAAAATGGAAAATGGAAAAAAAAAAAAAAGGGTTGAAACTAAAACAAGAGAGACGACAAGAACGGGGAAATCGGGGAGTTTCATCTCTTCCAGAAGAGTTCGAGACGAAACAAAATTACTAGCTATGCACGTCGCCGGAGGGGCTCGTTCTGGGACAATAAAGTACGATCGAGGGGGGAAAAGGCAAAACGGCCAGCCAGTCCAGTCCACACAGTATCCAGCAAGTACGGTAGTACATATGCCAGGAGCGTTTTTCACTGGATTTTATTCCAACTCGAGTACTTCGGAGACACGCTAACACGCTAAAACACCACGGCACTGGGCACTACTGTATGGGAACGGAGCCACACTAAGACTACAAAGGGCTAAACGGATCATGTATGTAACTAGAAGACTCCATGCATGAAGGACGGAGTCCTTCGCGCGTGGAAGTGGGGATCAAGAGTACTCCGTAGGCTGCATGGTTAGTGGGAGAGGGAACTCGTCGAGGAACTTACAATAATAGGGCGAATACTATTACATAGTCTTGAACATAGAAGGATATAAAACTATCAAAGTACGGAGTATGTACAAAGGAAATGACAAGGCCAAATTAATCTCCTACTAATCTATATTTCTTGCCATAGCCAAAGCCATAGCCAAAAAAAACTCTGGGAAGCGCAAAGCGACAGGACCTGACAAAAAGAGACTTAATTAGTATCCACGCTAGCAGGGAAAAAAGAGACAGACAGCGCATCAGGGGGTGGACTTTGGCTAGGACAGGGGGGGGAACCAACACCAAACAAATGCATCAATAAAATCCCCTAAAATCCCCTAAAAATGTCGTACAGTCGGAAAACGGTTGGCCCTGACGGTCCCAGAGCCAAGGGACATGCTGCGGGAAGCAAGTGCCTTTTTCCGGTTGTAAACCGTGAGAAACCGACCTCAACTCTGGGAAAAAAGGTGGTCTGGTGGCTCCCTCAGGGCGCTATTGGGGCGAATTGCGACCGTCTGATAGGCGCGCCCCGGCCCGGGACGTTGGGTCGTCCGTGAATGGATTGTGTTTGAAGCTAGCTCCAGGGGCGGCTTAGGGTCGATCCACCGGGGAGTTTTTTCTGATGGGCATTAGGAATTATGTATTGGGATTACGGTGGGGGATTGTAGACATTGGAAAAGTCAAAATGTAACAATGCTCAGGTTTACAATAAGTATAATAGATGCGATTGGATGATCCGTTGATGAGTATATACTGTACTTCAGAAAATGCTTGAAGCTCCCCTGGCAAGATCACCCGCGCAGGGTTTAGCTTGTGAGTTCGGAAGAGAGAGGGGGTCAGAGAGAAACAGGAAACGGTTCGAAGATCTTTGACCGGCTGGCCCGCTAGCATGAATCACCGGTGTCTTCTCGGATGTCAAAGACTCCATAGGCCATACCAGACGCCGTGTTATGTACAGTCCGTACTGCTTATACTGTACAGTATGCTGTACCGACTCTAGCTCGAGCTCTAGCCCCTACCTCGGATGATTATTCTCGTTGGCCATACATTTCCACTGCTAGCAGCCTAACTTTAGTTAGTCCGGGTTATACTTCGTTCGGTACCTCGCTAATTTAGGTCGTCGATGCGGGCATCCCGCGGGGCATGGGGTACTTTGACACGGGAATAAATAGGAACTGCCCCAGGGGGGGGGGGGGAAGGGGGCAAAAGTACACCACTAGGATGTTGATAACGAAGTCAGTAGAGACAACGGGTCTAGCTGTATAGGGATGTCGCAAAGAGTGGAAAGGTTCAAAATTCAAAGCCATTGTGCGTGAATAGCACGAGATGCTGCAATAGTAAGCGTGTCGCATAGTTACCTCGTGGCTAGTCCTAATTACGAGGAAGGTTACTTTCTTGAATGGGAATTGGTTGGTGATTTGAATGCTAGAGATCTGCGCAGCATGACATGGGCTTTGTAACTAATCCGATCTAAACCAGGATTCCAGTAACTAGTCCTTCTGATGGTTGGACGAAATATGTGGTCATGAGTATCCAAATCATAGTACCAGTATACACCATAGCAGTATACACCATAGCTAGATCTTTCCACTCCCTGGATTGGATTCTAAAGCATAATCTGGATAAGAACTATGCAAATCTATTGAATAATGATCAATGTCTCCGGACGTCACGACTGGAAACTCATGATCTATACTCTCTCCGCCTCGTGATGACAAGGTTTGAATCCTCCGGTAATCAAGCTTACCCCCTCCTCCGTACCCTCCCCGACTCTCTCACTTCTCCCACTCTCCTCTCCCGAATCCAACTGAATCAGAAACGATCCTCCGGACGCACAGACACCGTTTGCATTTCTGGATCCGAAAGAAAAGGAATTATAGAAAATTCTCCCTGCAGAGTGCCTCCCATCCAATCGATGTCCCGCCCAGAGTCAATCCCACAGCGTGCAGCACCTTGCAACCCGCTCCCCCAAATCGGCTCTTCTCAACCACTCGTTTTTCTGGGAAAGTCCTGCAGGGAATGGACAGACCTTTTACAGATTACAGATATCATGCACCACCGGCTGTGCTGTGACTGTCGAAAAACTGACAGGGTCAAACTCGACACCATCCGTAATTACCACTGTCTTCTCTAGCCCACCGTCCGTTATCTACTCCCGTGTCATCCACCGGCGCCGTGCATTTCGGCATGACTCGAGCCTCACCGGCTTCGCTGAGCCTATAGCTCTTGCAAAATTCCTGCGTCGCGTGCAGCTGCGTATCGTCTCGTCTGATACCGTGGATGTGCAGTACTAACCCCCCCTTTTCTTGATTCGGGTCGGAGCGACACCCTGACGCGACGTGGCTCGTCCATCAACCGTGGATTTCTCCACTCGTGTCATAACCAGAACATCCCCCACCCAACGGGTCTGGCTTCAAAAGCATGGCCTCGTCCCATTACTCGAGAGGGTGTGTCCTCCTATTGCGCGCATAGAATTGATCTGGTTTTCTCTCGACGCTTCAAGAAAGTATGGGCCTCGGTCGCGCGACGCGTCTTTATTCGGGCCAAGGGTGGATCATCAGTTTCGACTCGGGACGGAGGGCCATCGTGGAGAGCGATCGTGCTGGGAATAGGAAAGATCTCGAGAAGGACGAATATCAAATGACAACTTCGTCACGTCTTTGGAAATCCTAGGGAGCATTCTACTGGGCAAATGTTCAATTTAGAAAGTATCTCGAGGCAGGCACCGGGCGGTGAGCGCGCGCGACGGCCGGTCAGTTTAGGATTATCTTTTGAATGAAGTTGTGCATCTCTCTACCTTTTCTGTCTCTCTTTCTCTCACGCAATACCTGAGGAGTCCTCCGCTCTCCCTTTCTCTCAGGCAATTCTCCCACAATCACCATCATCTCCATCACCACCGTCATCTCTACATCCATCTAGCTCCAAAACCAACGTACCTGTCTCTCCACCCCCCACCGAAGTCCGTGTTCGTCATGTCCACCCATGACAACGCGGACTCTCCAGAGTCCGTGGCACCATCCACCAAGATGGACTCGCCCTTGATCAACGGCCATAGCCTGAAGACCAACGGCCACCCCTCGCGATCCTCCCACTCACCTCATCCCCCTCTCAAAAAAGAACTCTCCGCCGATGCCAACACACCCATCACCACTCCCGGGAGAACACCAACATCCGATTCGCCCGTCAAAGATGACCCCGAGATGAAGCAGGAAACGGTAGGCGGCGATATCGTCGTCAAGCAGGAACTGGGCCAACCTGCCAAGCTGTCGCGGAGCTCGTCCCAGAAGATCGTGCCCCGGCCACCGCAGCTGTTTTCGCATTTGCCGGACAGCACGGCCGATGCGCTGGCTACGTTCGAGCAGATTGATGCTTGCTGGTATGCGAATAAGTATATGGGGTATACGGAGCATGCAATGGAGTGCGACTGCGCTGAAGAATGGGGTACGTATTCTCTCTTTATTCGTGTCTATTTCTTGGTTTTTCTCGTCGGATGTTCTGCTGCGGCGTCGCCACTTGGACTAGAGAAGGAGGAGAGAGCTCCTATCTCTGGTTGGAAATCTCCGCAGAGGCCCGGAGCGGATTGTAGGAGGGCGTCTATCCCCAACGGATTCGTTGCTCCCCCTTGAAATGCCTTTACACTCTCTGCGTGTTTCCCACCGTTCTATCTCCGGTCTTTACTAAACGGGACCGTTCTCTTTTACCAGACTCCGAGGCCGGCCAAAACTCAGCATGTGGCGAAGATTCCGACTGCATCAATCGTGCGACCAAGATCGAGTGCGTAGGTGATTGTGGATGTGGACCCGACTGTCGCAACCAAAGATTCCAAAAGAAGCAATACGCGCCAGTTGCCGTCATCAAGACCGAGAAGAAGGGATTCGGTCTGCGGGCAGAGGTCGATCTGGATCCGCACCAGCTTATCTTTGAATATGTCGGCGAGGTGGTTGGCGAAGCGCAGTTCCGGCGTCGGATGAGGCAATATGATGAGGAAGGCATCAAGCATTTCTACTTTATGTCCTTGAACAAGGGCGAGTTCGTGGACGCAACGAAAAGAGGCAATCTGGGCCGTTTCTGCAATCATTCGTGCAACCCCAACTGTTATGTCGACAAGTGGGTGGTGGGTGAGAAGCTGCGCATGGGCATTTTTGCCGAGCGTGCAGTTCGTGCGGGCGAGGAGCTCGTCTTCAACTACAATGTCGATCGGTACGGCGCGGATCCACAGCCGTGTTATTGTGGAGAGCCAAATTGCACGGGATTCATCGGTGGACGGACCCAAACCGAGCGGGCTACCAAGCTGTCCAATGCGACCATTGAAGCCTTGGGCATTGAAGATGAAGACGGCTGGGACACGGTGGTGGCCCGGCGACCCCGCAAGAAGAAGACTGAAGAAGCCGATGAGGAGTACGTGGACAGCGTGCAACCCAAGTCGCTGGATGAGGATGGCGTGACCAAGGTCATGGCCGCGCTGATGCAATGCCAGGAGAAGTGGATTGCCGTCAAGCTGCTGGGTCGTATCCAAAGGTGCCAGGACGAGCGTGTACGCAACCGAGTTGTCAAGATGCACGGTTATCAAATTCTCAACTCGCAGTTGGCCATGTGGAAAGAGGATCGCAATGTGATCATGCAGATTCTGGACATTCTAGACCAGTTCCCGCGCCTAACGAGGAATAAGATTATTGATTCCAAGATCGAGTCAAATATTCAGCCATTGACGACCACTGATGACGAGCGCGTGGCGAGCACGGCCGCGGCTTTGCTTGCGAGCTGGGCCAATCTGGAAGTTGGATATCGTATTCCACGGATGAAGAGGGGTGATCAGCAAGCCAAGCAGGCTGTCAACCAATTTGAGCGTCGTGAGTCTGGGCGAGAGCAACAGCAGCGAGCTGTGAGTCGCTCCCCGTCACCCGTGGAACCACAACCGCGAGGAGGACATGGTGTTGGTCAGCCACGACGAGACCGGAATTTACATCACCATGGAGGTGGTGGACCTGGCGCTGGCGGAGGGCCAGGTGGACGATCACGTCGGGATCGTCGCCATGATCCTCGCAACCGGCAGCCTTTGCCTGAGGGATGGTTTACCGCGGAGGCCGAAGGGGGTCAGGTTTACTATTACTCAGCTTCGGGAGAGACGACATGGAAACGCCCGACGGCACCAGCTGCATCTGCTACTACGCCGGCTGCCAACAAGCGTAACCAGGCGCTGCAGAGTATCATCGATGGTATCATGAACTCGCAAGACAAAACGCCCTCTGAGCAGAAGACTGCGACACCGGGGACACCACAGGCCTCGTCCGACCCGCAACCAGAGAGGAAAAAGAAGGATGCAGATTGGTGGAAGAAGCTCTCTTTGGAGAAACAGAAGAAGCTTTATGAGAATACGGTACGTGGTAGAGCACAGCCCGAGCAATGATGTTTTACTGACTCCAAATGACTTCTAGCTTCACCCTACAATCAAGCACGTCGTGGATCAATTCAGGCATAAGCTACCGAAAGACGATCTGAAGCGTTTCGCCAAAGAGGTATGTCTCTATCCCGTTCCATCCATGTGCAATATCTAACATATCCCAGACCGCAAAGAAACTTGTCGAAGGCGACTACAAAAACGGGCGCGTCACCGATCCAACCACGATCAGCGACAAACATAAAAAAACAGTCAAGAGCTACTGCAAATCCTTTTTTGAAAAAGCCGCCGCCAAACACAAGGAGCGCGAGGCCCGTAAAGGCCAGAAACAAGCCACAACCCACTCCTCTACCGCAACCGACCCCAAACCCGACAGCACAACCGCCGACGACCCAGACGTGAAAATGTCCGACGACGAAGCCGACCCAGTCACACATCCACATCCAGACCCAGATGTCAGCGCTGAGCCTCCCACACCCATGGACGAGGACTCTACCACCTCCACGCTCAAACGCAAGCGCGATGGCAATGCGATTTCACCCGGTGTAGATGCACATATCACCTCGGAAGTTGACAGTTCACCATCGAAACGTCAGAAATCTACTCCGCCACCCCCTCCACCTCCACCGCCGCCGATGGATGGACCTGCCGATGCAGACGACCCTGACACGTCCGTTTCGCCGCCTTCAGCCTCGGAGCCAAAGGCGAAGGATTTTCCCGGTGAGCACGGGACTGATATCGACATGAGTGATATTCAGCCCCATCCGGCCGTCCTCAGTGTCCAGGGAAATGTATAGCGTTCCCCGGTTACTGTGAGGTCCGAAGCCCTGACGAGGTCCAGTGACAGAAGACAGAAGACAGGAGACCGTGCTCCGATCCGATCTAAATGGAACTGGACTAGACGAGTGGTTTTCTCTTTCATTCTTGTGATCAAGCAACTCCCTTTCCCTCCATAAACATAGGTGTTAATTTTTGCAACTTTCGGAAATGGGATGGTAAAGCAAAAGCGTTTTTTTTTTTTTTTCATCATTCATGATTCATCATTCTACTTGTTCCTCATGCATGGGATTGGTTCACATCCCCGTCTCCTCTACCGGTCTCTATCCCCTATATCCTGGAGCCAAATGATCATTTTCCTCATTCACATCTCCCTCCGATTCTCTATTCTAGAAATTGTGTTTATTCCATTCTTTTCAACCTCCCCCACTTCCACACCTCAGCATCCTACCATCTCTCATCATTCTCTATATCCATCCTCGTCCTCGTCCTCACCTTTTTCGGCTCAATCTCAACTTCTTCCATCCATCCAGCCTTGTTTGAGGTGTAAGCAGAAGGGTGGTGGGATTTGCACTTACTTTGCTCTCCCTTCCTCTTTTCTTTTCTTTTCTTTTCTTGGTTTTTATTGTTTGTTTTTTTTGTTTTTTTTTTGCTTGGTCCTCGGTCTTCTCTACTGGAGAATTGGCTTTGGATGGCTTGTTACTTGGTTCCTAGCTGGCTACGTATTTCGAATACCCCCCGACATAGTTGCAATTAAGGAGTTTGGGATACGTTTTTGTTCCACCGTTTTTGCGTAATAGCATAGCATAGCATTTGTGGGTATTTTGTGGAATAGCTATGTATGGTTTGAGTATGTATGTCCGGGGGAGAGTATGGAGTACTGGAGTATTTGAGTACTTTAAAGATGTTGCGGAGTGTAAGATTGGTAGTATTGGTCTTGATGTTGATTCTAGCTTTGAGTGTAAGTTTTTTGTGTTCATGTAGTGGCATTATTTCCGGTTTCCATTCCGCCAGAGGGTGGATATGTAGATACGGCATTGTATATAGTAGCTTGTATCTTGTTATTGGGAGAAGAGTATACTTGAGTCTAGATTATTCCCGGTCTTGGGGATATCGCCTATATATGACCTACTCGGGTTTGTCCTGTAGGGGTTTCAGTTTTATGCTATTGTTTGCAGTGCGCTAAGAAATACGACCTATCGATATATGCATATCACTTCCAGTATACTGATTCTAGGTTCATTTATCAGGCCATAAGAAGGAACGATACCACAGCATAGTAGACACCACAGCATAGTAGACACTACAGCATAGTAAATCGGGAGCACGACATCAAGTCCTATAGCCCTTTCCCGTCTATACCAGAGATTCCAAGTCCCAGTACACTATTTTCCAAGACTCTTCACCAACACCGTTTACACGACTTCTACATCGGAATCCAGAGAGAGAAATGGTCATCAATCATCATTGCCGGACCTAAGTAACCAAAAAAAAAAAAAAAAAAAAGAAAAGAAAAGAATCACAACTCCACCCCCACGAGTGTCAATGTCAAGTGTGTAGGTCAGGGTCCTCAAAAGAGTACGAGTAAGAGGTAAAGAGGGGTCATTCCAACTAGCGGCAGGGTCCAGAGAGCAGGTCCAGAATTCTCCAGGGCCTTAGTCTAGCCCAATATGCAAAAAACCAAGACCCCCAAATTCTCGAACAGAACTTTTTTCGGCTTCTTCTTCCATCGCTCGCCCTCTAGTAGAAACTCTCCACAATACTCTCCTTATTAACACCCGCACCGGGACCGCCGGGCGCCATCTCACCCAGACGGAAGACACTCTCGACAACGCTCAGCTCGGTAGCCGTCGTGTCCAGACCCGTCACGGCGAGCCAGTCATTAACGACCATACCGGCACCGACGACGGGGGAGCCGCGGTTCACGGAACCGGCGACGAGGGGAACCTGCAGGAGCGAAGACAGTTCGTCCTGATCGCGGATAGAGGTTTTGGGGTGCACGAGACCACCCTGGTTGGAGAGGGCCATGTAGGAACCCGTCAGGACATTGTCGGCGACTGTTTGGCGGAAGACTTCGACGCCGAGGACGTCGGCGATACTGGTAGACGAAAGAAAACTATTAGTCAAACTCAAATTTTTCCCATCTCGGAGAATTGCATTCCCTCCGATCAGAGGTTTACAAAATCCAGCGCAATTTGTGGAAACTTACATCTCCTCCGTCTCTCTCTCCAGATCGGGATGCACGAGGGCAACATGGTCGTTACAACAAATGACATTTCCCAGCGCACTCAGACGCTCCTCTATCCGCTGGATCTTCACCGCGTCGGGAAGGGTATTACGCAAATGCTGCAACTCCTGATCCGTAGTCGTTGTCGGGACGAGCAGACCATTTTTATTGCCGACAGTCAGACGGCCGACGATGCGGGTGCCGGCGATCGTAGCGTGGCAGATTGGGATGACGTCTTGGAGTTCGGACTCGAAGACGGAGTAGAAGTTCTCCGAGGCGCCGACGGCGACAATGGCGTAGGAGTTTGTTAGGCGGGCGAAGACGCCGACTCTAGAAGACAAGGGGAAAAAAGTTAGATGGGTGGTTTTTGGGAGGTGGTGAGGAGGGGTTGGGAGGGGGGAAGAGAAGAGGGGGTTGATGGAGGGCAGAGCAAAAGGGAAGAGACGTACTCGTTTGAATTCTCGAATTGGGCGCGGACAGCCATGATGTTCGGTTGTCCTGGAGGTGGTAGTAGGGGGGAGGGTATCGTGGGTGTAAAAGGGAAAAAAAAAGAGGAAAGAAGAGTCGTTGCAGAGAAGGAAAGAAAGTCGGCGCAAAAAAGCTCGGATGCGGTGGAGACGGAAGGTGAGAAAGTGAGCAAGCGGGTAGAAAAGGGAAATTATAAAGCACTTTATACAAGCTTCGAGGGGTCTTTTCGCTGAGAGTGAAGAGGTGGGATTTCAGCTATGATGGAGAATATCTTATATTAAAGTCTATAGCCCAAATTCTTGCTGTTCGATTGTACAGCCCTCGCAAGAAGGGGAATTTGCAGAAAGCAAAAGCTCGCGCCAATCAGCGGGCCGTTTGGACTCGACTCCACCGGTGGAGTCGAGAGATGAGTCGAGGTGGTGATGTATGAGATACTTGTGTTTACTGGTATTTTACATGGCAAGGTAAGTACCCAGTACATACTCTCCATCACTGACTCATCCTGTCTCATGTTGACGGGCGGCGTTAGAGTCATGATAGTATTGAGGCGCAGTACTCTATTATACGATGGAGCACTCCGCACTAAGAAGCTATTGAAGAATATTGTGGATTACCGATTATGATTCTGACTTACTGAGAATCGCCACTGTCCATGTTAACTGCCCCCTTTTACTGCCCAAGTAATGCGATATCAATGTCGGCCTCAGCCACCATCCATAGATCGACTATTGCTATACTACTCTTTCTAGCTACATCCCTTGAATATATTAAGCCCATCCTTCAATCTCTGCCCTAGAAAACATAAGTAAACCACTATATCCAAGAGACTGCCAGACTGGTCTACAACCAAGTACTGTTTAACACAGCGTAACTACGGATCTACAATGAATCAAAATCAAACTCAAGACTGCAACTTGCAATGAAAATCAACATCGAATTAACGCCGTCGCTCAAAGAATTGTGAACAGGGTATGAGAAATCGAGGGTAGCGTACACGGGTATGAAAATGGGAATCTGACAAAAACAAGAAAGAAAAAAAAAACCAGCCCTGCCGCGGCGGGCAACGAGCGGCGAACGGCAAAAAACGACACCACGAACCAAAGATGATACTCATACATGGGCATTTCTGCCCAGCTCCATCACGGGAGCACAAACTTTTTCTTCCTCCACCAAAAAAAGAACAAAAACAACCTCCTCTCAATACCGCCGTGGAGGTGGCGGGGGGAAGTACAAGGACGGTGGACCCCCGTGAGGACCGGGGCCACCGTGAGGCCCTGTACTTCCCGGACCATGACCGGGCCCGGGCGGCTGTCCACCCTGCTGGGGAGGACCGGGAGGCCACGAAGGCAGTGGCAGCCGGTGGAAATTTGAACCCGGCGGCGGGGGAAGCTGCGGGGGACCGGTCATGGCGAAGGGGTCGGGCAGACCCATGCCCAGGGGCGACCGCGCGGGAAGAAGGCGACGCGGCTGCTGGGTTGGCGTTGGTCGCGGGAGAATGAAGGAGCGCGGGTCGGTTGGGCCATGGGCCATGCCCGGAGGTGCAGGTTGTGCCACATTTACCCCCTGTGGCTGGGGAAGAAGGGCGCGGTGTCCTCCCGCCAGATGTTGATCAGGTCGCATCTGGGGGTAGTAGGAGGAGGGTGAAGGGTGATGGTCCGAGAGCGCGGTCTCGGCCAAAACGGAGAGGGCCTTGGAGACGTCGGCGGCGCCATCGTAACTGCGCGGGACGTCGGATTCTTCAGCCACGACGCGGGCTGCCTGGATGAGTGAGTCCACGATCCGGTCGACGGAGTCCGTGGATGCCTCGATGAAGGAGTCGAGGGCTTGCATTTGGGGATTCAAGTCCTCCCCAAGTCGGACCTTCATGATAAAGTCCTCCCATTCTTGCTCGCCTCGCTCCAGAGCAGCCGCGCCGTCTGTCTCCCGGACTGCGTCGGCGAAGAACCCACGCTCCAGTTCTCGCAGGCCGGCTTTGCCAATGCGGAAGAGGAAGCGAGGTTCTTCGGCCTCCGCGTCTGATCCGTCCGTCTACAAATCAGAATTCATTAGTATCCAGATCAATTTGGTATCACTTGTGAGGGATCGATTATGTCTAACTCACCTCCGTGTGCTCGTCATCTTCGGCGGCACGACGGCCCGTCACCAGCTCGATGTACTTGCCCCGAGCAGCGAAGAACATCTCATCTTGGATGTTCGCGAGCCGTTCCTGGGTCCGCTTCTCCACGATGGCCAGGTTCCCCAAGTAAACCCTCTCGGCAGCGGCCACTTTCAGATCATATTGATCGCGGCATCGGGTGAGAGCCTTGCGCTCGTATTCACCCAGCTCGCGAAGCAACTGATCGTACTCGTGGCACTCCATGTGCGCGTTCTTGTCTCGCGCAATCTTCTGCATGGAGCGTTCTGCCAGCACACTCAAGGCCAGCTGCTGTGCCTGGCCCACCTTCTTGAACAGCGCCGCCAACTCTTCAGCACGGTCCTTAATCGGCTGTGTGGCGGGCACTGGGGAAGGGGTCCGGCGCCGGCTCTCGCTATCCCAGATCTCGTCTTCGATCCGCTTGCCTCCTCGTCGGATGGCTGCTGCGGTTGCCCAACGACCACGTCCTCGACCACGGCCACCGCGGCCACGTACGCCTGCTCCACGGGTCGGAGCAAGGGCACCGCCACGGCTACCGGCACCACCACGACTACCTCGGCCACGGGCACGTCCTCGTCCACGACCGCGTCCTCGCCCACTTTCAGTTGGGTCTTCAATGGAAGCCGCAACTGCGGGGTCGAGGTTCTCGGCGGAAGGGATGGCGTTGTCCTCTGAAGTGGACTCTTGCGCGGATTCGGTCGTATTGCCATTGCCATTTTGAAGGGTGATGGCAGGGATAGAGTCGGTGTATTCGAGCTTGAGCTTCTTAGTGGCTATGCCACTCGGCTCGGGCATCTCGGCAGACTCATATTCTTGCGGCTCGTCCTTCATCTCGGTGGACTTGCGCTTTCGGGAGAGTCGGGGAGAGAATGAAGTTTGCGGGAGCTCGGAATTAAGCAAGGCAGATTGACGCTCATCATCATTGTCCTGAGAGTCTTTCTGTGGAGACTCTGATGATTCCGGCATGGCGATGTCTTCTGTGAGGGCCTTGGGTTGGTCGTGATCTGTGGTGTGACTGGAGAAGGTGAGGGATAGCTTTTGAGTGGGAGGCTTGGGGGGGCTCAGGCGGAGGCGGAGTTTAGGTGTGTAATCCACGTCGTCTTGGTCTGGCTTTTCAGGCGAGGAGCTGTCTTCCTCGACGTCCGTTGCGTCGGCGTCGACATCGACATCATCGTCGGCATCAGCTTCAGCATCGGCATCGACGTCATCAGCATACTTGCTGGGAGTGGCTTCCTCAGTGGCCATCTCATCTGAAGGCTTGAGACGAGCAGACTGGCGAGTGGTGCGGGAGGATTCAGGAACTGCCATGGCACGCTTGGAACGGCGAGCACGAGGGGTCTCGGGATTCTGCGAGCCTGTAGGGGTGCTGGCTGGCTCAGTGGAAGCGTCGGCCTGATCCGGGGAGGAAGCATTGGTGGAAGAGATTCCTAGACCCAATTTCCGGAGAGAAGGCACCTTGAACTTGAGAATGTGGGAGCGCTTAGGCGACTCCCCTTCGTCATCCTCATGACCAGCGTTGGTCGAGCGGCCAGGAAGGATGCGGTTGGCCCAGTGATTGGCCCAGCGACCTCTGCCACGGCCGCGGCCACGAGCACGGGGAGCTTGTGCAGTAGCTAAAAAGATGAGTTAGAATGAATCAAAGAAGAGAATGTGTGGTGGGGGGGGGAGGAGTGAGAAGTGGTAAGTGTGAAATTAGAAAAAAAAATTTGAAACAAAAGTAAAGATGTCGAGGTAGAACCGGGTTGGAACTGAATACCATCGTGATGGGACCGGACCGGAGGGATGGTTCACTTACTGGGTGGATTGCGCGAAGATCGCGTCGCAGGGCTGGCATTAGCCGCGGCGGCGCCTCGCTTTCCTCGTCTGCCCACCATCGCGAGGGTCTTCAAGGGAGAGAGTTAGTCAAGACTGTTTTTTGACTTGAAGCGGATTCTTCGAGGGAAATGATAACCAGGATGAGAAGGCGGGTAGTGTAAAGAGAGGGGTGGTCAAAGGATGACGGAAGGGAATGGATGGGAGAAAGCGAAAAGAAAATGGGGAAAGATCAGAAGCCGGGGGGGATTGAGAATTGGAGGGAAGCAAGTTGAGGAGAGATGGGAGAAGGGAAGAATCAAAAAGAGAGAGCAAGCGGATTGGAAATGTTGATGAAGGCAGGTCAAGGTTGTGTCCATGAGGTGAGATGGATGACACGCGACGAGATCTTGATCACTTGAATGCTCGTCTTGGATGGACGAGGTGTATGAGAAAGAGTGTGATGATCAAGGGAGATGAAGAAGACAGAAATAGTGCCCGTAGAGGAGTAAGAGACAGATGGATGGATGGAAGGAGTGTGGAGTGCTGGGAGATGGGGAAGGTTGGATTAAAGGTGGGACACAGGATCTTATTCGATGGAGCAGCACGAAGCATGAAGCATGATGGAAGCATAAGCAGCCCGGTGGTGGCTACGGACGATCCACAGTACTTGGGTCCGATGCCAGGGGGACTGCCACCGCGAATTGACACGGGAGATGGGAAGAAAGAGGAGATGGAGAAGAATGCGGGTCGACGAAGGGGAGAAATCAGAAGTAGGAACTTACCCGGGGTGGATGGGAAACGGTGGGATTGTGAGGATGAAGAAAGTGAAGGAGAAGAACCAAAGTGGTTTCGAAGTCGCGGGAGAGATCTACTCGCGGGTCCCAGAGTCCGAGTGGCCCAGTAAGAGTCCACTGGCCAGTTGCCCGCCGCGCTGGATTTGAACGGCACTCGACGAGCTCGGGATTGATGGAACGGACGCAAGGGGATGGGCAGGTGGGGGAGATGAGGGAAATTATGATCAAATCGAGGAGATGGGAGATGGATAAATGAGGAGTGTCCACGAGAGTTGAAGAAGAAATCAAGTGGTTGACGGTTGGAAAACAGTGAAGGGTAACGGTCTAGAAAGGGAAGGGGAGAAAAAGCGATCCGCTTGGATTTCCCGCGCGTTTATGACCGTCATAGGCCTTGCCAGTCAGCCATCTCAGCTGGAGGCAGAATGGGAAAGTGTCCAGAGCTAGGCAGGAATAACGTTCTACGGCGAACATCTCTATTATCAAACAATATCTGAATGATCAACTTCATTGCCTACGGTATTCTGCCTAAATCTTCTTCCCAGGCGCTTACACAGTATGGTGTCTCTCTCTACCTGGCCGGCTTTTGCCTCGCAAGGAAAAAAAAAATAGAACGGCCCGACCCACTTTGGGGGAATACCGAACGCGGCGATTTTCGCTACATTCCTAGTATATCCCCGCGAAATGAAGATGGAGAATACGGCCATCTCGGAGATATGCCATCAGTCCCGTTGTCAATACTCGTAGACTCGTATTCTCGACTTTGGTAGATCGCGCGGTCTGCGGGCAAGAACTGAACTCGTATGCCAATGCCAATCCCGCGACTATCCCTTTCTCGGCACTCGCAATTTAGATTACGGAGATGCAGACAGCCATGAAAAAGATAGACAGAGAGACTTTTTCTTAATTAAATCAGTATCCAGAATAGATAACTACATAGACTCCTACTACAAGTACCGAGTCTGTGTCATGATGACCTCGCCTCCACTACGTCTAGACACTTTCATCTCCCCATTATGATCACTTGCATCAGTCGCTTCCAATTACATTGACTCCTGTACATAACTATCTCCTATCAAACGAACAAGATCCCGAACCCATTTATACATCAATCATCAATCCCATTTCCATCCGAACCAGAATCATATCCCATATCGCCAAATCAGAAAAAAAGAAAAGAAAAGAAATAGCTTGCTAGATAGACCAAAAGAGAGGGGGAAAAACGAACGCAAATAGCTCAAGCACACCCGACCATCCAATTCAATACCATACCCTCAATTCTCATTCTCAATCTCAATCTCAATCTCAATCTCAATCTCAATCCTATACGGATACAATCACCTCTCCTCGGGCAACTCGTTCAAATCCCCCTTCTTCTCATACTGCGTGATACTCCTCCTCACATACCCCGCCCGTCCCATCCCCATCCACATCCCAGCACCGGGCGAATCCTCTTTCCGCAAATGTCGCAATTCCCGCGCAGATCGCATCCGCGTCAACGTCTTTTGGGTAATCGTCTGGCCTGCAGACGGGGATGCTTTCACCGTGCTACCGGGGAGTGGCTTGGGACTCGGGCAGGGACTCGTGGAGCGGAAGAGGGGATGGATGTTTTGTTCGCGGGGTGGGAATGAGGGTGACGGGAGTGGGGAGGCGGGTAGAGATGAGGAGAATGTAGGTGCATGTGTTTGTGCTTGGGAGGCACCGTGGTTAGGGGCGTAGAATGCATACGTCTCCGGGAGAGTTAGCGTTGAGCCCGAGGGGGAGTCGAGGGCGAAACTGGAGGATGTTGGGGATGGTTGGATGAGGCTGTCCAGGGAGAGTTGGATATTTGCTTCGCGGTGGAGACTGGGCATGCTTCTGAAGCTGGAACCGCGGTGGAGAAGGGGCCGGGTGTCGCGGTCTGCGAAAGGGTCGGTTTGGGGTTGGGTCTGTGATTGCGTAGGCATATGCGCTGCTGTTGGTGAGGATGAGGGTGATGAGAGTGTGGATGATGAACCCGTATCGAAGGACTCGGAATTTCTACGTGTGCTCTCGACGCAGAGAGTACCCCCCGAGAAACGGTGAGAACGACGGGGGTATTTCCGCAGGGAGGAACGTCTCGTATCAAATTGCTTGAGCTCTGGGTATGTATCACAGAGTATCCGTGATGGCGAGGAGACTGGCTGCGGGCTCTCGGAAAGAGTTTTGAGTTCCTGTGAATAAGAGCGTGGCCAATCTTGGCATGGTTTGCGCTGGGCTAGGGTCACCAGAATGAAGCCGTAGTAGAGGCCTTGAGCAAGGATGGAAAGGGCCCAGAAGATGGACCGGGCGATGAAAATGTTTCCGTGGGGAACTGAGTGGTATAGATCGTTCGAGGCTATTGTACCGGCCACGCATACGGTGCTGATGAGGAAGTATACCCCAGTGAAGTAAAAGATGCCGAGTTTCCAAGTTGACCAATGGACGTCACTGCGAACATCTTTGTGAATGAGGGTGAGGGCTAGCAGCGTGATGCTAGTCAAGCTGCTGAGGAGGACTGGAGCCAGTCCCGTTGTTGAAGTATGCGAGGGTAATGATTGCAGTGCGGCGTAGGCAAGGCCGTTGAGGACTGTGACAATGATTGCAGATAGAACTGCGGCTCCAGCGAGGGAGTATACAAGCATTGCGGAAGACATGAGGAAGAACTGAATGAGTGAATGTGGGAATGCTCTGAATTAGATAGAAAGAACGTGGTAGCGTGTGCAGAACAGGATGATCCAGAATCAGTTGATGATCAGATAACAAGTATAAGGAATGATTGCCACCGAGTATTGACCCAGTAACCTGATTCTGGCCTGCACGACGGCCTTGGAAAGAATGTGTCCACGTTGGATGGAAGGAAAAAGCTTTGAAAGACCAGAGGGTCGGAGAACTAGGGAAAGACTTTGTCGATGTCCAGGAGAAACTTTGCCCCCTGCAGGACAAGGACAATGGCTCATATTTATGATATCGACGACTGCAGTTCGCGTGGAACGGGACGGGGCGAACGCATCGTCAAAAGCGTGGCGTCAAAGTTTATCGGGCATATCTCAATGCACACTCCTGCAAGTCCGGTCCAACCTGTCATTTCGCGGGAGACGAGGATCTGACCCATCTACCCGGCATGTTGGTTAGAGTCTGCCGGGGGGGGGGGGGGGGGGGGGGGGGGGGGGGGGGCCGAGGACAATAGGTGGAATAGTGTGCTCAAATGGTAGTGCTGTCTAGTGAATAATCCAGTACTCTAATTACATTTCGGGCAAAGAAATTGATATATCGCAAGGCGTGTTGTTATACATCGTCACCGTCTTGGAAATCCTCCGGGCCTATGGGCTATCACTACCCCAGACTAGACAGGGCTCAGTCCGCCGATTGGGATATTATCCTTTCTATAGTGTGTCAACCCAGCCCGCTAGCTCCCGTACTATCCATATGATCCATCCAGCGTTCTCCCGGCTCCAGCGAGACGGTCTGCTGGGTTCATCAAAGCGGATTGCCCCTCCCGATCTCCGATGCGGCTGAATGTGAGCTGTCACTCGGCACTCGCAACGATCTCCCGGCTTCCCCCCTGAAAAAGACTCGGTCTAGAGACATTGTTGGTCAGTATTAATTAGATCAATTACGGGAACTATGGATCTATTGAAGTGGACAGAGTTGCGGTCCGGTGGATTGGCTCCGATAGGATCGATCAGTTCTTGTATACCGACCAGGTCCCCGGGAAGGTAAACAACGGGCTGGACCCCCGATCGACGATCGAGAGGACAATGGAGTTCGGATACTACTTACGGGATCCTGGAGAAGTAATCAAATTTTCCCTATTGTCCTGCATCAATTTGCAATCCGGACTTTTGTTCAGGGTTTATGTGGGTTGATTCTCATAAGCGAGGCGGCCCTTTGGACATGGATGGTGGTGAAGACGTGTGTCTGTGCTCAATGTAACCGAGTCAAGCTCGAGATTTGGAATATCAACCTTGGCATAAACTGAGTGAGTAATTGAGAAGCTGCATTGCATGCTCAGCCACGGGGCGGTATCCATTTTTTGAGCTGCGAGGTGTAGCCTTTTCTCTTTGGCCCCAGGTGTACCATTGACAACGAGATGCCCTTCACGAGTCGAGACGCATGGGCAAGATCACACAGTGCACATTCCAACTTGACACTTCTGACAGGCATGACAGATAGTGGAGGACACATCATGTCTCTATCTTAATCACCAAGCTTTTTCATAGTTATGTGTTGTGCAACTCTACAACTCCAGCTCTATAGTTACGACTAGGCAAATTCCCCCGTGACCCAAAGGTGGGGCGGTGAAGCCACTCACGCCTCAGGCACCACCTCGGGCATTGGCCCTCATCGTCACTTCTTTGCGCCCCTCTCGACTTCTTTCAACCTTCGACACTTGATCATCGACGTTGACCATCTTGTTCCACCCCCGTTTCTCTCCTCAAGACCATCTTGGATCCCGGTCTCCCTCCTACCTACCCTCCCCATCCTAGTTTCTACCCTCTTCATCTTCCAGAGGCGCCAAAATGAAGCTTACCTTCAAGGTCCGTCCCTTCCAGCCCTTGCCGCCATCTAGGCATCCTACCCGCCATAGACGAGCTGACCGCAGTTTCTTCCGTGTGGTATAGGATCTCAAGCAAGAGAAGTTCGTGATCGAGGTTGAGCCCTCCGAAACTGTACGTTCCAACTTTCCTATCGATGCTCTTGCAATGTGCTCGCTCGACGCCACCTGGTGCGGGGCTGACCTGGCTTTTCTTTTTTGCGGCTGTTACAGGTCCGACAGGTGAAGGAGAAGATTTCTCAAGAAAAGCCCGATTATGGCGCGGAACGGATGAAGGTTATCTATTCTGGTATGTGATTTTGGATGTTGAAAACAGGCTGCTGGATTGCGGAGGCGATGGGAGGGTTACTGCTCGTTTTCCTCGCAGCCTCTGTCTACCCAGGAACAGCTCGATTTCTCTCAAGTATATTTCCACTAACTACGTTTCCTTTACTTGTATAGGCAAGATCCTGCAAGATGACAAGACTGTCGAGTTCTACAACATTCAAGAGAAGGATTTCCTAGTCTGCTTGCCCGCCAAGGTACGAAAAAGAAATACCGGCTTCCCTCCGCTGAGCAAATTTGCTTGGAACGACGTTTTCCTACATTCCCCTCTTTTCATACTGACCCCTCCCAAAGCAACCCAAGGCTGCCTCCTCCTCCGCTGCTTCTTCGGTCCCCTCCACCCCTGCTGCCAGAGCTCCCGTTGCTACGCCCGCTGCTCCCGCTCCTGCTGCTCCTGCCCCCGCCACTCGTTCCACGCCCGCCGTACCGGCCACCCCATCCCCGGCTGGCGGTGCTGCCACAGAAGCAACCGATCCTGCTGCCTTTGGTGATCCTTCTGCTCTGGCCATGGGCGGTGCCGCCGAGGGCGCCATGCAGCAGATGGAAGCTATGGGATTTGAGAGACCCATGGTAGAGCGGGCCATGCGCGCCGCCTTCTTCAACCCAGACCGTGCTATTGAATATCTCTTGACCGTAAGCTACTTTTTTGACACCCCCTCGCAGATGTTTCCCCGTTCTAACAAACCTATTCTTGCTCTAGGGTATCCCCGAAAGCGCCCAACGTGAGCAGCAACAACAACAGCAACAATCGCAGGATGAGGCTGAGACCCATACCGAGGTCCCCGCCGCTGGAGCTCTTGGTGGAGATGAGCCCTTCAACATGTTTGAGGCTGCTGCCCAGGCTGGTGAGGGCGGTGGTCGCGGTGCTCGATCTGGTGGTGCTGGTGCCGGTGCGGCAGGTGGTGACGCAAACTTGGATTTCCTCCGCAGCAACCCCCACTTCCAGCAGCTCCGTCAACTGGTTCAGCAGCAACCGCAGATGCTGGAGCCTATTCTGCAACAGGTTGCCGCTGGTAACCCTCAAATTGCTCAGATCATCGGGCAAAACTCTGAACAGTTCCTTCAGTTGCTTGCTGAGGACCTTGGTGAGGATGACGAGGCTCTGCCTCCTGGCACCCAGGCGATTTCGGTCACGGAGGAGGAGCGCGATGCTATCGAACGTGTATGTTTGGACTCCAATCTTTGCCTCGGATGTGCATTTGACTGACTTGTTCTTTTTTTTGTCTCTACAGCTGTGCCGTCTGGGTTTCCCTCGGGATTCCGTCATCCAGGCCTACTTTGCCTGCGACAAGAACGAGGAGCTGGCTGCCAACTTCCTGTTCGACCAGCCTGATGATGATGAGGAGTAAACGTGGCCGATATCATTCGATGTTTTTCTTCTTCTTTTCTTACGTTCTGATGAATACCAATCATGCTACTGTCGATCATCCCATATTGGCAGCAATGTCCCATACAACTCTTCAGCTCCCCCCTCCTTTACCTTCACCTTCCCCTTCTTGGACTCACTTCGGTGACAGTGGCTAAGATCGTGCAACATTCACCCGAGTTGAATCCCGCTTGCTGAGTCCGCGAAAGTTTTGCGCTTTTACACACCATGACCAGTTCCGGTGTGGGCTCTCTTTCTCCTCTTTTCTCTCTTCACCTTTCTTCCCCCCGAAACGACTTGTCATGTACTTACTTAATGGGCAAAATGGGACGTTTTCGCTGAATTGTGTGAGCTTGGTACCGTATGAAGAGCTAGATGTAGATCAGTCCATTCCCGTGATCTTGGCCATACCCGTATGAATCAATGGAGGCCATAGACATTTTTGCAATGTGGCAGTATCCAGTGTAGGTACGTGCTCCGATTATCCAAGCATTTGCGTCAATCCGGCATCCCGCCGTCCAGCTGGTGCGGTCATGCGAATCGAGTCCCGTGAGCTGACCATATACCCTGGGTACTGTAACCGGGTTCTCGGGACATAAATTGGAGTCCAGTGACCACTTCTCAGAGAGGGGAAATACACGCATACATTCACTCTTCTTGGTTTCATGAAACAGTAAAGAAAGCTTGACCTTTTAGGCTTTTAGTAATGGTTGTCGGCGGATCAAAAATTGGAGTACCTCTAGGTACATTTCTACATTTAATAAAAAGAGACTATATGAGGCGCCCTGTATAGAAGGAAAATGCTAAATGTCAACCCTCCTCGTACACTCTACCACACGTTTAGCACTTGACATAGAGACATCGTTGTCGAGGTCTATCTCCATGTCATAGTGATGGTCAGAGTCGACTCTGCTAGGTGATCGGTTTGCAGGGAAGCGGAGTGTTTGTTAGTCAAACCCAATGTCCCTAAACTTGGATCCTTTTGTTCGAAGTCCCCCAGGATTAAGTATCCATTCTATTGTCGATTCTCTAGTCTGTGACTTACTTATACGGTGCATAACGTTAACCCAGCTATTCCATTTCATCCGAAACTTTCGATCGGGCGATGCGCCCGTCGTCATGCCCACGGTTGCGCAGAATAAGTGAGATCCTCGCCAGAGAAACCCCTTTTTGTCTGTCTTTCTCTTGTTGGAAGTATGATTTCCCAGAGTTGGTTGGCAGCCACTGGTAAACGTGCTGATGTCGGGGAATGATCACCCAAGAAGCGTGAGCTATCGACTTGAGTAGCTGGGGGCAAGGCTCAGGTATGCTAGGTATGCTTTGGATGCTCCCATTCTGCACAAGAGGGAAACAGTCGAGGGTTAGACAAGACTTAGGTAGATGGGGGTTACGCTCCAAGTTCCCTTGGGAGTACAGTACTCGATCTAGATGCCAAGTATTCAATATCACGCGTCCTCCTTGCGAAGGGCTTGGAAATGTGGATCATTGGGGGCCCCACCTCTCCCCCACCTTCTGGGGATGATCAACTGTACTTACTCCGTACAGAGATTTGTATATTACTATTTTATATCGAGTGGAAGGCGAGTTATTGACTCATTATTGGGCTGCATTTTGGCAGGGCTATATAGTTCCATAGTTTATTTGTAGACAAGCACAGCTTAACTGAGCAGCGCAAGCGATAAGTACTGTGGTATCTTAAGGATATAATTGAAAATAGGGTAGGTTTTAGAGAGATGAGAAGAGAAAGTGCTTTACGCCCTACGAACAAATCTCAAGTACTCGACAAGAGAATCCGCAGGGGGAGGTCTGCTCATGTTATTATACTGTAGTCATATCTCCCAATCCCCGATCCGACCCCCAACCCCAACCCCGTTCATGACCATGACCAAGATCCGACCAACCACCCAATGTAAGTGACAATGAAAAAAAAAAAAAGTGTCAAGAGAACAGAAAAGGATATATGGTGTATCTCAAAGGAAAGAACGCCCCTTATTTGCAAGCCCGCCGAACAGACCAAACACCCAACCCGCGCCGCCCAATCACCCGCGCCAGGGTCGGGACGACCCCATCATCGCCAAAGTCCAGATCATCCAGATTCAGATGCTTGCGGTACGTCCAGAGTCGGTACAGTTGAAGATCGGGGGTACGTGGCGACCCGGTCGCGGCGTACTCGTCCAGGAACGTCGCTGATGTCGGCGCGACGAGGTAAACTGGTGACACGGCGCCGCATGGTGGGACCGATTGGTCGAGACGCTGGATGAGGTCTACGCCTGGGATGCCCATGAGGTCGAGGGTGGTGATCGCGGGCGTGGAGCTGTTCTCTGCGCCGAGGAGCCATTGCGGTGGGGAATAGGTTTTCCACCAGAAGACTGATGCGTCGGGGTTTGTTTTTATGCCCTGTGCAACGGTGTTGGTGGAGACGATAGTCCGCATGGCGAGTTGGGCCGGGACGATGCCGCCTTGGTGGTAGACGCCCATTAGGAAGCCCATGATGGCGTTGAAGATGATCCATGCTGCCAGAAAGATGCGGGAGCGGTGTACACGGATACAGCTGAGGAGGAGGGGGACGCAGGGGATGAGGAAGCGTGGTTCCTGGTGGGGGAAAATGGAGAGGAGGAGTGTTGCGGAGAGGGCGGAGACGGCGCGTGCGTTGCGGAGCCAGGTGGGTATTTGGAGAGTGCGGAAGAGGGAGAAGATCATGACGATGTAGACTGGGCCGAGGAGTTGGAGGAGGTTTGCTGTGAAGTGTTGGTGATGTGGGTGGAGGCCGTGGGTGGCTAGGTTGGAGGTGTCGCTGTTATAGAGGAGATTGTTTAGCGGTGTGATGATTGGGTTGCGGATGGCGGAGAGGAAGGTCGAGGAGGGTCGGTAGAAGAGGGTGTCGGTATAGATTGCTATTGAGGAGAAGACAGCGCCGAAGCCAATAATTGCTATTAGAGAGCTTGGTCTTGTCTGTGGGTTAGTATGATTGTATACTTCGGGGACGGGCGGGGAGTAGATCCAAGGCACTCACTTGCGCTGGAAGTATGGCAACAATTGTAGACCTGGGATGAGAAGGAAGGCGGGAAAGGTAATGCGATTAAAGACACCGGCCACTGCGATGAAGGAGAGAACAGCGTAGGAGAAGAAGGATGAGCGTTGCTGCCGCCAGCAGTTAGTCAAGTGCAAGTGCCACCACGAATAGCAATACCACCACTAGCAGTGATCTTCCCCACAGGCGCGAACGGCACGAACCTTGTTCTCGAGGATGCGTCGAATCAAAACCAAGCCCCAGGCTACCAGCAATGTTTCCAGAGAGTTGGAAAAGGTGTGCGTCTGATATGTCCAGGTGACATACGACGAGGCCACCAGGACAACCGTCGCACGGCGGTGGCGCGGAGATGGCACCAGCTCATAGATCGCCCAGTCCTCCAACACAAAGCTCAGCAGGAACATTCCAGCTCGCAAAGCATAGTATACCAGTTGTGGTGGTGGATTGCCAGAGCCGTATTCGGTGTAGAACCAATGCAAAAGGCTCATGGGAACCTCGTAGGTGGGCCATAGTGGGAAGACGCTACGGATGGGGTGGTCGACGGTAAATTCCCAGGGGAGTTTGGAGGGATAGCCGAAGATGCGGCCTGGCAGAGATGATCTGGATTAGCTATCCGATAAGGAATAGTATAATGACCGACAGTGTAGACGAGATCGTGGCATGTTTTTGTGTTGGGCAGGCAGATCGCGGGACCGGGCGCATCGCAAGATCCGCGACAGCCGCTCGCAAATAATTTTCAGCGGGCGCGCGATGTGATTCCAAGAATGTCGCAAGGGAAGAATGGTGCTGGAAAATAATTAAATCTTGTCTTTGGACTGTCAACATACCGGCATAGACCTCGGGGCCCTGAAAGTTCTCATCGGGGTGTAGATAGCTTGGCGAGAGTGCAAAGTAAACACGGATGAGTAGTAAGAGTAGATAGGTTCGTCTCCACATGATTCAGGGGCGGGACATGCTGCAGAAGGAGCAGCGGGAGAGAACGAAAAGGATGAGGTCTCGAAAAGGATGGGAGAGGGGAAAGCAGGGAAATAGGATCTTGAAGGGGGGATTCAAAAAGAAAGGGAAAAAAAAAAAGTAAGAAAAGACGCGTTGAAGTTGACGATGATATCACTGGCGCGACCTGGCGGCAGAATATTGGGAGACGGAGAAGGCTAGTTTTCACTAACTCCGGGTTACGGACCCAGCTGGAGGTAGTTATGGCTTACTCCTTTTAATGGCTAGCTGAGAAATAGTTTGGGTTTTAAATTACGATTCGTCTTGGGACGGCTAGGACTCGGGTATACAGTGTACCTTCTGTCCTAGTTTCTTAGGCGATCTATCGGGTGTGATAGTTCAGAAATGCACTAGCTGGACTATGAAAAGCACTGGCTCTCGACTCTTTTAGGCATAGGCTCTGTTCTTTAGGACTTAGGGGAGTACTCTTTGGCTGAGTTTAACCTAATACGATGTTTCTATGACCGGAACCAAGACTATGAGTATTTCTAGCACACAACCAGAGGCAGTATACTAGAACCCCTAGATTCCTCGATTAGGTATAAGCACAGGGCCATACAAAGGATTGTTTTATACAGCCTATTTAGATTTCACTACACACAAACTCTGAGAACTATACGAAAGACGGTGTAATTCCAACGTTTTCGGCCGTCACACTTGTACAGTTATTCTTCATTCATCATTTACCAGTCACTCACTTAATCCAGGCACCCGTCGCCCAAAGCAGGACTGTGGGGGCTGACTGCAGAGCCGCCGACTGACTAAACCGCCGACCTCACCTCCTCTCAAACCTCCCCGCCTCATCTTCTCATCTTCCATTCTCTCCTCCCCCACTTCTGCTCCGCAACCCCGTGCATTCTTGCAAAAAGTGTACGTCTCCTTTGTATTTCCCAAGTTTTTTTATTTCCGTCAACTCCATCTCGCGCGTCTTTTTTGCTACTCGCCACCACCCAATTCTCAAGCTAACAGCTGTTCACTTTCTCCTTCTAGTTGCGCCTTCTCCATTTCTCTATTAACACGATATACCCGTCACTCAAAATGTCCTCCCAAATCACCCTTACCAGCAGCGACGGTGTCGATGTCTCTGTCGGTAAGTCAAGTCGAGAGCGCCCGCGCACTTTCTCCCCGCGCCACGCCCAACCCCGCAGTCACTGACGAGGCAAAACAGACCGTGTCGTTGCCGAGCGCTCCGTTCTGATCAAGAACATGCTAGAGGATCTTGGTGACTCTGGCGAAGCCATCCCTATCCCCAACGTCAGTACCTCCTCCGTCCTGGACATTCTACCTTGTGTTGCATATGTGGAAGACTTACCGCTGACCATCACACTGTAGGTCAACGAGGCCGTTCTGAAGAAGGTCATCGAGTGGTGTGAGCACCACAAGAATGACCCCCAGAGCGCCACCGATGATGATGATAACCGCCGCAAGACCACCGACATTGATGAGTGGGACCAGAAGTTCATGCAGGTGGACCAGGAGATGCTGTTTGAGATTATCCTCGTAAGTCAACAGCGTGCGATTTTCAGCGGACCATACTCCGTAGATTGCTAGAATGATTTATATTGAGCCCCCACTAATGCAATCCCACAGGCCGCCAATTACCTCGACATCAAGGCCCTCCTCGATGTTGGCTGCAAGACTGTCGCCAACATGATCAAGGGCAAGTCCCCCGAGGAGATCCGCAAGACTTTCAACATCCAGAATGATTTCACCCCCGAGGAGGAGGACCAGATTCGTCGCGAGAACGAGTGGGCCGAGGAGTAAGTCGCACGCAGTCTTTCATGAAAACGCTACTTTGCTTTACTCGAGTATTTTGCTAATTCACTCCCTTCTACAGTCGCTAAACAAGTTCTTTCCTTCGCATTACGATTTGCTTTTACGGACCTTAAACTCTTGCAATGTCTTGACATTTCCATTCACCGGAATGTCATCGATGATACACACACTCCCACCCCATCGGACCACGTCCGGTTTGACGATGGAGAACTCCCCCGGGGAATTAAAATCTTTCAGCCAGCTTCTGGGCTAGATAGAGAACCTTGGCTAGTGAGGGAGCCTTTCTCGTTTTATTTCTTTGTTTTACACTTTGCTCCTCTGTTCCGAAATGGCGTTTTTAATTTGCTTGTTCCTTGTACCGCGTGTACTAGGATCTTGGGACTGGGTTAGGCTGAATGAATTCCTTTCTCTTTCCTCGAATTTTCGAGAGAATGCTATGGATTCCTCCAGCTACTTACTACGTTGATTTAACATAGGTTCAGAAAAGATCGGATGAAGTATAAGCTCGGACTCGGGGGTATATGTAGAGCAATCCAGGTAGAGCGGTCTCTACTCCCAGCAACCTTGACGTCAATATGCTTAGGAATTCTGGCGTGACAGTGTAGACGCGTCTTACTTCTTGAACAGTCTGTCGGGTCTGGCTGCTCTGGGTACCTAGACTTACACAAAACCAGACACGTTATCTGTGAAATGCAAGACGGGCTGAAATAGGCAAAGGCGCAGGAGATGGAAGCGTAAGGCTGCAAGGCCGCAAACAGTCTTGGGGCATGTCATGTCTACGAATTTCATGAAGCTGACATAATCACCAAGATTGTCCAAAGCAACCGCAGCGAAATGTCTTTGAGATGAACTGGACTGGAGCTGTGAAAGGTTACTCGAGGAGATATAATCTATCAGGATTTAGTGAAGAGGAATGAAATATCTACAACAGGTAGGCATTCGTAATAACATTCATCGTGAGAATTTCATCATGTCTTAGTAGGCTAGACCTCCAAAATATATACTCCTTACTTTGTTGACTTCGCCATCCGCACATTTAGATGAACACATGAGAACACCCATGTCCAATTCTGGCCTTGAGAAGGCCAGCAAACCAAGATTCAGCAGTCCAGAGAATTGGGTGTCATCCTCGAAAGGCTTTAATCGAATAGAGGTCTATTCAGAGGTGTAAAGTGAAAAGGTCATCTGATGATACGCTGAGCTGATGATCGAACCAACCGATGCCCCGGCTTTACTATAGTACCTCGGACCCTTGCCTTGAAGGCTTTGTGGGACCCCAATTAAGGATCCATGAGTATCGTTTGGTCACTCGAACTCAGGTGTCCGGGTAGGACGTACTCATGGGCCTAGTCGGGTCGAAGCTCCCTTAGGTAGCTTATACGAGCGCCCCGTCTACAAAATATGCACCCAATGCGAAACAGATCCATTGAACGAAGTTCCAAGTATAGTTGATGCTGGATATGGCTTCTACCCAGCTCGCAAAGTTCAGGAACGCGCGACGTCCGAAGTATTGGCCTTGGGAGGAAGATATTCGAACGCTCGTCACGAGTCAGTCCCGCTGGCCATTTCTGCAGCCACACTATTCCGCTGATGATAAAACGGCCGGTACTAATGATGAAAACTTGATTATCTTGAGCAAGTTTATAGTTCTGAGGAGAAAGTTCCAAGAAGACTCCAGACTATTCATTCGCCCAAGCCCTTATCTCTGCGGTATATTTTCTGTGACTTTAAGATGCAGCAAGATAGCGACGACTCGATAATTCAAGCTGCCAGATTGCAGGGCAGGTATACTGTGCAGGTGCTCAACACATCAGAAGGAGACGAGACAAGTCTGCCGGAGTGGGCTCCAGATGTCTGACTCGAGCTCATTGCGGCTCGGAGTTGTGCAAATTGTCGTCTATCTCATTGAAGACCGTGGCCAATTCCGTAACGCAATTTCTCAGGAATAGGTGCAACCCAATGGCCGGTGAGAATACTGATCAGGGACGATTGTATACACCTCCGAGATCAATACCAAAACTTGCAGGAATGGATCGACAGTGGTTATGTCGATGGCACCTACTAGCCTGTCACCCCCATGAGATCAAGAAATCACAACAGGCAGATAGAGTGCATTACACTCGATAGCGCGCTCGCGGAAAGACTGGCAGATTGAGGCTGAGTATATGCTAGCCAAGTCAGTTCTACATCTTTAATGTGATGGGGCTCGCTGAAGTATCCATTTCGGTCCATCGACCCCGGGTACGGGCCTCGATCAAGGTAAGCGCTAGGATGGCTCGCACACCCCAAATTATTCCTAATATCAGCTCCATCCTACGAGAAGCGATCACTCCCACCTACGCGGTGCACAGTGCACAGACAAGACCAGAGGACAGCATTGCAAGACAAAAGGGACGTCAATTCAATTCCATCAGATTTTTGTAGGTAGGAAATAAAAACCTCCCCACTATCTCAACCACCGAACCGCGAAAAAAATTCCCCCCACCTCCACCTAGGACCACCCATCCGCATAAAGGAGTAAAAATTCATGCATTTCACGCAACGTTCGTCGAAAAAAATTGGACAAGACTCGGGTAGGTCGTTATTCCCGTTCGGAGAACAGGGGCCGGGAAGAAAGAGAACGAGATTATCGAAGCGCAACATGAACGGACGGATTTTGGGCGATCAAGTTCATGCCGGTCGAGGGATTGCACCCGGGTTGAACGAATAGCTGCGGGCCTGAACGTAGTTTCTGGATTTAAACTAGAGCGTTCAAGGTTGCTGGATAAGGTGGTTGGTGGGGGTGGGTGGCAGTGCGTCGTTAGGATATCGAAACACACAACATCGTTGGTCCGGGATTGAGATCGTGTGGGAGGACCGGGTGGGTGCTGTCCGGGACGAGTTTAGATGCCCAGACGGGTCTTGCGCCAGTGTCGCCGCTTAGCGTTGTATCTGTTTGAAAGAGGTGGTGGGTCAGTTAATTTGTTGTTTCAAAAAGTGGTGCGAATTTCGGTCGGGCTCAGATTGGGTGCAGGTGCGATTTGTGCGGGTATCTTTGGCAGGTCTTCCGTCGATTCATTTTGCGGGATGTCTCGAGGTATTTGTGTTCTTTGGATGGCAGGAGGGCGCAATTTACCTGATGGTGTTGCCGGTGCGCAGACGAATCCACTGGGGGATGGGGCGGTTCTGCTTCTGAGCTTTGGCAAGCTTTTGCTTGGTGCGGAAAGTCTTGTGGCTCTGTATGATGGAAAAATTCGAGTTAGTTGCGCGGTTCAAGAATTCCGGACGACGAGGGTATGGGCAAGATGATCGAGAGATAGCACTGGGATAGGTTCGAGGGTCATGGTGGTGAGTACTGACCGGCATCTTGAAGGCTTGATCGCGACGGCGAGCTGGTTTGATGGGAGAAGATGTCGTCGTTCGGGAGGCGGATGATTTGTGTGCGGCAGGGCTTGGCTTCGCTTCGGTTCGGTCAGGTGATGTGTTTGTGGGGCCTGAGGCAGGATTCTTGGAGGATACGTATGTGCCTCAGGCAGAAAAATATATCCAGGCTACAAGGCCACCCGTACTGTACAGAATCTAATTATTGATATGTATGGACAGCTTGCCGCTGGCGAGTAAGCCGTTGTCCTCCATGGCAGTACATATGATGGACTGCATGCTTGCTGAGTAGAAAATTATCGATCGATCGTCTTGTGGCAAATGTAATCAACTGCTGTCTGGATACCTCACGAGTCACACCTCGTGATGACTATGTGATCAGGAAGCGATCCGTGCTCCTGGATCTGTGAGCCAGAATAAGGTTCGCAGTGGACAGATCATGACTTTGTTGACGTCGCCCAAGGCGGCTCTTATCCGTAAAAATATACATAGAATACGCATCGGGCGTGATGAGCAATACATAATTGCATTACTGTAGAGTCTCGCGAAGATGGGAAGTATCCAACTCCTGGAAACTCCGAAATGTCTCTACGATCCTCCTCTTGCCTAATCCGGAGGCCGCCACCTTGCGAAACTGAATAATTTCGCTACATAGTCTTCCCGCAGTGGATCTATGGCGGCCTGGAGGTAAATACGCTCTGACATGCATCGTGACACCCAGGCGACCACGTTAATTCTGTCGAATACGCTCCGTAAGCAACCCAGATAGATTGCAGGCAAGATATCTTGTCTCACAGGGTCACAGGGATTCCTTCGTATCAACGGGAGACCTAGTAAAGTCTTCAGTCTTCATCGCAGTGCTTTCCCAAACGGGTATAGAGGGCGACCCTTTTTGGAAAAGGGAGAAGGGCGAACTTTGAAAAATCTAAGGAAAGGAGTCGAGAAGTCAACCCTGGTTCGTCAGTTCGTTGAAATGATCGGTATCCGGGGTTAAAATTTTGCCGACTCCCGACCGGACGAAGGATGATCGGGACTGGATGTCCCCGATCGTCCTCCCCTGACTGGCGTATGGGCTCGATGTGTACGCGGTGACGTCGGTGAAATACTAGCTTGAAGATAGGAGATCGAGTCTGTCTGGTAGCGATCGGGTAATTATTGCTATGGGCTGGCGTTGGAATAGTCACTCTGGCGGAGTCGAGTATACATACGCAAGATCCGTCAGGCAGAAGCTTAGGCATGGACAAGATCGGGTTTTGGGGACATGGAGATCGAGTCGAAGGATCGAAAATTAGATACATATTTAGTAAACTATAGCATAATTACGTCCTGTAACTACCTGCGAAGTAAATTACTACTAGGCAACATCGCTGATGGATCTGGCCGCGTCAATATGAGTCAGGGCCTAGGTCCACTTGTGGAAGCTTCGTATTCGCTCTCGTCTGTCTTGGGGTTGTTGGGTGGTTCTGGTTGTGTCGCATTCGGATGCACGCGATGCATTCGCGACGTCATGGGCCTGTCATTATAAGTGGTCTTTGTATATGAAAGAATTGGGGACGAGAGATGATAAACGTGGGAGTATTCGGGACTCTCTCATGCCCGTAGTGCTTGGAGATGATTATAGCGGAGACATGGAGATTGTTTCAGGCCGAAAGTCCACGATCGGGAAGTGCTTTTCCCCGAAGGAATCGATGGAGACGTGACAGGAGGGGTGATCGACCGGGGAGGCCCCGACGTCAAAAATAGGCCACCTATTCTTCATAATTACCCCCTGGTTTAAACTCTTGTAGGATATATTGTATACTCCCACCGTCCGAGGGAGGATGCAGCAGTCGTGGCTGCTCGGGGTTGTGCAGACGAGGCTGCGATACGATGATAGAGGTAAGCTGAGACGTTCATGGATGATAGAAAGTGTGGGTAAAAATGAAATATAGTCGAAGCAGTGTCTTCTCTCTAATACAGTACTCCGTACTATCGAAGCTACATAGAAGCTTCTCACAAGAAATGAGATGTATATTCTGGACCTCCCCACGATTGGAAGAAATAACAAGTATAACTTGTATAAGTAAAGTAGCCGACCAGTTAGAATGCCAGATTTTTACGAACACTTGACTGTACAGTCATCTTGTGCATCGCTTGCAGGAGGGGGCCTCGTGCACAAGATTTGCCGGAGACTCTAGACTCCGGGCCCACTCTGCCGACTCGGGGAGTCTCCATTTTCAAAACCCGCCGGACTTTTGGCTGATTTACGGGTGAATTCCTTTTCTTTTCTGCTCAGAAAATCTAGGTATTGTCTAATTTCAGTTAGCGAGCGCGGGAACTAGACTGAGAACGGGCTACACCATGGTAACTGCTAGAACAATCAGAACGATACTGTTGGCTGTCGCGTAATTATATACATGCTTCCTTCGCCCGCTCGTTTCGTCCGTTTCTTTTTTTCTTGATTTTCTACAAACAAACTGCCCTCATATATTATCGCCTCCTCTCTTGACGGGGGATTACCCTCCCGCTCTTTTCTCGACAGCTTTCAATAGCGTGTCTTCAACTCTCTCCTATTAATTCTTTGGGATCCTTAGTATCATCCGGCACATTCTTCATCTTTCTCTTCCCTCTCCCCTTTCTTTACTATTGCCTGCAGATCTCGCTCATTCTAATTCTCCCCCAATTGCGCAACAACACTGAGCCAAGCTCCTTACATCGTTCTATCGATCTTACGCGCATTTAATTCTCAGTCTCGTTGCGATCGTAACTTCCACCCACGACTTAGATCGTCACCTCCCCGTTCGTGGCCTGCCTTACTGAAGCCGAGGCTTGGTTCACCTCCCGCATTGGAAACTAAAAGTGGGACCCGCGCGACGAACTGTTCTCAAACTTGCGACAACCACGACCACGAATTTGCGCCACCACGCGCGATACTTCCCCCAGCCATGCAGCAACCGGAAGAGGGGGCCTCTGCTGTGGAAAAAGTCCCCGACGAGGTGATGGTTGGTGAAAAGATCTCATCTTCCGAAGAAAAGGTTGCGGAGAAGAACTACGACTCTGGTTCGACGCTGTCGGGAACTGCCAAGGAAAATGGAAGCAAGACGGCGCTGTCGTTGGATGATGATGCGATCTTTGCGCATCTGCCTCAGCATGAGAAGGATATACTGAAGAGGCAGCTGGATGCTCCGGTGGCCAAGATCTCGTTCTTTGGTCTGTATCGCTATGCCTCGAGGATGGATATCCTGATTTTGTTGGTTAGCGCTATCTGTGCTATTGCTGCGGGTGCTGCGTTGCCCCTGTTCACGGTGAGTTTTGACCTGCAATCGCATGAGCGATTCGTCGCACAGCCAAAGTTTTATCCGGATCTAGAACTAACGGTTTGTGTTACAGATTCTCTTCGGTTCCTTAACCACCGCTTTCCAGGGCATCCAATTGAAGACCATGTCCTACCACGATTTTTACCACGAACTCACAAAGAATGTCCTTTATTTCGTTTACCTCGGTATCGCCGAGTTTGTCACCGTCTACATCAGCACCATCGGCTTCATCTACACTGGCGAACACATCACCCAGAAGATCCGCGAGAAGTACCTCGAAGCTATCCTCCGCCAGAACATTGCCTACTTTGACAAGCTGGGTGCCGGTGAAGTCACCACCCGTATCACCGCTGACACCAACCTGATCCAGGATGGTGTCTCTGAAAAGGTTGGTCTCACTTTGACCGCTGCTGCAACCTTTGTCACTGCTTTCATCGTTGCCTACGTCAAGTATGCCCCTCTGGCTGGTATCTGTACCTCGACCATCGTCGCGCTAGTTCTCATTATGGGCGGTGGATCCCGATTCATCGTCAAGTACAGCAAACTGTCCCTGGAGAGCTACGGTGCCGGTGGTACCGTTGCCGAAGAAGTCATCAGCTCCATTCGCAATGCTACTGCCTTCGGTACCCAGGACAAACTGGCCAAACAGTACGAGGTGCACTTGCGCACCGCTGAACGGTGGGGTACGCGCCTGCAGATGGCATTGGGTGTCATGATCGGTGGTATGTTCGGTATCATGTTCCTGAACTACGGTCTGGGCTTCTGGATGGGTTCGCGATTCCTTGTCGACGGCAAGGTCAATGTTGGCCAGGTCTTGACTATTCTCATGGCCATTCTTATTGGTTCGTTCAGCTTGGGTAACGTCGCTCCCAACGGCCAGGCGTTCACCAACGCTGTGGCTGCTGCTGCCAAGATCTTCAGCACTATTGACCGTGTCTCCCCCTTGGATCCTACTTCGGACGAGGGTATCATCCCTGATCACGCCGAGGGTGAAATTGAGTTCCGCAATGTCAAACACATCTACCCCTCCCGCCCTGAAGTTACCGTCATGCAGGACGTCTCCCTGTCGATTCCCGCTGGCAAGACTACCGCCCTGGTTGGACCTTCGGGTTCCGGCAAGTCTACGGTTGTCGGCCTGGTTGAGCGTTTCTATCTACCCGTCGGGGGTACTGTCTACCTAGACGGCCATGATATTCAGACCTTGAACCTGCGCTGGCTGCGTCAGCAGATCTCGCTCGTCCAGCAGGAGCCCGTTCTCTTCGGTACCACAATTTACAAAAACATCCGTCATGGTCTGATCGGCACCCGCCTAGAGAATGAGCCAGAGGAACGCATCCGTGAACTTATCGAAAACGCTGCCAAGATGGCCAATGCTCACGAATTCATCATGTCTCTGCCCGAGCAATACGAGACTAACGTCGGCCAGCGTGGTTTCCTGCTTTCTGGTGGCCAGAAGCAGCGGATTGCTATTGCTCGTGCCGTCGTTTCAGACCCCAAGATTCTGCTGCTGGATGAGGCTACCTCTGCCCTGGACACCAAGTCCGAGGGTGTGGTGCAGGCTGCTCTGGACCGTGCCGCCGAGGGCCGTACCACCATCGTCATCGCTCATCGTCTTTCCACCATCAAGACTGCTCACAACATTGTCGTCTTTGTCAACGGCCAGATTGTTGAGCAGGGTACTCATGACGACCTGATTGAGACCGCGGGCCCTTACTCCAAGCTCGTCGAGGCCCAGCGCATCAACGAGGAGAAAGAGGCTGATGCTCTTGCCGATGAGGAGGTTGAGGATGACTCGGATGAGGCTTTGGACAAGCAAAACGTTGCTCGTGTCAAGTCGATGGCCAGTGCCTCGAGTGCTCAAAAAGAGGAAGAGGCTGGTGCGCTGTTCCCCGAGGATGTCCGCCGTGCAGACACCCGTAAGTCCGTGTCCAGTGTGATTCTCTCAAAGAAGGGCCCCGACCCGAAGGCCAAGTACTCGCTCTGGACTCTGATCAAGTTTATCGCCTCGTTCAACAAGGAGGAGTGGAAGTACTTGGTGATCGGTTTGATCTTCTCTTGTCTCGCTGGTGGTGGTCAGCCCACCCAAGCTTTCCTCTACGCCAAGGCTATCAGTGCTCTTTCTCTACCCAAGTCGGAGTACGCCAAGCTGCGATCCGATGCCAACTTTTGGTCATTGATGTTCCTGGTCGTCGGTATTGTGCAGTTTATCACCTTCTCGATTCACGGTGTTGCCTTTGCGTTTTGCTCTGAACGTCTCATCCGCAAGGCTCGCAGCAAGGCTTTCCGTGTTATTCTTCGTCAGGATATCAATTTCTTCGATCGGGAGGAGAACAGCACCGGTGCTTTGACCTCGTTCCTTTCCACCGAGACCAAGCACCTCTCTGGTATTAGTGGACAGACCTTGGGTACAATTCTGATGACCTCCACTACCTTGATTGCCGCTATCGTCATCTCTTTGTCTTTCGGCTGGAAACTCGCTCTTGTCTGTATCAGTGTCATTCCCGTTCTCCTTGGCTGTGGGTTTTACCGCTTCTACATGCTCGCCGCCTTCCAGGCCCGCTCTAAGCTCGCCTACGAGGGCTCTGCCAGCTATGCCTGCGAAGCTACCTCTGCCATCCGCACTGTTGCCTCTCTCACCCGTGAGAACGATGTCTGGGATGTATACCACGACCAGCTCGAGGCACAGGCTCGGGTCAGCTTGATCTCCGTCATCAAGTCGTCCACCTTGTACGCCGCCTCCCAGGCAATGGTCTTCTTCTGCGTTGCTCTTGGCTTCTGGTACGGTGGTACCCTGCTGGGTCACGGTGAATACGATACCTTCCGCTTCTTCGTCTGCTTCAGTGAAATCCTGTTCGGCGCCCAGTCTGCCGGTACCGTCTTTTCGTTCTCTCCCGACATGGGCAAGGCTAAGAACGCCGCCTACGAGTTCCGCAAGCTGTTTGACCGCCGCCCGACTGTCGACACCTGGTCCGAGGAAGGTACTACCGTAGACCACGTCGATGGAGAAATCGAGTTCCGCGACGTTCACTTCCGCTACCCTACCCGTCCCGAACAACCCGTCCTCCGTGGCCTGAATCTCAGCGTCAAGCCTGGTCAGTACATCGCGCTGGTCGGACCTAGTGGATGCGGTAAGAGCACCACCATCGCCTTGTTAGAGCGCTTTTACGACGCCCTCTCCGGTGGTGTCTTTGTCGACGGCCACAACATTGCCGATTTGAACGTCAACTCGTACCGCAGCCACCTCGCCCTCGTCAGCCAAGAACCCACCCTCTACCAAGGTACCATCAAGGATAACATCCTCCTCGGCATCGACCAGGACGATATCCCCGAAAACGAACTCGTCAAGGCCTGCAAGGACGCCAACATCTACGACTTCATCATGTCCCTTCCCGAGGGCTTCAACACCGTCGTCGGCAACAAGGGTGGTATGTTGTCCGGTGGTCAAAAGCAGCGTGTTGCTATTGCTCGTGCGCTTCTGCGGAACCCGAAGATTCTGCTTTTGGACGAGGCTACCTCCGCGTTGGACTCGGAGTCGGAGAAGGTCGTTCAGGCTGCGCTTGATGCTGCGGCTAAAGGTCGTACTACGATTGCCGTTGCTCATCGACTGAGTACTATCCAGAAGGCGGATATTATCTATGTCTTTGATCAGGGCAAGATCGTGGAGAGTGGTACGCATACGGAGCTCTTGAGAAACCAGGGTCGCTATTATGAGTTGGTCAATATGCAGAGTCTTGGTAAGACGCATTAAATTGCATTTTACGAGGCTTGCTTGACCTACTCTATTTCTTTTCTTGTCTATTTTTTTTCTCCCCTTGCATTTTTGTGCTATGCGCGCTGCATACATGCCGTGCCATACCCCGACCTTTTGCTCAAAAGACGACATCTTCACACATGGTCGATCACCTTCATCTTCAATACCCTTGTCTACTAATCATATCTCTACTTATCATCTCCCACCTGGAACCTATTTCTTATCTTCTCCTCCATTCTCATCTCTGATACTCCATCTCCATATCCATACCATCTCCCGTCACTGTATGAATTGAAATAATCACCCTTCTCATCTCCTCTTTCATTTTCCGATCCTATGTGAAACTGGTTTCTGGTTTGCAGCCACTTGGCTGATAGAACTTACGGGCGGAGTTTGGTTGAATATTCAATACTTGAAATAAAAAATAAAAGTGTGATGGGTTTATTATCTGGCTTGATTGTATTTTCAAGAGGCAAATTGGTATTGAAGATTGTAATAACGTGGTGGTCTTGTAGTGGATTGGTGTGCTTGGTTAAGTCTAGTTGAAGGCTCCCACACCCAGTATCGGTAATCTTCTTTATTCAGATTGAGTCATATAATTTATGAATGTCGCTCAGTTGATGATAGCTGTACGAGAAATCGTAAATAATTCTCGAAATCGCATCTTTCACAACGTACTCGTCATCAGAATCATAATTCATAAGGTGCGGATCATCTCCATCGTGGCAGATACTCAAGTCATATTCCAGACTTCCATCGCCCGAGTGATGGTAGTTCATGCATCGTACACGATAATCATCTCAATCCTGCTCTTTAACCCCATATTCCCTCTGCACATCAACCTGTCGCACACCCCGTGCTTCGGCGATAAGACCCATCAGGCCCTGGGCGATATCCTTGATCTCATTGTACTCGTGTAACAGGCGGATGTGCCGCTTTACTGTCTCCGAGGGATCGTTTCTGAGATAGTTAGCCTGACACACGGGAATTGAAAGGTGTGTGAGGGGAGGTTACTCCGTACTTGAGTTGTATCTTGATATCTGCTATCTCGGCTTCTAGCTGGGCTTGTTGGGTTTGGAGATTGGCTATTGACGCGCGCAGCGTGTCCTGGATGCGGTCGTTAGTTGATGTGACTGTGGGATACTCGGCGTAGAATAGTTGCAAAGGCTCACCAGACGCTGCTCTGTCGAGCGTTCTACCATTCTGATGTGTCGAACTCGCTTGGTTCTCCAGCAAGCCCGTCTGTATTTCGCGCGTGTCAAGTGGGTCTCGTCCGGGATGGCTGTTGTATACCGCAGCCCGCCAATCACCACCAGCGCTGAATAATCGTGGCCTCGAGTCGGCCGCCACGAACCGGATTTGAACCAAACGGATCGCGATAAAAGAAAGTCAAAGACAAAGCAGACGACTTTAATCGAATAATCACTTTGATATCCCCGTTGTCGACTCTTGAGAGAGAAGCACCGCTGTTCGGGATTGTCGTTACCGGCGTAATCGGATGCGCCGGATTGGCAAAAGATCGACGTTGCCTGACCTGGCGGTTTCCCTTTTCGACGAAACGCGGCCTCGCCCCTTCAAAATCCTTCCCTTTCTTCTTACCCTACCCACCCTCTCTTATCACCAAGAACCCCCCCGCCATTATGACCCTCTTGCGACAAGGGTCCCTTTGGGGCCTGGTGCTGCTTGCTGGTCTGGCGCTTGCCCACGGTGGCCATGAGGCTGTTCCGGAGGGCGAGCCCATCTCGTTGGAACCCATTGTACGTGGCTTATACTCGGGTGACCTGGTTGCGACGATAACGGTTTTCCTGTGAATGGCTTTACTGATCAGGTTATGGATTATAGGATTCGACGTTATGGACACATATGGTCCTGATGGGTACTGCGTTTGGTATTATTTTCCCGTTGGGAATGGTTCTCGGTGTATGTTTCGTCTGGGGAATCCTACCTCGCCGCGGATGCTGTCTAACACCTACGCCTTTTTACAGATTGTTCGCTCGCGCTGGCACGTCCCCGTTCAAATCGTCGGCACTATTATCGCCGTGCTGGCTTACTTCCTCGGCCACGCTCACAAGGGTCGCCAATTCGGCAAGAACGCCCACGCCTCGTTCGCAAATTGGCTCATGCTGCTTCTGGTCGTGCAGGTTGTGCTTGGATTCTACCTGAAGTTGCACCTGGAAAAGGCAGGCCAAGGTCGGATACGTTGGATCTTCGTTCTGGCCCACGGTATCGTCGGCAAGATCATGCCAATTGTGAGCTGGACGCAGATGCTGTTTGGTGGTATCGCGGCCCTCGGCTTCTGCCAGGGTGACCATATGGGACAGTGTTTGGCGCATTTCATCATGGGCAGTGCTTTCATTGCGTATGGTATCTGCTTGACTATTCTTTTGCTGGTGGGTCAGTACTGGCTTCGCCGCACGGGCCGGAGCCAAGAGTTCTTCGACTCATTGATTATCGCCGCGTGGGGCTGCGTCAATACCTTTACTGAACACCGCTGGGGCGGGCCTTGGGTCCACAATGATCTCCAGCATACCACCATGGGTATTGTCTGGTGGTGTGCTGGTCTACTGGGCATGTGGCTGAGCCGCAGCCGCAATGGCCGACCTAAGCGGAATTTGATTCCTGCCATTGTCATCGGTCTAACTGGATATGCGATGTCTGCACACACCCAGACTCTGATGATCAGTACTATGGTCCACAGTATCTTTGGATACACTCTGATGGCCGCGGCTCTGACTCGGATCATCGAGATTTCGTTTGTCCTGCGCGACAAGCCCAATGTCAGCATCAGCGGTGCCGACCCGAACAGTTTCCAATACCTCACGCCTTTCTTGCTATATGCCTCTGGCTTCTTGTTCATGGGTGCCACCGAGGAGCAGATGCAGTTGCTCAGCCAGGCTGGCGTCATGCACGTCTCCTATATTTTGATCTTGTACAGCATTGCTTTTATCCTCTTCCTCTGTATGTCTCCTTCTCCTAAAATCTGCCACTTGGTCTCTACTAATCAGCCCTAGTCGTTAATATTCTCCTTCACATCTACGCCGTCCATGCCTGGCCCGAGGGTGCCCCCGAGGAAGAAGAAGAAGAAGCTCACAAGTACACCAACGCTAATGGCAGCTACATGAATGGTCGCACGAGGACCGCCGATGCGCAACATATTTCTGACGCCGAGGCTTTTGAATTGGAGGGCCTGATGAGTGATGATGAGGACGAAGCCGGCTCCTCGATGCGGCCTAAAAAGACGACCGACGAGGAGATGGGTGCTAAAGAGGCTTCTCGACCCTGAGCTCGTCTCGTCATTCTTGCTGTTCGTGTTGGGTAATCCTGGGACTTTCGATTCTGGGTTACGGGTCATATCATATGCATGTTTCCGTAGGCGTTGGTCGGTTGGAATTCTTGGTGCTTTTGCACTAGTATATGTTTCTAATTGAATTGAACATATTATTTCTTGTACTAGTCAACCCTTTATTATCTGTGTTAGAGCTCATGTATATAGTACAGTGCATTTCATCATTCAATGTATTGACTTATAAGAGCAAGTCTTGACACGAGCAGCATCCCACTTCATCTCAAACAGATGACCGACTCGAATAGATTAGGCTTTCATGCCCAAGATCACCAGATCTGGATACACGTCAATATGATCTATATCATTTGCGTACTATCGTTCCTATCATTTCAGGACTTGCTCATGCACAGTTGTGACTCACAAGAAAAGGCGGGCTCGTATCCACACCCCTAGTCCTGATTATTTCGCCGGATTTAGCGGGTTGTCCTGGCGCCGAGTTAGTATTGCCCGCAGGTTTCCAAAATGTTGGTTAGATGTGAGCTGAGATGAGAATGAACCGTCCGGAACTAGAGTAAATGTTAGCAAAAGGCAAATCAAGCGGCAGATCCATTTATACACGTACGGAGGGTCAAATTTGATGCTGACTATGCTCTTCTCTCGCTCAATGAAGAACCGCGCATGGGGTTTCAAAACTTCAAAAGGTGGCGAGGTTCCATATGCAGAGAATGATGATTAGTATAGAGCCAACCCGCTAACCTTCGTGAACGAAGGGACCCAAAGAGATCTGATATTTGTTACGACGATGCGATATGACTCACTATCCATAGTCAGGTCACGATTGAGACTGCCTAATGATTGATACCATACTCAAACTTCCCCTTATGTCCTTGAGAGTTAACCTATCCTATTAGAGGATAGGAGAATAGCTGATGCCGAAACCCACTTTCGCAGTCATAAAAGCTAGTGCATTCCGCTAGATATCGTACATTGAAAGACATGCAATCATCTATCCGAGGAATCAAAAGTGGCAAAGAAAATCGTCAAGCCCATTTGATTCCATTGGTGTATCATTCCATAATACGCCAAGCCAGCCAAAAAGTTCCCCTGCCACGTTTATCTAAAAGAGACCATATCTGTGATAATATCAAGGATTGGCTGTATGATTGGCCGCAAGGTTGACAGCAGGATTCGGAGCAGGATGGGTCGCAAGATTGGTCGTCATGGTGGGTTCCAATACGATCGGGTTTGCCACAGGTGGAACTGCAGCCAAGGAGCCGACATCCATCTCTGGCGGGAAGAATGGGTGCAATGGGTAGATAGGGCCGATAGACTTCTCGCCATCGAACAGCAGCATGTTCTGTAGCGGATGCTCACGGGCAGAAAGCACATTGATCACGTCTTGCGCCAAAGCACCGCCGAGGAACGCTGCTACGGGGCTAAGCTCACAGCTGAGGTTCTGCAGGAACTGGCGTAGGAATGAAGAGTCCAGCGTGGCCAAGTCCAGCTTCAATTCTTGATGGCTTTCCCGCGCGAGCTTGGTGAACACCTCCAAATCCTGGTGTGCGAAGCTGGGCCGTCTGCCGTTGGAAATCTTCTCGAATTCCCACAGAGCACGAAGACAGCTCAGCAGAGGCGTGACTTGTTTCCGCCGCCGGGGGAGCCTGGTATATTCCTCCGGCAATGGTGAGGTGTTGGCCAACTGCAGGGGAGAATAAATCTCGCGCTTGGTAACCAGCTCGATGACCTTTCCCTTGTTCCCCTTCTCTCCCTTCTCACTCTCTTTCTTGGTCGTCACATTCACAATGCTCCTCGTGAGCGTCTCCTGATGCTGCATAGGTCCGTTCGACTTCTCCCGCTCGATCACAAAGTCGTGTGAGATTAGGTCGGCAAAGACATAGCCGTAGAACCCGTGCAGGCCGGCTGCGTAAAAGGGTCTGTTGGCGATACGGCATGCCGCGTTGATGGTAGTATTCGTAGCGAAGTCCAGCTCGGTTGCGATTGTGACGTCGAATTGGGCAAAGAACGCGGGATCCTTGCTGCGCACGTCGGAGGTATCTATGTGGAGTTTGACACGGGGATTCATTCGGTGAATTTGAGGACCGGCAACTTCGGCTCGCTAGGGTTGAAGTTCATTAGTTTGGAACTGCCATGGATACTCTTGTGAGGGAGGGGAATTTACGTTCGTGGCCTGCTTGATAATATCCTCATTCTTATGCGCCTCTTCTAAGAAGAATTGCGCATCCAAATCGGTCTCCGTGACGGGTTCATGGTCGATGATAGTGAGCGAGCCGATGCCCGCTAGGACTAGGTTCTTGGCAACTTCGTTGGCGAGGGCCTTGACGGTGATAAGGAGGATATTCGCAGATCGAATTCTGAATATTGTATTAGATGTTTTCTAGCCACATTGGCCATGCCTTGAGAGACTCACTTCTCTTGCGCTTGCACTCCCCATAACCGGATCTGTCGGTCATAGAGCGCAATCTCATCTAGAGCAAGTCTCGATCAGTATCTGAGATCTTCATGCTGTTTCACACCAAGCACACAGTCTGTCCTGGTCGTTCTTACCTGCGCTGATGGCCTGGCCGTTCTCCGTTTCTGCCATGTTGAGGTTGTTGACGGGGAAAGAAAGAAAGTAGCTCTCTCAAGCTCTCCCCACAAACGTATGATCTAATCCGCGATCACGTGCATGCGATAACCAGATTCGAAGCAAGCGCCATCTGCGTTCCCCTCGAACACATCACATATCTTGGTGAGATACACCTATTCTGCGCTTGATCCTGGCTGGCCCTTTACAGGGCGTATCTCTGATTACTCCTTCTTGACTCCGTGAGACCCGTCAGTCTCCCTTTTCGAAAACCGTCCGATCGCCAAGGTAATCCAGTACTCCCAAGCGGTATCCGCCCGGACTAACCCACCAGGATGGTATGTTTCGAAGTGCTTTTGTTTCGTGCCTGATCTCTGCGAGCCCCACGAACACCGTTGATTGATGATCGAATAGTCAGGAAATTCTGGGAATCCACCAGGGGACCCAGGAAATCCAGGCAACTCGAGCAACTTGAGAAACTCTGGGAACTACGACTATCCTCCCGCCTCGTTGTGGCCGCGACCCTCTCGTCTTTATGACGGTCAACTGAGTCAACAGTCATTCCGTGAACGATATCCACACACCCAAGACCTGATCGACACCTTGAATGCCCAGCAGAATCGGCTTAATGCTGACACGAATACCTCACCTTGGCTCCGTTTAATAGAGAACGTGGGAAGCGGTGAATCGACGGAGTCGCTGGCCGAGCTGCATAGGATATCCGAAGAACATATGGACCAGACTGGTGGGACGCCTCGAGAGAACCAACGAGCCACTGAGACTGCTAGGCCATCTACTGGAGCCCGTCTACATTACTTGCGGAGTCTTCTTCATTCCGGAAGGAACCGTTCCAACGCCGACGAAACCTCCCGTGCTTTGGAAACCTTGGACAGGGAAATTGAAGAGCACAACCTCGACCAGATTCGGGATCGCAACAGCTCCAACGAATCTCGTTCTGGAGAGCCAGTTTCCTTCAACATACCGCGCCCACCGCAGATCGATTTCGCTTCTCTGAGGTCGAGTCACAGAACGCTGTGGGATCAAGTGCGGGCCGAGTTTGGTATCAATGCCCAAAGTCCCGCCCGGGCAAATTCTTATCAAGAACCTTCGCGCCCAACAACGAGCAGCAGAAGTCTTCGCCGTCGCTCGTTCCGTCCTGATCTGCGAGGCAGTAGCAATCTCAACGACCCGATTCCTATTCCCTCCCTCATGCCGCGGTCAGCCTCTGCTTCCTCGGGCCGCGATGGCCGTGGACGGTTGAAGCGACGGAAGCTTGATGCGGATGATAACCGAGAAGGTTTCCGGGGTTTCAACTATGGCCATAATGGCCAGGTAGTTCCCGGCCCTCTGCAGATGGAGATTGCCAGCTGTGATGGGGGGATCTACGATCCTGATGGAGATAGCTCATTCCCGGACAATGTTCTTCAGAATGACCAGTCAGTCTACTGCACCAAGTCCGACCGCTGTAATATTGTCCTTCGGCATCGTGGTGAGGCACCTTTCTGCCTGAAGAAGATCGTTATCAAAGCTCCGCGGACTGGATTTGATTCACCGTATGTTAATGTCGTGGTTCACTACTTATCTACAACGTGACTGACACACCTTTCGATCACAGAATTCAAGAAGGAATGGTATTCGTGTCCATGACGTCCGATGAATTGCTTGCTCGCACCGCCCAGTATCAAATTCAATACTCCAGTCCTCGTCGCCGCCGTCGCAATCGCCGATCAGGCTTGCAGCCATCTCAGGAATACCTCAACTCTTATCGATCTCCGCTGCAATCTCTTGATCGAACCGTGCTCATGGGACCTGCTTCGCACTCCGCCTCAGAGAGCGAGAACGCCAACCGGAATGTGAACGACCCACAGGCCGATTTCCGCATCACTACCGAGTACGATGAATATCCGGAGGACAATTTATTCATGGAGCGGGAAGACGAGGACCGTCCATCGGTCGCTGAGCTGGAGCAAGTCCAAGAAGACGACGATCTCTGCTCGGAGAGTGAGGACAGTATCAGTGAGGATGAGGATCTCGACGATGCTAATATGAGTAATGTCCACCGACGCCGTATCGAGCTACAACGCCTCCAGTCCGCGCAGAGACGTCGCCCGGCCAGTCTGGTTAACCCAATTCCACCTCCCTCGTCGGCTCCAACAGGGTCCAGCGGAACCTCTCCACCCTTTGAAGTGTTGAAACCCCATGCGCGGTTCTTCATTGAGCGAGAGAAGAGCATGGTCAGCATCAAATTCGACCCACCTCCGTAGGTGCACAAATGGATCTGCCGCTTGATTTGCCTTTTGCTAAAATTTACTCTATCTAGTTCGGGACGATTCATTCTCATCAAACTGTGGAGCCCTAGGAGTGATGGTAACATCGATATTCAGAGCATCATCGCCCATGGATTTGCAGGACCACGGTTTTTCCCGAGTGGTGGATTCCGGTAATGCGATTGACATTTGTGTGATGGCAGTAGATGCCATTTTTCGGTTTGCGATGAAATGATAAACGATGCTACGACACAGGATTCGGGATTTTCGTTTTGGTTGGGCGTTTGCAAATATTTGTTTCATGGTAATGAAACGCCCCTTGGAATGCCTTCTTCTTCTTCATATTCATGCAGCTGCTGTTTCCTTGTCATGACCCCGATCATACCGTCCCCCCTTTGTGACTTCACCTAGAGACACCCAGGTAGTGCCTCAATTTCTTTGCTAAACCCGCTATCAGCACACGTCTGCGCTGTGTCAAGTGTCAATCGACACTATCCTATGGGCACAGTGGAAGCTAAACCAACTGGTAAATCCTTGGTGTACACCCAAATGATCCGTACAAGCTCAAGGGTGATTTTAGCGCTGCATTCATTGTGTACTAATAACACTCCTCTAGAGCCCACGGTATTCTGTCTTGATTTACTTTCAATCGTTTACTTAGACCTTACAAATTTTGAGTTGGGTAATTGCTCTAGCACAATCATACCTTAAAGCACCCAGACGCGGTCCTGACTAAGCGTGATCCGATTCCACGGGCTAGGCCCATGCCAATGCGGGATGCCCCACCGGCTAGGCCGATTCTGGGACAGTGGTGTAGCTTAATTGTCATTGAGATTCAAGGCCACTTTTTAAAAGAAAAGGTGGGAGGGGAGGAGGAAGGAAGGTACAAGGACAAGGCATTTCAAAAGACGTCATACAAGTCAGTCCCTGATAACCTCAAAGCCTGCACTATACCCCTTATTTTCCAAGAGTTCTAAGCTTACCCGGGTATTCAGCACATTCCTTGGCTTTCATTCGTACTACGTACAGTATGCACGGGACCACTCAAGATACCGAATTGCTTTAAAACACACTGAATGAGTGCCCTTTAAGGTGCTAGCAGCCTGGAACAGAAGCATTGCATTCTACCTCTACTCTTCTTCTGCTCCTCTCAGTCTTAGCACGCATCAGAGCAAAGTTCGCTTTCGACTGCACAACAGACTAAACATTTTTCACACTCGGGGTATTGAGAACAGTTCATGTTGTTTGAATCTATTTGAATCTATTGAATATTTACTGATGACATACGTGAACAGAAACACATCGTCTTGGAAACCCCTACACAAAAGGCAGCACCACGTGGCTATCATACTCGCCTCCGGCATGAATCCAGTGTCTCCCCTTGTTCTTGGTATGTTCGCTCGTTCCAAAGTTTGAGAACCCTTGGTAGCTTCCACTCACGGAAAGCTCCAGGCTCTCGCCTTCCTCGAACTCGACACCCATGCACCAGATGCCGATTTCCAGACGCACCACGGTGCCCGGCTCGATCTTCTCTTCCTTCTCGTGCGTGTAATACGGCCAATTCTCATGCATTGAGCGTGAGGGGTCGATTTCTCGGTTTGATGCGCGCAGAATACCTGTGGGACCTTGGTACAGGATCACCTCGGTGCGCTTGTCGTCGGGGATATCGGCAATCTTCTTGACTGGGAGGTTGGTCCAGGGGATGTTAAGGTTGAGGAGTCGCTCTCCGGAAGCGGACAGCTTGTTCAAGACGATGAAAATGTCCATGTCGTTAAAGTCATCGTTGCGCATCCACAGAACGGCCTTGGGCATTCCAACGATCTGTGTCCGCTCGCTGAATTTATATGTGAAAGTCGCCCTGTCCTTTGCATCTTCCGAGTTATACGAGACTGTTCCAGAACTGGGTGTCGACTGATCCAGGCTCAAAGCTCCATCGGAAGTCAAGTATGCCTTGCGGTATTGGGTGCGCGGGAGGGGGAAGTCTTCTTCGACCTTTTCGATCACCGGCTGCTTCTCTCCATATCTCAGGACAGACATGCGCACTCGCGGTGTTGACTCCCAGTCATTCTCGACGCCCTTCAAGTACCGATCGAAGAAAGACAAGAGCTCCTCGCGTCCTTCCTGGTTGCCCCAGATGTCATACCACTCCTGATACGGGTGCCAACGAAGCCACTTGTCTGGCGAGTTCACCTCGAGCCAGCCCCTGATGGCGCCCATGCCGTGCATGGTGTTGGTGTATGTGCCCGTGATATACGTGGGGATATTGATCTTCTTCATGTCGGGTCTCTTGTCGTTCCACCAGTCATTCGCACCAGGGTGTTGATCAAACATCTTGCGGAAACTCTCCATGCCATTGCGGCCGCGCAACATGTACTTGATAATCAGATGGTCGAACAGATCTCCGCCGTAGATTCCACCGCGTGCAAACTGCTCCCGGTACAAGTCACCGCAGCCTTCCCAGGGAGCGATAGCCTTGAGCGATGGGGGCTGCAAAGCGGCAACGAACCATTGGATAATCGCCAGGTGGGAATTGCCAGCCATGCCAACACTTCCGTTGCACCATGGCAGCTTAGCCAGCCATTCAATCGTGTCGTATCCATCCTCGGCTTCTTGCGTTCCCATGATGGCCATCACTCCTTCGGAATCAAAAGCGCCGCGCGAGTCAACGTTGATGATGGCATATCCGCGATCCACCCATTCCGCAGGGTCGGGAGCTTCGAATTTCTCCAGTCCACTCAATGTTCCCTCGGGAATACCGAGGTTCCAAGGCGTCATGAGCTTCAATGAGTCAATGCCGTTGAATTTCTTTCCGAACGGACTCCAGCAGAGAATTGCGGGGACGGATCTCTCCGCAGCCGTGGTAGGTCGATAGATGTCGGCATAGAGCTTGCACCCGTCTCGCATGGGGATGACAACATCATGTTCCACGAGAATATCGCAAGACAGAGCTCGTCTCCCCGGTGCAGTCACACTACCGCTTGCGAGAACCTCGGTGCGTGGGTTGAGTTCTTGGTATCCTCCGTGGCCGATCTCTGGCGCCTTCAGCTCCTGGCCAGGCACATCAACATTGAATTTGACAGTCATATTGAAAGGAAAAGGAACGTCCGAACAATCCTGCTGCTTTTTTTCCACACTTCAGAATACTTGTGTGGAGAGCTTAATATACCGGGTCCCTTCGATCAATAAAGTGCCCGGGATCGCCCACTTGCCGGCTCGGTTCGCTTCGCTTCGGATTGCGGACACTGGGGGATCAACCGGGGCCCCAGAGGAGAGGACCCCCCGGATTTGGAGTGGGGCGCACGTACCCAGGATACGGGGGTGAAATGAAGCCGAGAGTGAGCGAAGACCGGGGGAGTAGCCATGTCCAGTCAACAGAGCTATAAATGTGCTGGGAGCTGCCATGCATTCTAGCTCTCTGCGTGTGCGACGGTGACGCTGCCTGACTGACTCCTGACCCTCTCAACCCTGCTGCATCCAATTTTTTTTCAACATGGACAAGTCCGACGTCTCCCATGTCGAGATTGCCCATGACGTGTCGCTGTCTGGACATCCAGGAGATGGACAAGTTGAGCTCCTGCGTGGAGGTGAAGTGGTGCTGATCCCAACACCATCGGCCGACCCTAGAGGTACGTTCTAGTCTAGTCATGGAGCATGCCGTTCAGCGCTCACGATCTCCAAGATCCTTTGAACTTGCCTGCCTGGCGTAAATGGGTCTTACTCGTCCTCGTCTCCGCCTATAGTTGCACAGCTGTCGTCCTTGCCTCTGGAATGGGATCGATCTTCACCGCCGTCGAAGCGTCCTACCCAGGACAAGAAGCCCGCGCCAACGACCTCATGACCTATCCGACACTGTTCATGGGTATTGGAAACCTGATTTCTATGCCCTGGGCCTTTACCTGTGGCCGTCGACCCGTTTTCCTCGCGTCGATGCTCCTGCTCATCGGGGCTGGCATTTGGTGTCAATGCTCGCAAAGCTTGGGAAGTCATATCGCTGGCCGGAATATCATGGCTCTTGCTGCCGGTCAAAGTGAAGCGTTGAGCCCAATGATCGTCCAGGAGATCCACTTCCTGCACGAGCGTGGTCGAAAGGTTGCCTGGTTCATCTTCATCCAGAACATTACTTGCGGTGTATTCTTCGTCGTTTCCACCTACATGGTCAGTGCTTGGGGATGGAGATGGTGGTACGGCTTCTTCACAATCATGAACTCGGTGATCTTCGTCTTTTCAGTGATCTTCGTCTCCGAGTCTTACTGGGAGCGATCAGACGCGGCCATGCGTGGGGAGTCGCTGCCCGAATCCAAGATCGCGGGCGCGCCCGGTACCGAGGAAGGCGAGCAGTACGCTCCCCGTCGCTGGGCTGATGATATCAAACCCATGGCTGTGAAGAACCCCCGTCTGCGTGATATCCCGACTTTCTACAAGCAAATACTGCAGGGCTTTTGTATCCCAACCATCTTTTGGCTTCTGTTGCTGAACGGTGCCCACCTCGGTGTTTACGTCTTCCAGGCCTCCACCTTCGCATCCATCCTGATGAGTCCTCCGTATTCATTTGCCTTCCAGGCTCTGGGCTACGTTCAAGCTGGACAGTTAGTTGACTGTCTCATCTTCTTGCCGCTTCTGGGCTACGGAAGCGACCTCGTGATTAAATACTTTAGTCATCGCAATGGAGGCCTCTACAAGCCCGAATACCGTCTGCCCGTCATCGCCATCCCCGCCATTGTCGGCGTCGTCTGTGGAATCATTTACGGAGAGGCTGCTGCGAACCCGGAGAAATGGAGCTCGGCAGCAATCGTCGTTAGCTACAATGCTAGTTACTTTGCGTTCTTGGGCGCAAATATCGTTGGCATTACCTACGCCGTGGATAGTTTCCCAACCCGCGCTGCACCCTTATTGGTTGTTGTTTGTGCGGGACGAGGTTTCATTTCCTTCGGCCTGAGCTATGCTACGTTGCCTGCTATTTCTACCCTTGGGTACGATGGTAGCATGATTGTTGAGATGGTCATTTGTGGTGTATTGGCGCTTCTCGCTATCCCGGTGTTCTTCTTGGGCCCTCGTATCAGACGATTTGCTCAGAAGTGGTGCAGTGATGATGACAAGGTGAACTGAGGAATGAACTGAGTGCATGCCATAGTTTTTTGGTTTTTTTTTTCCCCTTGCGAATCAATTTTTTTATTTTTCTATCAACTTCTTGTCCACAAGATGTAGCTGAAATTGTACGAAGTAAATCGTGTATTTCGCCTAAAGTTTGAAGGAAGCCGTCAACTACAACCCAGAAGTTAGCCCAGGAGAACGATCCTAAAGCTGTCTTAGCAGATAGTATCGCTAAGTCAGTCTTGTCAACGGAAGGGATACTAAGTGAACTACGTGCCTGTAACCGGATCCTAATACCTAACTGCGAGTCTACATGGATAACAAAGTACGTCGTAATGGCTTCTCCGTAGCGTGGTGCCCCCACGATCCATAAAGCTCGCGCCACTTACAATTGCGCAATCGACAGTGTCTCTGCTTCTCATAACGTGATCGCATTTCATAAATTAAGCCTGGGTTCACCGGGGGATTCGCTAGTCGCCACCTTTCAATTTAGATCTTAGTGCACCCCGGCATGTGGGCGTGCTTGGGTTAGCGAGGCTGGGTGATGCAGTTCAACAAGTGAGTGGCTGACCAAGACAAAACAAAAGCCACGACGCTAGATTGCTATCAAGCCGCCGTGATTCGTCTACTAGCTATGGCCGAGGTCAATGCATCATTTTGGTGGTAGCTTCTCGCCCCCACCAAGCGACCCCAGCCGAGCCGAACCGGCCAGCCGGACCGGAGTCCCCCAGATGTCCAACTTGGATCTGGGGTAAAGTGATCGACGAGGTATAAAGGTTTGGAACATTCTCAGCCACAAAAATATATTCTGGCAAACAAGATTCACTAGAACAAATTACAAGATGGGTTCGACAACCGAAACTGTGACTATTGCTTCTCCTTCAGGAAAATTGTTTTCCAAGGGCACGGATGTGAAGTATGGCGACTTCCGTGATGACCTGCTGCAAAATGGCTTTGCCGTCGTCAAGGGCGCCGTGCCCCGTGAGCGGGCACTGAAGTATGCCGATGGTATCTATGAGTGGCTGGAGGGCTTGTACGTTCAGACTCCCCCCCTTGTGGTGCGATTTTTTATCGCTTGCTAACAACAATCATATAGCAACCTTGGTTTCAAGAGAGATGACCCCTCCACCATTCACAAAGACCACCTTCCCGACATCAACGAGAAGGGTATGTGCTTGGGGTACGCCGTATCCCATGAATCCTTCACCTGGGGCGTGCGCCAAGAGCCCAAGGTCATTGAGGCTTTCGAGAAGGTCTATGATACCCCGGACCTTATCGTGTCTTTCGACTCTATTGGTATTGGATTCCCCAACCGCAAGGATATCCAGCCAAACAAGCCTTGGCCCCATCAGGATCAGGACCCTGAGAAGCCTGGATTCCGTTGCTTGCAGGGTCTAGTGAATCTGCTTCCTAATGGACCCAAGGATGGTGGCTTGATTGTATGCAAGGGGGCGCATTTGTTGAGTGAAGAGTTCCATGAGGAATTTAAGAATGAAGAGGACAAGATTTGGTCTTGGTAAGCTATTACTAGCAAATTTGCTTTATCGAAAGTCGTCTAGACCATTGATGCTAACGATGCTTGCAGGACCAAAGAGTGGTATGGCTTCACAGAGAAGGGTCTGAAGTGGTTGGAGAAGAAGGGATGCGAATGGATCAAGATTGAGGCTGAGCCCGGTGACCTTCTCCTTTGTAAGTTTCCTTCTTTACGAACAGCATTCCAGTATCTCCCTCGTTCTCTATGGAGCTAATCATACATGTACAGGGGATTCCCGCACTCCTCACTATAACGTCACCTCCGAGACAAATCAGCCACGCTTCTGCGTGTACACCTGCTTCATGCCTGTTGCAGATGCTACGAAGGAGCAGCTCCTCATCAAGAAGAAGGCCTTTGAAGAGACCAAGATGACCACTCACTGGCCCAACGCGAGGCACGTTGTTGACCTGCCCGTCCTCAGAAACGGAGAGCCAGACCCATACCAGCGCTCTTCGCCTCGTGAGCCGGTGCAGCTCTCTGACCGGGGCTTCAAGTTGACCGGTATTCCTTACCTCGAGCAAATGGCTTAAGATGTGGGATAGCAGTCCCAATTGAACAGTGGTCTCTACTATAGAATTTATGTATTTATTGTCTGATGAAATTGTTCATTCATTATGTTGAAATAAATGACTCAAATCATTCCAATCCCAGCCCGCCCAGTCCAGTGCAGAAGGCCCCCACTGTGCTGCAGGAGACGTAAATGGTATTGAATCGTCCACCAGGGAGTCGCTGAGAACTGGATTTGCAGAACTCCAGCTCGTCAATTCGAGTCGAGTTGGAACTGGGGCCACTAGCAAGTGAGAGATGTATTCTTCCAGGTCAAGCAATATAACGTCGAAGTTGTTCACCGTGCCATGCTTTTGGTAGTGCTGTCGGCTGATTTGCATCCCGGCTTTCATCAACTAGCGGTAAAGTTAGCAAGGTTCCCCTTTCATTTAGATACAACTGGCAAACCTCAAAATCAGATCGAACGAGCAGTGACTTTTGCTCGCGAACGATGGAAACAGCAAGAGCGTACACTGCAGCAAGTGGAGAGGTCATCAACGTTAGATAGTTGGGAATTCCAGAGTCAACGAGGGGAACAAAGAGCTTGATCATCTCCCGAGCTGATTCGGTGGCCATGGAAGGCCCGCTGAGAAGGCGCTGACCCCATGGTTTGTCCGGTGCAAATCTCTCGATTACTTCACGTAATTCGTTTGGGTCAACTAGCAGAGTCGATCGATGCACCATGATCACTCTGGATTTTGAGGGGTTAGCCACCTTTGCCAAGGAAGATCAATGTCCAAATCTCACCCGAGGTTATAGTAATAGGCCAGGAACGCTGATCGAGCTCCGTTGCACGAACTAGGCAGGGCCGTAGACCGGGGCCTAAGTAGAAAGGTAATGAGGTTTAAATAATTTCTCGACACGATTTGCAAGATTTGCAGGTAGAGGCTCACGTACTTTAGACCATCTGGCAAGTTCTCTTGCCAGTCACAAAGTAAAACTAAAAGCTCCCCTCCGGTTTGAAGCTTCTCTTCAATTGCCTGCTCGACCGTTTGAGGCAACCAAGCCTCTCGCCTCCATGCCTTTGCAGAACGGTCTTGCAACTCATGAAGCATATTTGCGAGACTGGTAGATGCCTGGTAGAATTGCCGATCCGAGTCATGCTGAATTTCGAGTAGAACGGATGCCGTAAGCGTCCCCGACAAATCGCGATCCCATATTATCGAAGGGCGACCTAATTCAAAAGATAGGATTTTTTCAAAGACATACATCGACCACCACGTTTTAAATCCTTGACTATCTGCAGTGCCACCAGGAGGGGTTGCGCTTGGGGATCGAACTTGATTAATACCGATAGATTGGGCCATCGACACTCCCATTGTAAGAATATCCCAAGCCCAGGCGATTTTGTCGCAGCTGCGAAGGACCATTGCGAAGAGAAGGATAGCCTGTACTGACTTGAGGGAGCGTGTGGCAACAATATGGCCTAACAATGAATTGCAATATGCAATGTAGGACGAAATCAGACTCTGTGAGCCTTCCGATGCGGGCATGGCCATCATTCCGGCCGTGACCGTCAAGTAGATCAGCGCCCGCTGGGACACGTTTGAGGATCGATTCGGGTGTATCGTAGACGCTAGGTCTTCGGTCGTAAAGAGTGCCTCTGTAATAACACTCCCGTCAAGAAATGGAAAGAGCTGACCGAGAGTATCCGAAAAATTATTCATACAAGCCTGCACTTCCTCCATCGAAGGCAATGCGGGGGCTTTGTCGGGAATCTCGGCTGCAAAATCCTGATTCACCAGTGGAGGGAGGGCATGAGTCTTTGATCCCTGGAGACGGTAGAAGGCCATATCCAGCCATTCGGTCATGAGTTCCACCGTACTGGCTCCGACAAATCGCGGCATCATGGGAAGACGGCCCGTCTTCCAGCCTTCGCGACTCCAACACTGGCTCCATAGTCGCGGGCGGTCTTGACTAGTAGAGGGAGTAGTGGTTGAACGATGAGAGTCTGGTGTCCTGGGAATTGTTTGCTGAGATGGGGATTCTGCTGTGACGGTGCGTCGTCTGCTGGATACGAGCGCTCCGGCGCGTCTCTTATCGGTGGTGATGCATTCTACCCCCGCCTGACGACAGTTTCGACATGGCTGTTCTTCGTCGCAACGGGTCTTTTTGGAGCGGCAGTAATTGCACGCAAAGGAAAGACGAATCCTTTTTCGAGGATTATCGATATGGTTCTCCATTGACGCTGAATTCAGGAGGGAGTAGTAATGCGTCGGTTGTGATTGAAGCGGGAGACGTCGACCTCATTTGCCGGTTGCGACCTCCACTTGCCGACAGAATCTGGGGAAAGTCCGGCACTTCATTGTACCATGCACCATGGAATGACAATCCACTATTTATGCTCAGCGCTGGTTGGATCATACTGTAGCCTTCTGACTAATGAGTATATGCAATAGATTTGAAACAGAGATCTGAGTGCCAGAGACGAATCGAATCTTGGGTTAAGTACCCCGCATTAAGTTGGATTTTTGGGACACTTCCAATGCAAAAAAGTTTGTCTTATAATTGACTATTATTCGAACCAAGTCAAGTATATAGAAGAAGTCAAAGAAAAAAAAAATATCTACTCAAGCCACATGACAGCAAGGACCATACCAACGGCCCACATGCTAGGGAACAATACCCGTGATCCGCCATTAGAAACAGGAGGGGTCCCCGTGGGTTTGTGGACATGGGTAATGCAGGTGGTGGTCTTGGAGCTGGTGGAAGTAGTGAAAGTGGAAGTAGAAGTCGTCGATGTAGAACAAGTAGTACGATGGCTCGTCGTCGAGTGGGTATCGGTCTTGGTACCGGGCACCAAGGCAACGGAAGAGCTGCTGCCAACGTGAATCGTGCTGAACTCGACCAGAGGCGCGGTGACCGTACGCGAATGCCAAGACATGGTGGTGCAGGGAGTCTTTGGTGCAGTGGGAGCTGGGGTAATCTCCTCCTCCGATGGCGCGGTGATACCGGGAGCTGGGGCAGTGACCGTGTGATGGGGATACTCGTCCGTGTGGTGAGGAACCTCGCCAGTGGGATAGGGAATTTCGTCCGTGCGATGGGGCACTTCGTCGGTATGATGGGGAACCTCGCCGGTGTGGTGAGGAACCTCGTTAGTGGGATAGGGAATTTCGTCCGTGCGATGGGGCACTTCGTCGGTATGATGGGGAACCTCGCCGGTGTGGTGAGGAACCTCGAAAGTGGGATAGGGAATTTCGTCCGTGCGATGGGGCACTTCGTCGGTATGATGGGGAACCTCGCCGGTGTGATGGGGAACCTCGCCGGTGTGATGGGGAACCTCGCCGGTGTGATGGGGAACCTCATCCGTGACGGTGTGGCTAGGTGGCACAATATCGATAATCTCTGGGTTCTTGGGGACATAAGGCGCGCAGATACCGGCAAAGTAGGAAAGTGCAGAGTCGATCTCCTCCTCGGATGTGCCCCAGGAATGTATACAGGTCGAGACCTTCTCAGTGAACTCGGAAGATGGGCAGAAGCAGGCGGCGTCACTGTTGGAGTCACACTTGGGGACTGAGAGCCAAGTGTTCAGGCACTTAGGGACCAGCTCAGGGCATGGAGCAAGGACAACTGGCGCGGTGGGAATGCCAGGGCTGGACGGGTTGGTACGGCTTGGAGGAGTATCGGACACGATATCAGTTGTCGGACGAGGTGGACACACGGTAGTGGAAGCGGCCCATGTGGAAGTCACCACGACAGTTGAGTGAGCAGGGCAGTCGGTCACTGTAGGCGCACAAGACGTAACGGTGATCTCTTCGGTGCTCCAAATCGTCGAAGTGGTCCACGACTCCGTGGGCACCACGGGAATGGTGACTGTAGTTGTCTCATGTTGCCAAACCGTCGAATGAGAAGGAGAGGACTCGGTATGGGTATTCCAGTAAGTCGAGGTCCACTCGGTATGAGTATCCCAATAAGTCGAGGTAGACTCGGGATGACTGTGCGAGTAAGTCGAGGTAGACTCCGTATGAGTATCCCAGTAAGTCGAGGTCCACTCGGTATGAGTATCCCAGTAAGTCGAGGTCCACTCGGTATGAGTATCCCAGTAAGTCGAGGTAGACTCAGGATGAGTGTGCGAGTAAGTCGAGGTAGATTCGGTATGAGTATACGACGAGTGAGGGATCTCCGCAGGTGGCTTCGTTCCGGTCGAGCAGTCAAAGTCCATACGATGAATGCTCATGTCGCATTCGCCGAACTTGCTGTCTTCGGGGAGGGTAAACTCCACGGCAACGGCGTTACCACACTGCTCGTTGGTAATGTCAGCTCCGTCGGTCGAGCTCCATGCGAGCTGGCGACAGGTGGAGCCGTCTGCCATCTGGTAGTTGAGGATGACCGCCGTGTCCCGCGAAGTAGCGAGATGGAGACTGCTGACGGAGAACGGAGCCTGGGTGGCTTCCACTCTGATCGCATAGTTATCGTCGCGAGAAAGCTTTCCCTCGATGCACTTGCCCTATGATCGGAGTTAATATTGTACTGACATCGATTAAGTCTCGATCAACTTACTCCGGAAGATCCACAGGCATCGTTGGGGGTGAAGCCAACGAAATTGAAACCCTCATAGCTCCAATAGTCTCCGTTGCCCAAATCGGACCAGTCAAAACCGGTCTTCTGAGGCTCCAAGCACTGATTGTCCGTGTTCTCCGGGCTTGGGAAGCACTGGTCAGTGCCCCACCACTATATTCATGTTAGATTAGTTGATGTTCACATGACTACCAAGCACCTTGGATACTCACCAGACCCGATGGATGGGCGAGTACGCCGACACCAAAAGACGAGAGCCAAATGACTGTCTTCATCGTAGACGATGTTGTAAATGAATGTGATTGTGAAATATAATTGCGAAGCTTAATGAGAGACAGCAATTGAATCTCAATGTCAAGATTAGAAAAGGAAAGTTGGCGGATACCGGGGTTGGCGAATGTTGTCGACTGAGTTGGCGATGGGGAACATATTGCAGTGCCCGAAAGAGAGGCCCTTTTATATCTATGACAGCATCGTTATGGATCTCGAGAATAGATGCGGAGATACTTCACAATAGTGATGTTGATCAACAACAAGCACTATAGAATGCAATCAACAGTCAAAGTCGGGCCGACCCCTTAGGGTAGGAATCCGTCACCATGGAGACTCACGGTAGGAAAACCAAATCCAGCTCTACTATTTGCCCAGAAGATTGCCACTTCATACTGTGGCTTCCGAAAAGCTTGACTTTCATGCTTGGTCTAGAATAAGCGACGAAAAGGCACAGAAATTTGGCCGAATCGAAGAGTAAACCCACTCAACTCAAGCCTCATTCCACTAGAGAACAGGGCCATCCTGCTCTAAGCTTTTCAACTGGCCAATAGAAATGCAGAGAATCCGAAATCCAGCCAGTCAGAGAGCGTCGGGTCCTTGTGCCACGAGAAAGAGCTTCCCACATTCCTGCTCCTTCTACATTCCTCGTACCTCAATACATGCCCTTCGATCCTTCCCATCCAATCGCTCGCCAAGTCTGTTTGCTTCTCCTGATCATGTGTTTTAAGGTACCAAAGCATAATATGGATGCTCACTAATTGTATCGAGCTTGTTTGGCGCCCCGAGCCTCGGGATGCGGACATCGGTCTAGGTCGAGCTCGGCTAGGAAGGGGCCTCCCTAAATTCGCGATCAGGAAGGAGCTCGATCATTCTAAAAGGGGATCGAGAATATTAAGAGATATATCAATTAAATTCCAACTAGGTAAAGCCTGTGAATTGAGTTAGATCGAGGGAGGAGTGATGGGCATATATATCGTGTGTGGGCCGTGGCACCTAGCCACTCCCACCAACGGCCCCACGCCGCCTTTCACAAACTCATTGCCATGTTCAATTCGAGATTTAGAACTTTACTGTTTTCCAAACGATAGCAATCAGAAATAAAGGAAGAAGGCAATGAGATACTGGTAAAAGAATGGAGACAATGTGACTAGCCTGGCGACCCAAAACACGATTTCTTTCCCAGTCAATTTCCATCTAGGCTGGCTTCTTTTCAGTCATGACAACTTCCTTCCACCTGCCTGGGCAGCTACTTGAAAACAACGTTCATGCTAGTGGTATTTCAAAATTCTCCAACGTCATGTATCATACTTCCTGGGTCACATATTTCGATCATAGAACAAAATTCAGACTTTTACAAGAACCCGCTGGAAGTTGACTCGTTGCGCGTTAGGACCATTTGGAGGGCTTTGAATCTATATCAACTCCCAGTACTTCTAACTCTATTCACACTTATGTGCTCTCTAAAGACCGCTTGTGAGGATAACGGATTTATGGGCGACCTCGCGTATCATGCGGTGACTTGAGCGATTTATAAAACCTCATGTAGAGACGGCTGTAAATATGCTGCGACAATAAACCCTGATCGAGAGAGGAACTCGCCTTCACGGGCTGGCATGACCTCCCTTCCTTCCCATGGCAGGCAAGCGCTAGTGGGGGTGACCTCACCGAAGGAGCATCCCAACACGTGAGAACCACGGTCATGTAGCCATTAGTATACGAATGAGGCATACTAATCTTGCAGTCTGTTTAAACTGTGAGATGTAATTCAGACTTCCATCTTAGGCTAGGCTTCTCTTCCCGCCAATATCGCCAAGTGGATCCATTCCGACTTTCAGATCGATGACCGAATCCTTAAGTATCTATGCAATATATATGTCGCCCAGATCCCGTCAATGTCTGGGAAATATGTATCCTAAGGTTAGGATACTCCTTTTGTCAAAACAAGCACCCTTCCGTCTGAACCTCCCAGATATCGACTCGTAACCCCTTGAATACATATCCCTCGCAGCCAGATCGACATGAGGGTATTTCCATCCGTGAGCAAAGCATCACCTTTCCTGTCTTCGCTGTCTACTATTCACTCACACATTGAACTACTGTCCAAACCCCATAACTTTCTGGGAACGTATATCCTTAGGTAGTTCATGACGATCAACCTTTCCACAAATGTACCCTGCTCGAGCTCCCAAGGTCATCACTTGTCCAGAGAATCCCCACATCTATCATGGATAACCATGACATGAGTCATCTCGCACGCACGCAATCCGAAGATCCTTGTCGGGGATGCGCACCATTTCGGTGTCATGTTATACTCGGAATTGATTTAACGGAGGGCAATACAGACCTAGTCGTGACAGAATAAGCGACTCGGCCCGAACCTTCAAGGAAGGCATGCTCCACAATGGCATCGAAGAGATGTCCTGGCATCATCGGAAACTGATTTCGTGAGAGTTGTCGTTATTGATCGTGGGGCTTGGTATCGCGGGCGTTGGCGGTAGAGTAGACGAGGGTGCGTTGGAGGTTTTGGAGGACGATATATGGCCCCGCTGTCGGAGGTGTGGAACCCTGGAGACGGTCGTCAGCAATAGCACTGATGGAATGCTGGCTCTCGCCGAGAACGCACCTAAGCAAGCTGCACCACGAGCTGTAGTTCGAGGCGCTTTGGAGAGTGAAAAGACTAGCTCTCAGAGCCAAAGTGGCTATCACGGCAGCAATGGCAGAGAAAAAAAATAAGCAGCGGATTTGGCCGGGGAAGAGATTAAACCACGCGAAAGGCGTGAGGGGAGAGAAGGTGAGGAAGGTTAGTTGGTGAAGGCGTGTCCAAAAACTTGTTGTTGACAGCAAAGTGCACGTTGGGCTGGGTGCCTGATCGAGCCCCTCTCTAACGCTGGACGGTCTCCCAAAAGCCTATTGAATAAAGATGTTTTGAAGCTATCCAGAACGAAGAGGTCATGAGCTGTTTAAACGGCAACGAGCGGCGATTTGTGGCTTGGTATTAAGCAAGCTAGTGCGAGAACGAGTGTGGATGCTAGGAAGCTATTCACTCTAATGCTAGAATACATGGTCCAGCGAGCACTGGAGGGTCAAGAAGGGGGGTGGAAACGGGCATAATTCTTGGAGGGAAGTGGGCAAAGGAGATTTGGTCAAGGCTCTCTCAGGTTTGACGCTGTGGACTCGGAAACTTCCTGTCAGTTCTATGTTTCGCTCAAGACCTTTTCAGGCTGGCGATACAATAGCTGGGTAGAAGTTTGAATCATCACCGTCCACGCGAAAAACTTCTACACAGAGCCATCCGTCAAGAACAAGGGAGTAGTGAGAGGAAAAAGAAGAAATGGAATTGGTGGGCGGGGATTTCCTTCTACACCTCTCTTACTTAATTAGGATTCGGAGGTGCAAAGTTTCATGGTCCCAGCTTATTTAGGGAAGGTTCACCTGGACAATGGATGATGACACACGTAGTTGTTACTATCTAGGTCTAGTACTTGTGGAATGGAGGTACTTCATCTGATTGAGAATCTCCGAATTTTTTTTTTTCGCTTGTCATCTATGATGTAAGCCTTGTGCGGGCAGTGCAATATGGTTGAATACTAGTTAAATGACATCTACATAGGGATTTCCTAGATTGACCTTCCCCCCGGCCTATTTTGACTTCGTGCCTGAAAATTCGGGAATCAGGCAGAAATTCAGCTTTTTTATACTATTGCTAAAGGTATTAATCCTAAAATACAATAACCACTAGTCATAATACTAAAAGTAGATTTGTTATGAGATTGATTAAAGGATATTTTAACTCATATCAGAATTTTCCATCAAACACCAGTTAACTAGTGAGCTACTTGACACTTGCACTTTAGTTCGTCCTCGATCTCGCTCGTGCAGGATGGAGTCTTAGTCGATACTTGCTACCTGAACGCGGGAATCGAATATGATGAGACAACGCAGCTCGTCCCATTACCGCCAAGTGCCAGGTCCAAGAAACTCGCTGAGGCTCTTGTGGCCGCTGGCTGGTTCTTCCCCTTCGGCCACGCGCCGACGGTCGCAGCGAGTGGATTCTTACTTGCCGCAGGCCAGGAATGGTTGATGCGGGGTTGGGGTTGTATGAGAGCGAAAAGCGAGGGGTATAAGCTTGGTCATAGTAAGGTAAACGCGGAGGGGGATGGTCGTTGATAGCAAATGAGCAGGGATCGGTGCTGAGGCGTAGGAGCAGTCGGTGTGAATGAGCGACGACGATGATGAAGATGGGAGTAAGATAGAAATCATGCACAGTTGTGTCCACCGGGCGACCACCTGGCCCTTGCAGCCCTCTTATAGTCAGTCATCGCGTGTATAGGGCAATTTAATCCTGGCCAGCCAATTTTGGCCATTCCTTGAAAGTCATGGCGTTGGAACGGAAGGCACATTTCCCCCTTTCTTTGGGCCATTCCATTTGGCCATGGATTGCTGCTGTGGTTACGAAATAGCTCTCAATGCCCTTCGACGGTAATGAATGGGAGTTATCTGAACAGTTCAGTAAGCAATATCAGTGCACCGATGGAAATCACAATGATTTTGAATTGCTATGAAGCCCCTAGCTAACTACAGTAACAACTTTTAACTAACGTAAATCCCAGCCGATCCGGCCACTCCAGAACACCATACTAAATGCGATTTCTCAGGTCACAATATATCAACAACAAGAAGATTTTTTAACTTAAATTTTAGGAGGTTATAATTTCTTAGCATTAGAAATAGTATACATAGTACGACTGAAATATTTACATAAAAATTATTTACCAGTATTACCAAACAGACGCTCCGACCGAGCAACGTGGATCTATGTATCTACATAGTCACGACCCAAAATATTTCTCGAGCTTATAAAAATACTCTGTATGATATATTTACCACCGGAATACACCAAAAATATATAACTAGCCTTAAATGTTAAAGTATGAAGTTATGAAATATTGCATTTAGTATGGTGTTTTGGGGTGCCGGATCGGCCAGGATTTACGTGTTAGTTGTCCAAAATCGTGACTAAGGGCTATGGCGGAGTCCACCCAATAGTCCGCCGTACCAAACCCGAGGCACCTCGGGTTAGACCACAGCCTGTAAGATAAGAGAGTAACCAACGCGCATCTTGGCCTGGCTGAACCAAAGCTACCTCTGCAGCTATGCCATTGCGACGTTCGCATACAAAGTCCCATCACGGCTGTTCCCTGTGCAAGAAGCGTCGAATCAAATGCGATGAATCTCGGCCCATCTGCGGATCCTGCCGAAAAAAGGGACTCCCATGCACTTTCGATAGCTCCCAGCCAGGTCATCCTCGTCCTGGTAGCTTTGGCCAGAACGATCAACTACCATTAGATAAGGGTACAAACGAACTCCCACTAGTCGAACTTGAACTTCTTCATCATTGGCATACAGCGACGGCCGTGTCGCTGACCGAGAATGAGGCCTTAAATGAAGTTCTCCGGACACAAGTTCCCAAAGAGGGATTGAGCCACCCATTTGTCATGCATGGTATACTGGGGCTCTCAGCACTCCATCTTTCCCAGCAATGCTCGGGACCTCGCCGGCAGACATATACAGATATCGCAATGCGACATCGCAGCCATGCATTATCACTCTTCGTACCGCTTCTCAGCGATGTGACCCCTCGCAACTGCCAGAGTCTGTTCGCCTGCTCATTTCTCATTTCTAGCTTCTCATTTGCTTCCCACAGCCTCAAGTGTCAACCTTCGTCTATGCATATTGGTGAAGTCATAGAAATCTTCAATTTAGTGCGCGGGACGGCTTCAATTGTGGAAAAGGCACGACCATGGATCGAGCAGGGTGATATGCGATATCTGTTAAAATTTGCCACGTGTGAGCCACGAGATTGCCGCTCGAGATACGTTGATGAAGTGCGTTCTCGACTTGAATGGCTCATCAATCAGCAAGCAGGTGATCACCTCTCTGCTCACCCCCCGAGCAGTCCGTGGGCAGTTTTAGTTTGCTCCAATCGGCATCTACAGGATCTCTGTGATTCTTCCATCAAAAGCAATAACCAAGCCACCATTCTCGCTTGGCCGGCAATTATAGATCCAGAGTACTTCGGTCTTATGCAGCAACTTGAGCCGGGGTCTTTGGTTACACTCGCTCACTATGGAGCCGTTCTCCACATTTTGACCAGCGTCTGGTGGATGGAAGGCTGGGGGAAATTCCTGGTCCATGTTGCCGCGAGTCATTTGGATGATTCTGCACGATCGGCAATTGTGTGGCCTTTAGCCGTTGTCAATGAGAAGGCCGATTAGTGACAGGCATAACATGTCCTCGTTCTTCTTACCTTTTTTGGTAAGGTTTTCGAAACAGGGGGTATCTGCGTGGGGTACCTTGCCATTCGAATTTTATCACAGCACAACAAGGAGTTGTTCTTGGATTCTGAAGCTCAAAAGCCGACCTCTTGACTCGGTATAAATGATACCGAGCACATTTGAGCTTGGAGTTCGGGCAAAAGTCTCTTTTTTCGTGTTTTCTTGACCATCCGACCTTTCATTCTCCGCAATTTGAGACGGATCGGGAATAGTTCCTTTCCCCACATCTTGCCAACTCAAACCCCAGAACTGTTCGGATTTGGTTTCGTGTTCGTATACCATGACATGGCTTTCTATTTTTACGGCTCAGGAGGGTCGGCATATTTTGGCTATAAAACAGCTTAATTCGCCTCCAGCAAGATGAATCATTTCCAACAAAATCTCAATCAGTCAAAGATTTTTACGATTTTGTTTTCACCTGCAACATGCGTCGGGCTTTCTCTGCTATAGTAGGTACCCTTGCGGTTGGTATGGCGACAACCATAACAGCACCTCCTGAGTCGGAGCCAATTGACGTCATTGAACTTCCTCTACCTCCGGTTGCACCAAGCAACATGACGGGTGCATGCACGGCCTCGATAAACCCCCATCGGACAGGTTGCATCGGACAGACATCAGAGGCCTTCCAGGCTGGCGACTTCGCGCCTGATGGCAAACATGTGGTTGTTAATGTTGAGTTTGTTGGTGCTCCAGAGGCACCGGATTCGGCCAGCATATACGCTGGAGAACATCTCATTCTTGTCAAAGCGGACGGCACGAAGTTCTCTAATGGCGACCCATGGAAATGCTTGAGCTGTGGTGTCCCATCGCAGAATGCTCTCAGTCTCGACCCGGAGAGGGACTATCCACATATGGCTCGAAACTCCCGACAAGCCCTTTGGGGACACAATATTCTGGATTGCAGTGGCATTCCCCTGGTCAGCGACGATTGCACGCCGAACAAGACACACATCTATCCAATCTACTGGCCAACAGGCACCAACACGTCAGGTAGTCCACGAGAGATGCGACTCCACCCTGACGGTATTCATATGGGTTGGAGCTCATTCACAAATAATGGTGGTCAGTTCGCATATTATGGTAAACTGCAATTCCGTCAGAATCCAACTGATGGCACCCTTCGTGTTCCGAGATACGATCTCGTCGGTATCAACCTCCTCGTTCAGCCGAACGGCACCGCAGCTATCATGGCCCAGGGCGCGGAATTGAAAATTCATAACGAGGCCATTACAATTGGTGAGCTTCGTGGATTTACCGGCGCTGGGGACGAGATTATGTACATCGGATCACCTCGCGAAGCCAACAACATTGATCTTTTTGCGGTTCACATCGGTACAGGCGCTGTCCGCCGTCTCACCAGTCACCCGGAGTATGCGGACCCTATTGCCTTTTCCCATGACAATCAGTGGTTTGTCACTATGGATACTCGCGGCTCTAATCGGCAGATGTGGATGTCCGGAGAGCGGTACATTCCTCCATTGATTGACCTAGTCACTGTTACCGCTGCTTCGTCAACCCGTAACAATGGTGTACGCCGCTTCTTTCAGCCAATTCTGATCGATCGTTACGGTGATCGAGGTGACTACTTTGGTCAACAAGTCAACTATGCCGGAGATGGAAGCAATGGTAGCGTTAATGACCCGAACTGGAATGGCAGAGCAGACCCGGCCTTCTCTCCCGATGGAACTCACATTACCTATTGGCAGGCCTTGGTTACCTCACCTGACTGTGGTGGTGTGAATCCACTTCCTTGTCCAGTGTCGACTGCCCAAGGAGGTCGAAACTACCGATTGATGCTAGCGCGTCTCTCAAGCCGCAAACCCACATCCCCGGCCCCTATTTATGCCGCACCTGATGATATTCCCTGGGCAACTCCTTTCCCTGCAGGTTCACCACTCCCTACACCTTATTCCTTACCTGCGGGTAACTACACTCTCTACGGCAAGGCTAGTGGGCTCGCAAAAGCCAGTCTTACCAAGGACCCGCTCTCCGGCAGCTTCAAGACTATATCCGTCAACTATTTCAATTACTCGGATGATGCACAGCACCTTATCAACGGGTATGAGTCTGTTACTCTGACGACAACTGCATCGAATCCCTGGCTCAGTCATTTGGACTGGGTCTCCAATATTGTGCAGATTGGTGCCGTGAAGGCTGTCAAGAAGACTGGGCCGGATGGATTCCATTTGACTATTGATGCGGTCCAAAATATTTTCGAGGCTAATGGGACCTTGACTACGACAGTGAATGGTGTGACCTACTACCAGCCACTTAATGGTGCATGATCATTTGAGCGCCTGCCAAAGGAGACTTGACTTAAATCTTTTTCAGAGCACATCTTTGGGCGCTAAGTTTGCATGTATCTACACCACAGGAAGAGTTGGAGATAACGAGACCATGTCTGATGGCCAGTTAGACTAGCTGTAATGCCAAGTAAACGTTCAAGTCTTTGACCATATACCCTACTACGGATTATTCAATTTACGAACGGAAAGTAGGAAATGGAAGCTTTACGGCAAGATCATTCAATCTTGAATTATACACCAGTTGCGATTACCTTCACAATGCATGGCGTACGACACTTTCGGGAGAACTCCTACAAAACGGATCAGAGACCTGCGCTGTCGCTCATGCTACCGTGTTATCCAACGAAGCTCTTTATATCTACTCATCAAGCAATAGAATCTCAGGACACGTGGTTGGAATGACGTCTAGCAACAATTTTGACGCACTTGTAAATCTATGGACAACGGACCAAAGCCCAAGATTTCTATGAACCCGAAGAAGTCGAATTTTGACAAAAAGAACGAAACCTATCGCCAAAAGTGAAGCTCCGTTTCCTCTTGGCTCAAGACTTAGGAGGCAAAGGCTGCACAGGCCACTCGTAATCTCGCGTAAAATCAGTTTCAAAGGTCCATTCCCCTTGACCAACAGTCTTCTTCCGCTCTCCTGACCCTTCTGGAAGGATAATTACACACGTCATGCCCGGCGGGACTGTAACTTTGACTTCAAAATGGCTTTGCTTCTCATAGGAGTCAATAGTCTTCCAAGAACAGGAGACAAGACCCAGGGGACTTTTATGCGAAGCAGAAGCCTCCGAGAATTCCGCGCCAATACGAGGAGCAATGCGACATTTCTTCCATCCCGGCTCGATTCTCTGCAGACCTGCCAATCTCTCATACAAAAACTTTGCGATTGACCCAAATGCATAATGATTGAACGAAGTCATCTCACCGGGATTGATTGATCCATCAGGTAGCATACTATCCCACCGCTCCCACACGGTAGTTGCACCCATGGTTACTGGATACAACCATGAAGGACAGCTTTTTTCCAGGAGTATCGCATAGGCAACATTGATATGGCCGGTCAGAGCGAGGGCCTCACACAGAAATGGAGTTCCCGCAAAACCTGTTCCGATTTGGAAATTGTTTTTTCGCACGAGATAGACAAGGCGGTTCCCGGCTCGTTCTTGTTGTGCGGGAGTCAGGAGGCCGAAGCATATCGCGATGGCATAGGCTGCTTGGCTATCAGATACCAGGCGACCGTTTGAGGTCACATATTCTTCCTGGAATTCTTTCTTGGTAGCTTCGCACTCCTGTTCAAACTTGCATTTTTCTTCGCTTTTTTGAAGGAGATTTGTGATTTTTGTCATGAGTTCTAGACTGTGAATCAAGAACGCATTGGCTACCAGCTGTGCGTCTGTCTTGCCTTTCCATGGTGCGTTAGGTGGTGCATCTGGATCGAGCCAGTCCTAACGCTTATTGTCAATACAACTGATCGTGAAAATGATGAAAACTTGAAGGTATGGATCTATCTCTTACCCCAAGCTGAAAAATACTGATATCCCAGAGGTGAGTCAAACCTTCCTTATTTCTAGGCAATTTTTGCATCCAGGTCGTCATGCTTTCATATTGCTGTTCGAGGATTTCAATCTTTCCAGTCTCCTCATACAGCGCCCATGGAGCAAGAATAGTAACATCATGCCAAATTGCGCAAGGCTTTCGACGACACCAGATAGGATCTGGGAGTGTCGCATTGGGTGTGACCATGGCAGGGACACCATCGAGGGTCTGCTGATCATACCAAACATCGACAAGCCAATTCTTAAGAAAGTCATAGCAGTCGAACAGTAGCACTGCCGTTGGAGCAAAGAGTGCAAGGTCTCCAGACCAACCTAAGCGCTCATCGCGTTGAGGACAGTCACTTGGCACGGACAAGAAATTGCCTTTCATGCCCCAGCGGATGTTCTGGTATAGCTGATTGATCAACTTATCGGAGCAGGCGAATGAGCCGACCTCAGCCATGTCAGAATGACACACGATTGCCTCGACTGAGTCGATCAAAGTAAAATCGCTGGTCCATCCATCGATCTGGGCATATCGAAATCCGTGGAAGGTGAACCGAGGCTCGTAATTCTCGCCGGTTGGGTCTCCCTTGAGGATGTATTCATCAACTGCGTCGCATTGTCGAAGAGGCCTGATGCAAAGTTCCTGATTTTCGAGAACCTCAGCATGAGAAACAATTATTTTGTGACCCCGAGGACCCCTAATATTTCTCAGCCTGACATATCCCACCAAATTCTGACCAAAGTCAAGAACCAATTTGCCAGTTGGGGATACAAGTTGCTGAATCGGATTGATGATCTCAATCCGCCTCACAGGCTCACCAAACCCTGCCGTCAGCTCGACTTTCTCAGGTAAGGGCGGCATACAGAGCGCAGGCATCCAGGTTTCACAAAGATCGATAACTCCGTCGGGCGCAATGGTCGACCAATGCTGGACTTCTTGGGTTGCGTCGTACTTTTCTCCATTGTATATTTCTGCTAATCTAATTGGACCTCTCTGAACAACCCAGGTGGTGTCGGTAGTAATGATTTGAACGGTATTGTCGGCATAATGGACTTTGAGCTTGGCCATCAATGCTGGATGAGGCCCCCAAATATTTCGATGCCCACCTTCGAAACCGATACGCCCACAGAACCAGCCTTCGGCGACACGAACGCCAATACAGTTGCGACCGCTTGACAGCATTGCCGTGACGTCGTATGTCTGGTATTGGAGTCTTCTGTCATAAGATGTCCACCCTGGGGCCATGAAGTGGTCGCCCACACGTCGGCCATTAATTTCCGCCTCGTATACACCTTGAGCAGTGATAGCTAGCTCGGCATGAATGAAAGTTTTCACATCAAACTCCTTGCGGAATAAACATTCGGTATCCGGTCCAGGCGTATCGGACGCCCACGGTGCGGCGATTCGATCACAGTGCCAATCTTGCTTATTCATATTGGGACCGAGGGATCTAACCGAGGTCATATTATCGTGGTAAAATTTCAGTCCTTTCTGTTGGTCAAAGGTACAGAGTCGGTTCTGAATTTGGGGTGTGGCGTTTTTAAGGAGTTGAAGCTATTGGCTTCGGTATGATGAGAAACCGAGTGAGTGAAATTGCGAGGGGAGAGTGGCAGCTGCGGGCGTGAATTACCCCGAATTAAACAGTGAATGAGCGTGTCAGACGCCGTATTATTCGATCAAAAGCCGACCTTCGTTCATTAGTTTTTCTTTTTACCGGGGAGTCCCCAGCTGAAAGCATAGCTCCAAACGCCACGCCGTGATTTGGATCAGTCAATCCAGCCTCTCTCAATATGAACATCATTATGTTCCAGGCCAAGGATAATGTCCTTCGTGCTGACCAGGAAGAATGGGGAGTTGAACCTCGCTCTGTGGAAGGATTGCCTCTCCTAGTGAATTCATTTAGGGAACAGCTACTGCTGTTTACCAGATCGAGGGCGGTGCTTCGACAGGGGCAGGTCTATCTGAGACACCTATAGTCATCCTGCGCCCTCGTGACCCAATGGCGAGAGTGGCGATGTGACCTGTGATTACTTTGATCGCATGCTGGAGGGTTTGGACTTGATTTCTTCATAAATTGGCGACATGTATCGGTTCTATATTGCCTGGTCTTGTGTTGTTCCACTGGGTGGATGCAATGATTTTATCAACGAAATTAGCATTGCGCTCTACAACAGACTCAAAATGACCTTTGGCCCGAAGTATCGAGCCAATCGTGACTTTATACTACCTGGGTCTACCAGAAGAACTCTATGATCGATGCGGAGCTCACTTGAACACAGTAGGGTTCGAAGCAGACTTTGAGAACTTTCCTAGATCATGTTTCTCTCGCTTTAGTGATCGGCTCAGAAATTAGGCTACGTTCAATGACCCGTATATAATCTTAATTTTGAGCTATCATAATGGTGTTCTTACTCCCGGTAATAGAACCACCACTGGACACGATTCACGAATAGAACTATAGCGTGTTGGGCATACCATCATTGTTCTTCACACAGCTGCTGCGATATTTACGTGACTGAGTTCCAAACTTCTTAAAATGGCATCGTGTCAATTATGCTGAATGGTTACTTCTACGAGCCATGGGATCTAGCTTGCGAGGAGCACAAAGACGCGGCCCAACGCAGAAAGGAGTTCTATCTTGGCTATTTCGGCGACCCCATCTTCTTGGGCCAGAATTACTCCGCCCAAATCCGCGCTCAACTAGGGTCTGGGCTACCACCCACCGAGGAGATAACTCTTCTCCAAAGGACCGCACCATTCAATGCCTATTACCCCGCTCAATTCCCCCCGCCCCCTTCCAAAGACTTCATTTGCCTGACCCTGACCAAGTACGAGATGGAATGGTTGCACTATGCTTCATGCGTCTAATCCGAAAATAGCTTAGTCACATTGCGCTACAGACTACCACACCGCAAACCTTCCCTATTTGGGTATAGTTTACGGATGAGGTGGTCCTTTCCACTATAATATCCGGCAAATGAATCGGGTACAAATGCGGCAATCGTGCATAGAATGGTCTGAATTCGACAAACTGAAAGCTGCACAGCAAGCTCGGGGTGAAACCCTCTGGACGTCTGGCATAGCTACAGGCAGAAGCAGCATCGGCTATTGTGCTAATCAGCCAATAAATAGACTTTGCCAAGGAATTTTGCTCTGGGGAAGTTGCGGGGGTTCTGGTGGAGCGAGATGGCCGTAACCCCAGAGTACCAACATCTACTATGGACGAACGTGGCGAGCATCAACTATTGATCGAAAGACTCGCGTATTTTGACTTCGCTGGAAGATTTCTCGGTACAATGAAGTCCGAATCTAAGGTGCGGCTGCCGCTCCTCGTTGGGACGCTTCAGAAGCCGGTTGAGCTTTAAATTCACCATGAGCTCGTCGGGCTCTTCCTTTCGGCAAGTTTGAGGAGTACTCTATTCTAGATGATATCTGACTTGCAAAATGGAGCCCACAAAGAAAGTCGCATTTGAGTCGAACTCGTCCGCAAGAGAGATCGAGAGCGTTCCGGAGGATGGATTCGAGAAGTCTGATCCAACCTTCATTGCGGCAAGGAAGGGCCAACTTACCACTGGATATGAACATCTCGGCCCTTTAGAGACCATCAAAACATTCAAGCTTTGCACCCTTGTGTGCTTCGCCATGGCCTTTAGTGCGGCGACTGATGGTTACCAAATCGGGTACGGCAAGTTCCAAAGAATGAGTTTTGCCTTGCTTTTACTGACAGTACGGGCTCATTTAGAATTAATGCCAGCGTAATTGCCAACGCCGGATTCGTTGCGCGCTTCGCCACCAGTGTCGGGAAAAATGGAAAGCCTGCACTTGAATCTCCTATTCTTAGTGGCTGGAGTTCGATCATGTCTTGTGGTCAGATCGTTGGGATGACTACTTTGCCATTCCTCTCCAGTCGATTTGGAAGAAAGATTGCCATGTACACTTACTGGGTGATTCTTGTGGCAAGTGTGCTCGCCGAATGTCTCGCAAGATCATGGCATACCTGGCTGGTTGCCAAGCTCCTCGCAGGAATTGGAGTCGGATGCCTGCAATCGACCATCCCAGCATATATCTCGGAAATCGCCCCTACTCGTATTCGTGGTGCTCTGTTGATGTGCTACAGTTTTTGGTGGACCTTGGGCTCATTCTTTGCCCAGGTTGCCCTTCAGAGTCTCTCCAAAAGTCACCCGACAAATTATTTAACACCTATATACACTCAGTGGGCTCAGATCGGTATCATGATTCTGATCTACGTCTTTGTTCCAGAATCTCCAGTCTGGTGTGTTAGTGTCGGGAAGCATGATCAAGCTAAGGCGCAACTACTTAAGCTCAACCGTGGAGTTCTCAATTATGACGTGGACCGCCAATTTCTAGTCTTGGTCACGGCTGTCGAGCACGAACGTGAAGTTGCAGCTGAGCAGCGACGCGAAAAATGGTATGGCATTTTCCAAGGGACCAACGGTCTACGCACCGTGATCTCCTGCTGGACAAATCTCACCCAACAGTTGATTGGTCTGAGTCTTTTTGGAACATTTGGAACATACTTCTTCCAACAGGCTGGGTTGTCGGATCCCTTCAAGATCAAAGTTATCACAAACTCGATTCAAATTGGGACCGTGATTGTCATAATTCTTGTTGCCGACCGTATTGGAAGAAGATTACTCGCTTGCTCGGGGACAACACTTTGCTGGGTATCGTGCGTTGCCATCGGTATTGTTGGAGTCTGTCCTCGAGTTAATGCATCGACCTATGTGTTTATTGTGTTCGCTTGCCTGTGGAGTGAGTAACCCATCCCCGTTGGTAGTAAATTTACTGACTCAATTATCAGACGCTGGTCTGGCTGCCAACGGTGCAACTGGTTGGGGATATATTGGAGAGATCTCTTCGCAGCTTCTCAGACCGTATACTTCTGGCTTCGCAGCAGCCGTGACCTGCGTTGCTGGAATTGCGATGAATGTGCTCGTGCCATATATGACAAACGCCAACAAATGGAACTGGAACTTGAAAACAGGATGGTTCTACGCCGGTCTTGGTTTTCCGTTCGTTGTCGGCATGTGGCTCTTGATTCCGGAGACTAACGGGTGAGACCATGGACTCAATAGAGATTCTGATCCAATCTTGTAAACAGCGAGGCTAACTTCAGCATTTTTAGACGATCGGCTGCTGAGCTCGATGAGCTGTTCGAACGAAAGATCAAGCCTTGGCGATTCCACAAGACTGAGACTGCTACACAGCGGATCACTCAGCTCGATAAGTCCGACAAGTCAGAGGGCAACTGATTTTGGTGGTCCAGACCTTGAGTCACCAGTCGATCAGTGTACGGCTGTCACCGATGGCTGCTAAATGACTGAACACCGACTTAGATACCTATAGGCCGAGTGATGTACTGGAAGAACTGTTTCCGGAATAAATGTGTCTAGCAGTTTATAATATGTTCACAGCAATAATAGGCGAGCAGTAGGGGTAGTAATAGGGTCAAGAGGGACGTAAATGAATATGGCTACATCGTGAATGACTTGGTTTGTGGACATTCAGACGCGGCATTGATTTTGCACTAAGTCATTGAAAGAATCATGTCCCATTACCTCCTATAAATCCTTAATCAGGGCTAGAACGCGCTAAGTTATCTCTACTTTAGGTCCTTTGAATGCTTCAGAATCAGAACCTAGCTGATATACAGTTTCTTGAAGCTTTGCCTGCGTATTTAGTAGGATCGGGCGAGCACAGCGACTAATCTATCACCCAAATACTATTATCTTCAAACTACGCTTTGACTTTTTGAGCTATATAGATATAGGTATTATCCTATGTATAGTTCTTTATATGAAAACAGCGACAACATGTGTGGTATTAGTATTTGTGTGTGGGCAATAACCCATGCCTGGGCCCTTGAGATTGATTGCCGTCCGCCCTCACGGCGTTTGAACGAGACAGATTACCGTCCTTCGGCGCTAGGCACCGGTAAACAGATAAACATGTCTCGGATACCGGGTTGACTTGACCCGAGTGCCAGGCTTGTCACAATAAAGGCATTGGGGAAGGTATATGTACCTGAGTAAACTTTGAATCCGGCCATCTTGAAAACGTGATGAGAGATAATCATTTTAAAACATTCGTTCAACCTTTTTCGCACTTTATCTAATCAGTTCATGGGTTGATCTAATTCAGTGAATCATTTACTGTGCTTCAGTTTCTTATTCTCTTATTATCCATTCCTCCACCGAAAATGAATGTCAACATGTTCGGAGCGGATGATAGAGTCATAGACTCATCAACCGAACCAGCCTATGTCGATTTGCCTGCTGTTGAAGAGCTCCCTCTTCCCGCAGAGTTTGTATGGGGAGGGGCGACGGCGGCGTACCAGATTGAAGGGGCAGCATCTGAAGATGGGAAGGGAGCGTCTATCTGGGATACGTTTTCGCACTTGGAACCCTCGCGGACCAACGGCGACAATGGAGACATTGCCTGCGACCACTACCATCGGGTATCCCAGGACATTGATCTAATGGCCTCCTATGGAGCTGACGTCTATCGTTTTTCTATTGCTTGGACCCGAATCATCCCTCTCGGAGGACGAAACGATCCTATCAACGAAGCCGGAATCGCATTCTACAACAGTCTAATTGATCAATTACTGGCACGGAATATTGAGCCAGTTGCCACACTCTATCATTGGGATGCTCCTCAGGCAATCTATGATCGATATAGGGCGTTCCTCGATACGGAAGAATTCCAAGCAGACTTCAAGCATTATGCCCGCCTGTGTTTCTCCCGCTTTGGAGATCGTGTCAAGAAATGGATTACATTTAACGAGCCTTATATTATCTCCGTTTTCGGACATCATAGTGGAGTTCTTGCTCCAGGTCGCAACTCTACCTCCAACGGAGGAGACTCTAGGACTGAGCCATGGAGGGTCGGTCACACCATCATCCTCTCTCACGCTGCGGCGGTTGAGATCTACAAAAGAGAATTCCTGCCGTCCCAGAGCGGGACTATCTCAATTGTTTTGAACGGGCATTTTTACGAGCCATGGGATGCGACTAGCAAAGTCCACCGTGATGCTGCTCAACGTCGCTTGGAGTTTTACATTGGGTGGTTTGGCGACCCGGTTTTTCTGGGTCAGGATTACCCAGCGGTGATGCGAACCCACCTAGGGGACAGATTACCCTCGTTCACCCGTGAGCAGCTGGAATGGCTCCGTGAACTCGCCCCTATGAATTCCTTCTACGGGATGAACCATTATTCCACCAAGTTCGCCCGCGCGTTATCCGAGCCTCCAGCCGAGGATGACTGCACGGGTAATGTCGAAGAGGGTTCAGTGAATAAGGAGGGGCAAGTTATTGGACCCATCTCAGGAATGGCGTGGCTGCGAGTGGCTCCACACGGATTCCGGAAGCTCCTCAATTGGGTCTGGATCCGGTATCGTTTGCCAATTATAATCACTGAGAATGGATGCCCATGTCCTGGAGAAAGCCAGATGACGCTAGATCAGGCAGTAGATGATCAATTCAGGATTAGGTACTTTGGACTGTATCTGGATGCCATCTCGCGCGCCATTTATGATGATGGGATCAAGATAGAAGGCTACTACGCATGGAGTTTGATGGACAATTTTGGTAAGACTTTCTCCCTATCTCCTTTACCGGTACTTCTCTGACAGCCGTGATCCAGAATGGTCTGCCGGGTTTGGTCCACGTTATGGTATCACTCATGTGGACTATAAGACTCTTGTGAGAACACCGAAGAAGTCCGCCTTTTACTTGAAGAACACGTTTGAGGGGCGCAGGAACCTTCGTCCTTAGATTATCAGAGGATATAGTTCAAATTGAACAGATTTATTTTGCTTGAGAAAATTTGCATCATCACTAGACATTCGTTTACCAATTTCATTCAACTAGCCCTACCATCTACTAAAATTCACATGACCTACACACCAATTCAATTTAACTAGGCTGGTAACCTACCATGAAGCTATTCAGATCTGTCAGAACAAACCGAAGCCCATATGGACTAAGAATGTTGCCCATGGAGCATTTTTGGTCTAGCGGTAAAATGCCCCAAATTTATTGCGACAAGATCTCAACCCACGTCGCCCCCCTTTACTACATAAGTTATCGAACTATATTAGACCCTGCCTTTTCTTTCCGTCTTCTCTCACATAAATAAATTGTCTATTCAGCCCGAGCCAGATCCTCCATTTTTTGAACCACCAGCAACATTAGCACTGGTTTGTCGTCATGAACAGCATCCGAATCTCTTTACCTTTATGCATTACTTACCGCATGCTCCGGGCTCTCCTTTATGCACAAATTTTCTCCGGCTCTATCTGCTTTCTGGCTTGGGAGTTGGATAATATCAATCTCATAATCATGTAATAAGTGACTTCGGAGCAACTAAACAGGGTTTAAATTGAAAGCATAGAAAGCGTTTGTTTATGGCACAAGAACATGTGAGATGATACCTTGTATTTTCCATTAAGTGAATAGATCCGACATCCGTGATTAAATGCATGATTGACCTGTTTCGACAACAACAAGGTAGACAAAGAGACGAAAGAGGCGCAGAGTGGCCATCGAATATGCATTTCCGACTTTCGGTCGAGGATCATGAAGAAACTGTAGTTCTCCATCACACATACGTCTAAATTCTGTATTGTTATGTCTAGGAGTGGCATTACGCCCGTTATCTGGGGTACCTGTGCGGGGCACGTTCTTTGGATGTCCATATCGCCAGAAAAGAAGGTTGTTAACTAAGTCGGCGTAGCTGGTTCCCTCTTTGGTACCTTGACTAAACAAGTCTTAGACCGAGGGCAGAAAGAGTGGCGGGGGGGGGGGGGGGGGGGGGGGGGGGGGGGGGTGTAAAGAGTGCAAAAAGCAGTTTCACTGTTTCTGCAATGGAAGGAAGTGGTGAGAGTATGGAAGAACATTGGCCAGAGAAAGGCGGGCAAGAATGTATATAGACCAATGCGTGTCTATTATAGGCGCCAAGCCTACCCTATATCCATGTTAAACCCGAGCGACTAGACATTTCTCCGGGAGCTAAAATTTTATGGGAAACTGCCCCTTCATTAGCTTCGTACATTCGGTAGATAGGTTAATAACGGTCGTATATAAGGGGTTCATGGAGAGTTCGCGGCTGAGGAAAGCTTCTCGAAGGTGAGAGGCGCAATCAAAGCTCTAGGAGAAGGCGATTTAATGAATCCGTAAGGGCCACAGCTGGAAAATTCAGTGTTTTCATAACAGGAAAATAATCGAGACAGATCTAGAATATATTGAACAGTGGATTCTTGGGATGATAGAAGAAATATTCAACTGGGAGGAGCCCTTCGTCAGTCATCAGAAATGCAAGTCCATCAGACCACCCAAGATACCAGAAACCTTCCAAGAGATATTGAGACAGAAACCGAAAAAAATGCAATGACTTAATCCCCCTCAAAACACCACCTGGTAGCAGATACAAACAGGCAAATCATAAATCATGAACATTTCTAGACTGCCCATCCATCAAACGACACTTAATTCACGCCGCCCTCCACTACGCATACTCATCCCCGCACCAGCGCCCTGCCCACTCCACTCCGACGAAGAGGAATCCCCCCGGGCCCGAGAGCCACTCGTACTCGTACTCGCCCCGATGCTGATCCCGGCCGTCGTGAAAGATTCGGTATCATCCAGACTAGACGTTCCACCGACCATGACGGGACGGATTTTGGCTCCGACAAACCCACGACGGTCACGACCGGTACGGCCACGACCGAGCCAGTTGTGTTTGAGGGCTTTGCTGAGGACTTCGATTTTCTCTTGTGAAGGGTCGTCGGTTTGGACGCTGGCGAGGACGCTGACGCATTGGAGCATACGGCCCACCGTTTCGGTGATGACGTGTGAGGAGTCGGCGGATGTACCGCGGTGGATGATGGTGGGACGTTGGTTGGAGGTTTGTGGTGAGATGGACGAGAAGATGAGGGGGTCTGGGTTTGAGGAGGTGTTTGATGCGGCGCGACTGCGGGAGTCGCTGCTAAGTGGACGGGCTAGTGCGCTCATTGAGTCTGAGGAGTAGCTGTCTGCTATGCCGGTGCTGAGCAAGGTTGATGATTGGGAGTTGTAGCTGCCCAGTCCTGCGTCGAGAGAGGCGGCTGTGCCGGGGCGGCCACCGGCGCCGGCGCTTTTAGCGGTGACACTGAGAGTTGGGAATCCAGAGTTGATGCTGTCTAGGCTGAGACGTGAGAAGGTTGCTTTCAGCGTTTCATATCGGTTCAAGATGATGCGGTCACGGAAGGCAATCAGGACTAGATTCCGCACGTCGAGAGACCCGCCGGCTGGAAGGGCACCCCAGAACTCAAGAGCCTCACGACTAGTCATCAACGTTCCGAGACCCTTGAACTCGAGATCTAATGGCAGAAAAACGGCCTGGATGAATGGGAGAATTGTGCCAAACACCAATAGCCAGATTTGAACGAGGTGAGGTACGAGCTTTTCGTCTGGAATGCCGACCAGGGAGCTGTGGTTGAGCGTGGCAAAGCCCGTCTCGAGTAACTCTTGAAGATCCGTAATAACCGAAGCAGGGGCCCGTTTATGCACGCAGCGTTGCAAATGGACCAGCACCAGCTTATTCAAATCTTCAATGGCGATCCGCACATCCTCGCCATCAAAAATAACAAGCAGCTTGGCTTTGAGAAAGTCCCAAGCATCTTCGGGTGACATGTTATTCAGCCCGAATCCTTGCAACGTCTCTCGTAGTACAGCCTCGCCTAGCACACCAGACGAGCTATTGAGTGAGGACGGCCCTGCGAAGCCACCAGGCGTCGTCGCCCCACCTGCAGAATTAGCAAGCCAGTCCATCGTCTCGGAATCGGCGAGCGCTTTCTCTTCCTTCTTCTTCTCGCGAAGAGCACGCCCTCCATGTAGCAAATCCAGCCCGCTGACCGATTTGCCAAAGGTAGCCCCCGGTGCCGGCGAAGCTGGACTGGTGAACGAATACAAGGACTGTGGTGCATTTGGATCCGCCGGTCGTGAATTGCTCGATGCCGAAGACAGCGGGAGATTAAAATGATCATCTCGGTCCTTCAGCTTGAGCTTCTGCCGAGACAAGAAATGGTGCTTGTGCTTGTCCTTATCCTTATCCTTATCCTTCTCTGGGGGCGCGGGTGGTCGATCGGCCGGAACAACCGTGCTGACAGAGGCATTGGAGAGATTGTACATGGAGGAATTGTTCGAAGGAAGATCGGCCAGACTGGTGGTTGACGCGCTGACGATACGCGATAAGCCCGGGAGCTTACTTGGAGATGGCAACCCACGATCCCGACTGTCCTTGTCTCGACTGATTCCAATGTGTTTCGGTTTTGAGAAGAGCTTTTTCTTTTTCTGCTTCTCCGGTATTTGTGTGTCTAACGGTGAGGCCCCGGCCCGCGGGAACACCACATTCGCTGCCGTCGTGGCCGCATTGGGCGGCGGGAGAGATGGGGATGGCTGGTTGATTCGTAGAGGGGGTGGCATCAAAGGGGGGGAGGCACTCCCACTGCGCCGGGACACTCGAGACGCACTATCGTCAAACGTGTTGGCCCCGTTTTGCGGCCGTTTCATCTGTTGCATGGCCGCCTGGGCAGCGATCCGGGAGGCTGAAACGGGCGGCAACTGATCTGAGGAAGCGGTGGGCAAGGTTGGCTCGAAGAAGCCCTGTGAATGGTGTCTTGATCGATGGCGAGTTAATTCAATCGACGGACCTCGGCCAGATGGCCGACGACTGCCTGAAGTGTCTTGTGGCATGGCGCGAGCTGCGTGCTGGGGCGAGGTGGTGGTCGAGGCAGAGCGCAACTGAGGGGAGAAGTAGCCAGCGTTTGGGGGATGTGTATTGATCGGGGTGATGGGTGCGGCGGAGACGGTAGTCACATTTGAAGAAGCATCGCTGCCGGAGGATCCGGGGCGGCCCAATTCGTCGTCATCAGAGTCGTCGTCGTCGTCGTCGTCTTCGTCGTCGGAAGGTGGTGGTCGTCGTGATTGGGGTGGTGGATGGCGGTAGACGGGGGCGGGTGGGCGAGTGGAACGCCCCGGGGAGTTTGTAGTTCGGACGGGATTCATGATCAGTCGTCCATGGCCGGTTGTTCGTGGTTTTTCTGGTGGGTGGCAGTGCCAGTTGTCAGGGTTGTCTGGTTACTCCAGTCGGAGTCGTGGATGCCTTGCCCCAGAAAGCTCTCTCCTTTGGGTTTAGCTCGCGGCTCCGCCGATCTCTCGTCTTTTCAACTTTCAACCCCACCATCGAAACTCTTCGTCCTGCATCATACACGATTCTTCTCTTTTCCTTCTTTCAATTCCACTTGATCTATAATCATGGCCGCCAACTCGCCGCTTAATCTCCAGGCTGTCTACGCCGCACCAGACGCCTCCAAAGTCTTCACACAGGAGATTCCACCCGCGTCGAGCACGGACGCTTTCACCGCGAAACAGTCTCACCTGATAGCCCTGCAATCGCTCGTCCCCAAGCTACAGGAGCAGATCAATGTCTTCCTAACCGAGCGCATGGAAGAAGATAAGAAGGCCCAGGGCGCAGTGTCGGAGCAGGAGGCCAAGGAAGAGGAGAACTACGGCGAGGAAGTGGTCGAGGAGGATGCTTGATTCACAAAACGACAATGGTATACTACAGTACACTGGGTATCAAAAAGAAAGTCGCCGGGGAGGAACACTACAACATCAGAAGAGAGAAAAAAAGACACGAAACCCATCCCCGGCGAATGCAGATGCAGAGAAACGACGGAAGACTACCCTGAACGGACGCTGGCCACGCGATTGGCACAGCCCAGATGGACAACGGTATTGCTGTGATGAGTTAGAAAAGAATGGACGGCCAAGGGACTTCAGGCGGGTAACGGGTGACATACTCGGGAAACACATTGATCACACTGCCTCCCAATCGCTTGTGACACACACCACAAATTCGCTCCTCGGTCACGGTGACATGGCGAGCTCGAGTCCCGCCGCCACGGACACCCTCGCCCAGAGCAAGCTGAGCCTGCGTCTGCATATCGCGTGCCTTTCGCAAGCTGGCCACGATTCGGGCCTCATTGAAAACCGAATTGGCTGCTCGCATGCGGCCCTTGAAATAAAACTCGAGTTCGCGGACGGGCAGCGTTGCGGGGATGAGTTTCAATGCTGCTTCGGCTGGTAGCCGAGAACCGTGTTTGGCGAGGATGGTCAGTGCCGGACCGTTCCGGGCTTCGTATCCGTGTGGTGGTGCGAGGTAAAGGGAGAGTAGGGTGAGGTAGATGGAAGTTTCTTCCTCTTCTTCGGACTGGGGTGTCCCCTTGGAGAGATGGACTTGGTTGCAGTACCTGTGGGGTTTAGCACTGAATGTAATTATCAAGAGATACCAAACTCACTCTTCTGCTTTCTCGTGGTCACCCAGCTTGAAAACGTAAATCTCCAACACTTGGCGGTGTTGGCCCATTTTGCTGAAGATGATGGCTCTCGCCTCGTGGAAATCAGGGTCTGTAAACAGCGTCAGAAAAAAATCATGTAGACCCAATTTCTCGATACATACCCTCTCGATTCAGGCGATCCAAAGTCTTGGCCGGGGAGTACTGGTCACTCTCCTTGAGCATAGCCAAGAACTTATCATTACACGCAGTATCCGACTTATCGGCATTAATCCGGTCAAGATACAACATCAACAATCTCTGATGCAGATCCGGGCTCATATCATTCCACTCATGAATGACATGCTCCAAGTACCGAATGGCAAGTTTGGGATCGATCTGCTCCAGGAAACCCAGCACCCGTGATCGAGGTAGCGTCTCAGCGTTTTCAGTTTCCGCCAAGAATATTTCCATACCCAGCTCGCTGTTCTCGCGGACGGGCCAGCCGGCGAATTCCAGGATGAGATCGATCTGATCGGGTGACAAGTTCTGCAAGTAGCCAATGGTACGGGTTGAACCGGACAAAATTCCCGATTCTTCTTGGCCGAATCGATGCAATAGTTCCAGGGCCTGGCGGTGCAGCTTCTTGCCGTAGAGAAAGTCGATGAGGTCGTTGTATCTGCCTGTCTCCTCCAAGCGTTCCATGACTACCTCTGGGTCACAGAAATTGGCAATTCGGAAGAGGGATCCTGCCAGCGATGGTGTTGCATACATATGCGCGCGGAACAAGGTTGTATCAACCAATCGGGCCTTGGCGCGTAAAGTTGTCAAGAACTCATCTTCAGATGGGAAGTCGAGAAGCTTGAGAACCGAGGCGCCGGCCTCATCCGAAGCATCTGTCGGGAAGGGTGCTTTGAGGGAGCCATCTGGGCCTAGGAATCGTTGGAAGCGTCGGCGTACATCTGCCAGGTAGCCCTGGAGTTCACGGACGGAGTTTTTGAGATCTGAATATCGTTAGCTTAGCACATAGACAAAGTCGCCGGAAATTTGGAATCACCTTTGTCAGCCTTCTCTTTATCTTTATCCTCCCGGATGCTGCTCGTGTCGCTTCCCTCATCAGTCCTTCGAAGCAATGACCTGACCGAAGGTGCATAAAGAGATTGACCAATCGGCGCCGTTTCAGGTACTGCGGCCTCGGACGATCCATCACTCTGATCGCCATGACCGTTGCCGTTGCCGTTGCCGTTGATTTTCACCTCTGATCCATTTTGCTCCGGCACGGCTGACAGATTACCAGCAATCAAACGAGGATACAAGCGAATGACCGTCTCTGGCGGCGCGGCAACCTCAGTAAACAGATCCAACGAGTCACGATATTTCCGCAAAGCAAACAAGCTTTGGGCTTTCTCGAGCTGGGCATTGCGAAGTCGACCGGGTTTATCTTGCAGCAAGGCATCCTCCAGCATACCCAAGAGACTGATCGCCTCATCGAGATAGCCCTTCTCAACCAGGGAGTCGATCTGTGTATCATAGCTCAAAGCCTCCATGCGCCAGATAGTCCGATCACTCGCAACAAGGAATCCTTTGCCGGCATGCGCGAGGCTGATATTCGGCTGGGGGATATGCAGGATACTCGCCGATGGAAGCGGAATAGATTGCAACAACGAGAGAGTCTCCGGATTGCGCACCTCCAGCACTCCCTTCGCAGTATCATGTAGAGCGAGCAGGAACGGATAGGAATATCCAATCTCTACCGGCGCATGGCTCCAGGGAATCTGTCGTCGGCCCATCGCCTGTCCCTCCACGTCGATGAAATGGGTATTGATATCCTTGGCAAGCAGTATCTGGCCCTCGCGCAGCCTCGTAGCCAGCGGTCGCGGCACCATACCCCCCATACCAATGTAGCTCATACTCGCCGCGCCGACACCCGTAAACCGCCCAGTCTCTTCCATGCTTCCCGGACCCGGTAGCTCCGTAACTTGGCCCGACTCAATATCAGCCATAACAAAGCCCGAGCTCAGTCCCACAACCATCTTCGTCGCAGTGACCCAGGTCAAATTCTTGATCGCACTCGCCAGACTCAACTCCATAGTGTTCGGCTCCAGCTCCATATCGCGCCACACCCACATCAGAATCTTCCGCTTGACCGCAACCGCAACCCGCGAGACGATAGCGGGGACATTAGTATCCGGATCGTTCACGACGTTCGACGTAATCGCAAACGTAGAAGCGCCCTTTGTCGCCGCAAGCTGCTCCTGCAGCTCGTACGTCTGCGAATCGTGCAGACTAACATATCCACCGGACAACGAGACCAGAACCTTGGCCTCTTTCACGAGCGCAAGCTGCTCGATCTTGTACCGGGCGAATTTCTCTTGTTCCCGTAGCAGCTCGGTTTTGCCGTCGTCCGTTACGCGGTAGATGCGGAGGGTGCCGTTGTTCAGGCCGGCTAGGAGGCGGTCACCGTATGCGAGGACGGAGTCGATTTTAGATTTGTCGCGCGGCTTGAGCTCGACCAGCGGCCGCGCGGTGAATGCGGATAACATCGCGCGTGCCGGTGGGAAATATGGGCGCTCAATTCATGTCCCCGCGGACCGTTCTTGTGCTTGCCGTGTTGGGAATTGGGATTCGGGGAGGGGAGCTCTCCTGTCTGGTCCTCCATATGCCCGTGACGTCTTTGGATGAGTCAGCCGATGCCTCGGGCGGTGAGTGTGGGCAAGATCTGTGTGGGTTATCAGATGCTGCACTATGTGACACGTGCTGCTGGTCTAAGTCTTCCATTTTGATGGTGGGGTAATAAGTGACAATGAACGGATTCACAGTAAGGGATTTGTGGAAGGTCTGCAGTCTTGATGTCTGTGTACTTACCATGTCATATAGTTTGCTGGTGATCAAGTATTGACAAGCGCGGGAGATATACCTTTAGCATCAGATACTAGAGCTATTCCGCTCGCCTTAGCACAGTAATAGCTACGTTCCGTGAAACCCGGGTATATAGTTCATATCCGAAAAATGCCCACGATCATACATCTGCCACTTCAGATAGCGCTATTGATACTTTGTTACATCTACTATAATCTCAACACAATTGACTAGGAGATTTCATAATATTTGGTATCTGTGTCATCACGTATCGAAGCTTTAAAAGAAAGAGACACCTCATGCAATCCCGAACCCGACCCAGACCAGATGTCAGAAAAAACGCCATAAAAACCCCATGCTATGGAGGAGTGCCTTTGATCCGGGGCTCCCAGGCATCCCTCTCTTTCGACCCAAGAGAGAGACCTGTAAAAACAAGAAAAAGCAGCGTGACATCCGGTAAGAATAAAAAGCCAAAAACAAAAAAAAGGGGGACGACATCCGGTGAAACGGTCCAGGGGTTCATCTCATATCTTCAAGGGGACTGCTTTATCTCGGACCCAGCTCGCCTTTCAGTGAGAGACGGGCAGGCCGTGCGCACCCTCTGCGGGGAATTCCTGATGCTTCGCAGAGGAGCCCTTTCCACGCCAGGTCGAGACGGCCGGGATATCGGCCTTGAATCGCTGCTCCTCAGTACCGTAGGCACGCGGGGTCAGCTTGATGAGGGTGTGCAGGGGAACCTCCATCCATGGGGACTGCTCCTGCGGCACGTTCATGAAGTAGGCGTAGATGCAGCGCAGAACGGCCTGGTGGGTGACGATGATGACGTTCTCGCTGCGCTCCAGCTCCATGATGATGGGCTCCAGGCGGATGACCACGTCGCGGTACGACTCACCGCCACGGTAGCGGTAGTTGTACTTGTCTTCATCGCGGGCGGCAAAGTCCTCGGGGTACTTCTCGGCAATTTCCTCGTAGGTGAGGCCATCGCAGACACCCGAGTCTAGTTCGTCGAGGGCCTTCCACTCAAGCTTCTCGAAGCCGGTTTCTGCCTTGAGGTGGCGGGCGGTCTGGATGGTGCGTTTGAGGGTGGAGGTCCAGATGACGATCTTGGTGTTTGGGGGAACGCCGGACTTGCGGAGGAGCTCTGGCAGCTTGCGGGCATAGGCTTCACCGCGCTCGGAGATGTTGGAGTCACCGCCAATCTTGCCGGTCAGGTTGAACTCAGATTCACCGTGCTGTGGAGTCGTTGTTAGCTCTACATTCGTCACATTTCTTTCACATTCTGGCGAGAATCAACTCACTCGGGACAGCCAGATGGAACGAGGCTTGATGTGTAGGTTCTGAATGTAATACACCAAGCGGCTGGACAGGTAGTCCTTGATCTGATTGATGATGACGGTAGAACCCACGTTGATGAGCTTGACGTAGGTGTAGTCCTTCTCATCATCATCGATGGTCTGGTAGACCAACTCGTAGTTGCGGATGCGGTTGCGGAAGTCCAGGGCAGCCAGCTCCGGGTCCTGGCCCTTGTAGTCAGGAGAGGTAGTCTTGACCTCAAGGATGTTGGTCATGATCAACTCCTCATCATCACAGATGGACTCGACGAAGAGGGTCTCAATGTCGGCATCACGGCAGGATTCATAGATCCACTGGCGACGCTGCTTGGTGGAGTTGGTGGCATCCAGGATGGCCACTACGCCTTTTCCTTCGTGGAACCACTGCAGCATGTCAGACATGGCTCCTTCGACTGCGGCTCGGCGCATGCGCTCGCCCTCCTCGTTGTGCGGATCAAAGAAAGTTGCCGCGGGCTGAGGAGTGGCATTGCGGCGGTAGCTGCCCACGTTGAATACCTTGGCAGGGATGCCAACCCAGGCCAGATACCGCATAGCTGTTTAAATATTATTAGCATTTCTTTCCTGTCATTTTCGCCGCGGCGATTGTATAGTTCGGGCGGTGAAGGCGTCGGAGGAGAGACTCTGATAACGTACCCTTTCCGGCAATGAGGCTCTTACCGCGGGCCGGCAGGCCTACCATGACCACACAGATCTTGTAGTCATCGGACTGGCGATGAAATTTAGTTGCGAACATGATTTTATCGATTGATGTAGAGTTGCAAGAGGGATAGGATGGGATAGGGATATGGAACGGAGCTTTGGAGAAACGTGGAGGAGGGAAGAAAGGAGGTCAGGAAAACGACGAAGGAAAGGATCAAGTGCAAAGGATGAACTCGTCAATATCAACGTGTATCAAACGACACGACAACGTCCGAAATAGGCGGGTACTGCTGTCCAGAATAGGCGGGTACCGCTGTGTTCAAACGATGCGATGCGATGCCTGACGGACGGCCTAGCTTGGTCGTTGGTCCTCAAGCCATATAGATGATAAAAGTTGTATAGAGATCCGTGAGTTTTCCAAAGAAAAACCGTCTTCCAGATACATCATTTTTTTCAGAAATAGGCGCCGGCATACTCAAAGACACGGTGACGTCCCATGTGCAAGGTCATCTGCATCGACTAATAGCATAGCCCGACACCCGGCTTGATTGCTCGTATACATGCAGACCAGACGAAACCCCGGACATTGGGGTGCAAGCTAGCTAGTCTTGGGAAGTGCTAGTCTCCCGGTTTTGCCGGCCGCTACAAACCCTATCTGGCCGAAGGGGAAACGGGAAACAGGAACCGAGGCAAAATGTATGAGGGGCATGCAGGATCCCCGCGTTCGATCCTGGCGGTCGATCGTGGGGGAAATTGAGGGGAACTTTGGGGAGGATTGATAGGGCATGCAATAGGAAATGGAAATTCCAGACTTACACTAGCCATGAACACCTTGTGTTGCTGCTGGCTGCGAATGGCACTTTTCGTCGACATGGCGGGCGTTGATGGAGAGAGGAATTGCAAGATGCGTCGGGAAGATTAGGGAGCGTCAGAGCTGGGCTTCCGACCCGAAGCCGGAGGGGGGGAGAGGTAAAGGAAAGAAGACACTTGGGGGGGGAGGGATCAATTCCGCATGTAGACCGGACAAGGGGAATATGTACAATATTGAGAGGAAAAGATGTAATGGATAAGAAATGCAATGAGAAAAGAATTCAAGAATTCAAAATAGGAAATTTCTCACAAGGAAAAAAAAAAAAGAAATGCCTCAAATCGTGTTGGCAAAGAGGTGGTCAGGAGGGGGATCGTAATGCGGTGAGTCTGGATTTTGTCCGGTCTCCACACGTCATCCCGAGCCCGCGCTTTCGGCGTTGGTTAAAGAATGGAGTCATACCATACACTGCATGGACGATGGGGAAGGTTCAATAGTCTATGATATTAATTTTTCATCTCCAACCTATCTCGTATCACTCTTTTTGTATCATATGCCCTTTGTATATCATAAACTCCTGGTTTCCCTTCGAATGCCCGTTTCTATAATGATGCAAAAGTCTGCCCCCTCTATAGCGGTCTATCTTCAGCCTCCGCCGGAGACGAAGTGCCCTCGGGCTTATTGTTGGTCGTGCCACGGGCTCGCTGAATTCGCAGTGGGCCTCCCCAGGGCCCTTGCTGCCCGTTGAGAGTGTCCATGGCCCGTTGGGCTTCCTCGACACTGCTCAAGTCGACGAACAGATAGTAGTGGTCACCGGGCTCGAATCGCTTGGCGGGGTGTGGGGTGAACACCTTGCTAACATTCTCACTAAAACAGATGAAGAACGGGTCAGTAACGAAACGGACGGTATGATCAGATTGTCCGCAAAATCCAAACTTCTCCGAGCAACGTACACATTGTATCCCTGGAAGAAGGTCCTCATGTTGCTCTGCACGCTTTCGGGCTCGGTCAGCCGAGGCAGACCTCCCACGTACACCCGCTGGCTGGAATCGTGGTTGACTTTGGCAAAGCTGGTAGGGCTGTTGGTAGGGCTGCCCTCCGGGCGCTCGCGCCAGCGGCTCATGGCAAAGGGTGTCCGGGGTTGTTCTGCAGCACGCTCGGCAGACTTGGCCACTCCGGGCTTAATCTTGACCGGGCGGCCCAGCATATCGCGGCCATCCAATTCGACCATTGCCCGCTCCGCATGCTCCTTCGTCTGCAGATCGACGAAGCAGTAGGACGGGTTTCGGCCGGTGAATGGGTCAACGGCAATGTCGATGCGCTCGCTATCAAAAAAATTATGTCTCAGTCGACGCCATCACACATTTGTCTCGTTACGGGCCAGGCCCGGGCCCGGCCTGGGCTTTTTGGCTTGTTTTGTGTGGCATACATAGGGAACTCCGCCGCCGTGAAGAGCGCCTCCACATCCTCCGTCTTGGCCGTGTATGGCATATTGCCCACGTAGAGCCGACGGCCCTCGGAAATGGCCTGGGGTACATGGGGCCCCGGTCGTGCAAAGGCGGTTCGAGATGTGTTGGTGCGTGTCGAGGAGGGCGAGGCCTGCGGGCTGCTGTTCTCACTCTTCATGCGCCAATTGGCCGAGTTGAAGGCACGGCCATTGGTACGGACATTCTGGTAGGGAGACTGGGAGGCTTCTAAAAAAGAAGTATACCGGTTAGCAATGGTCTGAGAATCGTACTAGGCTGGGCTAGACGCACTCTGCTCCTCCGGGCTGACGATCTCGGTGTCGGCCATGGCGTATACTGTATAGAGTAACTTTTCTGGAAATCGTTAGTCTCCGGCTACTTCTCGCTATATCTTGCCCACTATTCACCAACACGCCAATTTTCAAGGATCGAATTGACTTACTGACTTTGGTCTCTTCGCAAAAAATCCAATCCCCACGCTGGGCACCCGCTGCACGTCTTCCACCACTTTTTTTGTTTGCGCGTGCAAACAGTGCAAAAAAGAAAAGCGGGCTGGGTCTCCACTACCAGCTGCGTTCCGCGTATTTTAGCGCGTCGACAGTTATTTTTTTTTTGCTTCCATTTCTTCTCTTACTCTAATTCTCTTGTCATCCAGAGGAGATGCAATATTCGACTATGGAAGACACTAATTGACGGTCCTCCGTGACCATGGGTAACTCCCGATCGGCTTTGGTCTGCCATTGGCCCCAGCCGTTGAGGGGGTTGTGTTCATCACGACCTCATCCGCGGTGGCTCGCAGCCACAGCTTCCTAGCATATTTTCCCCGTGCCTTGCCCCCCAGCTGTGCTTGCCGAGACTTCTCTAACGAAACTATCATATCGTTTCGAGATCTCCAGGCACATTCACCATGAGGCTATTTCTCATCCGCCACGCAGAATGCGAGCATAATGTGGGCAAAGCGACGTACGTGTGCGGACGAGAATGCACCTTCTTCACTTTTACCCTCTTTTCCCCCCCAAGAGCCCCTCGCTGACATTGAGTCTTGCAAGGGGCAACTCGGATAACCTGACAGGCGTCGGTAAAGACCAGGCCCTCCGGCTAGCGCGGTACTTTCGTGATCGGCGGGTGTCCTTCACGCGTGTACTTTCGTCGGATCTCGATCGTGCGACCGATACCGCTCGTATGATTTGCCAGTACCAATTGGGTAGTGGACCTGCCCTAGAACCCTTTCAGACAGCCAAGCTGCGCGAGCAATGTTTCGGATGTGGTCGGTCGTCTCGCGAAGTGACCCAGATCGAGTCGATGGCATCGATGCGAGCACGGATCAATGGTTTTCTACGGGACCATATATTGCCGGAGATGGCTAATCATGTTACTGGTGGCGATGCAGTCATTGCAATCGTCGGGCATGGGGTCATCTTGCAGGTTCTATGGGCGTGCTTGACCGAGATCTTTGGCTCACACTCGTTCCATCTGGCTCGGAATGCTGAGGCGCCGGGGCTTGATTATACGCATCCCTTCTGGTCAAATACGGGGATCATGGAGGTGGATATTCGTCCGGGTGGTCCTCCACCGGAGATGCTGCTCAGGAATATGATCCACCCGAATGTCGAGCCCCCGTGGCTGATGAGGTCGAAACCGCCTTTTCCGCCTGATGGCAGTGCACCGTTGATCGGATGGTCGGTGACGATCTTCACGGTTGATAGTACGGCTCATCTTGATGGTGATGCACTAGCACAGACCGTTCCCCCGGTCGTGCCGCAGTCGGGGCAACAGCCGATGGACCAGTTCTATCGGCTGACGGGGACTGTTTGAACTGGTAGGTTTTTACTTCTCTACCGTTCTTTCCTTCAATGATGAAGCATGTTTACACACAGACCTGTTCTGATTTCCAATGAGGACACACACTCAATATGCAATTGCTATCTGATGAAGATCTTGCCTTTTGATCCTGCTTGAGAGTTTTGTGGGTCGTTGCTAATGATCAATTCAGATTTTCAACGGGAATTTTGATTCGCAATCAACTCCACGTAAATGGACCTTTTGATTGGTAAGTCTTTTCGTTTTGCGCATGCCACCCGCCACTCCAATGACGAGATAAGATTTATACACAGACCTGTTCTGAATAAAGAATGAGGATAAAAAATCACTAGTTTTCTGATGGAGCTCCTACTCTCTTCTTTTTTGAGACTGCCGTGTGATCTTCGCTAACGATCGTCACAGTCCCATCCAAGCAGCTTCTCAGCTATAGTCAAAGATAGATATGAATCAAGATCCCTAAACTCAAAAGGCCTTTTCTCTCACTGCAAGCTCCTTTTCATTCAGTAAGCAATCCCCCAAGTCGAACCTTCTCGCCCGTAAACCCTACACATCCCCATAAACCCTCCACATCCCCATCCCCATCCCAAACAAACGCCCTCCCAGAAGTAAAAGCCCCATGTTCAAAGTAGATCGTACATTTCTCACCTCTGTATGCTTTCTCTGACTCTTCGATGTGCTCGCAAGGCAGCTTGATAAACTGTATTCGGTCCGAGGTATGTAGCTATAGAGTGGGATTACTCGGAATCGTTGTAGGATGTAGTCATTCAATTGTCTTTAAGCCACAGTTGATATTTAGTTCTTTTGAGGTTCTAACACGTTGCTTCGCAGTAATGCCCTAAACTACTGAAACACGTATTCAGATGCTATGCTCGCAGGCGAATCGTCTAATTCTAGATTTTTACCCTTCCAGTATAGCTCCATCCCAATTGAACAACTCCCATTGTACAATAGACTTCCAGCATCATCCATCTCGTCACCCCTGAAGTGTTCGTCAGAATTCATCACGTTGGCAACCCACGACAGTAACCCGCCTACTCCAGCCGAGACTTGCCCGCCGCCTTACTGGCGGCGAGGGCACCGGCCAGGCCAAATTGAGAGGAGAGGCCGTTAATACGATGAGTCGAGTTAAGGTTCTTGACTACGACCATCTGGTAACAGGTGGCCATGCCTTCGCGGGAGGCAATAACGGACCAGGCGAGGAACAGCTCCCAGATCTAGGGCATGTTAGAATCCATGGAGAAGTACTATGGTAGACCACGGAGAAGACTCACTCTGTACCATCTGGGACCGTATTTGGCCTTGATCGCTTCCACATTTCCAATCCAGTTACGGTACCATCTCCAGAGGGTGCCGGAGTAGTGAACACCAACGGTATCAATACTGGGCCATTTATTAGCGATCGCACGTGGGAGAACAGTCCTCGAATCCCGAGTGGGACTTACCTCTTGAGTTCGAATCCAGCTTGTTCCAGGCACTTAACATAGTACCAGAGAGGAGTTGAAGCGTCCGCACCACGGAAGATGTACTTGTTCAAATACAGACCCCAGATGAAATCCTCGTACTGCCATGCCTGGCGCAAACCCGAAAGCTGGACATACATAGCACCATCGTCATTGAGCATATCATAGCATTGGCGGAAGAACCTGGTAAGTTTCCGGATACCGACGTGCTCGCCCATTTCCAGCTGCGTGATTTTGTCATATTTGGTCCGTGGAATATCGCGGTAGTCGAGGCAGAGAATGCGACTCTGTTGTTCGGAAATCCCAGCCTTGCGGAGAGCGTCATTGCCCCAAGCGGTTTGGTTCTCCGCAATAGTAAGTCCGGTAACCTTGGCGCCGTAGTTGAGACTGGCGAATTTGGCGAGAGTTCCCCAACCGCAACCGATATCTAGCATTGTCTCGCCTTCCTTGAGACCAATCTTCTCGCAGACGATGGCCATCTTGTTATCTTGCATTTCTTCGAGAGTCTCTTCCTTTGCCGGGTCTGAGATGATTCCGGAGGTATAGATCATGCGAGGACCGAGGAACCAGGCATAGTGGTCATTACCGCGATCGTAGTTGGGACGAATCTGTTCCTCATCTTGGGCTTTAGTGTGGAAGATGACATCCTTGAAGAAGGTGAAAACGATGAACTTGAAGAGGTCCAAGGTAAAAGAGAAGGTCGCCCAGTCGTGACGGTATTCCATGACCTCGAGTGCGTCGCCGTTGAAATCCACCAAGCCGTCCAGATACATTTCTGCAAACGTTTGCAGGGGAACTTTGTTCCTTCCGTGCCATTTTGCTTTATCCTCTTCGCGCTTGAAGGTCAAGTAGTATTCAATGGGTCGCCCGGGAAGCTTGACCTTCTCGTTGGTGCGGGGGCTGGAGCTTGATTTCCAGGCCCAGAATGCAACCAAGAGAGGAAGGAAGAGGAGGATGAGGAAGAAGAAAAATGTCTTCTTTCCTCCATTGAGCAGGTAGGTTAGGATTGTGGGGACTCCGATCAGGATGCCGCCTAGGAGGAGGTTTGAAAAGCTCTCATTTCCAGGACCGTCGGCTGGCAGCGGGGCATTGTGAATGGCTGGGAACTTTGGAGGGATTAGCCAGCTCGAATAAAGGAAAGGGGGTCAAGGGCAAGGACCGACGTTGGTTAATGCAATTCCACAGTCTTCTCCGGTCTGGAGTTTCGCAGGGGTGGCTGCTGGAGTCTTAATGAAGTCGATGTCGCTAGACAGCTCGACCTCCTTGACTCCTTTGGCACTCATTGTCAAATGATTCCCTATGTGCACAATTGAGGACAGGGAAGTAGGGACCTTGTAGTATTGAGTGGCAGCTTCCTAACCACCATGCAAAAAAGGGAGAGATGGGAAGACGGGAGGGGAAAGGGACACCGTGTTCGAGAGAGGCGGGAAAGAAAGGCGTTTCCACAGTACGTGGTAATAATATTATGAGCTCCAGAGGATCATCACTCGGGCCCACTTGACCTCTTGGCGCCGCTGTAACCTGGTCCCTGCAGCGATAAAGGTCTTATCTAAAGCCGCGCTTATCGATAGTTTGACGCCTAGAATCGGAGACTTGTCGGCAGAGGGGTATGCTATGATCGTGCAATAATGTAGAAAGGCGTTTCGACTTTGAAGTGTTCTTTGATTTATACCCTATATTCTTTGCCATTAAAATAATACCTCAAAGACATTCGTCTCTCTAATGTGGCAGTCAAACGGGCACAGATTCAAACACATGCTTCTACGAAGGAACCTTTACCTGGTCCATTGAATAGAGTACTGTCTTTAGGTTCGCTTCCACCAATGGCTTAGCACAAAGGCTGTGATTGTCTTAAACTCTTCACCACTCTCATGCGTTAGTACTAACTTGATCTGGGGGGAAATGCTGCCATCCACGAGCAAGTCGTCATTTGATCCCACACCTTCGATACAATAGCCACCAGCACGTGTCAACTTTAGGGCGAAAGCAGCTTGATTTTATCGCCGAATTTGATGTGTCCAATCATGGTACTTGGCTCTTGCTTAGTGAGAGAAGAGCAATGTGAGGAAATTACAGGCATCTTGAGCGATAGTCATCTGCTGAGGAGAAACACGGGCCAAGATAGTGTTCTGCTACGATTGCTCTGGGAGATCATGATGAAACCAAGTTTGGGCCTGTGGTCTAGGGCTATTGATAATAAGACCCGGGACTGAATGATGGTATTATACGAATATTAAAGAAACAAAGAAAGATTTAAAACAGCTGAATAAGATCCTAGCAGCGGTAGTTTATAGCAACGTATTTTTTCTCGTCAATCACTACGATTTTCAATTATAATGCCTGCGTTCAGAGCAAGTGCTAAGTTCTGATTCCTCTAGCTACATACTCTGGCCAATCGTACTCTGTAATCACCGAGCATTTTCATAAGTTACAAAGTAATTTCGGGACTCCCAACCCTTCTCCTTCTAGATAAGAAGCTACGACCCATCATCTAGCATAGGCCTCCTTGGCTTTTATAGTTCCCCGAATAGTAAGGCGGCGCTAAAGACCCAATAATCGCGGTAATCGATAAGAGACAAGGGCTTTGCACTAACAGTAGTTCCATGCTCTACGGATGTTCTATGTGGGCCATCGGTGCCCGCGGACTCCGTGAATGTGATTGTGCATGTCCCAGCCAGGTCCACACCCCCATCTTCAAGTTTCAGTCTTCGTATTATAGGCCTTTCATTGGCCCTCTTGAATCTTTTTGGGCAAGGGGCTTACTTGGGCAATAAGCGTTCTATTCTAAGAATTCACGACTGTCTTATAGGATGAATTGTGCATTTCAATGAAGGTGTCGAGGCTGAAGAGAGAAATGGATAAGGACACGAGTCTGTTGTGTCTCCGAGTTGGCCCCGGCACCAGAAGTGATTTCTTGGAACGGTGAGGACTGCACCTTTTTCCCCTTTCGGCACTTTGCTGGCGGGGAATGCGTATTACGAAATCCTAGTTCGCAATTTTTACAAGTGGCCCGATTGCAGGGGATCTGCTTGAAGATACCAGAGGAACGAGTCACTCACCCTTGCAGTGATTTCCCGCCATCTCCTTAATTCTGGCCGCTGTTCTGGTTATGGCAACTCGGTTGTGGGTTTCTTGGGCTGTTTTTGCCGAACCAGCCAGATACCAGACACAGGTTGAGTGCGGTGGTTGTTCGAGGCATTTGATAGCGCACAATTACATTGACCGGTATACTGAATATATGCTTTCTACCAATACAGACTGGGCTTGCCAAACATTGGCAATGTGTAAAAAACAGTTTGTGCTTACAAGTTACGCTTTCCTAACTTCCGTCGACGTCTCAGGCACTTTGATCGTCCTCATCTTGTACTTTTTGGTAATGCATGGACCAAATTTCTTCCCCGTGGCGACAAATTGAGGCTTGCTGGAGGGAACTATCCAATGTTGATTCCTTTCCTTGTGATTCGATGATGGGCTTTGTTTAACCAATAGTTTCCAGTCAAGATTTCCCCTCAGGTCACTTTTCTCGCCGGCTTCATCTACAGTTCGATCATGATCTCAATCCCTGCTGGTAATCGGGCTCTCCTTGTTGACTGGTACCCCGTGGCCGAGGAGGGATAGCATCGACAAGCTCGCAAGTAGTGTTGAGCAAGGATTGATTGGACTAATGAGGCCCCTTGAACTCAGTGGGCAGTTCACATATCATTCTTGAATAGTCAAGAGGGGTTTTCATAGGATAGGTGCATTGATTCATTTTTAAGCTTCAAGGCTAACAATATTGTCCATGCAGAGCCAGTCTGCATCCCAGCGCCTAGATCCGGAGCAAATTTGTATTCACATTATCCCGGCATATTATCGACGTATTCAAAAAATCAATTGCTCGGATGGTTGACATCGAATGTTGGATGCCATACTGGTGCTACTGGTGACCGTGGGCCTGTACCGTTTCGCTCTTCTATGCCAGTTTAGGGTTAGCTGAGAATCAGTCTCAACTTCAAGGATCAGAAACCTTTCTGTACTTCCCAGAATGTGGAAACACAATTTCATATGCTCGAAAGGCATACGGCTCCCTTCGCAGCAGAGGCGTTCTGTGTTTACTTGTCCAACCCCTGACACTACCCAGTGGGTTCCAGTTCCATCCGGGAATTGCACGCTCCTCTTCCAACTGCAAAATATGACTGACTTGTTGGTTTGCAGGGCTGACTGCTAGTGGATCGTGGAGGAGGTCCCCTTCCCGTCTGTATTCTTCCCGCAGAGCGGATACTTCTTTCTCCACTGCTGTTTGTGTAGGGTCGTACGGTGATTTGTGACGTGCTACTTCGTCGTCGGTGCCAGATTGGCATGTCTCTGCTCTGTCTGGTCGGAGTATTTGGCGGTCGAGGATGGCCATTGCATCGATTTGGCTCGCTGTGGTCAGATTACTGTACAGGTAGTGCATGTCTTTATTGGCTTTCAGATAGCAGATGGGTCTGATTGACACAGCCCGCCTGTTGACAATGCGCATCATTTTGAAGAGTTGTGGTTGAGACTTGGAGGTAGCATGAATCGTATGATTGCTGAGGGATTGGAGCTTCCTGGGGGATTTGAGAGGGTTTTTGGCGTCTGGCGATACTGGCGAATTAAAAACTTATAGAGAAGAGAATGACATCATTATTTTTGGAAGTATCACGTGTACTACATACGAAGTTAGATTCAATTAGCTATAAGGTTTATTACATATGACAGCTCCAACTCTCGTCGGAGCTTGTACATCTTGTCCTCCGTGATTGTCATATTATGCGGAAGTAGCGGTACTCATTACAGCATCCCTAGCTGAACAGCCGAGTGATTTACGCGAAACGGCATTTCAAGATGCGAAATTTTGACAGATATTAGGAAAATGATATTCAACTTCACCAAAGTAATCACCGTAATTAGGATAACCTTGCAGAGGACCGGTTAATCCTCGGGTTGAGTGAATTTTAGTTCACCCTCAACATTGGCAATGTGAGAAGCAAGGTCCACCTTGTCTTGAACATAATGCCCGGATGAATCCAGAAGCTCCGAGTGAAGCACTGGTTTTCGATCTGGTCCTTCAGTGCTAAACGTAACGTTCTTCGCATTCTTGCTGAAGTTCGTTCCGCCCCATTCGAAGTGGCCTATACGGAGGAGACAATGTTAAGTTCGCGATCGAATCAATGTCATTGAGTATCACCCTACCATCCTTATTGCCTAAGCATTGGTCAAGAAGAAGATCACCGGTGATCCCGGAGCCCTCGTCGTTGTTGCATATTGCTACTAGATGGGTGCCGCCATCATGAATGGACAGGTGAATATCGCATGCGGTTTCATTGAACGCCATGACGATGACTCTGAATCGAAAAAAAGCTAGACGTGAATTCTACGAGAGGAAGTGAGGGGTCATGTTCATTTTAAGACCGAGGTGGCAAATTGATTGTTTTGTCTTTAGGGGAATTGTGACAGCAAGTACCCTGGCTCTGGGTACTCTGGTATATGGTTAAAGTATCATCCACCAACTGATGACGCAATGTTACCCGCGAGCTCTCAACACTTACTCATCCACCAAACAAATGATTCTAATTTTCGAATCTTGACGGAAAGTCAATGGAATGAGGTCGTTCTTTACCACAAGTTTGAGGCAGAGTGGATTGACAACGGATGGTGGACAGGAAAACTGATTTTCCGGGTCCTCCACTACAGGCTTGGTACAACAGAACTCATATTGCCTGATCACTCAGGCAAACATATTGGTGTTTACCAGTGATGGCGACAGGTCTGGACTAGAGTTGAGTATCGAGCTACGAGATTTAATCGAAATATGATATATCACAGCTTTGGTTGATTGGGTGAGTGTCTCACCGGGAGGGTGCAAAGGTGCTTGAGTCAGCAGTGGTGGGTGACTGGACCCGGCCGTGCTTAATATATATCTTGAACAATATGTACAATAGCCCGGAATCAAATTACCTGGAATAGAAATAATCCCGCCAAATGTACCTAAATAGTTTACGGACATCAATACCAGAGTGAACTCTTTCTGATGCAGTTCATATTTTTTCTTTATTGGAAAAAATCTGCGATCGCCTAGTCACACGCGTGGAGGCTCGCTGTCTCCCTCGACGGAAATAGTGTTAAGTGATTACATCTGTAAACCCGACTTTTAGGTAGTGGAAAAAAATTCGCAAAAAGATAGCAAACCCTGGTTTCGATCCAGGTACCTTCGGGTTATGAGCCCGACGCGCTTCCTATGCGCCAGCTTGCTTGTTGTTGAAAAATCGTGGACATTTTGGCATTATGATGGGTCTGAGGACTCCAGTTGTGAGTCATACTGGAGTCGAAAGCCGCGCTACACCCCTTTCGGACTAGCGTCACAACACGTCCTTTCCTACCGAGGTTAGACCGTGAATGATTTCTAGAACCCAGAATCGCTAATAACTAATCTGAATACCGAGACAACCATATTTCTGGTGATATAATACTATTGGAAGAATCTGGTAGGTGAGTGGAAAATATTCAGCGGTCGTATGTGAGCCTTGGTGGGCACATTACATGCCGAGGACGTGATAGGCCCGATCTGCAAAGTACTCAACTCGAATAGGCTCGCGGATCTGGGTGTCGATATTTGAGATTGTCTGCAAATCGATTAGGGTGAGATCGGTTTTGTATACGTCGTCGCGATCGATCTAATTGACTTTGGGCTTGCTGTTCAACGTTTACAAGTTTGTATGATTTTCTAAAAGAAAACTTGCTTGTTGTATGGCCGGTGGGGACTTTCATGCATCAATAGAAATGCACTCCTTGCATTTATCGACGTTGTGTCACCGAAGATCATCATGATGTTGCTCTTAAGACCGGCATACTCGCACGGCCGTGCTAATCAAGTTTCATTCCTCAGTACTGCTACATTTCTCCCTTAAAGTTATCGCCGCTGTTCTACACTGATCTACCATACATCATGATCGCCCGTAATTTCTTCATCGCGACAGCCTTGTCGTGTACTACATTTGCGCTCGCCGATGTCAAGGTAAAAATCTCAAGACGGGGAATAGCGTAGAGAGCAGAGTGCTGATACTATTTTCTCAACAGCTCGCCATTCTCTTTTCACAGGAGTCATGCAAAGGCAAATCACTTGACATCAAGGCCGACAATGGATGTGTCCTGCTTCCTCTTGACCTGTATGATGATTCGAGCAAAATTTTCTCTAAGATTACTGGCTGACATAAGAACCCAAAAATAGGAGGAAGAACATCAATGGCGCTGACTTGCCGACGGACGTGGTATGCAACTTCTTCACGTAAGTTCTCGGCATATTGATAGCGAATCTGAAAATCTTACTGACCGTTCCGTGAAGCGATGAAAAGTGTGACAAACCCTTATATATCGGGATGGAGGACCCTGGTACTTGCTTCTTCAGCGATCCCGACGTGGACATTGCAAACAAAACTGTGAGCGTTCAATGCTACGATAGTAACTCGATTTACGATCAGCGAGAGGCCCTTTGACTGGCTAGTCGAGGAATAGTCCACCAATGAATGCGAATCTCCCTCTTTCCTGGCACGATCTTTCCAGCATTTTATATCTATACGTTTGGAACACTAAATCCCAAACAGTCCATGCCCGTGGCTACATCAATAGGTTTCTTAGAGATAATTTAAATCAGTATTTTACTCTCCCACCTAGTTGATAAGGCTTTCTATTCTAGACGCCGAGTGAGGTGCCAGAGTTTAGTAAGGAGAAGTCTGAAGTTATCACTTGGTGGCTCATAACCACTAGTGGTAGTCAATTCATATCTAAAAAGGAGATACCTGAGGACCGAAGTAATCATCCTCGTGCTGGCAGAGATTCTTTCGAATAGCCGTGAGGTTAACGACGAGCTAAAGCTCTCTGAATTCGGAAGCTCATCTTCTTTCAAGACTTCACCATCTCAGAGGAAGCCGAGATGGTGAAAATCATGAAAGGGCAACAAGACATTCCCAAGACTTAGAGACAGTAAGTACAAGTGAATTGTTGGGACTGTAGTACCCACTCAAGTCTCCCTTTACGAATGTTACAGGAAGAATAATGAGGAGTTGGAGGGCAAGAAGAGCAAGGATTAACGGTAGCCGTGGTGTGTATTTTAATAGTTACTCTCGATGAAGCATACTGATGCACGTGGAAATTCACTTCCCCTTTGATTTTGACCACCAAACAGCGACTGATAAGGGTCAACGTGGTGCTAAGCTGTCACAAATGGGGAGTCAATAGTTCCCTTAGTCAATCTTGGTCAATATTTAGATGCCCTCGGTACTCAATCAGCCATCGAAAACAACGTCCGTCGTGGAATGCCAATCGGTTCCACCCAGCAAGATCTGAAAGTTTCACACTCGGCAGCAATGACATAGTATTCTTCCCAGTCGAAGGGTCGTGGCTGACTGATCTGCTTGCCCTTGTACCAGTAGGTCACCAACCTCTCATCTGCGTAAACGTCTATCTGGCGGCCCTCATAAGCTGTAATGATGGCTTCCAAATTAGGAAGCATCTTCCTCGGGTCCCCTCGCTCAGCAAGTATTGCCTTTTTTTGCTTAAGGTTTTCAATCCGTAGAATGGCTTGCCACTTGAGACCGGGGTACTTGGCTTTCAGATCTCTAAGAGGTGACATATTAACAGACCAAGAACAGCAATGTTCTGTAAGTCAAAAAAACTTGGACCTACCTGTCCTCCGCAAGCTGCTTCTTATAACGGGCAAGACTTTCGCGAGCATGGTCCAGCACGTTGTTCTCGCCCATTCGCTTGGGGTTTCTCTCGATTTGGCCTTCATGATTCCTACAGAGGCAAGTTAGCGGCTCTCAATAACAATTAGTTGATTCATATTATACCTCATATCTCCGTCCTGATTAGCTGTGGTCCAACGTGGAGGGTATGGTTCCCCGGTTTCATGCCAAATTTGCGGCCATCGTAACTGTGGTCCTTGGAGGGACTGGAATACTCCGACGTAGGAGGCATCTAGGTCAAGACTTGACATGCTGAGGGGTTGCTTGACCTCCATATCGAGCTCTGGCTCAGACTGTGCAGCTTCAGCCGGCTTCTTTCCTATGGCTGCACTCTGCATGTTCGCAGCTAGAGTGGGCTTTGGAGCCGGTTTCTTCCTAGCGGGGGCCATCTTCCCAGCGGGGGCCATCTTCCTAGCGGGGGCCATGTTGAAGTGATTTCCCTCAATTTGACGGAAAAAGAAATCCAAGAAGGAATCCCAGGGGTTAAATTTCGGCCACGGAAAGGAAAAGCTGAGTTGGAGTTGCTGGTGGGAAGAGGGATGAAGGAGATTAATGAGTTCAAGGAAGCGTGCGAGATGGAGAGAAGTGGAAGTCCCCGTCTGGTACAGAACAAAGGTAGGTTGAGCAACAATATGAAGGAAGTTTCCGTTAACCTAGCAGATTGTTTTTTCATAAATGTCTAGGGGGGAATTTACCTGCTTTCCTATTTCACTTGAATAATTACTAATTACGGTTCGCCAAGAAAGACCAGTAGACTAATTCAATAAGTGATTATGCTATCTTGTGTCAATATACAGTCTGTTTGTCGGATATACGAGAGAATTTGACTATACCATTCATGAGACGATATTGAAGTCAGACATGGAGTTCCTAGGAAGTAGAGCTAGGCGGTACGACCAACAAGAGTAGAGGGAGCCCGGTTAATCGCTCGTTTTGGTGCAAGCACCGTCATACGCTCTCTACTTCAAGGAGACAGCAACATTTACGTAAAAAAACCTCATCACTGCACCCTCCAGAGTTGTCCCTCCAGAGTTATCCATATCCTTGGAAATCTGGGAACGAGGGACGTAAGCAGATTTCACTTGAGGTTCTATTAGACTTCAAAATGGATAAAGTGGGCCCGCCCGAAGTCGAAACCCACGGGCCGCCACGTTCCTTTCCTCTCCTTTATCATGCAACATGTACCTCTCAAACCTGCCCAGCGAACTGATATGCTTGATTTCTGAATTTCTCGATGATGAATTCTCTATCAATGCGCTTCTGTTGACATGCAAAAGGTTCCACCTCTTGCTCAATGACGCGCTCTACGATCACAATGTCCGTTGCTCACACGCGTCTGCCCTTGAATGGGCGGTAACACATGGCTATGAAAATACTGTGCGCTTAGCATTGAAATCCGGGGCCTCAATATTTGCCGGCCGCTATCAAGCTTTGAAGCTTATGGATCTTGCCTGCATACATGGACAAGACTCTATTGTGCGTCTGCTGATCAAGCATGGAGTAGAACCTGGTATTGTTGGCGGCTGGATTAGCCAGGAAGAAGTAGAAGATGAAGAAGAAAACCAGGAACAGGAAGAGAATGAAAGAGAGGGAGAGGAATGGGAAGGGGAAGACGATGACGAAGATCAAGACCCGCCATTCTTTATCGGAGGAGACGAGGATCTTGGATATCCTCTAGCTATGGTGGCTCTTCGTGGTCACGAGGCCGTAATTAAGACATTGCTAGCCCACGGAGTTTCGGTGGCTGCTCCTATGATGGAACAAGGTGAGACACCCCTTTGGCTTGCTGCAAGCAGGGGCCATCTCTCTATCGTGAAACTCCTAGCAGAGAGTGGTTGTGAGATCGATACTTTAGACCGTCGAGGGTTAACACCCCTTCACGAAGCTGCTCAGAAGGGTTGTACCGACGTCGTTCGGTAATTGTTTCCAAATGGGCGCCAACCGTGACGGTTTCTGGTTAAATAGCTCTACACCTCTGTGTAGTGCCGCATCAGGAACGCATGTGGATATCGTTGAATTGCTACTAGAGGCGGACAACCTGACCATCCTACCTCTAGCTCTGGCTGTGGAAGCTGGACACCAAGCCGTGGTTGAGAAACTGCGCATAGCCATGGATCTGAACAGTATGATCACTGCTGGTGATCCTAATGACGAAGCACACCGGATTCTTTTGCTAGTATCCGCTGCCTATGGCTGGGAGGAAACATTGAAATTACTCCTTAAGCGAGGCTGCTACAGAAAGTGGAATTTGCTGTCCCGATTTTTGAAAGTATAAAACACAAAGACCCAGGACAATATCCGTTCAATGAGAGACCGACAGCCTTAGCATTGGCCGCCCAAGGGGGTCATCTGCCAGTTGTCGAACTCTTACTCAAGAATGGGGCCTGGTTTGACATAAAGCAACCATGTTCCGATGATGGCATTCCCCTTGTTTTGGCAGTTTCAGCCGGTCATAAAGATGTCGTGCGCACCCTTCTCGATCATGGAGCAGATCCAAACTACAAAGTTCCCGATGGGCACGCAGTCATATTCAGCGCAATACGACATCCGGAAATTTTGGAAATGCTGCTCGATCGGGGCGCTGATCCGCGTGTTCCAGCGAGACAAGCCCATTGGAATCTCGTTTCCAGGGTACTAAGGTCTTGAAATCTTCACACTTCGGAGACACTGTTACAGCGCGGTGTCCATTTGCGAGTTCCGCATACTGATGGATTTCATACCGTGTTGACCGATGCCGCGGTAGGGGGCCATGCGATGGTCGATTATGTCTTGGCCAAAGGTTACCACGCTGAGCCTGATAGTCCTGAAGTCGGAAGTGCTTTATATACCGCCGTGACCCACGCGGACGTGGCATTGGTGGATGTTCTCATTGAAAAAGGTCTTGTGAAGAATTTATGCACAATCCAGGAACCCATGTATCCCATGGATCCCCAGGATGAGCCAGTCGATAGAAGCATTCTTGGGAAAGTCACTTCACCAACTGGAGATGTTGATGCGGTCGCTGCTACAATGGACTCTTTGCTACGACATGACATCAAGATGAACTCTGGGAATCGATCTGCCTGTCTGGACTCGTTCGGCGAGGGCGAATACAAACCTTCGGTATCAGAACCCAACTTCCAACTCTTGCTTGATCGAGGCGCAGATCCGTTCTGCGACGGAGGACCAGATCAAGTCGTGGAACTTCTAAGCCTATTGGCTACAGAGGGTGCCAAGCCAGAGCTGCAGCTTATTCTCAAACGGCTCAATGAATCTAGTATATCGTTCGAGGAGATTGAACGAATTGTGGCTCGGGTGCAGCGTCGCTGGAACGAGGACGATGATCTGGACCTTTTGCCGCTTCTCCATCGTGCTTGCTGCCGGAAGAAGTATCGGGAAATCATGCCAGTATCGTGGTATGCGTAGATTACAAATATGCACATCAGAAATAACAGCTGGATTCTCAGTGTCGGTGGTGTTTCCCAGAGGCAATCTAGGATGGATCATACTTTGGAATCGTAAATGAAATTTTGAAAAAGGGCTTTTAATTCCTGGTGGTACGGCTCTAAGTCATCGATTGGGTCTACAATTGAATTACCTAGCATCTTTAGAATGGACGCGGGAGGGCATTTTCAATCTAATCTGGCTCTGAAAAAGCACTGAAGACAACCGGAAAACACTGGACTCGCTCCATTCCACGAGTGCTTGCGTGATCAATTCAGCTTGGTAAGCCTACCCCCATGTAGTCTCTCTTATCACAGACATTGATCTGTTGGATGAGTAACATTATAGAACGAATAATTCTACTTCATATCCCGTATTCAACGTCATTCATCGTGAGTCACAGTGGTTTGTTGAATTCGCATGTGATAGGCGCCAGTCCCGTATAGTTCTAGCTTCCGACCGCGCATTTCCCCATATTTGGTTGAGACTAACAATTGCTCAACAAGATATATTGAGCTAGAAATAAGACAGAAGGGAATATAGATTGCATGTGATAGTGATCTATACGATCCCAACAATTATCGTCTATACACGTTCTGGGATGACGTTGATTGAATTTAAGGAGTAGGCCGGCGAAATGTAAGCGGGGACTCTTATCTCTTATCAACAGAGCCTCGATCTACGATCTGCCATTTGCATGGGAAGCTCTGCACGAACTTGTTGTAGAGATAAGGTGGTACTTTATGAGAAAGAAGTTTGGGATAAAGTTTAAATCCTTATCGGCTTTGAATTCTTTCATTATGACTCTTATAGAAAATGCCAAGATCGGTCCTTGCATACTCCACAGTTTCTTACAAAATCCGGCCGAATCTGGTCGACCGATCGGGTTTAGCGTCCAACGTGCTTTTCTCTCACCGCCTTTCATTTTCTCTTTTTTTTTTGCCCGCCGCCAATTTTGATCTTTCCCTCCCCCTCCACCAACTGCATTGCAGCCTGGTCGGGAGCTCACGTCAAAATGAAGTACGTTCTGGTCTCCGGTGGTAAGTTTTGACTGTCCTGTCGAGTTTTGATTCTGTGAAATATGAGCTAATTGAAGTTCCGGCTTTTAGGTGTCATCTCTGGTGTTGGCAAGGGCATTATTGCCTCGAGCACCGGATTGCTCCTCAAATCCGCTGGTCTCACGGTCACTAGCATCAAGGTTCGTGAACGACACTCCGTTTGATCCGATCGACAGTGTTACTCGAGATATCCGATCACCCCAATTATACACAATCCTTGCTAAATCGCCGTGTACAGTGTGACCCTTATATCAACATCGATGCTGGTACTATGTCGCCAATCGAGTCAGTTTTTGCGCGCCCCGAGTATCCAGACCCAAATACTGATTGATCAGGCACGGAGAGGTTTATGTGACGGATGATGGTGGTGAGATGGATCTGGATCTCGGCAACTATGAGCGCTACCTTTTGACCACGCTCACTCGTGATCACAACATTACTGTGAGTCACCACGAACCGACACTGGAGGGATGCTCCTATTTTCAGGAAAGCGTGGCTAATTGATTGGATTCATATATAGACCGGCAAGATCTACCAGCAAGTGATCGAGCGCGAGCGTGTTGGTCGCTACCTTGGCAAGACCGTTCAGGTCGTGCCTCACATTACCAACGCCATCCAGGACTGGATTGAGCGCGTTGCCAAGATCCCCGTTGACGAGTCCGGCCGGGAGCCCGATGTCTGTATTATTGAGCTGGGTGGTACCGTTGGAGACATTGAGAGTGCGCCCTTCATTCACGCCATCAGCCAGCTCCAACGCCGGGCTGGCAAGGGCAACTTTGCTCAGATCCACGTGTCTTACGTTCCCGTCATTCATGACGAGCAGAAGACCAAGCCCACTCAGAGGGCAATTAGCGATGTTCGTAGCGCGGGCCTGAATCCGGACCTGATCGCTTGTCGCTGCGAGCTGCCGCTGGAGGATGGCACCGTCCAGAAGATCGCCAACATGTGCTCCATGGATACCAAGCAGGTTATTGCCGTGCACAACGTCTCGACTACCTACCACGTGCCTCTGCTTCTTGAGAAACAGAAGCTTATTGGCACTCTTGGAGAGCTGCTGGATCTCCCGTCTATCAAGCGGGATCCCCAAATTGTCGAGTCGGGCAAGCTGATGTGGAAGGACTGGGTTGATCTTGCCCGCGGTCAGGACTACCCCCACGATACCGTGTCCATCGCCCTCGTGGGCAAGTACACTGCTCTCAAGGACGCGTACATCAGCGTGTCTAAGGCTTTGGAGCACGCAGCCATGTACTGTCATAAGAAGCTGGAGTTGATCTGGGTTGATGCAGGCCATCTGGAAGATGAGGCCTTTGAGAGCAACCCGGCCGAGTTCCACAAGGCTTGGCACGCCGTTTGCACTGCTGACGGTCTGCTGGTTCCTGGTGGTTTCGGTACCCGTAACACCACCGGTATGATCAAGGCGATTACCTGGGCGCGTACGAAGAAGCGCCCCTTCCTGGGTGTCTGCCTGGGTATGCAGCTTGCTGTTATCGAGTTTGCTCGCAACGTGATGAACATTGATGACTGCGGAAGTGAGGAGCTTCACCCTGAGGCTAAGAACCACGCCATCATTTACATGCCGGAGGTACGTCTTCGCTGTCGAATTGATCCTAGAAGGTCTTGGACTAACGATATTGTACAGGTTGATAAAGATAAGATGGGTGGAACCATGCGTCTTGGAAAGCACGCATCCATCTTCCAAGATGGCACCGAGTGGTCTCGCCTGCGGGCCCTGTACGGCCCCAGTGTCTCCCAGATCTCAGAGCGCCACCGTCACCGTTACGAAGTCAACCCTGAGATGGTTGAGAACATTGAGAAGGCTGGTCTGACCTTCGTCGGCAAGGACGACAAGGGCGAGCGTATGGAGGTTGTTGAGATCCGCGATCACCCCTGGTTTGTGGGTGTGCAATTCCACCCCGAATACCTCAGCCGAGTCCTGGCACCTAGCCGTGCCTTCCTGGGCTTCTTCGCTGCTGCTGCTGGTTGCCTCGACGAGGTGACCGAGTCTATTAACAAGGGTCTGCGGAGTATCCCGAACAAGCAGCAATAAGCGAGGGATAGAGCGGAGTCGATGAGGCGAAACGAGACGGATGGGAGGTCAGTCGTTTGGGGAAGCCCGGACCAGACCACCGTAAATCTGCATGCATGTTTTACAATTTAACCAATCATGATTATCACATGGGCTAGAAATTAGATAACGTGGTGATACTACCACAAGGACCAAAAATAGAAGAATAATATTATAACACAAACCTCTCCATCCACGTGAACACCTCGTAGGCTGATAGCCACCGCGGGAAAATACTAACATCGCGACAAGCCGGAGATTTCCCATTACTCACGGAGTTTCATTCGGCCAAGCGGCTTGCTGCCTGGGGTAAGAATGTATTATTGCAAGGCTATCATAGGCTAAACTTAATCGAAGTTTACTGTCACGTCCACGGAGACGCTCGAATGTTGACATGATCGAGATCAGCCTCAATTGCTCAATACATGTCCAACGCCTACTTAGACAGACTCGAAAGAGTACACGCACTGATCAGCCATACAAAGCGTTTTCTCGACTGGCGTTTGTCCATCTCTATCAGTAATGCTATGTACCACCCAGACTACAAACATAATAAGAACAAAGTCATCTCTCATAAATCATAAAAACCCTCCATCCAATCCTCCCAGCATCTCAAGCATTACATCCCCCATCACCCGCCCCAGCCCCATCCTCCTTCTCATACAAAATCTCCGGCTCAACATCCCTTCCCAACAAAAACCGCTTCACAAAATACCCAATCTGCCTCAACCCATACTGAACATGAAATCTCGTCGGCACCGAAAACACCTGATCCAACTCCTCCAGCGTCTTCCCCTTCGTCTCCGGCATAAACAGCAACACCAACCACCACCCTACAATACACCACCCGGCATACCACGCAAACGCCCCCTGCGCCGTAAACGCATTCCGTAGCGACGGCCACGTCACGCCGAGCACGAAATTGAAGAACCACGTCGTCGCCGTCGCGAGTGCCATGCCGTAGGACCGCACGTAGAGTGGGTATGCTTCGGCGGAGTAGGTGAATGGCACTGGTCCCTCGCCTGGGGAGTAGACTACGCCGAAGATGTACGTTCCCAGGGCGATGCAGCCGGTGCGGGCTGTGTGGTGGGTCTCGGGGATCCAGAAGCTGAAGCCTGTGAAGAACATGGCGAGGGACATTAGCGGGAAGGTTGTTAGGAGGAGGTTGCGGCGGCCGAAGGTGTCGATTGTGTAGATTGCGGGAATGGCGAAGAGCCAGTTTATTACGCCCCAGCCGAGGGAGGCGGCGAGGGCGGCGGCCGGTGCGAAGTTTGCTTCCTGGAAAAGGTTAGTAGGATGTTTGACACTGAGATGATTACTGTCATAAAGGAGATGCTGGTAAGCTGGAGAGGCCCTGAGAGTAGGAGACGTACTAGGAATATCTCGCTGGAGTAGTATGCGATGACGTTCACGCCGCAGAACTTGTGGAGATCAGTATATACCCGTGAGAAGAAGAAAGCAATATAGCTCCTAAGCTCTCGGCGAGACCTGCTCACCTGCTGCATAAACATGACAATCGTCGACGCAATCATGGCCCTCCGATTCCTCGGCACCGTCACCAGTTCCAGAATCTTATTTTGCCCAAGCTTCATCCCAGTCTCAGCTTCCAGCAGGGTATGCATATAGTAAAGATCCCGGGCAGCCTGAATCTTATGATATCGCAAAGTGCAGATACTCTGATAAGCACGATAATACTGCTTCTGACTCATATACCAACGAGGCGACTCGGGACAAAAGAAGACAAAACAACAAACCACCAGCGCCGGGAACATCGCCGACGCCATCATCAATCTCCAGTTTAGTCCCACAATACCCGGTGTATCGGACACCTGGTAGAACATCAAATCCGCCGCGTACCCCAGCATAATCCCGAACGCGGTCCAGGTCTGCCATTGCATGATGAGGGCGCCACGGATAGGCGGGGGACTGGTTTCTGCGGCGTAGATGGGTACTGTCGCGGATTTGGGCCCGATGCCGAACCCTAGTGCGAAGCGCGCGATGAACATGGACCAATGGGTGGAGACGAAGCCTTGCCAGAGACAGGCTATTGCGCTGAAGCAGCATGTGAGGAAGATTGTGCCGCGGCGGCCGAACCAGTGGTTGAAGGGGACGGTGAGCCAGCAGCCGATGAAGGCGCAGCAGAGGTATGGGGCGGAATTGATGAGGCCGACTAGCCAGGTATCGCGGGATTGATTGCCGGCTATGCCGAATTGATATTTGTACCAGATTTGGGCGCCGTTGACGACCGTTTCGTCTGTTGGAATGGGTTGGCATTGTTAGCGTTGTTGTGAAAGGATGGAGAGCATTGGAGGGGGTGTCCGAAGCTTCGTTCTTGACTTACCCATGCCCTGGACTGCGGCGCTCAGTGAGCAAAGTGCGATCACGGCATACATCGTCCAAGGCTGTGACCAGCGATGCTCGAATTCCCATCGTAGAATATCTTTCTCCTCGCTTGTCAATCCGGCGACAGTGTCGTATCGCTCCGGCGCTTGAGCTAGCACGGCGCCCAGTTCGAAAGCGCGGATATCCTCATCGTCGCCAATTTCATGGGTAAGCGCAAAGTTGCGACCTTGCCTGCGTAGTTCGGCATGGCTAAACCCCGCTAACGGATTTGAGAGTTTCGCATTCAGATTGCGCCGGGCGCGTTCGGCGGCCGTTAGTGTTAATCGCTGGGGAATGAATTTGTCGCGGGGTGGTGAGTTGGCGATGTGCTCGTCTTGTTCGACGAGTCCTCTGTCGAGTTTATCGGGGATCGACGTGGGTGTGGTGGATATTGACATGGTGGGCACCGCTTATCCGAAGCTAAGAAGTCCCATTTGGTGGGGCGAGTTTGATCGAGGGAGATGCTCCGAGTTCGTGTCCGTTGTTTTTTGAGAATGACAGCGAAGACAAGGTGAGAAGATGGGGAGAGAATCTCAACAACGCATAGCCCTAGCAGACACATGACAGCAGGAATGACGGATCGCAACGAGTCCGCTCATCTTGCGGCGGAGGCGCACGGTGGATCATATCCCGTCTACCACCATAGCGGGCCTTTTCCTTGATTAAGTGGAGGTGTCCAGGGTCGAGTCGTTAGACTGGGATCTGGGGGTCGGGTTTTCTGGGGGGTTGGGGCCTGAAAACGAGCCCTTTTGCCTTTTCTTTGTCTAGGTGATTGGACGATTGGGCCAATCCTAGGAGGTGCCCGAGAGGTCAATAGTAAGCAGACGTCGCCCCGTTCAAAGAAGTGGGCTGGAATGTCATCGTATGTCCATTTGGGGCAAAGGCGATCGGCGCGGGGAGGCTGAGTGGCTGGTTGAATGGTGCGGGTGCAGGTCAGATGCAGTGCAGGGCGCAGCTCGAGTGTTGGCACTTGGCAGACTGCGGACTTGAGACTGCGGACTGGGGAATGGGATTGAGTCAAGGGGGGTGAGTTTAAAGCGGACAACTATACCGTGGTGAAAGGTAAAGTAGGCGTAGGACTCGACGGAGACGTAATCAAAACTGTCGGGCTCGTACGACGTTTCCCCGCCAAAATGCCCCGGACTGAGCCTCGTGGGGGCCAACTCGATTTGGAAAACATAATCTTAGGTTTAAACTCCGGGATGGACCCAGAGATCAATGATTATCCGGACCCTGGATCTTTTTTCCTATCATGTATGCGATCTAGATGTTCATCTACTCGATTTGTCTTGTGGGGCTCTCCACTAAACATCTACTGGGTTTTGAGTGATCTAGAAGCACCTGCTCACGTAAGTCTTTGAACTGGGCCCACAGGTTCCCTGCAGATAATCTTTCGAGAAAGAGTCCTATACCGTCAGTCATGATCAGTTAATATGGGGACTACCATTGCAAACTCCCAGACTCCCGGTGTTCTTGGGATGTAAATTGGAAAACATGACTGGGTACTAGACGAGAACCCATAAATCCTCGAGAACTCTGTACTATTAAACTATAACATTCGAAATGTTTTAATCCATCTTACTCCACCAAGCCACAACGGGTCTCAACCATACCGTGGGGATAATGAAAGCTGGAGGATGATGGCGAACACGGAGAAGGAAAGCATAGTACAAAGAACCGTATCCCACCACAGAGTTTGATACTTTCTTACATCCTTCGGTCCTAGATTGCAATAAATTCGAGCGGTCTGCTCACAATGATGCTGAGAATGAAACCATGGATGAGGAATGGAAAATTAGCAACGAGGTAGCTGGACCGTTCCATGACGAAGTTATAGAGAGATTCCGGTAGAATAGCTGTTACTCCAAAGCTAAGGTTGATTCTTAGAATATCTGCACTCCTTCGGCGTAAGGATTGACGGGTTATATGTGGTTGTGAGCATCAACTCCAATCAACGGATTCAGGGATCTGCTCCACCATTCCGGGGAAGGTGGGCCGTGAATAATTAATAGAATTAATAGAAGCGTAGATTAGAGAGCTTGTTGCTGGCCCATGCTAGCTCCTGGTGAAGTACATGTAAGTAGATGAACAAACACTACGCAAAAAAAGATGGTAATATCCGGTATAATCACCACAAACGGCTCTTTTGGGAATAGCTTCAGGGACAACCTGAGCTATCAATTCTCCTCTTTTTGCCAACTTCTCCTCTCCCATCATCTCTTCCCCCATCACACGGGCAGGCCGGCCATCTATCACCTGCTCAAAGTCACTCTCCCTCTCGTTCTATCTCCAGCTACCATTCCTCTCATTCACCATGGCCGAGCGCCCAGGCTACCCCGCTGGCCGCCCACCTGCATATGATGGACATTGCCCTGACTGTAACCGTCCGGGACATTGTATGTGAGACAGTGATTTTCTATCAGTGTGTGCCGTGACTGACACACCGCATAGACGCCGAAGATCCCCACTGCTTCGTGAGACTTATCCGGCAGTGTTTGGACCGCCATTACCAGGGAGAACTCGCACGTGGGGAGGACTTCAATCGCCGTCTCATCGCGAGTGTGAGTATTTCTCTACTCTTTTATCTCTGCATTTACTCAAGATATAAGCAGATCCAGAGTTCATCGACTGCTTTGGGAGCCTCTACCGCCGAGGCCGGCGACGCCCGCTCCTCCCGTGAACGATCGCGCTCCCCGCTGAACCAACCCCGTCATGGAGGGTCCTTTCGTGAGCGCTCACGCTCTCCGCCAAGTCAGTCTACACGCCTCGAGCACTTGACCGGCCTCTATGGCTCTCGTGGAAGTTTGTATGGGTATGAATACGACATACCCCCCGACCTATTTGCGGCGGCCGTCATGGGCTCCCCTCGCGCCCTTTATGCTCACTTTGGAGGTATCACGGAGCCGCTGTCAAGATCTAGCCCTCAGCGTGCCAACGGCCACGTAACAAGCTCCGCCGCAGACTCTTCTGTTAACGGTGCTTCTCACACCGGCCCTCTCGGCCCTGGTCCTTCCACCGGGGACAACCAAGAGGGCCACGAAGTGGATATGTGGTGATTTGTTAGGAATTTGACCGCTTGAGCTCAGGCTTGAGCGCTTAGCGCACCTCGACTGAGAATACGGAGACCTTGAAGATGAAAGGATCTAGGCCTGGACATCGGTCATCGAGCGATCAGCTCTAAGGTTTTCTTTGTCTGATCTGGCTCTCCATGAAATCACTTTGCTTTTATTCCCTACTCTGTTCGTTCCCATTCATGTTTCACTATCCCCCCGAGAAGTGGGAAGAAATTGGTCAGCGAATATGTGCATAGTCTACCTATCTAACCATTGATGATTGGTGGACTGCAGTATAACTTGTATAACAAAGCCTCGCTGGGAAGCTGACTCTGTGGCAAGGCAGAATCTTTTATTAATTCGCCCAACCAGCACACAGTCCCTTTATCTGCACCATTGTTGTCAAAAGTGCTCAAGGCCTGCTTTTTATGCGATCTAGACCACCGCAGCTGTACCCGTATACCGTTTCAATGTCTACATAAACCCGTCAAATCTGGGTTGTGGGGACCAATGGAAAGCTTGCTGCGAAATAAGCACGACATTAGTGGCCCTAGACCAGGTCGTCACGAAGAACGAGGCATCCCGATCTATCTCGGCATCCATTTATTTTCAAAGGCGTCGTGACTATAGATCTGGGAAGCAGGACCGAGGCTTGATTCAAGGGTAAAGAATACAAGAAGATATCATAAGAAACGACGATGATCCCGTGACATCAAGAGTGCTTTTTTACCTACGACCAGAGCAAATGCTGCTAGGCCTAGACCACCGATTATAGTCGCAATTGACTGAGAGTTATGGTGTTCCTAATGTCAACTAGGAGGCGAGTGATACGGGATTGAACGACCGCAGACGAGGAGGGTAGAGCGACGGAACTTAATGCTTGTAGGAGACTGTTCGCGCTACTATATTCTCCATCCCACATAATTCCGCTAACCCAGATATCCTATATAATTAGGAGAAACTTTCTCTCTGGCTAATGAGCTCGGCCATCGGTTTGGATATCTTTGAAGAGGTCGACTTCGCACTTGTTGCCTGTCACAACTTCGTACATGACCGCTCCAAGGAGACCAATATCGATTCTGGTTGTGAATCCATTATCATCCACAGCGTCCATATCAGAGTCCAATGGAAGGAGAGAGCCTTCTGAGAAATCGCAGATTTTGAGGAATAGAGCCGAGAAATTCCGGCTAGCGATATCTACGACAAGCACGCGCCTGTCATGAATATAACTAAGTGTGCTAGCCATCTCACGGAACCATGTGAGTTGTAGCTGGTGAGAAGGACGGCACTTTGCCAGGTAAGCCCGAAGGTCCCCGTTGGCCATATAAGCAAGTTACGTAGCTTCGGTTGAAAACCCAATACAGCGGACAACGCCACCAGAACGTTCATCCTCAGGACATTGCAAGCGACGGTAAACAGCTTGCTCACGTCTTAGACTTTTCGTGTTCGCTCTGACGTCCGAATCTGAGCTCCAAGGATATCGTAACGGTACTTTGACGGCCACCTCATTCTGAAGCAGGACTACTGCAGAGCCTCACGCTTCCGAGAACTTCCTCCTGAGGAATGGGATCGCCATAAATACTGAGAAAGGGGGAAGACACAAGATAAGTGAAGCTAGATGGCAGTTGGAATCAGACTGACAAAATCTATTTGATACTTCGATTCACTGAAAAGTTGGATGACTTCAGACTTTTGGCCCTAGAGAGAGGCCTTAGCCTCCCCTTAAATAGTTTACGATGCCCGAGGAACGACGAATTCATATACACCCAGGCGAGAGGGAAGAGGGTGAGGGGGTCAAAGCGGGTTTGATGCCTTAACCTGTATATAACCGCTGATCTACCTGGCCATCCCAAATTTGGCAAATCTCTTTGGTGCCAGATAATTCCTGATTGGATGAACTGTTGCATTTAAGCTTGGCTCGCTGGGAATATAAGCATATCGCAGCGTTACAAGAGAAATAATATTCCGCAATACGAAACGGAATTTTAATTCAATTTGTCCAGCCCCTTTATGGTCTATGCTGAACGCAGCGACAAGGAGAAGGATGCAATAAGCAAGAATTGTCATTGGTAAGGATGAGTGAGCTAAGGTAGATATCGCGAGAGTAGAGGTCACATGATGACATGCCATGGGCATATCCAACATGAGCAAAATGTGAGGGCTTTGGCCTGCAAGGCAGAGAATATTTGCAGGTAGCAATTTTCTGTATTCTATGGTACAGCAAACCCGATCAATTTGCAGTACTAAAGAGGTTAGCTAGTTTCATTTCAATTTGTCGAGAAGGTTGACTCACGTCGAGCTTTCCCCGAAGTGCCTGGACACCCTTCTCCGTGGTGAGGCGCACTAATCTCGGCACATCGCGGTGCGTGTTGGAACCGGTATTTAGGCCAGTAATCCACTGACATCTCTTGCAACCATCTGTGTTACCCACCCATCTGCTCGAGCCTCCTTTGAAAACTGCCTGTATTGCGTAGATTGCGTGGTCTCCGGCGACAATGTTAAACCCCATGAGCTGCTTCCCATCGATGTTTATCAAAACATATTGATCCGGTAGACGGTACCCCAAAATCAAGCTTGGCTCGCCAAAGTCCTTTTCCAGAAGACCGAGCCCAGTGATATAAGTGTGATATGCCTCACGCAAAACATACACCGCTAGGCTGAGGACTGATTTGTTCAACGGAAGAGCCTGTACAGATGGAGTGTGTTTCATGATACACCTCGAGCATCTATTTCGATGTTGTCCTTGACGAGGGAGTCTGTCACACCTGACTTCCAAAAAGAGACCTCGCCAAAACATCTCACCAATCAAGCTGCTATGAGATCTTATCTCCTCATCACTGGCTTTGGTCATTGTGTATCTCTCCCCTAGCCATCGATTATTATGCCATCGTCGACGAAGCTCGAAGAGATGGCCATCGCGCACACCCAAATTCACAGAACGTCTATATAACAGTCTCCAATTTCTCTTTGGCCGTCTACCAGCTTGGGTCTTCGTCAAAAGAGAATTCAGGTAGCCGCGCTCTCCACAGGGCAAAAATCTCGCCCTCCAGAAATGTTGATCTCCAAAGACTTCCGCCATTGATCGGGATACTTGTCTTAAACCGAAAAACTCCGGAGTGGACAGGTTGCTCGCGACTAGAGTTCTGATCTCCAAAGGAAGCAATCGAAAGCAGTCGGTCTCAGAGAAGGAATAACCTTGGCCCGCTCCTATCGGTATCTCTGGGAGCCCAAGACAATTATTGGCTAGAAGGCCCTGAATGATAGGTCTTTTCAAAGGATAAGTGTGCGCGGCTTCATTCTGCACAACTAATGAGTCGTCTTCAATCGCGTTAGTTTGAGGTTATAACATACTTGTTAGAATGGCAACCTGCTCACGGGAGGTATATCTGCCTGAAGGAGCAACATCCTTACAGACTTCAAAAAACTTATCCAGATCAAGATCCTCTTCCAATTGCCGACTCAGAACAATCCAGCAGCTCTCGTGAAATATGTGAGCCTGGCTAGGGTTCAGACAGGACATTTGGTACCAAGGGCCTAATTTTTCTTGAAGTGCTACCCTTCCAGAAGATCCGAGATGGCCACAGTCACTCATTTCACGCCAGTCAAGATTGGCAAAAAAGACATCACTCAATCTAGCACCATCTGGGGTGCGATATACTATGGCACATGCGTGAGTCCGATGACTTATATTCAAATTGAATGGGTACACCCACGCGCTCGATAATATTTGAGCCAGCCCCCATTGGGGCCAGGTGCTTGAGATTCTGCGCCAATAACATGTCCGCAAGAGAGGCAGCTGTAACTCATGGTAAGATGATATCTTAGGACGATAAATATCCTTTTTGCAGATTAAAGAAGCTGTTTTAAATGCCGGGAAAACTGTGAGGAGAAAACAGTTCAAACGTCAAATCTAGGCAATATTCTTGATAATTGGTTGTCTTGTAATGGTCATAATGTGTCGTTGAGAAATGGAGAAGTTCATTACAGTGACTTGGGATTGGTCCATCACTAGCCCAGATTCCGTATGTATTTGTGTGTAAAATGCGGGTAACACCCCCGACATCAGTATTACCACTCCAATCAAGATCATCAGGTCACGATCACGACATGTGTTACTTGAGCATGTATGGGAATATTCGCTCGTTCATAGTCGGCTGTCTTGTCCGTGACTTTTTGTCCAATCATATCGGCCGTACCCCGCCACTCTTCCATCCGTCTCTCCAAGGGGAGTTGGGTGTTGCTAGCCCTGGCCTTCACCTGTCATCTCCTTAGGCACGGATCTCATTGCCAGTGCCTGTGTGTTTGGCTTCTGTGGTCTTTCTTATAATGCCTTTGGGAGTGCTTAAAGGTCTTTTGGAAGGGCTTTTGGAAGGGCTTTTAGGAGGTCGTATAGTACGTAGACCTGGGCAGAACCTATGGGCCGGCCCAAATGGGTCAACCCATTTAGGCCCATGGGCCAAAAAATCGACTTTCTGCCTATGCGTGGGCCGGCCCATTCGGCCCATTCGACCCATTTTAGGGCAAAAATTAGTGTGCATATGACTTCCATAATTCATACAGATTAGGCGAGGTCTTAGCTATAATACCTTAGTAATAAGATAAGAAACCCTCTTAGATAACTATATAGGATGCTAGGATATTTAATTAAAAGAGGGTATTTTAATATTACTATAGAAATTATTAAGTTTAACTATATCTTATATCCATCCAATAACCTTAAACGCTTCCGAGCTCTTCCTAAAACACGCGGTATATTTTACTTAGGTAAATCAGGCTCGTCCTCTGGCTTAGGCTCCTTCTCTAGCTCTTTTATAGGCTTATTAATACTCCTTCGCCTCTTCGAGTTATATTAGGAAGGCCCTTCCTTATTATCACTAATCTTAATAATATTCTCTTACATACGCTTATCGATCTCTTTTTGTTAGAGATCTCTCTTAGACTTAGTTACGTACTCTCGAACGAAAGTAAGCAACTCCTCTTCTAGATTAAACCGAATCCTATATATAAGAAGTATTAGATCCTAGATAGTACTTAATTATAGAGAGCCACGGCGATAGTAGTAGATATTACGCGCGGAGTTAAAGAGACGCTCTACGCCTACGCCCATAGCTAGGACGGAAAGGATATCTCGAGCGAGGGCTACGAGTACTAGAAATCTATATTTATAATCTCTCTAGAATTCGCGTAGGGGTATTAATACTTGTCAGGCTATGTGGTGTGTGGATGTATATGCTTATGTGTGCTTTGTTGAGATGTGTAGGAGGTGCCGTTTAGTGGATTTAAAGGCGATGGATCCGAGAGCTAAGAGCGATAGTGCTTAATGTCAAGATTGGCTTTGGACTCTAGAGTTATAGAATTCAGAGGGGAAAGCCCTTACATAGGAAATATTGTAGTGTCATAGGCTAGAGCATAGTCTGCCGTTATAGGCTTGCCGGGGGGAACCGGGAACCTAGTAAATGATACCTACTCCCTAACCGCGTCACTAAAGATAGCTCGGCCGCTTATAGAATCATATGTTATTATGATTCGACGAAGCGGCTCGGACTGTGTTTGTTCGACTAGCATGCTAAGATCAATATCAAGGAAGAAAAGGGCGAACACCTAGAGTATCATTCGGCACCTAATACATTAAGACTAATAAACATTGAAAAATTTAATCCCAGCAATGCTTGTCAGTTATATTATAAGCTGTATCAGGCATATGACTCAAGTTTAGATCATCGTAGAGTCATAAAGTCAATAATGGACCAATGTCTCGTCATAGGATGAAGATATCATTGTCACTTTCAATTCATCATTAATCGCTTTACCAAGGTCTGGAGACCCAAGGAATGGTTTTCTCCACATGATACACATGTTCTTATTGAAAGGATCATCTTAAGATCACCGTGGCATCATTCGAACAATCAATTCATGAGCATACCATGGGTGAAAGTGAGCATTGCACAGCATTGGATTGCATAGGATATCGCGCGCGTGTACAGCAAAGTTGTGGAGACAGCCTTACCGTACTGTGTCACTTGGACATGGGAGTGGCAAAGAAAAGTCTCACCTTTGCTAGAGATTCTCGAGGCCCATTCAGTTCTGGAGTTTAGTTTGTTTGCACTACTATGGAAAAATAAAAATTATAGTTCCATGGTTTGCTAATACACTTGCGAGGCTGTACAGTGGCACCGCAAAAGTCTGAGACCCTCCAGCTGACCGCCCTTTTCACCGCCTGTACCGCGATTGGACACGGGGTACTGTTAAGTTACTGGCGTTTGGAAAGCGTCAAATTGAATGGCTTTTCTTCATTCGGTGGTTTTGATGATTCCAAGGTTGTAAATTCTACTGACATCATTTTTTCCTTGACAGTTGTACCTCGCTATCACTACATAGAAGAGAAAATCTCACTAATTTTTTTGAGAATGGCACTTTGCAGTGTAACTGAGCTTTGAATGATTTTCCTGACTTGGAATACTTCGAACCGTCCAGAAGAAAGGTCCTACCTCGAAATCCCACGAGCATTTAATCGTCAAGGTAACTTCTCGTTACAAGATGTTCAATATCACGAACCACGATGTCGATTGTGGAGGAGCTAAGACCACTATCACCGGTACGATTATATTTATCCACTTTCTGTCGCTAAAAGAGATATGGAACCTGAACAGGCTAATCGATATCCAGATAATGGACGGCTGGATATTAGGGTGGAGAAGCCCGAAATGATGACTACTTCACCTCGTTGGCGGCGTCCAGCTTACAAGACACGCGATACGAAAACAAAGATTCAAGAATGCTACGTGCCGCCTTCACTTAACATAGTGATCCAAGTTGTTGGTTCTCGTGGAGACATACAGCCTTTTGTTGCCCTTGGACTCGCTCTTGCCCGAGCAGGACACCGCATTCGAATCGCGACTCATGGCACATTCAAAGAATTTGTCGAGACTCACGGCTTGGAATTTTTCAATATTGGAGGCGATCCAAAAAGGCTCATGGCGTACATGGTAAAGAACCCCGGCTTAATGCCCAGCATGAACAGTCTTCGAAGTGGAGATGTTCAACAAAACCGAGCAGATGTACGAGAAATCCTTGATGGTTGCTGGCGAGCGTGCTTTCAGAGCACAGACGAGGACTCGAAGCCTTTCTTTGCCAATGCGATTATCGCCAATCCGCCTTCATTTGCACATATACACTGTGCAGAGAAGTTAGGCGTACCTTTGCATATCATGTTCACGTAAGGGATGCGTCGTTATTTCAAATGGACTTGGAAATGCTAATACAAAGCAGGATGCCTTGGTCGCCCACCCGTTCTTTCCCTCACCCATTGGCAAACTTACATGCATCTTCTTCAAAAGGAAGCGTGATGAATTACCTATCATACATATTCGTTGAAATGCTCACGTGGGAGGGATTGGGAGACGTAATCAACTCATTCAGATGCAAAACTCTGGGACTTAAGCCTCTGGACAGATCTTCTGGACCAACGATCTTATCTCAACTCCATATACCGTACACCTACTGCTGGTGAGTAGCGCTCTCATAATACATGGTGATTTCTCCTCACATTAGTGCGCTCTAGGTCGCCAACTATGGTAAGAAGACCTGAAGATTGGGCTGAGCACATATCCATTTCGGGATTTTACTTTTTGCCCATGTCATCTCCATACACTCCCCCTCCTGAATTAGAGGAATTTCTCAATGGGCCGCCACCGATATACATCGGATTTGGCTCCATAATTGTGGATGACCCCAAGAAACTTACTTTATTGTTGTTAGAAGCAGTAAACCTGGCGGGGGTACGAGCCATTATCTCACACGGATGGGGCGAATTGGGCAGTGAAGACTTTGTGATTCCTCCCAACGTTCATTTTATAGGAAGTTGTCCACATGACTGGATTTTTGAAAAGGTTTCTTGCGTGGTACACCACGGTGGCGCCGGTACAACGGCTGCGGCTATGGCTTGTGGAAAGCCTTCAATTATCGTTCCCTTCTTTGGCGATCAGCCATTCTGGGGGGAGATGATCGCGGAAATAGGGGCAGGCCCCAAGCCTATTCCGTTCAAAAAGCTGACTGCGCCCGATCTCGCTGCAGCTATCGGCGCCGCCCTTGAGCCAGATATCAAGCAGAGAGCAAAAGAACTGGGGGAGCAAATTCGTAACGAGAGTGGCGTCGATGCTGGAGTCACTTCGTTCCACCATCACCTTGAGCATTCTAACCTGAGTTGCGGAATCGTAAGCTCGCTCCCGGCGGCTTGGAAAATTCGAGGAACAGGCATTCAGATCGGCTCTTGTGGTGTGGCGCTTCTGGTAAACAGAGGTTTGCTCAGTACTGACAAAATTGAGTTGTATGTATACGGTCAGTGGATATCATCATGGCTACCTAAATTAACTATATTGTTTTAGACTTCGACCGCAAAAATATGATTTGAACATCGGGCCTCGAGATCCATTCTCGGGAATGGTTTTTGCTTTTATTGATTCAGCAGCAGAGATCGGCGGAGGCCTCAGCCACTTTGGTGCGTCAACTCAAGGGCTCTTTCGATCAATTTTTGAGAAGGGGTCTGTACACTCGGGCAAGCGATCTGCATTTGCCTCTAGCATGAAGGGAATCGGGAAAGCCTCCGTCAATGTCGTTCGAGCTCCCATTGATATTGCCTTCGCATTTACTCAAGGTTTGCACAATGCGCCGAAACTCTGGGGTGACCAACATGTAGAGTTGCCCGAGACTGTCGAGGGCATACCAACCGGGCTCAAAGCAGCAAGCAAGGTAAATTACAATCTGTAATCACATGTCGGAGATCTAATACCAACTAAGGAACTTGTCTTCGGTGTCTACAATGGATTTTCCAGCCTAATACTGTTCCCTGGACAATTTGCCGTTCACCGGAGCAAATTTGACATTCTCCCGGGGATAGGATTTGGAACAGCTTCTTGCATCACGAAAAATTTATCCGGTAAGTGATCCTTGAAATAGGAACCATAAATTTCCTTTCCAAACGATTCTAACGATATGCAGGCTTGACTGCAATCATCACATATCCTCTGAAGGGGGTTGATGTGGAATTTACTAGAGCGCTGTCTACGAGAAAGCTTACCGCTCTTGAGATAGAGCTTCTCAGTCAAGGTTCGAGAGATATGGCCCACATGAACGAAGAATATATTCAGCTGATCCTAGAGCGATGGGAGGTTATAACGCATGGTGTCAGGAAAGGCAAGTTGAGGAAGAGAAGATATCATTGGCCTCAAATCGGGCGAGGAAATAAGCCAGTGAAATCAAACTAAGGAAACGTGGGGAAGAGAGTGAAGTGCATGTTTTCGAAGGTTCATTCCTCACCTGAGCACATAAAAAAATTAACCATGTACTGTATCCAAACATACTGTAATGTTAGTAGAACTACAAAACTTTTCCAAGTTTGCTTGCGCCCTTTCGTTGACTTTGACTGTAACGGCCGTGCCTTCCGATCTAACTCGCTGGTGACGCTTCTTTTTTGTTTGCAGCATGTTTTCAACGTTTGTTTGTAAACTCTTCCCCCAATAATCGCCAGGAGCTATAACCAGGTCTTCCTCAGTTGCTTTGCCTACCGTTTTGCGGTTGAGTATAAGCCTCCATGCAATTGTGTACGAGACATATCTCGGTGGCAGCTCGCCATACTCGCCACCTTCATCCCATTCAACCAACGGGAGAAAGTCAAGATAATCGGGCTGCAGTTAGTCTGTGGCACACTCAGGGGCAAGGCTAGGAGAGTACACAGTGGCGGGCGTGCGAGCGAAATTACCAAGAGTGGGGGCATAATCTGAATTTCCGTCCCAGCGGTCGACCATCTGGGTTTGATAGGCATCGTCATCAAAAAGATTATTGGTCATCGTGGATATCTGCCTAGTAGTGTGACCTGGCAATGTTGTAAGACATTAGCTCATTTCTGGTACCCAATAAGATTTAGTGCCGCAGCATGATGATAAGCAATAGTGGAGATCCCGAAACTAAACCTTACTGTTGAGAGTTACCTATCACCGACCACAGAGGGACGCCCGGGAAGCATCAAGCGCTGCAGCAAAGCAACAGCAAGACGCAGAAAGGAGAAGTTGACACCTTATCAGTTCAGATGTTGCTTTGTTTGCAGTGTTTGCTACGTTTATTAAGAATCCTCTAAAGTTCCAGGCTTCTAATTTTAGACTTTTGTATCTGTGTTACAATCTATAAAAGGAGCTGGTATTATTACTGGTATGTACAGAACATGTTATTTATCAGTATCATGTGATTAGGGTTTGAAAGAACATCTCTGTGTTCGCAGCATGGAAACCGATGTTGGGCCCTTCTGTAGGCTCACTAGGAGCTACGCCCACTTGAGGCTTCACGGGTGTATCTCGTGATTTTGGGCCCGAGGCTTGCAACACTATTCTCACCAGCAACTGACTGCGACACCATTCCTGATCTGTGACATCATTTCTGTCCTGCGACACCATTTTGGACCTGCGACACCCTTTTGAACCTGCGACACCATTTTTGATCCGCGACATCATTTTCGCCTTGCGACACCCATTCCTGATCTGTGACATTGTTTCTGTCCTGCGAAGGCGTTCTTGATCTGCGACACCGTTTTCATCTCATAGCGATCAACTCATTTTGATATCTTATAAGCAATGCTGCCCCAGCGCCTAATGGAGTACACAAATACTTGAAAGGAAACACAAGAAGGACAGCTCGACTGTTCTACTTTTTAGATTCAGAATACCGCATTTCTATTTTTCAAAATGGCAAAAAAGAAAGGAAATAAGGGTGCGGACGCTCAGAAAAGCGCCCGCGACATGCAAACACCTGTTTCCGATCATGAAGGGTCTAATGATTCCGATACCGACAAAGCCAAATCGAACAACATAAATGAAGCAGATAGCAGCCAGACCACTTCTTTGATTACCACAACAACTGAATCGGGATCCCAAGATGCGGAGACGAGCAAAGTCAAGGAGCCAGAACCCGGAACAAAGAAGAACGAAAAGAGTAAAGAAACTGTTCGGAAGGCGAGGTTCGAAAGAAGCCCGACTCGAGAGGGCAATTTTGCTTCAAATGCAGGTGACCACGACTCTAACGATGACGAAGACTCAGATTTAGATGATGCCTCTGATCAAGGTGTCCCTGAAGAACATCAGATAGATCCACTCAGTGAATGGGTGAAAGATATCATTCAGAAAGAGACATCGATCCAGTCAGCAACGATGGTTGAAGAGTTTTTTACGTCCGATCGCCCTCGCTACGAAGAATGTCAGCAGTTTTTCCAAGAGCTCAACCAGAAGATTCGAGGTGCTAATGAGCAAAATCATGTGAATGATGTTGATATCGGCACCATACCAGAGTTGGGTTATAATGGCTTATGCGAGGCTTGGCAACAGAAAGCAAATATTGCCGTGAAAAACAAATCAATTCTGGATTTTTGGAACGCTTTCAACCACACCCACAATCTTCTGAAGATTTTCAACGAAAGACACTTCCTCCCTCAAGCCTGGAATATCAGCCAGGATAGGGCACAGGAATGGGTTGGAGCCCCAAATCCAACTCCCGTTGACAGCCCCAGCTCGGCTTCCACAACCGCAAATGGACAGTCTTCTTCGACTTCGCGGAAAAAGATTGATGGAGAACTGAGCGACGCGTCCGACGATGACACTCAAAAGAATGCGAAGACTGGGCTTGATGCCTTAGAAGCAAGAACTATAAAACAACAACGCCAATTGAGATCGGCAGAGGTCCTGTTTTGGTGGCCTAAAGGCACTGGCTCTCAAACGTTTGTGCGCTACGGGGGTAAAACCCCAATTTATCGCATTCGAGCTGGCTCGCACGAGATTTATGACAAAAAGCAGACCCAACGCGTTCTTACAACACAAACTCGGGGAACTGCTAAAGTCCCAGAAACTAAAGGTGAAATTCTTGAGGAGCGCTGGGCATATACACGAGACGATGTAGAGGACATTATTGGCATTGGCTGGAAAATTGAAGATGATGACGAAGAAGGCTTTGACCCTATTGATCTTCTCCGGCCTGCTAAGGGAGAAAGCTACCCACATACTCGGGCTCTCGTAACGTGGAAAGATGGTACCGCTTCGTTGGAAGGTCGAGCGTTTATTCGTCGTTTTACGACTGGCTCGGCCTTGGATGGTGACCGAGTCATATATTAAAAGGCTAACGAGCATGAGGTCGCCTATCGCAAGAAGCATGGACTGACTGGCCATGATGGCGATGCCTATGATGGCACAGACCGTGATACGGAGAGCGATATCTCGATCGTCTCCAAAAGAGCTCGCAATCGAAGAAACCATTCTGAGCCTATGTACCCTTCAAGGTCTGCGCGGAAAAAATCCAAACATCAGTCACGTTATGAGACCAGCGATAGTGATACCGAAAGTGACCTCTCCTCGCATGCTTACAATAGCCATCGCGGAAGATACCGAAGTGAGCCAGTTGCTCACCGGAAATCTGTACGACAAGGAAGGTCCGATGAAGCTCTCATCAAGAAACTCGAAAGAGAGATCCAATTGCTCAAGGTAGGAAGATCGACGTCTCCGGAAGGGAAGCACGGCGCGCAACCGAAGGCTCAACGACGAAGGCGTCGCGAGCGCACCACATGATAAGGATGAACAGATATGAGGATATGAGAGATTGTTTTGTGACACGGCCCTTCATCAGACGGATTCAACATCCCGTCTTATTCCTCCAATACATGTGTGGAGAAGGGAGGAGGAGAAGGGAGGGGCCCCTTCTGTTTTGCCAATTTTTCAGTACTTTTTTTCCCTTTTGCAGCGTCCCAATAAACGTGGGAATCCGATTCTCTCTCGTGGTATCTCCTTGTGGAAATAAATTGTTATTCAGCTATGAGCAGGTCTTGTACAAAGTATGGCGTTCTTTTGTTTGTGATAAACAGTCCTATTGAGTGTAGTCCACATTCCTGCTCTATCCCGGCACTTACCACGGATTCCCAACTCGGGTCAGATAGCTCGGCTCCAGAAGGAGCTTGGGGCAGGCAGCTCCTTCAGAGCTATGGATCACAGCGCAATGCAGTTTGCGGGGTCGGGATGTAGAAATCCCCGCCAGTTAGACCGAGCCGTTGTGGGCTAGCCATAGCGAAGAGGGACCTCTCATCCGCCTCTTCAGACAGTCAATTTGGTAGCGAGCTGTCCAGGTTTTGGAGAAATCTTTCGAGAGTGGGGAGCGAATTTCCTGGCGTGGTACTTTACAAACAGACTGGATGGACGCTGGATTAGCCATAGCGCCCCGCGGCGCGAGCAATCTAGTGGACCATTTCCGCAGGGCCCAAAACCAGACTAACACTGAATGACCATCCTGCAATTCCGTAGCCAAATATATATTGGCGACTGGTTTTACCCTCCACCGGACACCTAGGGTTGATGTTACTGCGCTGACCATGTTAAGCCCGCGGCTTGATAACCTCCCTTTCGATATACTCCGTGAGGTAGCTAGATTACTGGACTATCATGACTATATTCATCTCAGTCGAGTAAATCCTGCCCTTCGTGAGGCAATGCGAAGCAAACATATCTCTCGGAAAATCGTCGAGGTAGCTCACACTCTCTTCCTTCGTTTCTTCTTTGGGCCCAGAAAATTAACAACTTCTGTGATGCAAAGAACAGGATGCTATATAGCAAAGAAGGCCAACAGGCTATTAATGCCGGGACTGACTACCATCGCGATATCTCACATTACTATGATATCAATGAGGCGGTCGCCACGGCGAGCCCTTACCTGATCTCTGTTCTAGCCTACGGGACCGATTTCCTCTACCAGCAAGGCATACTATGCTACTGTGCCGGCCAGGAGATTCGCTTACACGATGTGCACCAGGCAGACCAAGCCGAACGTGTGGTCAATTTCCACAGTGTTCTCTGGCGCTTGGTGCCGACTTTGAGGGGCTTTGATCCCACGCAATCGGTGAAATTAGTCCACTACTGCGATGATGTTCTTGCCTTCCGTGTCTTGAGTAATACAAACATCGAAGACACCATGGATTCTCTCTTCGCCATGGATGTCGTATATCGACATGGCACCTCCCGGCGAAAGCGGCTGCTACTACGAGCGGAAGTGCCGACTGGAGCGCCAATTTTCGTGCGTGGCGACCGATCCTGTATTTGGTACGGCCACTCGACTGTTGTCAACTCCAACGAGGGTGGACCCTGGCAGATTCATGTCATCGACCTTCTCCCAAACCAAACCATTGATTACCCCTTAGACCGGAGGCTGAAAGGCGATCTAAGGGAGACTGTATGTTTCGAAGTTTACGATGAGACTTTGTACGCCGTTTCAACGGTGAAAAGGTCTGATGATACGCTATTGAAAACATCTTTTTTTATTGGTCCTGTTATAGAAAGAGGCAGCACCAATCCTCCTGCGGGCAATTATGGCGCCGGGAAAATAGCGAGGGACCTATCGACGACTCATGGACCAATTTGTCTATGCGTCTTGACGAGGTGACCGGTCGACCTGTAATAGTTGAGTGTCACCGAGAATGGCCTGGTGGGAAGAGCGATAGTCGACGCACTTGTTACATCGGACCTCTTCCTACGCCAGAAGAAGCGCTCAACAGAGAGACCGACATCTCATGGAGCCACCTTGACCCAGTCGAGACTGCCTCCGAAATATTCAGCGGGTACCCCGATCAACGGTCATGTCATTCTTATCATACCGAGTTCGGCCACGCATGTGATCAAGACTTCCAACGGGAATTCACTACTGCGCGAACCAAGTTCCACACTTACCATCTATCGGCGGCAACATCTCTAGATCTCGTCAACGACCCTGTAACCGAAGAAACCCAATCTCGAGACTTTTTCCGCATACGAGCAGTTTCCAGAACGCCAAGGGGCTCAACCGATGATGAGAAAGGAGTAGTTTTGCCGTTTAAAAAACGAACTGGCGTCGACGGTCGGCCCATCCATGGCCGAGAACAGCGATTTAGTAGCCAAGGTGTCCGTCTTTGGCCATCGAACGATTCACGCTCCGGTGTTATCAGTCTTTTTTGTCCAGGCACGATAACCGGTACCGTGAGCGCGTTTCGGATGAGCGATCCATGATATATTCGACGCCTTCCCCCATGCTCCAAGCAGGACATCAATGTCCGGTGCTCATTAGCTTTGATCCGAAGATATATTTTATCAATGCACTTACTCGGCGTACCTCAGAGCCTCCTGAGCCCTTTAGTGATGCCCCTTTGAAAAGTTCTTCAAGTGGCTCGCTTATCAGCGTGGAAAGGCCTCTCTACGAGGCTATACGGAAGGGGTATTGGCTTCGGTGAGCACTTTTCAATTTTCTGTATCAGATCATGGCGTGACAAGAGCAGCGAAACTTGCTCAATTCATTTTTTCGGATTCAATTACCCCTCTATATTCTGCATAATCAAAAACTCACTCTCATTGAGACCTCTGGTGTGGATTCTCAAGGCCTCGATAGCGATGTGTAGTGCTTGTCGTGCTTCTTCCCTCGTTGGAATTTTAACTTGCGGAATACCATTTTCAAATGGCCGCCGGGATTGTCCCGCTAGTATGGGACGGCGGTCAATACATCGTTCGATTTGAGCTGCCGCTACAGCCTGGGAAACGGCGGAAGTTGACAGGCCGTCTATTTCGCAGCGGGCAACAGCCATCTTCTGATACCGGGTCTGAGGCTTGTCTTCGAGTAAGATCCTTGAGATAGTGCTAGGATATCTGATCAGTCCAAGTTTGTCAGAAGTCAGAATGTCACCTCGCACACCTTTACCCTCTACTGCGGGCAAATGTATCTACATATCAATATTAGTTTACCCGTGCATGAATCAACGAGGCCGCTGTAAACATTCTGCTTTGCCTAAAGCCTGGAGCGAGGTTTCTTTTCTTTTTTCTTTCCAGGGACGAGGAGGAACAGTCTCTTATAATTTCCGTCAGTATGGGAGGAGTCTTGGAATGTTGGGCGTACCGTAACACATTCGGCATAGACTCTTTGCTTTTAAGGCGCAAGCTTAGGGTAATAAATATTTGAATTATTCTTTGGCCCAGATGGGGCCCACTTCCTCTCCCCCTTCCGCTGGAATCCACTCGAGACGCTTATTTCCCTCGCCAAAATAACAATAAATGAAAAAAAAACCATTTAACTGCGCTTGTGACTGGCGTATCGGGAACACCGATTCATAGACCCTGTTAAAACTCACATGCTCCCTGAGCTGAACAAGAAGCCTCAAAGTGCTTGATAGTGGATGGAACATGCTCCCAGCCATACGCTGGCACTTCAATATGCGGCGTGTCAGCCCTAGAAACTGCTATTCGGATAGAGAATGCCCTGAAAGGTTAGTGACATTCTGAGTTGACAGTATTCGATTCACCCACATGTAAGAACGTTCCAGCATGGCGTGACCAAAGGTGTGCCTGCTTCGGAATCATTAAACGGCCTCGTACTGGATTAGAGTGTGATAGAAACTAACTCATGTGCAATAACAAGGCTCAAAACACCCATTCTTCCCGTCTCGTATATGTTTTGGACAATGTGAGAGTTCTGAAGTAGAGGAGGAAGGAGCCGATCCAGTGGGTACAAATTGCCTCCCTGAAAGGCCACCCAACTCAGAGTTGATAGCGTACTTGGGTTGAATCAGAAAAGCTCATTCCCCGGAGAGTCAAAACTCACAGTGCATCTCCACAACAGGTATAATTTTGCCACTCGATGCAGATTGGACTATTCAAGTCTACCAAGAATCCTGGGTATGAAGTGTTGAAAGTGAAGATTTGTAGGACGGGTGGCGCTATCGGGGCTGGCTGAAGGAAGCCTTGGAAATCATCAAATGAGGACAGGCTGGAGCGCAAATTTTCCTGCGATTCATTCGCCAAATGAGAATCGTTGAGGGGGCCGGTGCCGTCTTACTTAGAATCAGCATGAAGTCAAGAAGAAAAGTAGAACGAATAGCTGACCTTGTCTCTGTGTAGCTTTCAAAGTCTCAAACCCCTCAAGAATCCGCGAGATGATCAAGGATCGGTCGATCGTGTCATATGGGGCTGTTGCGTCTTCTATAGCTTTTTTGAGGCCCTGAACTGTCGCAATCTTCAACAACTCGCCACACGGAAGTACTCTGATGATTATAATTTTCTCTGGTTTTCCATCAGCTGGTATTCATTTACCGAAAGATCTAGCGTACCTGCTTTGCGCAACTTATTAATCGCTATATATATTATGCCCAATGGCCACCAGTTCGGTTGTTCTTTCTTCGAGTTCCAATCGGAATCAAACATTCGGATACAGCTTTCCAGCACTCTGTCACAGGAGTAATACGGAAACTGGTCGAGCCAAGCTTCCAAATAGTGGTTCATAGGATTGAACCCGTCTGAGAGGTAGTCCTCGATGGGATCGTTTGCTTGGCTGCTGCCCGCAAGAAGACTTTCGCCGGGCAGCAAGTTGCGTTAGACATGACCGTAATCCATTGCAGATGGCTTGGAAAAGATTGAAAGGCTATGAAATCCAACCCGGATTTTGCCATCTCTTTAATATTCTCGAGAATCGAGCATTATCTGGATTCCAAGATACGCACTTGTGCTGAAACCGCGCCGTTGGGTGAGAACTGAGCATACAATTGACCGCCAAGCTCGTCTAGACGTAGGACCCCTGTCAAAAGTCGAATTACATCTCCTCTGATACTGCCTCATTGTATGAGTCCGCGGCACCGGCCAGTCTCTATGATTGTAACTCATGCTTCTCGCAAATTCGAGATACTCAAGAATATCCTATCTCTAACAAATTTGACATGACATACAAAAAAAAGTGAAAGCGGCCTTAGAATAGTCGAAGTTCTCAAGAAATTTAGACTCTGGTCTCGGAAATATACCTGATATATGGTCTACCACTACTGGTTGTTTGCAAAGCCGATGATACAGTAAAAAGAACGAGTAACAGTTCTCGGCAGAGGAAATATAGAATTCATTGAAATTTAAAATGCGCAATCAGCAGAATCGAGTTACCAACATCCGATGTATGGCCACGGGAGAAAAACAAAAGATTCAGGTCAAACAACCTTCTCAACAACTTGCAGAAGTTCGTATGCCGACCCAATCTTGGAAGTTTTCTCCAGCCCGTGACAATTAATCGACACTTCCATTCGCCACCAGTCATTCCCACCACCAACATTTGCCGGAAAAGGGGTCACCATCTCCAATGTTGCGAGCTTTTTCTTTGCACCCTTAGTATGAGAATCAACAAGTTCTCCACTCAGTATCCAGATATAAACTTCTCTCTGGAACGATTCTAATAGTTTCATAAAATAATCATTCTGGCTGGCAGCAAGTCCCGGGGTACTGAGCTCAATCTTCAACTGCTCATTTATGTCTTGTCTGATCCCCTTTTTGAGGCCAAAAAGGCCTGGGCCTGACAGAGCGAAGCATATCTCTACCAGAGTGTACGCATTGTACGAGGCAGGGAAGATTCTGTTGCATTCGATGGCAAGATCACGTTGAATCGGAATGAACCTAATCCCTCTAGATGTATTCTTTTTGACAATGACAGTTTCTTGGAAGTCAGCAATCTCCTGTAAAGTAATATTCTTTAATGACTTACCATCAGGAACATCTTGTATTTTTAGCATGATGTGCATGGGAAGAAGAGGTTTCTCTGAGCGACTAACATTAAGTTAATAACCAATATATTCATTCAAAATTGGAAGAGAAAACAAACCAAAAAGCAAACTTTCCCAACTCTAGCGCGATAGATTTGGGGTATACTGACTGGGTTTTATTTGAGCTTTGGCTCCTAGTGGGCTCTTTATGAGTAGAACCAAGAAACAGGCACTCGAGAAATCCAACTTGGAATACATTTTCAAGGCTAGACTTTATGTTTTATGTCTTTGGCCAGTATTTACGCTGTTTGCAATTTGTTTTTATCCAAAGCCCTGTACCCAATCTTTGAAGTTCAAAACTTTCTAAGTTTCAAGACAGTAAAGCTGGTCATTGGTAGTTGCAATCCCAGATTACCCAATTTTAAGCTACAAAATACTTTACTGGGCTGTTTTTATTCATTGATGAAGTCAAGATATAGCCTAGGTTTTGTGTTTCCAGGATTAAAAACCATATTTTTGCATATACAATCTATTTCACTTAGCATAATATTGTCGCGCGATACTTGGCCTGATACCCCAAAGGAAAATAACTTGAGCATAGTTCCTAGTTACCTACCCAGCGTGCAAATGAGTTGTCAACAGTGAAGCGATCAAGCGAGAGATAAATAACGAACCAAGTAGTCCCTTCTCGTATTTCAGCTCTTTTTCCCTAGTAGATCGCATCTCTTCGAGCTCTTTGTACTGCCATTCCTCAAGGTTCTTTTCAGCCCGCTTTATTGCTAGACGAAAATATGCTACTGGCTCTTTGCGCAATATCTTGACAAGTGTTTTTATTTCATCGGCCTTGGTTTGAGTAATTCCTTTCCGACCTTTAGAAAAAACGATTAGCTTTCTCCTTAACAGTGTTTGGCCACTCTTACTGGCTTGTTTTTCCATATTCTCGAGTTGCTTTATATGAGCCAGAAATGCATCTTGAGTAGTCTTGGGAAGTTTCGAGAAAATTTCTTCGACCTCAGTTTTAGTCACTGCTTTCTGCTGTTCAAGAAAATCCAGTGGTTGCCTTCTGTATAATACTTGGTCGTTCTCACTGGCTCCTTGTTTGATACTTTTTAGTCACTTCAGTTGAGCAAGAAGTGAATCTTGGGTCGTTTTGGAAAGTTTCAAGAAAATTTCATAGGCCTCGGCTCCAGCTGAAGTTCCCTGCTCTCCAATATACTCTGGATCCTTCGGTTGAACGAGAAGTGCATGTCGAGCGACTTTGGAAAGTTTCGAGAACACAGATTCATAATATTGATCGAAGTTGCATGTCTTGCTGTACGGGATCATTTTTGCTGGGGGGGCCATTTTGAACTCAAACGGCGAGAAGTGGGTTGAATATACAGACGTTTCATTCGGAGGGAAAAGCAGCTCTACTTATAAAACTTGAAAAGGACACAGCCCAAAGCAGAATGATAGCTTCTTCAAATGTCTACGGGGTGTCTCCATTGACGACAAGGTGAGCGACATGGT